AAAAGCTTCGGGGTTTCGCAGGTCGAGCAGAACGGCATTTCTGCTCCAACCCCTGGTTTTCTCTCCGTTTTTCTACACGCACATATTTTTCCCGCGATATAAATGGCGCTGAAACGTTTCTCCTTCTGCATCCAACTCGCATTTCCCAGGCTTACCGTTTAATCGATAACCCGAGTAACCTACTTGTGTGTGTGTGTGTGTGTGTGATATATATGAGAAGATGTACGTTTTGTTTAAATATTTATTAGCTCGAACGAGGAGAATCGGACAATCCATCTTCCCGCTTTCGACTATTCCGCTTAGAAACGATCTAATTTTTCAAGTGTCATTACGAGCGAGTATGTCAAGATTGAATTTTGTTTGATCGATATGCCCTCTTCAGTATGCGATTGCATTTTCCTTCGGCTCTGATTAGATCATCGTTGCGAGTTGAGGCGAGCCTAGTTTTAGAAACCTAGTTTCGCAAAATGTGTAACTAGCCTCGGAATCGACTCCCATTATACCTGCTAGATAGGATAAGAACTTTTCTGACGTAACTCGCGTTGCACTTGCAATTCTAGCTCGGATTATAGTCGCAAATCGCCGAAGACAAGATAGAATTCCTTCCCGCAGATAGCAAACGTACGTCATTTTGACGTCCAATGACGTCAGTTTGCTACTTGGGTTCATCTCTATCTATTCTCTCTCATTATCTGAGAACGGGAAATATCTTTTTCTATAGTTTAGATTTCTCTGGAAATCTCTTGACGAAATCATCTTTCGTAAATGTCATTTCAGGTAATGTTAAACTATAGACCTTGTAATAACAGACTGCGGCCAACAAGTGTCCGCCATGATGTTTTGTCAAAATCCTACGAGAGAGAAAGCAATATATCCCTGGTAACAAGCATATTTTGACGTCTAATGACGTTATCGTTATCCAAGAACGGCAAATCTCAGATAAAGTTAATGAAATGTCATTTCAGGTAACGTTAAACTTCTAATAAGAGACTGGTCAACAAGTGTCCGTCTATATATAATGACGTCAGTTTGGGTTCATCCCTGCGTATTCTCTCTCGTTATCCAAGAACGGGAAATCTTTTTTTCTATATAGTTTCCATTCCATTATGTGTCGCGGGAAAACGACGCGTCCTAGACCAGACTTTCACAGTCTAGTGATCCGGTAGAGACACGATAACAATCGCGTTATCGGGCGCGACTGTACAACGTGGTGGAGAGTGTGTATTCCCAGCACGGAGAGTGAAACGAATCGATCGGCGGCGAACGAGACTGCCGTCACTGTCGCTGATAGGCCGGAAAGATTAATGAAAGGTCAGGGCCTCGTTAAGAGTACCGGGAAAAGGATGGTTGGGTTGTTTCCCAAATTTAGACACACAAACGAACGGGTAGTGTGCCGTGCACAAGTTGAAATTAAAATTTCAAATTTATTCCCCTTCTCGCTTAATTAGCGAAGAAAGCCTCGGTTCTTCTCGCAATAAACTTTCCTCGTCACGAATAAATCTCGCGTGCGAAAACGAAGCGAGTCATCTCGCGCTTATTGTCCTCTCGCTCGGACGGGAAATTCCGCGACAGACCGGCCGTATAAAATTGCGCGCGCCATTATGTCCGATTGCGAGAAGTGAATGGCGCGTGAATGGGATTATTTCTCAGGGAATCGAATCGATGACGCACTGCGTGGCGCGAAAACCGGTCCCCTCGTTTTCTCTCGGCTCGCGTAGTTTCTTCGGAAACTGCGGTTTCGCGGAGGGCCTGGGGGCTCGTTTCGGCGACCCCGAGAGACTCTTGGATTCTTGACGAGCCGGACTCTGACTGCCGGGGAAATTGAAGCCGGGACTTAACGGATCGCCGTCCTTCCTCACGTCAGACGCGACGTATCGGGAAAATGACGTTCGCATATTAATCATTATCTCTCCCTGCGGCTCTTGATTAATTATTTGTAATTCATGATTCGCGAGCGCGCCATGAATATTTAACGGAAAGCTAAAGAAGGCGATTACTCAGCTCGCGCAGCCTCTCTTTTTTTCTCTCTTTCTCTGATAAACGGGAGGAGGACTCGACAGCTCGACGTGTCGGTTTGCTCGAGAGTAATTGTAAGAAGAGGAAGAGGCGCCCAAGGAAGAGACCCTCTCGATTACGTAGCGAAAAGAATGCAAACGGTTCTTTCTCCTGAGGATCTAAACGTCGTTCTGTTTTATTATAAATTAAATGTTAAAAGATTGAAACAATTTTTTAACATAAAATCGGTAGATTCGCGCTTTGCTTCTATATGTACTTTAATCATGGAAAAGCATTTATTATTCCATTCAACCAATAAAAAGAAAAGGGTGCGCAACAATGTTTTATCAATAAAATAGGATGGCGTTTAAGACCCCCTATTTGAAATTAAGGGGATTATAAACGCCGCGATTATGTTAAAAACAAAAAGATTTAATTTTTTAATTTAAAAAATGTTTTTTTCATTTTGAACACAAAATCGGTAGGTTCTATATATGTACTTTAATAATGGACAAGCATTTTATTATTCTATTGAATCAATAAAAAGGAAAGGGCATACATGATGCTTTATCGATAAAACAAGACGGCGTTTAGGATCCCCTTGACTGTAAATGCAATGCATATACAGTCCGGTTCCAGGAGGAGGAGGAGAGCGAACGCGAAAACGAGGACAAGGCTTGGGGAGGTTTTTGTCAACGGTCCATTTAACCGCGCGCGTGCACACAAAGCGCGTGCACGCGCGCGCAGGAATGTATTTTTAGTCATCGCCAGCGGTATTTAAAAATAAACGAAACGCCGTATAACCGTATTCCGGTTGGGCCGCGTATATGCCCCTTATTCTTGTTGCACACCCGGTGTGTTTCGAACCCGGATTATCGCGAAGACGGAAAAGCGACAGGAAGTCGCTTAACGAATGTCTCGACGTTTGACATTTGACACTTTCATTTTATTTATTCGCTTTTTCTGCCAAACGTCGGAATATTTAAACATTGCGTTCACGAATCGATACATGTGCATAATATACAGGATGTAACTGAAAAAACATATCCATACCATCAGATTCTATGTGGTCAATTTCGAATCGATTTTTCCTCAGCGAAAATGTTGAAGAAAATGTCATTTTTTATCTTGTAACTAAGAGCTTTAAATACTGTCAAAGTAAATTCTATACCTGAAATTAACTGAAGAAAGCGTAGTTTTGTTAATATTTTAACTCTACAAAATTTAATTTATAAAAAACTCTTCTTTTTCAATCATTGTATAACTTGAAAATTATTGGTGCCTTATTTTCATTGAGGAAAAATCATCTCCAAATTTGAGAGGTGTGCTCCGTATGTTTATTCAGTTACACTCTGTATAATTACAATTGCGTGACACGTTATTGTTGCACGATTTCAGGTTGGTGTAACAACGTCGAGATATTTTTAGGCGGCTTCTGGCAAATGGCCTGTCAAACACGCCTTTTTCGTTTTACGGAAATTACGCATGTGTGACTGCAATTGAGAGATAATCGTCGTCATCCGTTCAAAAGCGGATGAGCTTTTTTAAAACACAATACCGATCTTTATTTTGGTTTTAGCTTGTTTCGCGAATGATTTTGTCAGCGAGATAATGAAGGCACTCTAATTTATGACAATTTATTTAAACAAGATTATAAATGTTATTTTTTCCTTCATGATAGGGTAAATTCGGATAAGATGGCTATAGTTTTCCAAAATTTCAAAAATGTACTTTTATTTTTGTTATTTTTAAATAATATTTGGCAATTACTTCATTGAAAATTAAAAAATATATAATACTATCGAAATTAAACAATAAATATTTTATAGAAATTTTATATTATCAAAATATTAAAGCATTGGCCATCTTTTTGACTCTTATAGTTGACCATATAAATATTTCATGTTAAAGAAATGAAAAACTTATAATTTTACATATTTAGCTTTTTTTATTTTTATAATTTTTTAATATAAAATAGAAACTTTTCTATAAAAAAAAATAGATTTTCAATATAATCTTTCAGATTGATTTTTTTAACTAAAAATAATGTTAAAAATAATCTTTAAAACACGACAGAAGTAAAATTTTATGCATAAATTAATAAAATACATAATATTTTCATTTTTAATAATGGAATTAAGTAGGCCATCTTATCCAAATTGTGAAGAAAATATGACCGTAGTATTTATAAAAAAAAATTGTGAAAACGGAAAAAAAATTATGAGTTACATTATAATTTATATACTTTCGTGTAATTTATATACCTTACGTGTCTACCATTGATTATGACAGCTCAATACTATAATTTACTCGACGTTACAGCATTTTTTAGTGAATATATAAAAAACTTTGGAGGCAATCAAAAGTAAAAACATGATGTAATATTTACAATTTTACAATACTGTTATTCCGAATATTATACGCACATAAATTATTGTAAATATTAATTATCTTTGAGAATAATGAAAAAACACTATTTAGAAATGATTCAAAAAATACAGCTTGTAGCCATCTTTTCGGTGGCCATCATACCCGAGTTTACCCTACATTCATATTTTGCGATTGTATTGTCGTAGCTATTTGCTTTTTATCTCTCGGAATTATCGAAAGCCGCACAAAGAGTGACGCTTCGTAAAAAGAAATTTACTTCACTTTCTTCTCCTTTCTTCTGTCGCGATTGCGGCGAGGCAATAAACGATAATTTTAGATTACTTCAAGACCGAAAGCGGTCGCGGAGAAAACCTTTCACTACGCGGTCACATTGACGGATGATCGAGGAGAAATTCTTAAGATCTAGTCTAATATAAGATTTCTAGGACTCGGAAGGAGGTGACTGGTGCCTCTTTTATCTTCCTCCGGAGATGGATCAAGCTGTCGCGATGAGATTTCGTCGAGAATGATCTGGCTTACAACGGCCTTACATCTCCTTACACCTTTATTGCAACCATCTCTCTATCTATACTTGGATTCCTGTCATTAGCAACGGTTCATTTCTCACATTTCAGGGTGGCTTTGCGAGAGTCTACCTAATGACTGACGTCAGTAACGGGAACCAATACGCGTGCAAGATCATTCCGAAGAATCGAATGCAGAAGATCCACATGCAAAAAGTGCGTATTTGTTGGAAAAACACGCAATTATTTCTATACCTCTAAGCGTTTCGCTGAATAACGTATTTACTTTGTTCGTAGATCGCGCGTGAGATCATGATCCACAAAGAGCTGAATCACGTGAACGTCGTCCAGATGCATCACTACTTCGAGGACAATCTCAACGTTTACATGCTTCTAGAGGCCTGTCCACGAAAGGTATATATATATACATACCTCTTATATCTACCGTTTATTATACTTCTTACCGCGCTTAATTCATGAGAAAAAATTTCGCAACTCCATCCTCCACTTTTACGATAATACCTCGGCGCTGGTTAAAAAAACTTGCCGAGAGATTTTATATAAATTATTGAAACCGTCTGACAGATATCGATACTCGTAGAGCGATAATAAATAAGCGTCATCCTTTGATTTGATTTTTCGTGTAGTCAGAATTAATGGTTCTTCAGCATCCTCATCCCCGTCGTTTCTCCGCGAGTTTCGCTTTTAAAGTCCGACCTGTCTCTCTATGAAGGCACGCAATGCAGCAGCAATTGAATCGTCCGTCGTGTCGGAATCATTGTGCGCGCCGTAACCGAGAAACAATTATAGGTGCCCGGTCTGCAAACGAGCGCGATCAGTAATCGGCCGTAGTATTTTCATTCTGCCGCGCCGGAAAGAGAGCGGCACTTGCACTCTTCATGGCTGATCCGCCGACCTGTTTGTACCGTTAGGATGCGACCGAGCCTCGGCTAATCGCCCGATTATCCTCGCTCTCCCGCTCGATCGTCTTTGCGACTCCCATTTCCGTCCGTTCTTCGGAGAAGATCGCTCGATTGACGATTCGAGTCGCGAAAAAAGTCTCCATCTCGTCAAAACTCCTTCAACCCCTTCACAGTATATGTAGCATATATGCGCATCTCAAAAAAACGATTTACCTTTTTGCGATTTATACGAAACCTGATTTTTCGCTGAATCCGAATATATCAGAATTTCAAAATGGCGGATCAAATTTGAAAAATGCTTGGATTATCACAGAAATGAGTATATTAAAAATGATTTAAGTCGCAAAATTAAAATATATCTGAATTTTGTTAATCTAAATGGCAGATCAAACTTTGCTAAAAAAAAATCACTTAAAAATAATAATTTAATTGAAGTTTACAAAAAATATTATATATCAATATTTTTAGATCCACCATTTTGAATTTTAAAATTCTGGTGTTATATTCCGATTCCGCGACCTTAACCTTGATACAAAAATTATTATGCAAATCTAAGAAACTTTTTTCTCACACTAATAGCATAAAACTCTGATTTTCGCCACACTGCGTAGAAGTTAAACACGTAAACGCACGCGTGTAGTGAAAAGGTGAAATAATGCGCGATAAGAAACACTTTGAAAGCTGATGACTTTGGTAGTAAAGAATATTGTATAGGCCTCTTAAAGAGAGGCCGCGCCTTGCAAAACCGTTTAACGGAGAAAGAATCTTTTCCCGAGATTTCTTCTCATGTGTTCGCATAAACGATCTAGGAAAATCATTTCGTTTCGCTAAACACGAGAGCGTGGAATAAATAACATCAGCGAGTATTTAGCGAAATTTTTTTCCGGCAAATAAATTTTTTGTCCGAGATATTTTTAACGAATTACGGATAAAATTCCTCCGACATGAAATGGCAATTGTACCTTACAAAAGAAAGAAAAATAAAGAGACGGTACAGGGTATACGTGCATTCCGCAAATTCAGGACGCAGCATCTTCTTGCCAGGAAACGCTTTCTTTTCGATTATTTGTCCTCGTCTTATATAGATGGATCTTAAACGGTGTCTCGTTATATAAAATTCCTTTTGTGGAAGGAAATTCCTTTCGCTATACAGACTTCATAATGTTACGTTTATGACAACTCGTTGCAACATCCGCAAAAATAACAGACATTACAGCAAAAAAAATCAGCTCATAATTCTCTATAGCTACGTTCTAGCTTCGCGTCATTTAAACTTTCTGCATGTCACTAATGCGTGAAGCGACACACACAAGTGTCAGGATTTATAAAAAATCTCTATTCCCTTTCTTCTTCTGCTTCTTCTCCGTCAGAGCTTGATGCACGTGCTGAAGTACCGTGGCAAAGTCACGGAACCGGAAGCGCGTTACTATATGAAGCAAATGGTGACCGGCGTCGCGTACATCCACTCGCAGAAAGTCGTTCATCGGGATCTCAAGCCGGGCAACATGTTCCTGTCGGACCGGATGATCGTCAAGATCGGCGACTTCGGACTGGCGACTAGACCCGACGGTCAACGTAGACGAGTGTAAGATCCAGTTTGCTTTACGATCAAACATGTTTTTCCTGTCATTGCAAATTTATTTGTTTACATACATATAATTTATTTCACGTCAACTTTATGTAATAGATAAAATTTCTTTTAAAAAACTATTAAAGTATGGCAGCATTAAAGAAGGTAGAAAAATAATGCGACGTTTTACAATCTGTTTTCCTGTTATCTTGCTATATCGGTGCCTTCGTTATTCTTCGCCGACAAAAACACACAAACGAAACATCTTTTCTCCCCTTTTTCCAGTCCCTAACGATTGTTACGGACGTGCTCGTCTAAACACAGACGAGCGCAGCATCAAACGAAACACGGTAGCATGTAGACGATCGTTTGTATTCGCAGGACGATATGCGGCACGCCGAATTACATCGCGCCGGAAGTGCTGTACAAGCAGGCGTACAGCTACGAGGCGGATGTTTGGGCGTTGGGCTGCATATTGTACGCTCTACTGGTGGGTCAGCCGCCCTTCGACACTGCCACCCTCAAGGAAACGTACGCTAGGATCTGCAGCAATCATTATCGCGAGGTGGACGACAGTATCGCGAGCAGGAGCGGCCAGGATCTAATCAGATGGCTGCTGCAATCCAACCCCGAGCTACGACCGAGTCTGGAGAGGGTGAAGGAACACGCTTATCTCACGAAGGAATACGTGCCGGCGTCGTTGCCGCATACTTGCTGTTACCAGATGCCACCGACGTCCATCATTGAGCCACCCTCGTCGCCGTCCTCGGTCTCTACGGTCGCCAGGAATCAGCAGGAAGCCAGCAAGTCGCAGGTGAGGGATCCCAAAAAGCCAGTATTATGAATTAGCATCTATCTTTAAATGTATCTCTAAATGAACATCTAAAATCAATCATATTTTTATCGCACATTTAGAGCTAACATCTATCTCTTAGATGTACCTCTAAAGTTAGAAATGCAGATAAATCCAAGGACATTTATTAAAAGTGTCAGGTTCAAAATAGTTTTTTTAGATGATTGCCTCTAAGATAAATTCAAGGGCATATTTATTAAAAGTGTCAGGTTCAAAATAGGTTTTTTTAGACGATTGCCTTTAAATGCGCCGCTAAATGTGCGCTATCATAATATGGACTCTAACTTTAGAGGTACATCTAGAGATAGATGTGAGCTCACAATATGACGCATCTTCAGATCTAGTTGGCAAATATTTCCGAAACACGAAATTTCAGATGTGGCAGCAGAGTGTCGTCCATTCCGACGTGGGATCGTTGCGTTATCCGCAACAGCAACAGCAGCAACAGCAACCAATTCAAGCACAACAACAGCCTCAACAGTTGAATCTGCTGAATCGTTCGCAGAAGAGCCTGCAGAAGGAATCCAAGGTCTCGAGCTGGTTGGTCAGAAAATTGCCCAAGCTGCCGCGATTCCGACAGCGACTCAGCAGCGTGCTGTGCCCGGATCACAAGAAGACTGGCCTCGTTGCGCAAAGTGTGCAGATGCATCGCGCTCTAGAGATATGCGTAACAGAGATGAAACGACACAATTGCGCGTGCAATCCGCCGACCGTGGAGGATATCGTGCCGCTTTTCGTCACCAAATGGATCGATTATTCAAATAAGTACGGTCTGGGCTTCCAACTCTCCGACAGGTCAGTCGGTGTGCTCTTCAACGACAACACGAAGATCAGTTACACTCACGATAGAAGGTGAGCGTTTCGAATCGAGAAAACGAGAATGATGTGTCAAATCGCGCAACTTTCTTTGATATAAGACTAACAATCCTGTATGAATTATGTAATTTTTTTAAATAATTGTATTGCAGAAGAGTGGAGTACATGACGACCGACGACGAGCTGACGCGATATCACCGAGAGAGAGACGTGCCGATGCCGTTGCAGAAGAAGCTCGAGCTACTTCGTCATTTTACCGAGTACATGGACGATTTCCTGACAGAAGGTAAGCTCGATAAAGCTTTACTTTAAAAAGAAAACACGACTCGTCCGCATGGCTCGATTATGCTCCGAGTATTTTACTTTCTGGGGACCAGTTTCATCATCTCTGACTCTTAACTTAATCGGTTGATTAAAATGTCTGCGCTTTGCAGTTAATAATAAAAACTGATGCAATGGGATCATGACGTAAACTACTTGGGCCATTATTGCGGCGCGGTCTAAGGCTTTAACGAGCAAAGTACTAACGCAAATGCGCGCTAATGTCTAGGTGGTGAGCTGAAAAAATATCGCGCACCTCCGAGACAGTCGAAAAACGCTTGTGTGCCGCGAATGAGACGGTGGCTGCGTACGGACAAGGCCATCGTGATGGAGCTAACGGTACCTCTCCTGCAAGTGAACTTCTTCGTGGATCACACGAAGATGGTGGTGTCGCAGGAGACGACGGGTAGGGGCTACCTGATCACTTATATCGACACTGGTCGTCGCGCGTCCTCCTATTGGCTAAACGACCTGCGTGACCTCGGCTGCACCGCGGACCTCTACGAGCGACTCTACTATGTCTGCAAGGTGACGCGCGAGTTTGCCGAACTGGACAACAACACGATCGCCTGACGATCGCCGGCGGATTCCCGCCGCGATAATCCTCTTAAAATTCCGTGAGAGACTCGCAATGAGATATCGACCCAGGTAGCAAACCGACGTCGTTAAACGTCAGAGTGACGTCATTCGACTGGGTAAAAAATTTAATTCTTATCCGAGCAATATTCGCTTGCTTTTAATAAAGCAGCGATTACATAGCAGTCGTAATGATTCTTTGGACAACTTGGAAAGTTATTGATTAACTATGGGAGTTTTTGGATAAATCAGTGAAAATATCCGGACCCCAGTTACCAGGATAAGGGTTTAAGGAAAGAGCGGTGGTGCAAGTACGTCACGATATGTACCGTTACGCGCATTTCTCGAGAGAGGAGAGGAGGAAGGCCGTAAATAAGAGTGTCATGCGGAAGGTGTGTCATACGAAAGCACTGCTGTGCGAGTGCTTCTGTTGATTTACGAACCTGTATATTGTTTCCACAAAACCGGAATAAATTGTTCGGGCCGAAACGGGACGTAAGATTGCAAGCGCAAAGACTAGTTAAATTAATAAGTAAAATCGCTCGATCAGACTGCCATCGTCGATTATGACGATGTCCCCTGAATTCAGGTAAGCTACGTACAGCTAGTATCGTTCCTCTCTCGTATCGATATTACGCATTGTAACAGAATACACCTGAAATTCCGAAAGCTACGCACTATTTTTACGCACAGTGGCATTTTTACACAGATCTCTTCTCATCTCTTGATACGAAAATAATTGAATAGATATGCAAATTATCGAGATTAATGTGATATAAACGTGGTATAACCAATTGTGAGATATTCACTGACACTTTGCATTGTAACGAAATTGCAAAACGATCGCAACTATGAGAGTGTCAACACTATGTTACTACTACCTCTGTTAAATAGATAGCATAGGTAGCTGTTAGAATATTTATTTTTTATGGCGCGGATCTCCCTAGTTCAGTGCCTATGTCGAGTAAGTAATTAACATTCGATAGATTAGTCTCTTGTCCGGATAAATCCGAATATAATTTTATTACATTCGATAATGTGTCGTGTGACGTGTAGTATCGTTGGAACGATAGAAATTTTTCCACGTACAAAACTCTTCTTCCGCTATAAAAAAAGCACGCGTTATAAAAATCTATAAACTTCGTTTCACGATATGTATATCGTGTTAATAAGACACCGTACTGCCTGTTAATTAAATTACGCGAGAAAGTTGGACGTTTGAATATTTTAAGGCAAGCGATATCTTTACAACCAACGTAAACAAGTCCGAAAGATGTGTAAAAACGTTTACACGCGGATGTGTTTCTTTTTTGGATCTCTCGAGACATATTTTAGACTGTCACGTTGTTTGAAGAATTCAATTTTCGTGATCGTTATTGCAAAAGACAGATCTGACGTGCGATAATTGAGTGTGTGCATTGCAAAAGTTGAAAGAGAAACAGAAAGAGAGAGGATTATCAACAAGATTAGCCATGTTCATAAGACAGTAGCTGACTAAGGTGTATAGGGTGTGTCTCTTCTACGTTATTTTTTAAAGACAGATTTTTGAATAAATTCAGAGTCTTAATTTCATACAGCTTTATACGTAATAAGAAGAAATCTTCCACGCGTATCGAAAGAGACGCTTGCGATTCGTCATCGAGTACTTAAAACCAACACAAAATACATCTTGTTGCGTATGGATATGTATGAGTGTGTGTACGTGTTGCTCGGTGCGAGGGTACGAAAAGCCTCGGAAAATTCTTAGCAAATCCTAGTCACGCTTTTTCCACTTTTTTAGATTTTAAGACAAGCGACGAGTGTCACTGCCATCGTTGTTACATCGTGGTAACGCGTTGCTGCTGCATCCAGGCTGTTACGTTTAATAGTTAATACGCGCTATCTATATTAGTTGCGAAAGAGTACGCGGACTTGTTGGCAGTTTAGAAGTCGCTGGAGGACGCGAAAGTTTGCGACGAAGGTTTCGTGCGGTGATGAGCCTTCTCGATCAGACGGAAAAAGTCGTCTTCGTTGACACTTAATCTTCTTATTGCTATAGACTAACTTTATCAGTCCGTCTTAACGCATCTCGGACCAATTAGGCGAATAGAACCGGTGAAACCGTCGCGCAAACTAATTATTAATCGGTGACGCTCCCAGCCATATGTCGACGATGACGATGAACGTTCCAAATGACATTGGCGCGTCCTTTCGTTTATCGCCCACGCGCGCGATGTCGAAAGAATCTCCGAGAGACGCGATCGATATCTTGTCGTATGCATTTTTCCTGCACGCAACGCGTCCCGCCCGAATTGTTCTACTTCCTGTTATCGTATACATTAATATATCGCTCCCAGGTAGCAAACTGACAATCCTTAAACATCAAACTAACGTCACTTTGACATTTAATGACGTCAGTTTGCTACTTGGGACTATTATATAGCGTTATTACTAGCTGCTTAGATTTATCATTGTTATTCTATTATTATTATATAAATATTATTATTTTATTAATTAATATTATATGCTATCGCGCTATTATCTCGCTATCGATGGTATTATACGTCGCGATGGCGACAGCCGCAATTTTATCTTTAGTCCAATTATTAATTATTTACTGATAATGGCAATTCGCTGCATCGCAGATGAGTTTGTTATTTGCATCCAACGTTGAAGATGATTGTCGTCGTCGTCGCATGTAAAGAGTGCAGTGATATTATCATATTTTATTTTTTATCAAGATATTTTTTGTTCTTTATATCGCATTACACGTCTCGTGCAACGAAGCGGCAATTAACACTAAGGATCAGGATCTCAGAATTGTTGCTTCATTATTCGTCCTCTGTTAGAGAAGAAGAGGTGAAGCGTTCGATTCGAAGCAATAGGCGAAAACAGCAAATTGTCTAAGTTAAAGGGAAGAAGAGTCTCGCTAGTGAAACATTTAATAAAGCTATACGATTTTGATAAAGCATCAAACGCCTGTTCTTGAGAATTTCATATTCACATCTAACATAAGTTTATTCCAAGTCCTTTACATGTAACTTACAAGAAATTATATATATATATATATATATATGTACATTTAATTTTTTTTTTTATACACATCTACTGTTAAAATACTAGTGTAGAATGAAATATGAGATATTTATTTGAATGTTTCGTTTTTTTTTCTCTTTTCTCTAAAAATGAGCAAACAATAAAAAAACTCGTACCATTAAATGCTTAAACATATATCGCTTAAAATGTTAATTTGTTCCATCTCCTTGGAAGATGAAGACTAATATGCTTAAATTCGATAAAACTTGTGCGCGTTCAATCCTTACAATCCTTAAACTCGGAAAAGATTCCACATCTTCCAAGAAATTGTCGCGTAGAATACGAGATTACATCATTTTATTCTACGATCATCTTCCGTCTCTCTATTAATCTTTCCACTAATCTTACCTCTATTCGAGGAATCCTCTCCTTCTCAGAATTCGTACTGCGAAACGAAGATGAAGATCTTGGCGACCGCGCTGCCGACGAACAAGGCGTTGTGATAGATCTCCATGCTAAGGTCCAGCTCGATCTCCTGCGGACCCGGGATGCTGCGCGTCAGCACCAGGACCGCCTGAGACGACGACGGTTTCTTCAGGGAGAAGCAGGACTCGGTGGCACGCGAGATACCCGGTGGTGCTCGCACGTCCACCAAAGCCATGGTGAATTGTATCATCGAGTCGGGCTGATGGCTACCTCTCATGGTGAATAGCTCCAGTCGGCCGGTCGACGGAATCGGCAACATGCTCACGAAGGTGATGAAGTTGTAGGAGTAATGCGAGGGTGACCGAAGGCAAGACAGATCGTCCACACGGCAATATTTCGCGGAGCGTACGCAGCGGCTGAAACCGCAAATCAATGTACAGAGTGTCCCGAAATTCGCGGATGACCTGTTATGGTGACCAGATTTGGAGACGATTTTTCCTTAGCGAAAATGTCGAGATATCAATAATTTTCGAGTTATAAGCGATTGAAAATAAGGATTTTTTTTGCAAACTAAGCCTTGTAGAAATAAAATATAAACAAAACCACATTCTTCAATTAATTTCAAGTAAAGTTTACTTTAATAGAATTTTAATTTAAGGCTTTGTTACAAACTCAAGTAGCAACTAATGTCATTAAACGTCAAAATGATGTATGCTTGCTACCTGAGAAGATACATGATGGCAAAAATAGATGACCTTTCTCGACATTTTCACCAAGGAAAAATCTTCTCCAAATGATCCCAGAAATCTGCCATTAACAGATCATTCGCGAATTTTCGGACATCCTGTTATTGTTATCAAAAATGATTGACCAAATCGCGACATCGAAAGACGTCAGAAATTGAGAATCTGTATCATTTCCATATCATAAAAATGATTACTTTTTCCTCACGGGGTCCCGGTGATATCCCGAGGGACACTCTATCCGATTGCAGCGGAAGCTGCCGCGCATGTTCTGGCACATCTCGTCCGGTTCCCTGCAGACCTGGCCGGTCGCGCACTCGTCGATATCTGCGAATACACACGTGGAGAGACAATTAGACCCACGTCGTGGCACGTGGCGGGATCGTGACCGCGCCGACGCGAATGTCGTGATTGTGCGAGATTGAGAAGATTGCGAGGAACGCGGCGTTCGTGCTTGTCGGTGACCCTAAGCGGATGACCCAGTTCGCCTGGCAAACGGGTCAAGTACAAATTGTATACCGCTTCGCTTAACTGCGGGATAAGCGTGTGGGTGTAACGCGTGCTCGCGTAACTACAACACCGTGACTCATGGTGTGTGCAAAGGGGGACTCTCACTTTCCAGCCCCCCAATTACCATATAATTGCCATAGCAATCGCCGATTTATATCCTCCATGCATTTCCCTTTCCACACAGCACCATGTCCAAAATTGCAAAAGGCGTCTTTATGAAATCTTATGATACGATATCCAAAAGACATCTTAAAGATATTTTCAAGATGTCTTTAAGATATCTTTTGGATATCGTATCACAAGATTTCATAAAAAGATCTCTTAAAGATGTCTTGTGCGCCAATTTCGGATATGGTGCTGTCTGCGTTTCTTCCTACCAACTATTCATCTTTGATATTTCCATATATATTTTGTTATTTTCCCCCATTTTTATTTTTCTAAATTATATCAGAGAAGGAAAGGAGATTTTTCTACCTTGACAAGCTCGACCATCGATACCGAGCCTATATCCATTGGGACACTTGCACGTGTAACTGCCCGGGGTGTTCTCGCAGATGCCGATGCAGAGATTGTCGTCCTTGAATTCCGTGCACTCGTCGATGTCGCTGCAGGTTCGATTGTCTGTGTTCAGCCTGAATCCGGCTTCGCATCCGCATCTGTAGCTGCCCCAAACGTTCATGCACATGTGCTGACAGAGCCCAGCTGTTCGCTCACACTCGTCGATATCCTGAAAAATATCACTCGAAATTAAATTTTTATATCATCACATATGTATCCCATATAATACTTTATTCTTGAAACGTGTGATTTATAATTGCAACAGATGTAAAAAGAAATTCTTGTTCGTAAAACATTACTAATTGAAAATTAGTTTGCGCATTCTGGAGATCATCAAATTGCGTTCTCTCGGAAGATTAATTTTTGCTTCAGCTACTATTAAAAACCTAATGATTGCATTTCAGTTGTAGCTAAACAAGGATACAAAATAATCATGCAATGAATCGTATTATAAATAATAAACTCACTTGGCAAGCGCCGGAGGCACCCCCGACGTTTTCAAAGCCCTCGTCGCACAAACATTTGTAAGAGCCAATGGTGTTCTCGCAGCGGCTATTGGATCCGCAAATTCTGCTGCCATAAATGCTACATTCGTCGATGTCAACGCAGTCATTGTTCGGGCCGGTCGCGTGACCGGACGGACAAATGCAGTGATATCCACCCAGTCTGTTCTCACAAGTCTGCCCTTTTCCGCACTCATGTGTACCTTCCCGACATTCGTCCACGTCGATGCAACGCTGCTCGGACACGGGGTCCAGGGTGTAACCGGGCGCGCAGAGTACTCTGGACATGCATCTGTATGATCCCAGAGTGTTGATGCACATTTGCATAGATCTGCCGCAAATATTCGGCGTTCTCTGGCACTCATCTATGTCCATGCACTTGCCACCAGAGCCGGGCTCGAAGCCGCGTGGACAATTTGGTTGAGGATTGGCCGGGTTCGGCGTCGTCGTCGACGTCGTCGTCGTCATCGCTGTCATCCGCGCTGTCGTCATCGGCGATGTACGAGCCTGCGAAGTCGGTATGCGCGGAATACGATCGCAGCGATACGAGCCCAGAGTATTTCTGCATTGATACCCGGGCCCGCAATCGTGGGTACCAAGGATACATTCGTCGTCATCCTCGCAGATCTCGGTGGCTGCGTTTAGGGTATAGCCGGTACCGCATGGCAGGAAACGCACGCACGTATAACTTCCGATCGTGTTGTCGCATCTTTGAGTCGGCAGACAATTATTCTCCTTCGAGATAGGAAAATGTTAGATGTTGGTGAAGAGGAATTTCGCAGAGACGAGATTTTGTAATTTACCCAAGTAGCAAACTGACGTCATTAAACGTCAAAATGCCGTCATTCGAAGTCAAAATGACGTATGCTTGCTACCTGGGTACGCTTATATTTAAAATCGTATCCCAGATAGCAAACTGACGTCATTAAACGTCAAAATGACATCATTAGATGTAAAATGACGTTGAATGACGTCAATTTGCTATTTATATTACCTGCAATTGACACTCGTTGATGTCGACACAAGCCTGCGTAAGATTGTCACGCCTAAAACCAGTCTTGCAAGTGCAAACGTAGCTGCCCATGGTGTTGATGCACTCCTCGTTGCTGCTGCAAGCGTCCTCGACTTCCCTGCACTCGTTGATGTCGACGCAGCCGCGGTTTCTCACAAACCTGGTGCCGTCCATGCACTTTTGATCTGCCGATGCCGGCATCGCCGTCGTGGGTGGTTTCCTGGTGACTGGGATAGGGACAGGCGGTTTTGCACAGCTGTAACCACCCGGTTGATTGTAGCAGATCTCGTCGCCGCACGAATGCATTCCCTCCGCGCACTCGTCCACGTCTATCAAAACACCAAACAAAATACTTTTTGCAGATATTCGAAGTTTGATACTTCTCGCTTCGTTAAACAGGTCATTTCAACTATAGTATTATCAGGTTCTTTTGAGAGTTTGTATTTTATTATTATAAATAGCGAAGCTTTATTACTCACTTGCAAAATAAATATCAATATGCTTTCGTGTTATACACAGCTCTGATGAAAAGCATAATTGAAAATAATTGAAATAGCGCAAAACAAGGCGCAAAACATAAAGCATAAGTTTATTAGTCATACAATATTTATGCACAGACAATTGTTAATTATAATCAGTTATACATGTGTATTCAATATTGACAAGAACAACATAATTCACTCATGCATTTCCTAGGAAAATTTATTCGAACATGCTGCAATCTGCATAACCTGAGAAGGTTTGATATTCTGAAGAATTCTGAAAATATAAGAAATATCTAAAGTTGTTAATAATGGGAGTTCTACAAATTCTACATAATAAATATTATGTTATAATCGAATTAAGAATTCTTGTTCGAAAACTAATACATAACAGTTAAAAAGATAGAAATGTAACATTTTTACAATTTATATATGATTTATAAATTGCATAATTTTATAAAAATCAGATGTGTACCTGTGCACATGCGAAAGCGAGTGTGATATCGATAGCCGGAAGGACAAGCAGGTCGTTGACGTTGACGAGGGGGAGGAGATCTTTCGCACCTGCAAAACCGTAAAGTCTATTTTCGCTAAAGTGCCTATATTTTCAAAAAACATCCTATATTTTTTATGAATATTAAACATTTTACTTGTCGATAAAATGCCCAAATTTTCGGTCAACTGTCAATAGACCTTCACGCACCTGTATGTACCCGGCAGATTGACACACCTTTCGGAGATCTTTGCGTCACACTTGTATTGCCCGGTCAAACATTCATCGATATCCTCACATTGTCGAGTGCCCAAAGAATATTGGTACCCGGACGGGCAAGTGGGTAGCCTCGTTAAACACTCGAAACCGCCCTCTTTGTTAATGCAATACTGATGCAGGTCAAGCCGACAGTTGTGCAGGTTCTCGGAGCACTCGTCGATATCCAAACAGGTGCCATTGAAGGTTCGTCTGAAGCCGCGGCTGCAGGGAGGTATCATTTCGCAAACGAAGGATCCGTTGGTGTTGACGCATCTACATCAAAAGTCGCACAACATAATTCGTAAATAAGATGTTTAATTATGTTAATTTGCTACCTGAGCTGCTATTGATTATTATAAAAAGAAATATTGATAAAAATTATTGTAAACGAGGAAAAAATTGATCATTATAAATTTAATCATTATATAAAGATAATAAATCTCTCTGCGAAATACATCTGGATAATTGAAGACTTCACACCTATGCGAAGTTGAGGACAATCGTGTCGACCTAACAGACACTCGTCCACGTCCTGACAACCTCTTGTTGTCGTGCTAAAGTACCAGCCGGTACTGCACAAAGGGGAACAATCGTAGCCTCCTGGTGTATTTGTGCATCTCTCGTGATCGCGACATCCTGGACCAACCGCGCATTCGTCTATGTCCACGCAAAAGCCCGTATTCGCGTCTCTCTTGTACCCAAGTCCACACGGTTCCGTGGACCAATAACGATCTTGACTCTGGAACGTAAATACAAGTTGCATGAATTAAGTTGGTAATTTTACATTCGTGAGATGAGCAAATATGTTGCTTACGGGGCTACTTCTGGACACGTATCCCTTGTTGTAACGCGATCCGATGAACGGTCTCCTCGTTATTGCGCTACTAGCAGTGATAGGCTTGGTAGTGGTAGTGCTGGTGGTGCTGGTAGTGGTGGTGAACGCTTCGCAAACGTAGGAACCGTTCGTATTTAGGCAATAATGAGTCAACGTGTTGCAGGTGTGCAAACCAAGCGCACACTCGTTCACATCCTCGCAAGATCCTTCAGCCTCATCGGAGAATCGGGAGTCGTTGCGCGCCCGAAAACCGGATGGACAAGTCGGGAAACATCGATAACTACCTTGTGTGTTGACGCAACGCTCGCCTATTCCACATGCCGCTATTCCGTTGACGCATTCGTTGACGTCTATAATTAAAATAATAAATAAGATTCTATAGAATATAACACGTTTAGGTATAAAAAGGGCTAGTAAAGTGCATAATAAATAAAGAGTATTGGTTTAATATAGAGAAATTTAAAAATAATTTTGTACCTGGCTCTTTACCAGTTCTTTTTATTTCTGAATTTGTATTTAAATGATAATTGACGTAAAATGGATCTTCACCAAGATTTATTTCGCAACTCAAAATCCAAAGATATCCCAAGTAGCAAACTAACAGTATTAAACATCAAAATAATGTCATTGACATCCAAATGATATAGGCTCGCTATCTAGGATTATTTGATATTAAAAAATAATCACCGATGCAGCGACGAGATTTTCTATCGAAAAAGTATCCGCTGCCGCAATCCTCGATCTCGTTCATGACTGGCGAAATAACGCTGCTCGTTCCTGCCGACTTGTAGCCTTGGCTACGTCCATCGTCGCGTTGATCGTCATCGCTCTCCGTGGCGGATGTATTCTCGCTCTTTTCAACTGGTACGCATCTATTTTTTTTTAATTAAAATAAACTGTTAAGATTGTTTGTCTTTTTGTTTTTCTAGCAAAATATTCTCGCGATATTTTCACACCTGTAACTACCCAGTTCATTGACGCAACGCTCGTTGTGCTCGCAAGAGTACAATTGTTCGCTGCACTCGTCGACGTCGACGCATTTCGTCATTCCAGAGTCGTTTGACGGTTTGTACCCCGCGGAACAAATCGGTCGAGCGTTCTTTCGGTGATCGGCAAGATCCATTGTGGGATTCTTCTCGATCGGGATAACCGGAAGTACACTTGACAGAGTTTTCATACACTTGTATGCACCTTCCGTGTTAACGCATATCGTGCTGGGATCGGGACACGGATTGTTCGATTCGATGCATTCGTCTATGTCTAAAAGAAAATCGAAAGGTATGTAAAACACAGATTACAATATTCGTCCAAAGAGATTCAGTGTATTTAAAAAGCGGCAAAATGCATGCAACCTTGTCATCGCAATTCAAGTAGCAACCTGACGTCATTAAAAATAACATTATTTTGACATCTAATGGTGTCATTTTGTCGTTTAATGACGTTAGTTTGCTACTAGAGAAGTAGTTTTAAGTTTAGATTCTTATATAAAATTACACAAGCAGCAAACTGACGTCATTAAACGTAATGATGTCATTCGACGTCAAAATGATGTACGCTTGCTACTTAGGTAATTTAACAATTGTATAATTTTTATCACACATTATTAGTCCGATACTAATCATATCTGAAGCACGTTTAAAAAGTTAATTAATTACTCACATGCGTATAAGGGAGGATTAGGCGAAGATACATGCGGAATGAGATCATCGTGGATGCGAATCAAACTCAACCAGACTCTCGATCGTCAACCGAACGATACTGTTCGATCGATCTTTTACATCGAAGAAAAATGCGAGATGCGCTTACATGCCTGCGTAGTGGGAGAGGTGGTCCAGGATTAAATTCGAGAGTTTACTTTAATTGTCAGGGAAAAAAACGACGATCATGTGTATCGTACGTACATACATGCAGCAAAAGTTCACTGAATATCATCCAGAGAGAATAAACGCTCACCGACACAAGTACCCAAACCGATATTGTACGTGAATCCGTTCCCGCACTTCATGTCGCACTCGTAAGCACCCTCGGTGTTCCGACATTGCTCGACATCTGTCAGACAGCTGTGAATAGCCTCCGCGCACTCGTCCACATCTGATTAACAAAATAAGCGAGAACGAGGGATACGAGGGAAAATTGTTATTATTATCGTTCCGTGAGTTAGTTTCTTGACTATGAATGTCTGACGACACGTCGCGCGATATTACCTCTGCATTGCTGCAACGATCTGTCAAACTTAAATCCCGCGGGGCAAGACTTCACCCCGGTCTTCTCCAGGCACGTGTAACTACCTTGCGTGTTGACGCAAAATGGTTTATCAGCAGCGCAAGCGTCCGATAAGACGGTGCACTCGTCGATATCTGAAAAAAAAAACGTAAAACACCGAAATGAAAGATGCATTTTTAATTATATTTACGATAGCCATATTTTCTAAGAGAAAATAAAGGATTTTGACAATTTTAAGACTTTGTTTCAACATGTTTCCAAATCGGTTTGGGATCAAAGTGGAAATCGACGAGCAAAAAAATAATTTTGTGACTATCAGAAGTCTACGTTCTAATTCTTATAGTTTAACTAATTCGACTATGTTGAAACAAACCCTTGCTTTCTTAAATAGGTTCCTAATAATAATAGGTATTTTTGTTTACATATAAATTTTCTTACGTTAATACTACATTCGACAACGAAACACTAAATAAAAAATAAAGGACAAAATTGGAATTTGGAAAAATGAATAAATCTAAAGAACAGCTACATGGCATGAAGGACAGATGGTCACTATAATAATTATATACCTACCTACGCATAAACCTGTACGTGTCTCCCATTGATAGCCCGGGGGACAAGCTTCGTAGGGTGCGTTTTTGGCGGATCTCACTGTGATGCAGACGTACGATCCTATGGTGTTTTGGCATCTACCACCAAGACACGTGTCCGGCTCCAGACACTCGTCTACGTCTGATGGATGGACGGATCGGTGCCGATGAAGAGTTAAAGATCGCATGCGAATGCACGATCGCGGAAACAAGTACATAGCACAGCACGATTGAGGGATGGGTACAATTCATATCATCGAATAAAAAAAGACATAGATTCTCTCTTAATCACACAAGCGAGGTACAAGACAGAGATAACAGCGCTTCGGCAAACATATAGCGATACAAAATCGACGTTTGCGTAATATAAACATTGATGGAGTCCAACGCTAGCGTTGCATTGATATTAAGTAAGGAGAAACACACGTTTTTATAATTATATACAGAGTGTCCCAGATTTACTGTGCCACTTAATGGGAGATTTTTGAGGCAATTTGGAGACGATTTTTCCTCAGCGAAAATGTCCAGGCACCAATAATTTTCGAGTTATAATCGATTGAAAATAAATTACTAACAAAACTACATTTTTTACTTAATTTCAAGTAAAGTTTACTTAAATGGAATTTTAATTTAAAACTTATATAGTTAGAAAGATATACATGATTTTAAAAATTAGGGACATTAAAAGAACAATGACCTTCCTCGACATTTTTGCTGAGGAAAAATCGTCTTTAAATAACTTTAGGAGTCTCTTATAAACGGATGGCACCGTAAGGTTGGAACACCTATATATTATTCACGCTTATAAAATAATAAATTTTGAATGTTATACGTCACTCGCTCTTACCTGCATCTGAGATTATATTTTCTTAAATCGTATACATACCGTCGCACACCTGATTAGTGGCATTATAACGATAACCCGATGGACACAACGGTGACAATTCGTTATCCTCGTCCTCTGCATCTGGTTTCTTCTTATCCTTGGGCGACTTTGGAATACACGAACGTCCGTCATCGGCCAAGTCGTATCCTGGATTACAGCTGCATATGACAGCCACCCCATTGTCGGTGCATCGTTGTTCACAGGGGTGAGTCGATTTGCATCTTGAAATAAAAATTTTACCATTAATTAATAAAATAGATGAAAATAATAAAATTGATTTTCAACGTTCTGTAAAAATAATGTTTGCCAATAATTAATATGAATAATAAAATCCTTTACGTCCTTTTATGTTAGCTGATCGATGGGCTATTTTTACGCCGTATTTTATTCATCTTGTTTGGAATAAAAAAAAAGATTTTTATTGAGGATCTATATTAATTTTACGTACCTGTCAGTCGGCAGATCTTGACTGCAAGTCTTCCCGTCCTCCAATAAAGTAAAACCGTCGCGGCATTTGCAATAATACGAGCCTGGCGTCGGTACGCAAATGTCAGAACAAAGCATGCCTTGCATAAGTCGACAGATATCGTCCAACTCTGTGAAAATCGAAACGCGCAATTTAAAATAGCGCTCTCGTAGAAAAAAGTTGTTACGACTCTGTTACGCCGATGTTCAATAATGTCCCCTTTCCACGTGCTTTGCAGAACACGTGATTGCGATTTGACATACCTATATATTTACTTATAAAACCAATATTTATCCCTATTTTAAATATCATGAGGAATTTAATTTTTTACAATTCTTATATTTTATTATTTAAGGGAGATCCTATAATTATAGAAATAGATTGTAAAAAGAATATTTTTGTACAAATTACATATTATACCTGGAGTTGGGACCGAATATGTGGATTTCGATGGTACAGAAGATGGATCGTCCGACGGTGTGGAAAATAAAGGCGATGAAGGTGAAAACGTTGATAATGAGGTTGACAATGACGGTGATGACGACGTTGATGAGTATGATGGCGACGATGACGATAATGGTGACGATAATGATGATGGCGATGATGATGATGATGATGGTGACGATGACGATGATGGTGATGATGATGATGATGGTGATGATGATGATGATGATGATAATGGCGACGATGACGAGGATGGTGACGATGACGATGATGGTGACGATGACGATGATGGTGACGATGACGATGATGGCGACGGTGATGATGACGGCCAAGGCGACGATGATGACAAGAAATCCAGATCGAATTCCGTGCTTTCGCTCGATGGTTCACTCGTAAGATCCGTCGTGGAGCTCGGCGACGTTTCACGACAACACTCCAAGAACGCAGGATCCCATGGTATTCCAAAAGAGAAACTTTTGAAGGAGCATCCTTGATCCATGGATCCCGCGAGGAGACCTGACAATTCGATAAGAGATCAAAATAAAATCCTCGTCAAAGAAAATTTACTCAAGTAGCAACTCTCTAAATTTCTTGGAGTAAAATCTGAACCAAAACAGTAGAACCTCAAGTGTGGAATCTCACTCTATTGGAATGAGATTGTACAGTTTTGGTTCAGATTTCACTCCAAGAAATTTAGAGAGAAGCGTACGTCATTTTAACGTCATTAATGATGTTTTAATGACGTTTAATTACGTTTACTAATGTCATTAAACGTCATTTTGACGACTAATGACATCATTCGCCGTCTAATGACGTTTAATGACGTTTCAGTTTGCTACTTGAGTACGCGAGCGATTTATTCATGAAGAATGAAAGCTTCTTCGCCGAAGGATACGCATATATACAAGGTAAATTGAATATATAGATTTAATGAAAAAAATCACCTAGCTTGCAACCCTCGCAACAGTCGCGATGGTGACCGCTGCGATTGGGTGTCCGCTCGCTCTTGGAGCTCGTGCTCGTCACACACGCGAGACCTTGACGCGCATCCGCTTTTCCCCTCTCGCATTCCAACTCGTGGTAGGCTCGAATGCAACAGATGTCTACGATCTCCAGGCAGAGACCCTGCTCCACCCTCGGCACTCCAGCCACCGGGCCGACAATTTTTCGCACCTAAGACCCTCGCTCGCCCAAGAAGTACCGAGGTCGCAGCATTTCTTGAACTGGTCTTCCATTTTTCCCTCAACGACCGCTGCTATTTCGAGCGATAAAGAATAAGCGAGACGTGTGTAAATTTGCTCGCAGAGGATGAGAATAGTACGCCATTGAGAGAATTTAATTCCAATTTTATTTATTCTACAATTTACGAATTAATTCGATTCAAATACATCGAACTACATGCTTCATAAAAATTAAATCAAATGTATGAAAAAGAGACGCGCAACTGCATAATTCTTTTTTTTTCAGAACGAATACCTTATCTTTGCATGTAAATTAATGCTAGAGGAACAAATGTAACTAGCTAACTAGGTCAAACGCTCTATTTGGTTTTCAAGCTTATCACTTTCTTGATGTCTTCCCTTTGTCATCTTTTTGCTAAAAAATATATCTTTTATTTCTATACAAAATTCCAAGTATAAAAGAATCTGATATTTTCTTTTATATATGTTAATACTCTTTTATGATAATTCTGTCGTAAAATGTATAAGGAAAACTTCGTGAACCTATTGATATATCTAAGAAAACTAGCGTGAAAAAAACGCGCTTTGCACACTCTGATAAGAGCGACAAAATCTCATTTCTCGGAAAGTCGACGTGAATTTTCTCGCTGACAGATGCGTGTGTATTTTATCTTGCAAATAATTTATACATCAATCTAGCATGCAAACAGTTTCTACGAAGAGCTTATATAGAGAACTAACTCTCCTTCAATATAGCGCTTTCAATTGTTCTTCAATATGTCTGATCTATCATATAATATGAAAATTAATTTATATCAATCGACGAAAGTTACGTACATCATATCATGGGCGTCGCGCGTATTCCTTTTCACATTAAATCAAAACGCAAGCTGCTAGCAGCTTGACATTACATTTTATGATTATATCTTACAGATATATAACAAAATTTGAATTTTTGCAAAAAAAACTTTAAAATATATACATAAAATCATCAGAAATATAAAATTTGTTTAAGAGTAATTTTCCTTGCGCTTATGTTAATCTCTCTTAAATATATATAATTATATTGATATCTTTTTAGAATATATTTGTGCGATTAAACTTTACTCTTTGGAATCGCCTTGTAGTTTTGAAATATCAAATGCGATTCGTGTAGCATTCTGCGTGCACAAATAAGCCTAGGTCAATGGAGAAGTAACTATAATAGGATGATTTGCTTAACGCCTGTATACATTGAACATCGTCGCGACGCAATGAAATTTAGTTGATTGCAAATATAATAGTTCGATTATCTGCATAAAAAATTTAATTTAAGTTTTTTTCCAAATTTGCTTCACGAACTTTTAATTTACATTTTAACTATTTCTTATTTGACAAATTAAAGCTTATTAGTTTTATTTAATATTTGTCGAGATTATATATACAATATCTACATATCTGTATATCAAAAATATGATGAAAGTCAAGATTAATTTAAAAATATTGCATTTCTTTATATTTTATGATTATCTTTACAAATCGGGAAAATTGTCAATAATTTCCTAGGCGAATTTTCGCGAGAATTCAATCATGATCGATACCTCGTTGCAGCTGCTCCAGGTGGACCATCAAAAGAAGGACAATAAAGGACGCACCAAGATCGATATACCCTGCCATCTTGCCTCATCGATTTTTCCACTCGATTATTAAATTCCCACCGATCGGATTTTTCACGTCGATCGGACACCGCGATTTGATTCGATTTCTCTTCGTCAATTGAACCTTTTCCTCCGTTTCGCGCCGGAACTTGGAGAAAAAACGCTCTCGACGAAAGTCTCTCGCCCGGATGCGTCTCGACGAGCGCTCAACTTGCATTGAAGCATTTGGTTCGCCGGCACTTTGGTTTTGTCATCTGCACCTTTGTACATCTCCCTCGCAGGTCGGGGCCTCTCCTTCTACCCTTCATCATCAGCCTCCCTCCTTCGTCTACAGCGCCGTTGCGTAGCAAGACGAAGATTCCCGTCTTTCTCTCGGTCTCTTTTTCTCTCTGTCTCTCTATCTCAGCGTTAGATATAAACACGTACATGATACAACAGCGTATATACGAATTCTGTATATTCGTGTGTGTTGATTAATAGCGTGATATATTCGAACAGAAACGTTGACAAGCTCGAATATATATATTTTCAAAAGTTGCGCCACAATATTAGGTAAAAATGATTATACCCAGGTAGAAAAGTGACGTCATTTTGACGTTTAATAATGTCAGTTTGCTACTTGGATAATCATCATTTTTATCTATTATAGTAGTGCAACTTTGGAAAATATATGTATTCGTCAAAAGACGTCAAAATGACGTCATTTTGACGTTTAATGACATCATCGATGTCAAGATGACGTTTATTGCTATTTGGGTAGAGAAGAATCTTTGAATGACTGACAGTTTGATGAAAAGCAGATATTTTAAATTGTAATTTATTAAATATTTGTGATCCGCTGTTTCTTATTCATTGTACAAGTACAAAGTTTGAAATATTGATACATTTCTTCCCATGTATAACAGAGTTGCGAATACGAGGCGGCCCCACCACCTTCTTCTAGATCTACATCACGTCGTCCTCGTGGTTTCTTCCGCAGCTCTTCTGCTCTTCTCCATTGACCGCGGTACAAAGGACCTTTTTTTGCCAAAGAGCTTCCTCAACAGTGGCCCCCTTTGTGGTGGGAATTTTCGTAGCCATCCACCAGGCGCCTACGTTGCCTCCAAAGGAAAATTATCATTCGCATAAACTGTCATATTATTATTTATATATTAACCCCGAAAAATCGTGTACGTCCTATTGAATAATTTTTTATTGCTAACAATTTTTAGCACCTACACTACATCGTGGAAGAGATTATTGGAGAGAAAAAATTTCAAATTACATATCATATATAACTGCTTCATGGGCGTTCGCAGAATTTTTTCCAGGGGGTGGCATAATTAAAATTTTGTTTCTTAATTTTTTTTAATTTAATTTTTTTATATTAAATATATGCAAATAAATTCCAGTGTTTATTCAAAATGAAAGAGAGAGAGCAAGTGCTTAATTTTTTTACTGATTCCAAGGGGAGCAGATATGCTCCCTCTTGCTTCTTCTGCGGACGCCCATGCTTTACTCTACTCTAGAATAATGTTGTTACAAAAGTATATCGATTTACCAGCTTGCAATAGTTGCTGATTTATAGTTAATCGCCTCAATTTATACACTTATATTGGATCCTTATTCAGGGCGCGAGAGTATCACTCGCGTATCGAGGCAGCATTAATGCTGACCGTGACACGCGTAACACCCTGGCTTACAGTGTCGTATTGTAAAAAATCCCGCGCTTCTACACCGCCAGAAGCACACGCGTCGTCCTCCAAGTTCGCCGTCAGCGTCTTATATTATATATATGCAGCCGCGTCTTCGAACCTGAAGTGGCGCTTTTTTGCCGTAATGACGAGGACGAGTGGCATGTGCTTGGTGGTCTGCTTGTAATGGAATGCCAGGCAAACGAGGACGGCGTGTGATCATTCGCGTCGACGTAAAAAAAACGGACAATTTGACAATTCACGAGGGGAAAAAAGGACGGATGGTTAACGCGTCTCTCGTAGGGGTTTCGGAGCAATGTTTATTTGATCGGCCGCTTCCTGTTCCGCGTTTCCGAGCGCCGACAGTTTTGTGATCGCGGCTCCCACGCTATCGGAAAGAAAAAAAATCCAGAACGGGTTACAAAGATTTTTAGTTGTTTAAAAAAAATTAAGATACTCATCGTTGAAGAAAAAATTGTTGTGAGTCACAATTCCATGACTTTTTTCTTATTACGCAGCATATAAAATAGCGCGCACATATACTCTTCCATATATCTTCAATCACTGATGGACGATATTAAAACTCGTTTGTATCTCAAACTGGCAACTTTATTCGGTTGATTTGTTGCACGATTATGTAACATACACTAGCACGTCGTATGACGTGAAGGAGGTTTACACTCGTGCTCTCGCGTCTCATCCTCACTTATCATTTATCCTTCGTGTTGGACAAAAGAGGTTCCATTAGCATGTATTCGGATAGTTTTCCCATGGGATATAGTATTTTCGCGCGTGAGAAAGAAAATGCACGATAAAAAGAAATATATATTACAACTCGTCGATCCCTAGGAGGAACTACTCTGTTTTTTCGCACAATCAATCGAATCAGTTAATAGGTATCAGCAAATATAATACATAAACACACAAGAGTCTAATGGTAAAATACGAATCTTATATTGGTCTTAATATTTCTATATGATTTTGACAATATTTCCCTTTGTTTTCACACATGTGTTAGCGGGTAACACGTATATTAATCTAATAAATACTGACAGAATTGTATTCGAAGAATATGAGAAACAACGCGTATTCTTAATTAAAAAATATCGCTGTTGTACTTTGCTCTAAAATTAGACAATTATAGCTTATCTTATCAAATTAAGACTACCAACGCTTTCTATTTGTGACGTAGTAATTACTTGTTTTTTTTCCCTAGGCTTCAAAGAATGCAAGGTGATGAATGAGAGATTCGCGAGTTTAATTGATATAGGTGTATGATAGTAGCCGACAAACTTGCATCTTGATTACTTGCTTTCTTCCCTATTGTAACGCCGATTACAGAAGATGTAAATATCGCCGCCACTTTATACGCTTGTATCGCTGTCACACATACGATAATCTCATAGAGCAAAATCATCATTAGAAGTACATAATGTATCAAATGTGAGAAATGTCCATGAAATTACTTATTTTACGTGACGATGAGTAAATCGTGACAGGAAATGTGGAAGAATGTGAACGAGGTGAAATAGGACCAAAGTATCTTTTTGAGTGTGACAAATACGCTATTCTATTATTTATTAATAACTAATCATCTATTGAATTAATATTTTTATATTATATATATATATATATATATATATATATATATATATATATAATATATATAAATATATAATTATATTCATGCAAGAATTTTGAAACTATAATATCCAATAAAAAATTAATGCTCTGAATAGGATTCAACATAAAGTACATTCTCTCATTTAATGCACAAATATAGTAAAATATATGATCTCACATACATTACAATCTTTCGTTATACTTGCAATATTAAATTTAAAATGTAAGTGATATTTATTATTAAAATTATCAGTTTATAAAAGTGTTACACATTCAGATTGAAAGATTAAAATAAAAATAGTTCTACCTCATAGGCTGAATAAAAGTTTGATACTAACACGTGAATATACAAGTTGCATTTTTTTTATTGGAGACAACACTTTAATGTGTGATATTATCAAAAACATATATATTACGTAATAGCCATAGTTGTAATTTATAAATTCTCTTATACAGATTTCATTATACACATTACTAGAATATAAAATCATATAAAAATATCGGATTAAATTAAAAATAGGTGATAAAACTTGTAATAGTATATAAAAGTGATATAAACAGATTGTAAATTAATAACAATCAATTGATTATAAAATATTGTAACACTCACATTTCTATGGTAATAAATTGTTAACAATATTTGTAAAACATAATAAGTTGATGGATCGTAGCAAAAATAAAATTTTTATTTCATTATTTGTTTTATTTAAAAATAATAAGATAAGTGATGTAAAAATTTGTGTACTTTATGTGCAAAAGATACAGTTGTCACTCTCAAAAATTCTACTTATGACACCTCGCTCTGGAAGTCATACCTAAAGAATAATTTTCATGAGAAAGCAATAAATTGGAACTCCCCACCTAGTGTCTCGTTCTACTTTATCTTAACTTATCGATGAATCCACAATATTAAGAACCAGGTGGATATTTTCCTGTCGCACATTTTTTTATGAGAACGACGACTAGGCCATATGAATATAACTGAGGAAGAATTTGTTACGTTCTGATTAGATTTAGTGCAAGAGTGGAACCTATCTAATTTAATCCAGACCCTTTCCTTTTAAACCATTTTCAATATATCTTAACAAATGTTGTATTTTTATACATAGGTTCTCAATTGAAAGGGTCTAGATTCCCTAAATATTCTCTGTCTCCCTCTATTTTTTCATACATCTATATTATATATTATATATATAAAAAAAGAAATGTGTCCTGAGATTTATTCATATGGCATATTTTCAGTTCAGTAAACTTTCTCTGCTCTCGATTGATTTAGTGCACACAATTTCATTCATTTTTTCTTTTCACTGTGAAATATGGTGTTAGAAATCTGACTCTATTCAGGTTCTTCGCCCTCTGTAACACAATTAAATCAGCCTCTATGTAATATTAAATGTATTATTAAATGTAACATGTACTATTATAGCTATGTAATATTAAATATAACATTGTACTATGCGTAATATGCAAAATTCTTACCTTCGCGATCTACTTCGTCATCTACCAATAAATCATCCTCTTCATTTACACCATCGTCTTCATCATTCACAGCCTCCTCCTCATCATCATCCTCATCTACGTCATCTTCGACTACGACTATACTGTCATCTCCTTCCTCTCCTTCTCCTCCTTCATCACCATCATCCACACCATCTTCCTCTTCTTCCTCTTCTTCGCTTTCACATTCTTCACCATCACCTTCGATACCATTCTCAACATCAATATCTGGGGCCAGGTAATACTGAAATCCATGAAATCATAATAAATAATATATTATTAGATACAATTTCTCAGATTGGATACAATCACTTGTATATACAAACATAAATATAGGTTTAATGTGAAAAAAATACCTGCAATGGATTAGGCCACATATCATCTTTAATTAGTTCAGCTATCTCGTCTGAACTTGGATCTCCATGATCCGTGAACCAGTCGAAAAATGACCTATGTTTGAGTGGCCTCTTACGCCCTTTCAATGGTGCTTTGGTTTTTGCTCTCTTTGTTAAATCCGCACCCTCTTTCCAACGAATGGCTGTACTTTGAGATGCTGGATCTCCTGCAAAACAGCAGGAGATTCATCGCAACTATGATACTCAATCAAACTATACATTATCGAACTTTGTCCTATTAAATACTTGCAAACTTTATGCAATAATAAATTAATGACAAAAAATTAACAAAAAATGCGCTCACCAGAAGATCCTAGGTGAAATTCCTTAGTTAAAACATCATTTTCAAAATATGGGTTCTCATCAAAATAAAAATTAATTCTATAGCCAGATTTGATATCTTCGAACTCTTCAACTTCTAATTTGTTTAGGAATCTCAGTGCATCTTCCTCATCTTCCTCCAGGATTTCTGCTATTTCTTTGTTGTTTACAAACTGTAAAGTTCTTATAAGGAAGAATATATCATTGATCAATTTGACGTATATAGTAATTATTAACAAAACGCTGCCTCATTATTCTCAACGCGCTTATAATCCATGCAAGATTCAAAGTTCAATCAAATTTAGAAATACAGATTGATATACTCTGTACACCTGGCGTTACTAACTTGTACGAAAAATTATCCTGCAATACATGATTATGCGTTATCGCGACTATTAAGACATCGTTGCAAATAATCGAGAGATCGGCGACGTTAATTCGGCAAGTGATGTAAACGCTCGGCGTGACGATAAAATCGCACGATCGCTAAATGGTTATACACGACACGCGTATACAAGTAGGCAAGATGGCGGCGGTCGCCGGCGGACGCCGGCTACTCTGCGAGAAACGTCAAAACGCTCTCACCGAATTACGGACGGCTAGGTCCGAAAAGGATACAGCGGTGACCCAGAAGTTGGGTATCCTCTTGATGATGTCGTTGCGCTTCTGGAAGTAGGGCTTCCGCAGCTTATTATACTTCTTCTCGACTTCGAGGATCTCGTCGCTGGCCTTCTCATTCAGGCCATCGATTTGATTCTGACAGCCGTCGATCTCCTCGAGGGTCTTCTGTATCTCGATGTCGTACTCGCGCGCGTCTCCCTCGCCCGAGCCCGGATCCTCCAGCTCCTTGGCCTTCTTATTCGGCGACGACATGGCTGTTGGACGCGCGCTCTCTCTTGTAACCACCGCACACGCCGCACTCTGTTTATCTCCCGAATTGCGTTCGCTCTCGTCACGCCGATGCCGAGTGCGCGGCGCGCAAGTGACTGACGGCCACGAGCCGCGTCACGTCATCTAGATGGGAAACTTGCCGTGCCGTCTCGTTCTCGCTGCATAAAGCCCGTGTCGCAAATACAACATTGAAAATCGCCCTTTTTTCTTTTTTTTTTTTTTTTTTTTCTATATCGTGACATTCTATCAATGATGATGTGAGCTTTATTTTACATTAAATTTATTCGTGGTTTTATATTTATTTATATATTTATTTATATATTTATTTATATATTTATTTATTTATTCGTATTCTTGATTACACAATTCGACGAATAATAATACTTGGAAAAATTTCGAGTCACCCCTTTGACGTTTAACGACGTCATAGACATGAAAATGTCATTTTGACGTTTAATGACGTCAGTTTGCTATTTGAGCATTTTCGCAAATTTCTGAAAATTATGATAAAATAATATATAAAGCAGGAATCTTGAGATAAAAGACTTGTTATTGCGAAAGCCGCGAATAATACAATTTACACAATGCACTTGTACAAATGAATAATCTTGCAAAATATCGAGATTTTCGCGAGATAGACAGGGAATCGAAAAGTTTCGCGGAAAAGCACGTTCTCGCGGAGATCGAAGATTCCGGCGGATAAAAATGTCTCTTGCACGAGATAGAAGCGAGCCGCCCGTTGGGCCGGCCCCCACCCGGCGACGTCGGCGGCGGCGAATGACGCGCGGCGCGCTGCGTCGCCGGCGAGCGCCACGGCCAATCGGTGGCGCCGTAGTATCGCCGCGTCCGGGATGTCGCTCACGGAACCAAGATGGCATCCGAGGACGGTGCGGGTATCGTGTCAAACGTAGGATGCGATGTAAATAATACGAGCGACCGTGCGACCGACCTAGCTGGGAGCGAAGCAGCGGACGGGACGACGCCCGGAACGACCTGGCGGCGCGACGTCGTCGAGGGGACGGCCGTTCGCGCGCGCGATCCCGCGCCCGATTCGCCCGGGACGCCCACGGGTTTCCCTGCAGCGTCACCGTTTCACGCGAACACGGAAGGGCACGCGTTACCGAGGGACTCGGGCCCCGCGAGCTCATCTGGTGATGCTGGTGAACGGGTCGCGGACGACAGCGAGATCCTCGCCCAACGGCGCACCATGTCTCAGCCGGGGACCGACCTGGACTGCACCGTTCGTCTTCCGGAAGAAACAGACGGTAATTAGCATTTCGTGTCACTCGTTGTTGTTGTCGCGTCCAGTAGTAGAGAAATATTTCGCGAATGCGTCGAGTTTGTCCGAGTTCCTTACAGTTCGTTTATGACGAATATTTTTACGTGTCGAGCCTGTTTGTCTATTATGGACAATTAACAATTGAATAATCATGTGGTCATTTGATAAAAAATGTTGCTCAAAAATTATCTTTGATCAATGGATATGTATGTATGTGTGTGTGTATGTGTGTGTGTGTGTGTAGACTCTTGAAATTTATATTTTTCTATTTTATTACTTTTAATTCTTTCTAAATATGTATAAAAGATTTAAATAATGAGATATTTCATCTGTGTGTAAATGTGTTAGTATTAATATATAAGACAGCAAATTTCATTTGTTCTAAATAGAGTAACGAGAGTGAACTAATTATAGCTCCACTTTCATAATATTAACTGTTTGTCACAGTGTATACTATACATTTGTTTTTTCTTATATTCTTTTTAAAATTAAATAATGTTTTTAAAAATATTACTATAATTTATGTAACTAATAAAAGCTAAGATTTTTATCTCTGAAATTATTTTTTTCCATAAAAAAAGCAAAAAATATATCTTAAAAATATGTAAATTCTCTTTCTTTGAGTCTTACATAATAAACATAAAACTAAAATAATGTATAGTAAGCTTCACTTATGTATTTTTATTAAACGGGACGTTATATATATTTGATGCAGGGAATCCAGATCATTGCAACAATGATGTAGTAGTAAAAGCTGCCAGAGAACCAGTTCAACATGTTATACATGTAAGTATTAATAAATATATACTAATTTATATAAAAGCAATTTGTATGAAATATATTTTATATTAAATTAGTGCATATTAAGTTTTGCATTCTTTTACACTTTTTTGCACACTATTTTAAATAAAATAATTGCTCTTGCATCTTTCGCATTCTAGAATATAAAATATTTCACAATATTTGTCATTATCTATACCATTTTCTATTTAGGCTGATTCTGCATGTACCAATGACATGATGTTATCTGGAAACATGCATGCGTTACCTGCAAAGGTAAAATTAGAAGGCTGTGTGAATTTCTCCAACAACACCCCGCAACTTGGAGAAAGCCCGCAGAGCAATGGCGAAGTGATCAGCAGCCCCAGGAGTCCTGACTATCCTCCAAGAGTTTCTGTCAGTCCACATCCTCATAGTCCGGACACTACATTCTCCATCAGCATGATGTCGGCCAATTCTACAGTTATTATGGACACTGCAAAATATAGTGAAGAAAGTGCTGACAATGTTGCTACGCATACAGATGAATATCCGTTTTGCCCATCGCCATTGGAAAAGATTAGCGACTCGCAAATTGACATCACAAAAACGGAATCGAGTAAACAGGAAAATACCGAGGATGCTGATGAAAAATACATCACAGACGGAGAATTAAAAGTAGAATCCATTGAAATTAAGAAGGAACCGACAGACTCCCTACAGGAACTTGAAAAAGTTAAATCCGAATGGTTACAAGATGGTTTCTCCTGTGTAGATGGAGTGATTGCTACGACAGTAGCGTCTCAAGAGAAATCCACTGTTAATTCATCTTCCAGTTCACATTCAAAAACATATTCGTCCTCGAGGGAGAAACGTTCGAAAGAAGACAGACGACACTGTTCACGGTGTCAAAACGTAAAGGGATAAAAAGGGCGAGTATCGGTGTACAGTGCAAACGGGATCGACATGTGTTATGCGGTAAATCTTCCCTTTCCTTCTCAAAGTCGACTAATGAGAATCTAAGGTTAAATCTGCAAACGAAAAACTACAAGATGCTTAACAATCCTGTGATGAAAAGTGAATTGTTGGAAGGCCTAAAGTACAAGAAATTTATTCACATAGAAACGTATCCCAATGGCGGGGCGACGGTAGTCCATATGTATCAGGACGAAATTGAAAGTTTATCACGCGAACAAATGGAAGAATTGGCTCAAGAGTACTTTAAGGTATAAATGCGATTCTTGTGATGCAAAGCTTTCTCAATTTTGTGTCACAGTAAATGATTATAATGAAATCCTTTCTATATTTCTCTTCTAGGTGGTTTTCGGCGAAGACGAAAACGGAAATGCTCATCACGTCATGGGCATAGTACACAATGCAGCTGCATACCTACCCGATCTTTTGGACTATATGGCGAATAGTTACCCTACATTGACTGTAAAGAACGGAGTATTGGGTAGGAACAGCGACATAGAAACCACGACAATGGTTCAATACAAAGACCAAGTCTGTAAAGCTTACAGCAACGGCACCATTAGATATGGGCCGTTGCACCAAATAAGTCTCGTGGGCACTGTTCACGAGGAGGTGGGCGGATATTTTCCGGATCTACTGCAGAAATTGGAAGAGAATCCGTTTCTAAAAATGGTAAGTCACAAACTAATCTACAAATACACATACACATTTGTTACATCTATTTGTTAATACAATCGTATTCTGTATTCTAGACGATGCCTTGGGGACCCTTGTCCGTTGTGAAGATGGACACACCGCAAGAATCAAACGATGGCCCTATCTTATGGATCCGACCAGGCGAGCAGTTGGTACCAACGGCCGACATAAACAAGAGTCCTTACAAACGACGCAGGACCGGTATCAACGAACTGAGAAATCTGCAGTATCTCCCGCGACTGAGCGAGGCACGGGAGTACATGTTCGAGGATCGTACGAAAGCGCACGCCGACCACGTTGGTCACGGATTAGACAGGATGACCACGGCGGCAGTTGGTGTGTTGAAAGCTATCCACGGCGGCCAAGCGTCCGATTACAACAGGATCACAAAGGACGTTGTAGCTTTCTATGCCGGTGATTTCACTGAACTCGTGGAAAAGCTGCAATTAGACTTGCACGAACCACCGATATCACAGTGCGTGCAGTGGGTGGAGGATGCGAAGCTGAATCAGCTGCGCAGACAGGGTGTCCGTTACGCCAAGATAAATCTCTACGATAATGATATATATTTTCTACCGCGCAACATCATCCATCAATTCAGGACGGTATCGGCTGTCTCGAGCATCGCTTGGCACATCAGATTGAAGCAGTATTATCCAGAGTCGCAGCACAGTTCGAGCAGTAGGCACAGTCGTGTGGTAAACGAATCGGCTCATCGTATCAAGGAGAAGAAACCTATAGAAGCTGTTGGCATAGGCGACGAACAAAAGGAGAACACGAATCGCCAGCGTTTGGAACAGAAACTGTCGATTGATCCTCTCGAGAAGGCAAAGGAAAGGGCGGCCGAATATCAAGGTAACTTAAAGAAATCTGATCAGCATGGAAAACATCGCAAGAGTCGACATCACTCCAAACATTCATCACTTAAACAAAAGAGTAAGGAAGATGGCAACGATAATGCATCATCGGATCCGTTCGGCAGCACCAAGTCGTCTAAGAGCGAAATCAGTGAACAGAAGCAGAATAACGACAAAAGAGACGAGAAGAGGTCAGAGAAGAAGCATAAGGATCGTCGTCGTAGCAGCGACAAATCGAGCAGTCATCACACGCACAGCAGCAACGGCAGTTCTGACAATTGTCACTCTTGTAAGAAGAAGAAATATGACAGCAGCGGTCACAAACTGGATCATCGTTGCAGTCATCACGAGAGATCCAGCAGTAAGAGCATATCGAGTAAAGAAACTGTTTCTGGTGTAGCGGAAACGAGAACAGTTTCGAAATTTGATAGCTCGTCATCCGTGAAGGATGCTAAGAGACGACTGAGTGAATTATCTCCGTTAAAGGACGCGTCCGGAAACGGAGATTGCCCAATCGTTCTCGAAGAGGAGATACTGAAGCAGCGGCAAGCCGTTGGCAAAACGCACGCTACCGAAGTGGTGGACAGGGCGCTAGAGATAGCCTACAAGTCGAAGACCGACGTCGAGGAGGTTTGCCAGTCGCTGCGTGCTGAAGTCTCGGAGGCGTCGAAGGAGGTGCTAGAAAAGATTCATAAGGAGAGCTTTGAGATTGCCGAACAGTGGTTCAAGGACGATACCACAAAATTAGAAAGGTATTGTCATCTGCTGGAGATGGAGACCGTGTTGGCATTCACGTCGAAGAGGGACTGCGCGACAGAGAACGCCGTTAAGGCATTGATCGAAATGGCAGAGGACGAAGCGAAGGAAAGAGCGAAAAATGAGAAAACCACTGACTTTGCTACCAGTGACAACACATGCGGCGAAGATTCAACGAAGAGGACAACGACGACTATGACAACGACAACGACGTCGACAACTAGTATTTCCTCGTATTCTTCCGTTTCGACCTTCACGTCTCCATCTACCGAAAATGAAAGACATAGTAACGGCAGGAATGGTAGCAGCGATGAAAACTCACCGAAATCTTCGTCCGAGTCTCAAGCGCATTCGAAATCAAAATGCAAGTGCAGAGACGAAAAGGACTACAGGGAGCGGAGGCACAAGAAGAAGAGAGATCACGAAAGAGATCACGAGAGGCGGGAGCGAAAGCACGAACGACATCACCATCGAAGTCCCCAGATAAAATCCGATTCTAAAACGTCCGACGATGCTGGCAAGGACGATGCTGCGAACATTCCCGAGCTGTCGCACAATTATCCGGTCGCCGAAAAATCGGAACGGTCCAGTTCCAGTTCGAAGGACGACGAGAAAAAGGCGCAGGAGAAGAGAAGGAAATGCCACTGCGGTCATCACTGCAGTCACAGACACGGGGAGAAGAGGTCGTCCGGAAGCAGTAGCAGTAACATCGACAGAGGTAAAGACAGAGTCGACTCATTCCCACCAGTGACGTTGCATCATTCCCACTCTTCGAGTTCAAGACACAAGAGGAAATCCAGCTCGTCCGTCGAGCACAAGGAAGCGAAGAAATTGTGCGTGGCAGAGAAGTATTCGACCACGCAAATTAGCGAGTCGAGCACTCTGCTGAATGTGGTGACGGCGACGATGACGACGACGACGATGACAGCGACAACGACGGCGACGACGACGACAGCGACGGCGACGGTGACGACAGCGTCGACGACTGCGACGACGACGACGACAACGGCGACAGCGACGGCGATGGCGATGGCAACGACGACAAAGACGACAGACTTGTTGCCGGAAAACACTGATGCGTCAAACACGTGAAAAGGTTTCTACAATCATTCTCGATTATTATAGTACAATCCGCTCGTTAGGAACGCGAGTCTTGCACGCGGCGGAACGAAACCGAAGCTTCGTTCGACTCGACCGCCTAAAATGCGAAGCCTAAAACGAGTAATTCTCCATCCGGTGGCTAAACCAGCTTCGCTATTGGAATGAGGCGATAGAAAGAGAGAGAAAGAGACAACAGAGAAGAAGTTATGCATCAGGTATATATCACGGGAAACGTACTCTTACCAAAGTAGAGATCGCCGTGTTTCAATCCAAAGACGAGAGATAGGACCTTTACTGATTGAGAGAATTTACTACTTTCCTCCTTCCCGCAACTACGGACCCAAGTAGCAAACTGACGTCATTTTGACATCTAATGACGTTATTCGACGTCAAAATGACGTACGCTTGCTACCTGAAGATGCATATGTACACTCGTGCATTTAAACACAGATACACACACAAATACAGATAATATATACCTGTATACAGACATACATACACCGCCTTAGTCTCGAATCGAGAAGTTTACAATAAAGTTTACGAGAAAGTAGTTATTCTTCAGAAAGTACATATACATTTACACATACACGTGCATTCTCCGATACAGGATGGCAAAAATTATTTTGTTACGAGAGAACTCTGGACGTTCCACACACACACAAAAAACACATACCCACACATACATACTCGCATATACCACCCGCTCTGAGAGAATTAAAAATAAAAGATATTTATAGGATATACGAGACGACCAAACGAGAGGTGTACAAAAGGGGGATTTGTATAAAGTCGCGCGATCGCAGAGATTAATCTCGATTAACGCGACGGAGGTGTATTTTGTACATAAATATTAAAATATTATTTTCTTTTCAGAGAATCGCATCTCTCATCACACACGAGACTCGCTTAACTTATTTATGTGCGTTCTTCTATGCGTAATAAATTATTTATGATTTTCATTGGCCATTGTGCTATAACGTGAAACCCGGTCCATACTATATACGAAAGATTTATCAGTCGACGCGGCCGTTTTGCAATTCTTAATAGCGCAATTGTAGAGATTTGTGCTATAATCGAATATTTATATCTTAGATACGTAGGATGTTGTAAGGAATGAAAATATAGGATATCTCGTTGCGTATGTGTGTGTGTGTGTATGCGTGTGTATGTTTACTTTGTGCGTGAGAATAAATGTGAGACAATTAAGGTACTGATGACGTAGGATAAGGAAGACACTTCTACACATGGTTTTATGTTTGATACATAACGAAAACCGTCGCGATGAGAGTCAAAAGTGACTCGACACGATATCCTTTATATTATCTCTCGAGAGTTTATCTTAACGAATAATAGTTACGTATATTACATTAAGATACCCTTAACTCTCTCTCGCTAGATTTGCTGGTTGATACTAGGTATCACCGATCTTTCCCTAATAATTCTTTCCACACGAGGGGCATAAAAAATTATTAATTATCTTTTAATATCGCGGAGAATCGTTCTTCCCTCTTCTCTTCGTTTCTTCGCTGAATCGTTAAAAACCGTATATATGCGTTAACAGATGTACAAACTCTTCGCCTTCGCAGACAGAAAAAATTATTTGAAACATCTGAGACAGACTGATCGTCAATGACATTTTCTCGGCTCCGACGTACAACGGATTTCCGGTTCTACGGTCGATCTGTGTAAATTCTCTACAGAGTTTTTCTCGATTCGAAAGAAACGCCGATGTCAAATGTAACCGACGTAGATTTCTCTGTATGTATATAGAGTATATATCAATATTAAAGCTCCTAGATCCTCGTGGCTATGTTAGATTGTGACGTCAGAGGTCAGAAAGCAAACTAAATTTTTAGATATAATTTTTCAATAAAAAGATATTTCAATTGGCTACTTGAGACTATTTCAGATTACAATTGTTGGTTGATTGTAAAGGAGAAAGATAGTTTTCAGACTATTTTAAAAATGTACTAAAGAGATCGAAATATCTTTTCATTTCGAAATGTTTCATTTCGAAATGGCATTTAAGTGAATGTTTAGCGTGCGTTTTCTCATCTCTGACCTCCGTCACATTTCCAACGTTGTCAGCGAGGAGCTAGGAGCCTTAAATAAAAGAGCGACACACGAAACCGACACGGTCTGACAGATCTTGACAGGACATACGTTGTACATATTGAATGTGCCTCGCGTTTGCGACAGCGAACTTTTCCTTTTCATTATACATCTTCCCATAATATTTCGTTACGATGTATATAGCGATGCTGACTATATGCTTTATTTTAAGTTGGGCGTGTTATGCGACATTACGTTATATTCTAACGTATATCGAGACATTAATAAGAATGTCAATGTTACGCTTTCGTTATACATGAAATCCGCTTTCGGACACGTCTCTGATATTTTGATTTTACGTTTATTTATATATGTACACATATATATTGTTCACACTATATTCATTTTTAATTTTCAGTTACTTATATATCAGTATCGTTACTTTAGGATAATTTCGACTGCAGATTTCTGTTACGATGATACGACTTTTCAATAAACGAGTTTACGCAGTGTAAATAAAATGGAGCAAATTCTTTTACCGGCTTTTCTCACGAGGTGAAATAAAATAAAACAATATATAAAAGCATTTATATCGGGTGATAACGTACGACGAAAGTGTACACAGATGACAGACGCGTACATATATATTTAGTATTTGGCATTGGAGGATATACTCACGATTTACTATATAGAGAATTGTTTTCGAGCACATGACAAGCGTGTACAATTGCTGTAAATTTTAGTTCTTATAGAATCGTAGGTGCCTAAAGTCTCAGCAATGATCTAATAAGATGATCGTCAAACGTGTGAATCTATTCATCCGCATACATAGAGAGACTTCTTTTTAGATACTTTTCTATCTTTAGAAGCCTTTTCGAAAGAAAGTTTGTTTTCCCTTCACGTCAAATAAAGTATTGTCTCCTGAAAAAAGCCGACTGTCGGCGAATTAAAAATTGACAAACGAGAGAACACAAGGGAGGAAGATACGCGACAAAAAAAATATCATGAAAATTTGATTTTTGACAACGAGCGGATAATTATTTAAAAAAATGATACGTCCTCGCGAGAAAAGGACCAAAATTAAAATCAAAGGCCACCCTTTCCTCCCTTCTGCGAAAGGAGGCTTGGATCGATTGTAACATTTTTTGAGGTCAAAATATTCGAAAATCCTCCGCGGTTACAATCGAATTCAAATCTCCCACACTGAAAAAAAGATTTATTGAATTTGAATAAATATTTATTTCGATACTGCTCAATAAATCATTTATTTGAAACTATAATAATATTGATTTGATGTGAAAAACATTTATTTGTTTCAAATATACAATTTATTAGACAGGATAATTGGAATAAATATTTCTTAATTTAATGATTTTTTTTTCAATGCAGCGAGCGTGATTCGCTTGCAACGTAATGATGAAAAAAAACAAATAATCATAGGTGCTGAATACTGAACGACACTTGATATTTTAAGGTGCCTTCACTCTGTTCGTTGCAGTAAAACTGTACCAGTACGTACAACTATAAAGCTATTGATTTACTCGATCCTGTAAAGATGAATTTTGGTTTCTGCGTGTGTACAAGTAGAATAAGTGTAAATTTTTTCATCGCTAGCGATGAATGCGAATATATATATTGACGAACGTGCTGTTTCTCGCTTCCAAATGTTTCATCGTACATGTGAATGAACTTCTCAAAGAGAAAGAGAGAAAGAAAAAGTAGCAGTAATATGAGTAAATTTTTTTTTCACGAAAGAAACTTGTAGATTGTATAACAAACATCTGTATAAATGACTGTAAGATATTGAAAATTAATTTAGATCGTCGAAAAGTCGCGATATTCCTAGATAGTAAGCATATACGTCATTTAATGACGTTACTTTGCTACTTGGGTTTGCGCGAAACAGATTGTGCAAAAGTCAGATTTTTGGTTTTGTTAAAATTCGATTGCGATGCAAATATCAATTTAAGAAATGTATGCCGATTTACCGAAGAATGTACTTGTTTAATTGTAAAAAAGATTGCTGGCTTAAGTCTAGACACATCATATTTTAGATTTTTTAAATAGATTTATTATATATATTGTTTAAGTTAAAATTATTTTTACATTACAGTCGAAAGTAGTTGGAAAAAATATCGATCAATTAAATCATTTCTACGTTTTCTAAAAATATATAAAGCAAATAAAAAAATTTACAAAGTATCTTTTTATCGAAAAACAAAATGATTTAAATATCAATATGTTCTTTCCAGCTACATTTGTCGTATTTTGTGCAATTTTCTTCTATTCTGTCTTTTTCATGTTCAAATTATAAATATTTTATTTTATTCGAAATATAACAAAGCTTGCTAAAAAGGAGTAGATTTAATCAATGCGTAATCGATTAAAAATCTTTGATTTCGTGTTACATAATTAATATTTCCTTATCAAAAGATTTAGGTTGGCGATAGACAAAGTCTCATCGATGCCAGAGTGAAACGAAAGTGCAATCAGACGCATAATTTATTTTTATTGTAAAACGAGGCTGCGATCATGAATCAAGTTTGATGAATGAATGATCGATCGGATAAAAAAAAACATTCGCGACAAATGCGTTTCTTTCCGAATAAAAATATGCAAAGCGAAATAAGAGCCGATTTATCCAATTTTTCAGAATCAAATAATGATCAGCTGATATTTATACAAATATGATAATATATAAGAAGAGCGAACAGCAGACAGAAGTATATAAAAAAGCATTTTTTCAGCTTATCGTTCCATTAAACGGAAAAAAGTGTCAATTTAACGTTGATTGATAAGAAAGAAGAAGAAATATTGGTCAAATCGACTCCGTTTTTCGATTAAACTTTTATACGAGAAACGTCGTATCTCGATTGTACATATATTAAGTAATATATCTTATATAGGCCGTGCGATACCGTATATGAAAAATAAATACCACAAACTGGTCTAAAGTCGATCCGAGTTGCCTATCTAAAATCAATCTAATTTTTTTCCCTTTTGGTTTCTTTACGCAGATGTAATGTATTACAGTCTTACTTTTTGAATATAAACCGACATTATTCATCACACAGATGCATTTCCTTAGAAATAACACAAACACAGATTTAAATAAAGAAGGAGAGAGGATATTTCGGTCGACTTTATCCTGTTTTACGGTAATTTGTTCTCTCTCTCTTTTTCACACTTTTTCAATTTAAAAAAATGCATCGCTAAATATGAGGAGCCGATCCATCAGAGTTATCGCACTATTGTGTATATATATATATATATATATATATATATATATATAAAATCAAATTGAATACTTAAACGTCGCTAGTAATATTTAAAATAGGAACGATATATTAAATTCGACCCAAACTAGCCAAAGAAAATTTTTTATTTACGGATTTTTTCATTAACGGATGGTCGAAACGTTGTGGAAATAAAATAAAAAATTTTCTTTGATTAGTTTGGGTCGAATTTAATATATCGTTCCTATTTTATATATAAAATGTTGAAAAAAGAGACTCCTTTTCTCACATCAATGCAACTGATGACGCTGAGAAAACGAAACGCGATGACACACACTGTAATCGAAATTAAAAAAACGACTCGCTCTGTAAATTTTGTAATATATATATAAGTCTAGAAAAAATAACACACACTTTGAGAACACAATGACGGGCCGGGAACGAAACACTATACATCTGAATAAAATACAAGAAATATAAATGGAAAGTATTAGGGTAACAAAATAATTAATTTAATAATATTAATTACAAAGTGCGACTCGAGGAAGAGATTGCGTTGAAAGATAAAATCATTGCATGAAGATTTTCTCACGGTTGCGTTATTATGTAATTTCAAAATCACGTATCACTCGACAATGGAGAAAAGGCGCGGTTTTTAATCTTATAAATGGAAACATTTCAAAGAAATGTGATTCACGCCGCCTTGCTCGTTCATTTTTTCGTTTCTTGTATGTGTGTCGTGTATCTCGGCCTGACAATATATAGAAACATGTAAATGTAAAGATAAAAAATCAACGCAGGGACACAGGATGCGATAATTGGCGCATAGGAAGTTTAATTATTGCTGTGAAACACACTATAAGCCGCTATTATTCTATATCACATACATTATATACAATATATATACTTATACATAATTAATATATATGTATATGTATATATATTTGCGTTGACAGTGAGGAATCTTATATATATATAAAAAAAGAAGCATATATAGTTATAAATATCCCAGGTAGCAAGCTGACGTCATTTTGACGTTTAATGACGTCAGCTTGCTACCTGGGATCGTAGCGTGTAGTTTTACATATTATACCCGTCTCACACGTGTAGAAGTCGCATTCCAACGTCTAAGTTTTTAATGAGACAAAATAAATTACTTTGGTCAAAGCGGGGGTATTTTGTCATCGTCTTTACCTGCAATTTCTCTCGCTTTATTTCATATTCTCCCGTTTCTAATCGTGCGTCGCCTTATTTTTCCTGGTGAAAATAAATCATAACTATGAGGATATAAAACTAAAAGAGAGGAAACTGACAGAAGAATATTCCTCTCGTATTGGAAACCGCCCGAATGACGTCCAAATAGATCCGCCTATCACCGTCCACTGAACAAACGGCGCAAACATTTCAATGCAAATGTCATAAACAATAAACAATGCGTGCAAAATACAATATTTCTCGCTTGAAATTCTCGGTCGAGGAACCCTCTTCGTCATTATCCATTTATTCTTCGCGGAATAAAAAGGGAAAAAATATATGAATTTCGACGACACGTTATTCGCGGAATCGGGGAAGATGTGATGTGCACGTAGGGAATTCGCGAGAAATGTCGGCATTGCTGCTGCGTACCTCTCGTGCGTGCGTGATCAGATATCACGGCGCGTTCGTCCGAGTCGGACTTGCCTCGTCGCCGCTCTGAACGTTCCGATGCCATTCGTCACAATTTCCTCCGGATAGGGATCTCGAGTTCCTGCCGCCTCGCCAGGGAGATGCGACACTCACGGCGAACGTAAGCACAGCTAATTCGACGAGGACTCTCGGAGCAGGTATAGCGAGGTGATTGGTGTACGTAGATCTTCGTGGAACGTTTAACTTCAAAGGTTAGACCTTCGCGAAACGGAGCTCGAGGGAGAGAGAGAGAGGGAGAGAAAGAGCAGGGAATAGAATATAATCGGCGAATCACGAGAGAACGGTCGCGAGATGGATGGCAAAGTGGACGACGAGAATCAGCGGAGCATCAACGACGGAGACTGGGTCTGTCCTGACTCTCAGTACGTTAGCACCGACTTCCATTATTCCGACTTTACGTTAGCCCGCGTAATTATTTTAATGGACCGATACATGTGATTGAATTGGAAAATTTTGTTATTTTTTTTCTTCCAGATGTGCCAATGTTAATTTTGCCAGACGAAATTCCTGCAATCGTTGTGGAAAAGGTATGCAAAGTGGAAAGTTACTGTTATGTTGATCATGAAAGGGTTGTTTTTTTTTTTTTAGCTATATTGTGTAATTATATTGGTTCGTATACTATATAGACATAAAATGCTGTTTGCATGTTAAATAAATGGAAAGAATGTAAACATTGAAATTTCATTATAGCCACTTTAACGTATACACTAATTGTAAGTGTAAACATTTTATTTTACAATCTTTTAACAATATTTAACATCTTTCTTACAGACAGAAGTGAATGTCCGAAGAAGAAAAATTGGGTCAAGAAATTGGAAAAGCAGCTGCGGAAAAAAGCAGAGGTCTCTTTAGGTAATGCCATCTTTGGTATATTTCTTATCACTTGCAATTAATTTTTACCAGAATAATATAAAAGAATTTACAAGTTTCTTTGTTGACAAATACAAATAATAACTACTATAAAAAATGAAATAAAACAAGGACAAACCCTTCAAAAAGCAAAATCGACATTTCCATCTGTATATATATATCTTATTTATCAAATTCTAATAATATGCATATACAGAGTGTCCCAAGACTTACTGTATCATCCATTAATGGGAGATTTCTGATGTGATTTGGAGTTGAGTTTTCCTTAGCGAAAATGTCGAGGAACTAATTATTATTCGAGTTATAAGCGATTGAAAAGAAAGGCTTTTTCGCAAACTAAGCCTTGTCGAAATAAAATATTAACAAAACTAAATTTTGTAGTTAATTTCAGAGTTTAATAGAATTTTAATTTAAAGCTTACTTAAATGATTGTAAAAATTGGTAACATGCAAAAAATGATGAATTTTTGCTGAGAAAAAATCTAAATAATCTCAGGAATTTTCCATTAACGGGTGATACAATAAGTGGAACCTCCTGTATAGTATGCATCAATAATATGCAAATGTGTATCATACTTTTGGAATAAACTTATATATTGTTTTACATTTAAATCTTGTATGTATATGCAAGATTACAGCCATATATATGTGATAATTAAGCAAACAAAGTTAACAAAAACTTTATTGCAGCGCGGATGATTGGCAATGTAGCAGTGTGGCAACGTCAACTGGGCTCGTCGGCAGCAGTGCAACATGTGCAATGCCCCAAAGTTCGGTGAGATAGAGGAACGCACGGGATACGGAGGTGGGTATAACGACCGAGGAATCGTTGAATACAAGGAGAGGCGGGACGAGGATGACGAATACGACGAGTTTGGACGACGCAAGAAAAAACGGAAACTTGACAAGAATTCCGACGACGATTCTAAAGATTCCAAGTACAGTAGCCCGTCGCGTAGTAAATCTAGAGATAAAGAAGAGAGAGACGAAGCGGACGAAGAGGAACAAGAAGAAAATGTAAACGTAACTTCAAAGCGATGTGAATTGAACAGTGTAATATGGAAAACAGATAAATTACACTCTTCATTACGAATACTTAAGTAAAGTAAAAATGCTTCGGGTGTTTGATTGGTATCTGATAAATTATAGGAGGATGAAGAGGAAGAAGAGGAGGAAGAAGAGGATGGCGATTTATCTAAATATGATCTTAGCGAATGGGATGATTTTGCATCAGCGAAAAACAGGTAACTAATATGTGCGATTGCAAGTTTCCTGTAAAATATTACTATGAATTTCTATTTTTTTTTTTTTTAGTACGAACGGAAGTACCACGTCGTCGGAAGCGCAACGGTCAAGGTAATTAATAGCGGTAATGCAATGCAAAATATATGTTACTTGAAATGTTATTTCAATACTATATTGACACAGCACAATGCTTTCCCATTGTTAAATTAAATATAGAATTATAAAAAAAACATTTATTATATAAGGCATAAAACCTATTTACAGAAACGGAGATGATCGACGCGATTCAGGCACATCCAACCAATGAAAGGCTGTACAGAAGGACAGGTTTGACTTGGGTTTCGGGTATAAAATTGATTATGATGATCAGTTGCAGACAGCATACAATGTGATGAGTTTTGCTAAATAATGTATAATCCCAGATCCTTAAGACTTAAAGTATAAGCTTGCTTTTATTGCGATTATATCTTGATATATCGCGTAAAGACATCGAGTAGAGATTAGCGTCGACTTAACGAATTTCTAAGAAGCGCGAGCACGCTTCTCATTCGATGTGTGACTTTTTTGTTTTACAGGTTAACAGGAGACTCGAAAGAGACGCAACCAGTTCTCGGCAACTAAGAAATATACACAACGCAACAAGATTTTAGTAATTTAGTATGCACCTTTGGATATATAAAGTGCCGATAATACGTGACTTATTACAAAGGAGTCGACTAACAATAAGCTTTACATTTATATAATTGAGCTCATTAGCTTCTCGTTGATCCTAGGGAAGCAAAATGTTAGGTCTCCTATTTGCGCGGGTATAATCGTTGATGATCGTCTGACGATTAGCAGAATTTACGACAGACACACTTGGGCGCAAGTAGTATGTTTTGCTAGAGTGAAATACAAGATTGATAATTCCAACATGAATCTATAGAAGAAATTATACACAGCTCGTTTTACAAGCTAAATATGTGACGTAGAAAAAGATCTTAACTCCTATGTAATAGATGATGTTTAACGCTCTGCGCAAGTCCCGTCGCCGCAGTGTTCTCTAAGATTTCCCATTACTTTTTATCACAAACGTAAAATATGTCAATGTGTCACTCTGCTTTGTATTGCTCAAGCTGGCGAAAGGAATCTAACTTTTTCTCTTTTCATTCCCTCGTCTCTCTTTCTCTCTCATTTTTTCATGTCTAATTTTATCTATGCGTAATTTTATTCAGATTAAATGAATACAATGTCGTGAAATGTAATATTATATGTATATAAAGAACTTTCCAAACATAACAGATATGTTCACGGATTTTTTATTTTCGAAAGAGAAATGGAGAGGGAAGGATACGTTCTTTTTGCTTCGACTATCACAGATTCGAGTAAATTGAAAGGAAAAAGTAGTCTGTGCTTATTCCTCGAGAGAAAGAGAAATTAGATTTTCCTTTTTTATTTCAAATCAGTCGCATTTTCGTGAATTTGTCGCAAACTCCGAAACTGGTCGTTAATTCTAAAACGATTATCGATCAAATATCGTACTGACTTCTTGTAAATATCTTTATTTTTCATTTATAATAAAAATCATTCATCAACAACATAATTGTTCTTAGTTCAATTACTTCTTATGTCGTAAGCTACAGATAAGGGGGAAGGGGGAAACGGGTCATGATTATGCACAGAGTTGGTCATAAAGGAGAATCGATGAAGGAGCGTAAGGGACGGGCGATATTGAAGGATTATGTTGCAACAGGTGTATATATATATATGTATGTGTATATATATATATATATATATATATAATATGTATAATATGTATATGGTATATATGTACAATAATAAATTTGAGCTTGTTTGACTGTATTTAAGTATTTTAGTGATAAAGGAAGGATGAATTACGCGGCACCGGTGTACCAGAATTCTCTCGCTCGTCCTACCGTACGCACAATTGTTACTTTACTCTTGAACAAACTGTTAAAAACGAAACGACGTGAAGAAAAGAGAGGAAATCTCGCTTGTTTTCTTCCTCTCTCTTTCTTTTTCTTTTTACACTCTAGTTACAGTAACGCATTTCTTAATCTAACAATGCTCCTCGATCGATGAACTATAACGACTTATATATATATATATATATATAAAAAAAAGAAAAAGTAAAAAAAAACTATCGGATTGTACATCGGTATTTACACGAACGCGAGTACTCCACACTTCCATTAATAACGTTTACAATTTACAGATAGACCTGGGAAGTTTCGGTGTGATAAAACGATACCATCAAAGATGTATCGGAATAACATATTTTTATAGAGACACGCGACTCGTTATCGTGATCCACAAATTAAAAAAAGAGAAGAAAAGAAAAATATCTTGACATAATACAATATGTAAATAATGCCGTAATAGCAAATGAAGAATAAAACTTAAAATTGTCGTCGCGTGCCAGTCATATAAGATTACTCTCGAAGATAGCTTCTGCTCATCGATAACTATCATTATTTCTCTCTGTCCTTTACACAAGATCGCAATAATCTATATAGCACAGTTTACACTTCCAGAATTAATTTGCGTGATTATAATAGAAACATCTCCCTGATAGATGAAAGATAGAAAGAGAGCGAAAGAGAGGAAAAAGAGAGGGACACGCTGAAAGGCCACCGTAAAATCGTCGTCGCGATATGGATCAATCGACATCGGACAGTTTTTCTTGTTTCTCTTCTCTTTTTTCCTCTACTTCGGCATGAAAAACTGCTGATGCGAGTGCGAGTTTGGCGGCGGATGCAAATTAGGATGCGGCGGCCCGCTGCCTCTGGTACCGGTGGCGTAAAGCTGTTGCTGGAAGTTGTGAAACTGTTGAGCGTAATTCGGATCGGACATGCTTGGTCCACTACCGAAAGGATTGTTCTTAAAGTTGCTGGTCGCGCCGCCCATGCTCGGCGGTAACGGCTGAGTGGCTTCGGGCGGTCCCAGTCCCATCGGGTTAGCCTTGTTGCCGGACACGCCGTACATGCCCGCCGGATTCGGCTGGTTCGGCAGATTCTGCGAGACCATGTCAGGCGGGAAGACTTGTCGGGATCCATGGAGCCGCCCGGGAAGACGCCGCCGCCTACCATGTGCTGCATCCGCATCAGATTCGACTGGGGTCGCATGTTGCCGACCGGTCTCATGGACGGGTGTATAGCGCCGAAGTGTTCATAGACTGACCGTCCATCCTGGGCGAGCCGCCCATACCAGGGATCCCGGTGGTATTCATGCTGGACGGCATACCACCGTGTGGACCACCCATGTTGTTCGGCACACAGCCGTTCGGGAAGTACTGTTGTAGGTTCATGGAAGGCGACCCGCCCATCTTGGACTCCATATTGGATAACGGATTGGTGAATCGCTGAAGGAATTCTAGACTCGGCGGGCCACGGGGTGGCGGGTGACCGGGATTCGGCCTGGCTGGCAAGTACTGGATGGTGTTGGGCGCGTTCGGCTTTACCTGAACGCTCGCGCCGTTGTACGGACTCGGCCCGGCGATTCCGTGGCCGGTCATTAGTCTCGGTGGGGGCGCGTGGCCTGGATCGCCTCCGGGATATGCGCCACCGACCGGGCCGCCGGTACCCGAATGGCCGCCCATCATTCCGTGACCACCCATCATCGAGTGGCCTCCCATTTTGCTGGGAATTCCGCCGGGGCTGCCCGTGTGCGAAGTGGTGGGGCTATAGCTGGTTGGCGGACCTGCTAGACCCATGCACATCCCGCCGACCTCGCCGCCACCGGGCTCGCCGCTGCTCGCACCCATGTGACAGCTTCCGTTCATCTCACCGCCCATCTGCATCATGTGCATCCCGGCGGCGTGCGGATTACCGAACGGCATCATGCCAGCATTGCCAGAGTGCATGGGCTCGTTGCCCAGAGAGTTGCTTGTCGCCGTATTCGTTAGCTGCTGGCTCATTTGCGCTAGAGATGTTATCGGATCGAAATGATTCGTGTTCATGGTGTTCAAGCCACCGAGTCGACCGCCGACTATGTTGTTAGGATTGAGAGGCACATTGTCGGATGGTTGACTCACGTTTATAGATGGTCTGCCGCAAGCGAACGAGGCGTTACCGCCGGGATTAGCGCCAGTCAACGGCACTATCGTTGTGGTAACAGAATTGTTTGTTGTATTCACCACTGTAGACTGTTGCTGCTGCTGCTGCTGCTGCTGTTGTTGTTGTTGTTGTTGCTGCTGCTGCTGTTGTTGTTGCTGCTGCTGTTGTTGTTGCTGCTGCTGTTGCTGCAATTGCTGTTGCTGTTGAACGTCTTTCACGCATGGCGGTGAGGTGTCGGGTTTCATGGTGGGCGATGCCGGCACTGTTCGCGGAGGACCCATACTGTCGGGTATGCTGGTATTATGCGGCGTCGGACTATTTTGTGCACTCGCGCTGGATTTGCCTGCTTTCGCGGGATCCACCGGAGTATGCGGCGCAGCACTACCCGGAGTGTGCGGCGTATGCGGCGTGTGAGGACTGTGCAGAGAACCCGTAAAGCCTCGATTCATACTGTCCATCTGTACCGGACTCGCGCCCTCTGATCTAGTAGGGAATTGATTGTTGTTATCCAGATTTCCCGCCAACATTCTATTGGGCATCTCTGACGAATTTCCCGTGTTCCTGTGTTGCCGACAGAAAAAAAGAATATCATATATATAATTATACGAATTATAGGATTATTAATCGAAATATAATTTCACACTAAAGAGTTAGTGTGAAACTCTCCTCTATTCTTTCATTTACTTTTGAACACAAAGTTCAAAAGTAAATGAAGGAATAGAAGAGAGAAACAGGGAGATACTTACGTAGAAGAATTGCCGTCCTTCAGACTTGTATTGGGTTGTTTTTGAATAGTCAGTTCCTGTCCCTCAAACGTGTTGAGATATTGAAGTTGAAGAGGACTCGGTACCGGCATCAAATTTGCTTCTTTCACAGCTGCATTAACGTTTCCGGTATGCTGCTTCTGTTGAGCTAAGGATTGTAACGTTCGGCAAAACATACCACCATCCACTAAATCGAGAAAAGAACAAATCTAATTTAGAAACTATAAAATTTACAAAACTGTGCGCAACATAATGAATTTGTGGAAAAAAAAAAAAAAAAGAAACGTACTTCTATTTCTACCTCTACCTCTACCTCTACCTCTACCTCTACCTCTACCTCTACCTCTACCTCTACCTCTACCTCTACCTCTACCTCTACCTCTACCTCTACCTCTACTTCTACCTCTACCTCTTAACCTTCTATTACTTACCATTTGGCTGTTGATTGGGAGGGAAATCGAGGTTAGTGTCCTTTTGAGCAGTAGTACCGCTAGGACTAAGAGCGGCGATATGAGAATGAGAAACCGGTGTTCCTGGATTGCTATGATTCAATCGTGTTGTCGAGACGGCTGCCGTGACAACCGGATTCGGAGAATCCTGACTCGTCGGACTTTGTCCAGGCAGATGGCTGGTCCTCTGATTACCCAGCTGGAACTGTCTGTTACAATCTGCCGGCGAATTCAAAGCAGAACTCGCGCGCGGTGACGGTAGCGACAGATTGCTGGTCGGATTATTGGGCGACGACGGATTTGGGCTTTGAATCGCAATCGGTACACTGGCGGATCGTGTCGTTTGATGATAGGGAGGTGGTGGACCTTGACTTCGCGGTACCCCGACCATGTTTGCACCGCGCAACGGTACCGCGCCTGGATTACCAACCCCCTGTAATAATATTTATGTTACAGATATTCCATAATCTAGCGTATACATCGAGTTATCGCGCACTAGGAGGAGAGACGTACTTTATTCTTGCCATCGAGAAATTGATGCTGCAACTTGTGCCAATCCATAGATGGAGAACATTGATTTTGTACTGGACCAACAGGAGGAACATTCGCGGTAGGACACGACACCGCCGTTCCTTGCGTCGTGTCCGCCAAAGCGTTGCCAGATTGTTCATCCTTAAACAACATGAGCTGCATTTTTCGCAAGGTCGCCAGTTGAACTTCTCTGTGCTGCCTTTGTCTCGGTGTTAAATTTTCGTCTGGAACTTTGACACCCTGAAGCGATGGTTGCAAACCTCCTGGGCCTGGACTCGTTGTGCCACCTAACAAATTTGGACTGTGGCCCATGGTAGCATTATTAGCAGGTTGAGGATTGGCTGCAAAGAAAACAAAACATGTACGTTGCATTAAATCTCATATAAATAATGAATAAGGACAAGTTAACAAATGTAATAAAAATTACCTGAATTACCAGGTGAATTCGGCACAAGGCAAGGCACGTCTAAATTTCCATCATCCAATGATGGTTCGGTATTACCGAGGGAATTTCCACCGTTTATGTTTCGCAAGTTGGGCTGTTCGTTCCAAAATTGTGGAGCATTTGGATCTAGTGCTGGTAAATCCGGGGGTTGTTCAGTCGGGAAAGTATTATTCGCATTTCCCTGATGGCCTTTCTGTTTCATCATAGCAAGATTATTTAACCATTGAGCAGGATTTTGGCGAAAATGACTTACTTTATTTGGATGTTTCTAAAAGAATAAAAACGATAAATATTAATGATATAAATAATTAATAATAAATTGTATACGAAAAAAAGCGTATTACTAAAAATAACACTGTATAAAATATTTTTGCCGAAATAACCAACTGAATAAATAAATAGCCGTGACAAATTAAAGTATAAAAATATTAATAATGCATATAAATGCTATTACTGTTTCAATAAATTGTGCAAAATTTTTACAATTAAAAATGCAACTTTTGCGATGAATTGCTCGTGTATGTAATAAAGAATTGATATAAAAAGTATTATTAAAATAAATTCAATGTTGCGCATCATATATACCTCCAAATATTTTTTAGTGGCTGGCTGTGCGCAATGATAAGCGATGATCGAATGATATTCGCCTCTCATTACTGCATCTGCACCTGTATTTGCTAACTGCGTGGAAAATACAAAAATCTGGCTCTGCTGTTGCATATACTGAGCCTCGCCACTGCTCGCATTAGTTCCCATCTGTTTACCCACAACATTACTAACGAGCGGTTGAATGCTGTCTGCTGTAAAATATATATTTCCATTATAATCTACAGCAAAGAGAATAATTTGATTCATCTAATTAGAGTACATGAGCGAAGGGAGAAGAAAATGTATGGTAACACAACAAAAGGCTCGCAGATTATAAAAATTCCAGAAATAACTTGACATTGTACCAGGTAGCTCATCGGTGGGATTGTTAGGATCTCCTTCTTGTTTAATCGAAGTCAGGATCGACTGATTACCATTGGTATTCGGATTCTCGACGGACATTGAACTGCATTGGCTTTCGCCTTCGAACTTGGATGGATCGAGACAGGAGTCCCTTGGACACTCCGCAGTATCCTCCCCAGTCGTATCATCGTTCGTACCACCTGTACCCTCGTCCTTAATCTTAACCGGATCGGTGTCAGGCTCATCCTTGACAACCGTGGTAGGTGGACAACAGCTGGGCTCGTTGGGTTTCTTTTCCGTTTTCATGGCTGGAGCGTATCGCGTGCGCGAACGACCGAGTGTGTCAAACCTCGCTGTTGCTACTGCAGCTAAACAGTGGGAAGATAAGAGGCATGGCCACTGGCACTAGTCCGCGTCCGCGACGCGCTTTCCGGCGTGCGGCAAAGATGATAGGTTAACCAGGTCGACCTGGAGTAGTCGGCTGCGCGGCAAGAAAGTTCACCAGACGGCACCGAGCGACTCTCCCGAGGCTCTGAACATCGCTGAAACGCAACGAAACGTCACTGACGACGTCCTTCCTTGTATCCTCGCTAGGATGATCCCTCAACTAGGATGCTGCGAGGCTCGCACCACACCACCTGGATACGAGGACCGTCTCGGTTTGGGTTCGCCAACTCAAGACACCGTCTCTGACGGAACGTACCCGGCACTGGAAGCTACACGGGATCGTCGCGCGACGTCGGGTCCCGTGCGCGAGGAAGCCAAGTATCCCGAGTGGATCACCCTCGCGGTGACGGCGAGCGCGTAGCGCGCCTCTCCGGCTGGTGCTGCGCTGCGGCGGCGGTGGCGGTGGCGGAGCAGCGGTGCGCGGCGCGTTCACGCCGCGAGGCACACACGCACAGCACACACGGGGCACCCGGGGAACACGAGCGATCCTTACGGATGGGGACGATGCGAAGGCTCGTTGCACGCTACAAGTGCGCGACTCCGAGTATCCACCTTGCCGTCGTCGTACGCGCGAGCATTGTTCTCTCTATCCCGACTTTATTTGTCACTTCATGGTCGCTTTGATTATTTATTTCTTTTCTACGCAACGCTGCCAACTGTCCGGCCGAAAAGTTTCAGACAACGTCGCTTGACGCGCGCCGCTCTCGAGCGAGACGGAACGATACGGCCGCCACGCGGTGAGAAAGTGACAGCGCGCGGCAGATCGAGACGCGCGCATGCGCTACAGGGACCGCGAGAGAAATCCACGCGCCCCCGCGCCCGCGCCTCACCTCGCCAATGTCTCCGTCGTCGCCCACAGGGACGTAGCTAGAGGGGGCCCTGCCTGGCTCTTATAGCTTCTTCAAGAATCTATATATGTATACGGGTTAAATTTTTTTTCAATTTTATTTAATTAAATATTAAAACTACATTTAACATTTTTTATTTTATATTTATTTAAAAACTGCAACCCTTTACTTTAAATAAACTTTGCAATACTTTTAAACAAAAAATATATTCTAATCAAAATCTGTTATCGTTGTTAATAATATTTATTTAAAATTTACTATTTATAAAAGTTTTAATATAAATATACCTCATAAAAGAAATTTTACTTAATTGTTAAATAATCCAATATATAACTGCAGACCTGTATAATTATTCAAATAAACTTGAGAGTAGTTTTAAACAAAAAATATATATTTCAAAAGTTTTGGTTATTATTGTTATAAATAATATATACATCTACCTAAAATTTATTATTTAAAAGCTTTAAAATAAATACCATCTCTATTTATGGTGTCCTGTTAGACTGTTGGTTTTCTCTTTTTATAATATGTTCAATTTTTTTCAAAAAAACTGTGTTAAAACTGTGAGAAGAGGCGACATAAACGCCTATATGGATATTAAAAATTTCTCGCTTAAAAACAAAGAAATAATTTACGAGATCCGACTAACATCATATAAGATCACATCACGGCGAATACTTTTATAAATTAAATATGACAATTTGCAACACGCATAAATTTCGTATAAATTCTCGACTCGAAGTAACGAACTATTAGTAATTTTAAGAATATTATGATTTATTTTTTTGTAAGAATTATAAAGTACTTAACAAATGTTATACTGAAAAAGACCGCGTGCGGTTGAAACGTTTATATGAAAGATTTTTTTGTAATTTTAATATATTGTTTATGGAATAAATTTTAATTGGATACAACATTTTAAATATTGCTCGATAAGTTGGCCTTTTTTTTGAATATATATTTATATATTTAGGTTTGTCATATACTTTTGTCTCCTAGTTTTTAGTTCAAAAATATTTTTAACTTGAATAATGAAAAATTGAATAAAAATTTATAATCCGTCTCTCCTAATTCCGTTCCTACTCTGTCAAATTTTCTCGTCTGCTCTTGCATCTTCAACCTGGTTATATATATATATATATGTATATGTATGTATATATATATATATATATATATATATATATATATATATATATACGTCCCTGCGTCGCCCGCAGGGTAACTATTTTCGTCTCTCTTTGGTTATATTTTCGCCGTCTCCGTCTTCTCTCTCTCTCTCTCTTTCTCTTTCTCTCGATCGCGACGGCGTTCGATCTCTCTACCTCCTCCTCGTTCGCGTCTCTCCTCGTTTACTCGCTTCCTCGTGTCGCGACCGACGAATGAAACGTCACGGACACTTGAGAAATTTTCAAAGGCTGCCTCGCGGAGGCGACCAGCTTCCGAGCGACCTTTAGATCTTATCTCGCACTCTCGAATGCACTTCGCGAAATTTATTTCATTTTCGGATGCATGCAGAGGGGCAGGAGCGAGTCGAAGCTCGGTGCGCCTACATTCTTCGAGTTCCTCATCAGGGCGACGGATTCGTAGGTGTCGTCCGATTAGTGGCGGTATTTTTAAAATTTAGGAAAGATGCGGAGCGACATCAACTCGTATTTTTTGATGCAACGTCGAAAATACATGCACTTTTATATTTATAAAGTTAACTATATATATATATTTAGATTTTATTTATATTTAGATTCTATTTATATTTATATTTTATTTATATTTTATATTTGTTTTATATTTATGAAATTATAAATATTATATACTTACACATTCGATAATGTTTTTGTGTCAAATGGATAGATGGTTTGGTTGTTTTTCTGCTCGAACGATGAATAGAACTGCGAAGCTGTTAGAAAATTTTTCGTTGCAACGAATAAACCGTCACGTTTATTTTCCTCAAACAAAAGAATTTCGGTAGAAAAGAATATGGGATATTATACGAGGTACCAGCAGGTACCAAAAAATTTATAAAGCCAACCGGGCTTAAAATGACTACCTGCGATCATACAATAGAAGGAATCTATAGGTTTTCGAACAGACAAAAACATTTGTGCAAAAAAAAACGTACAAAATTTTTTTTTCATTTATGACACATTTATATATATATATATTTAACTTTTAATTTATTTATATAAGTATATATATATATATATATATATATATATATATATTCATTCGAATCTTTTTAAACGCAAATATTGTTTTCAATAAACTTCAAAAGATATATACATAAAATATGCAAGTTTCAGAAAAACACGATGAGAATAACCTGCATATATATATATTTTTTTTTTTTCAATTAGGAGAGTTTTATGTATAATTATATAACAAAATAATTTGTTTTATTAATATTTAAGATTTTAAGTTTAATTTTTGTAAAAAAATTGATGAATAATTTTTTCCTCTTTCTTAATTATATATATATTATATTGTTAATTAAAGTGTCATATATAGCGCACATGTTCAATATAGGATACGAGATTAGCTCTCTTTAGTTTTACATTTACAAGATATATATAATACATCGTTCAAGATTCACGCGATAACCTAGAATTGCCTAGAATAAAGTAATATTTCATAGCAAAATCGCTGCATGCTTGTTGTAATCAACGATAAAATCACAAATAAAAGTTATCGATATTACATCTAGGACAATTATAGAAATGATGTGGTATGCTTTGCATTAATTCAGACTACGCGGGTTCTGCAAGTTTATCGAGTGCCGCACACAGTTTCGTTTCTGAATATAAAAGGGTAAATATCGACAAATATATATATATATATATATATATATATATATATATATATATATATATATATATATATGCAAGGTATAAAAAAAACAAAAAAGTGTGTAAAGACTGTATCCTTTTTCGAATAGTACCTGCTTTTAATTACTCGAAACAGAGACGTCGCGTATTTGTTACTCGCTCGTACGTGAAAAAAAGTAATTAATGTGATAAGTATTTAAATTTTCGATACACGAAACACATGTGCTGTAATTGTGATGTATAACCTGAGTTTGTCGCAGGGCGTTTTTATTCTAGTCTTTATTCTTGTCAAAAATTATTTGTAAAATGTTTATATAGCAACAATTAATTAATATACAAAAATTAATAAATGTATATTTTATTGTATTGATAGAAAAAGAGATACTTTTGAGAGATGACTCAACTGGAGCTGGATCCACAATTTACTCAGGGGCTACGTCTTTTGCACTCTACTAACAAAGATTCTGCAGAACAACTGAGAGCTTTGTTAGATGAAGCAATTAAACAAAAGTACGGGCCCTCCAAAATGCTCTCCAATGTACTACATAAAAAGGTAACGCATTTCAAATGTTTGGACAAATTATGTAAGAGTCGATTTAATTTTTTTCAATCTATGTTCTCCTCAGTACATGATGGAGGAGCCAGTATTGAGCGATCACAGTAGCAGTAGCAGTAAGAAAAGCAAAAGCTCTAGTTCGTCCAAGCATTCGAGTAAATCAAGCAAGAATAGCTCTCCTGTTAATCTGCCAGCACGTGACACACCGCCAGATATTTTGCAGGCAGATGATAATCTGGCAATGGAAATTCTAGAGGACGATCTGACATGTGTTATATGTAAAGGGATGGATGTTGGGGCGAGAAATAGGCTTGTGGAGTGTCAAGAGTGTCATTCTTTGTACCATCAGGAATGCCATGTTCCGCATATCCTGGATTCGCAGATAGATGTGCCAAAACAAGTATGGTACTGCTCTAACTGTCCAAAGTCTCAGGTGTGTGTATTCACTCGCATTTACAATTTGTGTGAGAATTGCTGGTGTATATTTTACATACTATAAACTTGTTTTAATTGTAAAAAATTAACTCTCACTAATATTACTTGATTCTTATCAAATTTTAAATAATGTTTTACTCTCTTGATGTCAATGTAAGTATTATTCTATCATATTGATTGTTATACATTAGGTTTCGAAAGACAGAAGTTCGCCAAAAACTGTGATAGAAGGCAAATCCAAAGAACAGAAAAAGCCGAGCTCAAGTAAGTACACATGTATAATTTGCGCACTTGAAAGGTAAAATTAAAATTGTATTTTTGAACTGTTAATTTTTATAGGCACTGGAGCTAAGGTGACACCAAATATTCATATTATAAGTGCGGATAAAAGACTGAAAGACATGATGAAGAAAGCTAAGCAAGACAAACGAAATACTGCTACTGCCACAAGTTCGAAAAGCTCTTCATCCAGTACATCTGCGTTATCCTCAGCCAAGTCTTCTCAGGATAAATCTTTATTATACAAGATAAAGTCAGGGAGTAAACTATAAGTTGCAAAAGAAATCATTAATAAACAAAAACGGATTACATACATATATGTATATATATATATATATATATATATATATATGTGTGTAAATAATGTATTGTAAAAATAATTCGGAAGTTTTATTGAAATATTATTTTATAATTAATCTTATGTGAATCTGTGAAGGAAAAGGGGTGACAATTTTTTATTATTACTTTTTATGAATATATATTTTCGTACGACGAGAGATAAGAATAAGAGAAAAGAGAGAGATTGTAAGAATCGCGGCCCCTCTTATATGACAAAGACACAAGTTTTTAAATAGACGATACCACTAATGCGTATTTATATTGAAGTTTAATCTCGAATTACATTCAATCGATATTAGTACAATTGGGCCTTTGTGTAGTGTCTGAATTTCTTACTGCCTATAAATACAATTCCATATTATACAATTTATTAATAATTGTACAAACGTGCCATGTAAATTTTTTATCTTTTATAAGCTTTCGCATTATTATTACAAAAATATTAAGTATGTAGAAAATAATGACATAATTATTACTATAGCTAATAATTATTACACACGTAATATTATTTGTAATACAAGTCTGCGTTGATAGTTTTAAAATGTAAATATACAATAGATTATTTTTTAATACCTTTTTATTGAGATATTTATAAAAGGAAAGCGATAAAATTATACAAACTTCACATATCTCGAGATTGCGTATTAATTGTACTGTTATATATATATATATATATATATACATATACATATATATGTGTATAGCATATACAACAATTTCGTGACCGAAATCAACTCTGCGCGTACTGAGTACGCTGATTTATAACTTGTATCGCGTAACGCGATACAACATCGACGCCGGAATTGTCAATGTTTATCAGAATGCACAGTGAAAAACTATAACACGCGTCAAGTATATATATATAAATATATATATATATACGTTCTACTGTATACAAGATATACATGTAAATTCCGCGTAATATTCCGCGAATGCGGAAGGTGGTATTAGAGTCGCGAACTAATATAAGAATTCTCCAAATTAATATAACACGACTTACGTAACACGCGCGACTCCGACGACTTTCGAATGGTGTGTATTCCTGAAAACTTCACGCGCGTATATCCACGTGTATTTATAGTAACAATATTTAGATCTTTGCGCACCAGCGAGCTGTGATAATTTTACACGGGCTATGTAGCTGTATATCGGGTTGCCCGTTCGATAACAATAAATCTTTAACGATGAAACTAAAGGGAGATTTTGTGTACCTGTCTGTAAACAAAAAAGAAGGTTGAGGATTAATCGATTATAAGAAATTATGACTGAAATTTTATAGAAACGAGTCACACTCGTGGTCTCTTACGCTAACAGTAATTATCAAGACGATGAACAACGACACGCGGTCCATCGTGTCCTAATCGTAAGGCTAATTAATTAAAAGTCTGTACAGCTGAGATTGCGGGTGGGCGAAATAACGAAGAGATAATACGATACGAATCGTTTATAATACCAATATATTTTTTGCGATTTTTTTTTTAATGCAATTAGTCGTTTGTCCCTACGTCCCATTGAAAATTTGGCAAGAGTCATTTCGTTTTCTCGAGTGTCGCTTAAAATCTACTCGTGCGCGGGATCAAGGAGGAGGAGGATAATTGGGTTGAAGTACTATGTACAATGGAGAGGGACAGGACGAGGGTGGAGAGCTATTCGCGAGGGGATGCAATTGCACGTACACATACATACACATACACGCACACACACACACACACAAATGGATACGCGTCTTAATGAATAGAGGACATGCTTTCCCGCTTTTCCCGAGGTACGTTTAATGGCAATCAAGATTGGTCAATGTAACGTCATGTGTGTTGATATATAATATAATTAATATTACTTTCTTCTTCCAGGATTCTTCACAACGCATCCCAACTAGCAAACTGACGTCATTAAACGTCAAATGACGTCACTAAACGTCAAACTGACATCATTAGACGTATGCTACCTGGAATACTATATATATTACTACCAAAGAAATGTATTTCTGGATTCTGGAAACGCTAACATAACAAAAACGTTTGGTCGATGGTAGCTCAATTGGTCGTCAATTATATATTTTGCTGGGACACATGAAGACCGATTTAATCGTACCTGATGGAAATAGCGGCGATCGAGAATATACAAGAGAGAAGTGTCTTGAAATGGGGAGAAAATTATCGGGGGATCATCCCTCTTCCTCCTCCCCCCTGCCCTCTCGAAGCTTAACAAGGAGTAATCTTAACTCGAGACACGATGTTGAGATTTATCTCTATAAACTACGAAGCATGACACACTAATCGTCTCGCGAGAATCACCTCTCTCAGTCCGTTGCGTTATAATTACATACGTTGAATGCAGAATTGACAAGCTTTTCAGATTGGATGGAGTCGACTTTCGACTGTACAACTTGCTCGGGAAACTCTGCTGCGTATATTTTGAATATACTGTATTTCATTTCACTAAAGAAAAAAATTCAGACGTTTACAGACGCTCTTCTCAATCGATTTCATCGATATTAAATCACCTCTCTCATTCACACTATTTGTTCATTTATTTTTACCTTATTCGCTCTTCTAATATATACGAAAGACATGAAAATTGAAGTGTAAAAATGCTGTAAAATGCGAAAATATGGAGAAATGAGTCGACCCAAGTAGCAAACTGATTCGATATCAAAATGACGCACGCTTCCTACCTGGGGAGACGAAACAATCTCTTTTTATAAATCGATTTTTTGCGATTTAACGCGGCAGAGTCGCAAGCACTTGTACGTTCGCAGAATATAGCAAAGACGCTATATAGATTCTATATCGGATCAAACTCGAATGTTGCTCGATATATGTATTTTACATACCGCATGAGTATGTCTTCCAACTAAATTTTATGGAAAAGGAAAAACATCTTGCGCTTGTCAGAAGGCCCGCTTGTTAGCTGGCCACCCGATAATAACGAACGCTTGTGTATACTTATGTATATACGAATATGTGCGCGTATGTGTGTCTGTGTGTGTTTCCATGTACGTCAATCTGCATAGCATATACAATATTGTTCAAACGCAAAGAAGGACGCCCCGTATTCTCATCGCGACCTAATTAAACAACATTGCACCAAGATATAATAATACAAGCTCTCGAGTAAACGCGAACGCATTTAAATCTGCGCGATTAGAATACAGGATAAAGTTAAATACTCTTGCGTAACAGCTTCAGGATGGCCGCATTTGGCTTCTCCTCAATTTCCTTTATCAGGGAACGTACAAGGAATTTTTTTTCTCGCGTTGCAGAACACACTGTTATAACGCGGTAATACAGTGGCTCGGTGATAGTCTTGCTCTTTAAATGCAAAATCGCGGCAGTGATAATAAATGAAAAATTAAATGTGCAATATATTTATATATAATATTGTATATATACACACATATACTTTATTTCTTCCCTTGTTTAAGGGAACAGAGGACGTTTGTAGGGCGTGTATCGACGGCAATTCTCTATCGTTGTGCATTTTTCCTCCGAAACAAACCTTAACGGCAGTGCTCACATGTCGATTAAGTCATTCCCCAAGTAGCAAAGTGACGTCAGAAGACAACATAGTGACGTCTATTTTTTTTTAGTCATTTTTGGTCTCTGATGTCTTCAATAATCGTCTCCAAATAACGAGATCTACTTGTATCTACTGTATATTTTCGGTATAACACTTTATGTTAGACACCCTGTATATATATATATATATATATATATATATATATATATATATATAATATATATGTATATACTTCAAATAATTTCTCATTGGGCTAAAACTATCATTAATTCAAATGTCAGTTTTGTCAATTTTAAGTCTTATATTAGTCATATTATGACATCAATAAACGTGACATCATTTCCGGGTTAAGATCTAATTAGGACGCCTAATTGGTTTTTTTGTGACCCAAATTTACCGTCGTTATGACGTCATTTTGTTACTCGGGGTTGTAATATACTTGCAATCACTGATCACACATTGTAGCTGCTACATTTTGAGTTAACGCGCTCCTCTCTCAGTTTATACACATATGTATATAATTCTTAATTACAAGTTCTTTTTTTTATCAAATAAGAATATCAATTTACATATTGTTAGAGTGTACCGGTAGAAACCGAAAAGAGAGAATTATGATACTTTCAACGCAGGGACGAGCGAGGTGCAAACCCATTACACCTTATCCCACATCCGTATAATTATTTAATCATAGATATACATATATAAATGTGTGTACTTTCGTTATCCTGTGTTCGCACGGATTTCAATTCGCACCGGCTCGAAGTTTCGGTTAGCTTCATTGTATGAATGTTCCAATTTGCATAGACTAAATTTCAAGATAATCGTACATTTTTTTAAATAAAAAAATGTATATTATACATGAGTACGCATGTATCTGTGATCGATTCGGGTTATCTCGAGTTCGCGGATGTAAAACATGGCACCTCTGCGAACGTTTTTAAATACTAATACATATATGTAAAAAATATATACGAAACGTTGCGCGATAATCAATATGAAAATTCAGTCCAAAATGAGTCTCATTGAAAAATCTCATACTGGGGAAGACTGCATCAAGCGGTATTAAATTTGTTCGCTTCGTGCGAATCTCAAAAGAGTGAGAGAATAAAGTGTCACCCTTTCTAATTGAAATTTAAGGCTCCTGGTTCTTCGCCGATCACGTTAAAATTGTAACGTCAGAAGTGAGAAAGTTTTTAGATGCCATTTTTAAATGAAAGGATATTTCAGATAGCCGTGGCGAGAATCCGGGAGCCTTAAATAAATTTAATTAATATCTTACACAAGATTCACATCAGTCTCTAAAAATCGAACTATGTCTGCTCTATTAAAAAAAAAAAAAATCTCGTGCGAACAAATCTTTTACCGCGTCGAAACAGATGGCACGCATACTTTACATACTTGCATAAAAAAGCAAACGGACATACACAGACGTATAATATTCATACAATTCGATACAAAGAGAGATACGTGATAAAGTGTAAAAACTTACAGATTGACGTACATACGCGACCGCGAGAGTTTATAATTTATACTCCTCGTGTAATATAAATAAATACGATATACATATAATAGAGAGATACATAGGTATGTCGAGATGATCGCGAATGGCGGGGGAGCCTGGGAACCTAGAATATATGTATATAATTGAAATTACACGACGGCATTTATTAAGTACAAGAGTATGAGCACGTCCCCAGCCTCCCTGTACCTACATCAATGATGACTTATCGATCATCAAGGTTTTGTTTTGTTGCGCCTCGATTGAACGATAAGTTTATATTGGCTGAACGGATCAACAGTGGAGAAAAAATTGGCAGTGTGTGTGCGTGATAAATATATAATAATTAATTGTCCATCGATATTACGCGATATCGAAAAAAGTTGTAAAAAAAGGAAACATAGGAGAACAAAATAAATGCGAATTTAAAAAAATTCTGCCAGTCTTATGTATCAACTAAAAATAAGCAAGTTACGATTGTTCTCAAAGAATACTGTGTGTATACATGTGTCGTGTGCTACGACAAGTGTTTGCGATCATTATTACATAATAGTAGCACATAAATCAAATACAAAACTCTTCCTCTACAACACGATCGAAATAGTTTATAATTTTCTCGCACCGGTCTCTACTTCAAAAAAAAAAAAAAAAAAAAAGAAAAAAAAAGAAAAAAAAAGAAAAAAGGGGGGTATATCTTTCATTTTGCATCTGTTATTCATTATTTCTAACAATATAGCATAATTAATGGGCAGCATTAATATTTATATGTATATAGACAATAATATAAAAAAATAACCGATGATGATGATAATAATAATAATAACATATAATATAATATACGTATAATAAACAGATAAAAGTTACGAAATGTTTCACTAAATGATTTTTCTAAAAGATGATAGTTTTTTTACCGTGTACAGCACGGTAAAAAAATTTATATCTGTATATGGCGAGAACAGGGAAAGAGAGAAGCAATAAGAGATAAAAATAAGGGAAAAAAGATTTGTTTGATGTACACGATATACGTGGATAGGCCTAGAGTAGACTGAGCTGCTCTTATATAACTTTTAACTTTAAATTTTTTTTAACGCGCATTACTTTAATCGCCTTAATTTAATATTATCTGTTACTCTGTCTCTGTGAATTATAATAAGGGTGCGTTAACCCTCAATTTATATAATACATATAGTCCCTCTCTAACTAGCTCACTACAATCCGTGGAGGTGTGTCGCGCATGATTCTTTGCTTTATATATATTTTTCATGTGTATATATATATAACATATTAATAATTATATATATCATAATGAAGATATAATAGGCATAGCCACTCGTGCTCGGATCACAGACTACTCGCTGCCGTACGTTGCTTTCGTACAGACAGTCTGGTGGACACTATGGCTTTCTCTCACTTACATTAGACATGTTACTTTTTTCTTTTACTTTATGTGTTCCGTATCTGCGTACACACGTATAGATATCAGATCGACCGTAAAATTTATACACTTTTAAATTTAATTTCTTCCCTAATAAAGTATTTGCACCGATCCACGTCTCAGATCCTCAAAAGAGTCCCGACAGAAAAGAAAAAGAGCCGAGACACACCGATGTTATAAACGTAACAACATCGCGGAAAAAGTAAAGCATAAGACGATAAAAATAATTTAATTACTTACAGCACTAAATCTCATCTCTCTACTATGCGATAACAACAATCGTCCGTAAAAAGATACCCTACGAATTGAGATTCGAATTCGCGCGCGCGATGAGAGATTGTAATATATAAATACTACCTTATTCGATTTCTAAAGATTCTTCTCACAATAGGCATCTCTGTCCAGCGTCGTAATTTAAGGATCAGAGGCGCGTACACATTGCCGTACCAATATCCATACATGTTTACAAGCGTATTTCGGTATGGCCAACACGTAAAGACGGTAAAATACTACCACGAGGACTCTTATCTATAAATCCCGTGACCTATCGCCTGACTAGCCTTAACGAAATCGCGTGTATCTCTCTTTTTACGGCATTGTTATTCACACGGTGTGTTGTATTTGTGTAATATTTGTACATATGTAACGAGGTGTATCTGATGCATGAAGGCGTGGAGGCACTAGTCAGTGTTTCTGGAGAGGTTGACGGGTCCTGGGATGGAAGTGAGGAGGGTATGTCAGCAGGCACTGGTCTCTTCTCCCTCGAGCGTGTACGCTACGTTTTCTAGTCTATGAGCTAGGTGTAGTTTGCGACAGCCCGTATCTGTCTCCAAGGCCTCTAGGATCTGAAAACAATTTCACAATGATGTAACGAGCGAATCTTATCGCTGAAATCCTCCTGGCTCCTCGCTGATCATGTTGGAATTGTGACGTCAGGGGCGAGAGAAAACAGCACTTTAAATAGCTTCAGCATACTTTTAAAATACCTCGAAAACTATTCTTTTCCCTTTAAAATCAATCAATAACTGTAAAAAAAACTGTTATATGAGGCCTGATTCGTTAAATTTCGAGGTATTTTAAGTGCTACAACCATCTGAAATAGTGACGTCACAATCTAACATAAACTGAGGAATCTTAACCAGATAAAAAAGTTACTTACTTGTTCATAATACTTGCTGACATAGATGTAGAGCTCTTTCAGCGCCGCGATTACATCGAACTCGTTGGCGTGAGACGCGCTCAACTGCTGCATGGCACTAGACATCTCCTGGTCAGTGATCTGCGGCAGTCTCTGCACATCCGTGTAAAATCGACCCACTTTCTCGCGATAGTGCGGTATGTCCTTGGCGAAGAGCAGCTTGTTAGACGGCGAGTCCTTGCCCAATCTGTGTTCCGTCATCGAGCACGAGTCCATGAACGTCTGCGCGATCACGGAGAGACTCGAGTCCACCGTCGTGGACTTGTTGATGTCGAACATAAAGTCCGGATTCTTGATGAAATTGACCCAGAACCGGAGCGGCAAGCTGTTCGACTTCCACGCGTGCGGCACTTCCGGATCGATAATTCCGTGCCGCTTGGCCGCTTCGTCGAGGAGATCGAACAACCACTTGACCGCGCTTGGCAGCGCCTCGTTGGCGGTCAGTATGGTGTTTAGAAAATCGTCGACGAACTTTTGTACGGTGCCCTTGGTCGAGAGTAATCGCGTGAGAAATATCTCCGGAATCGCTTTGTGCGTTCTCTCTGGATGATGATGCTTACTGCTACTGTTGAAGCCTAAACCGGGTGGATAGTGCACGTCCTCGATAGGCCTCACCAGGTGGTACAGCCGCTGATTACCGCCATGACCGCTCTCAACGTCGCCGTTCGCCGTTATAATAGGCGGCGAGTGCTGAGAGTCAAAGTATAGGCCGCTCACGGGATGATTGTACATGACAGGACTGATCAGCCCGTGATTGGGTGTGGATGGAAGATGCGTGGACGAACAATGATTCGAGTGTCGATGTAGATGTGAGGGCGGATGGTGGGGATGATTCGACGGCTGCTGCTGCGGATGATAATGCGAGGGCTTGCAATTGTGACAGGGTGGTTTGCACGCCACCGAGAAACCGTCGTTCTGCCGAGGAATCAGCGACATTACCGCCGACTCTTTCACCCCGTAATGCGCCAATGTATTTATCTTCTTCCATTCGCCGCAGCACTTGGTCGTGAGGTCCTCGTCCTGGAGAGTCAGATGACCACCACGACCGTGCCGCCATTCTAGATCAACGTCGTGTACGGACGGCCTCAGCGAAAACGGGGTATTCTTGTACAGTGCGTCGAGAATCTTGGACTTTACTTGACTTATCGTGTCGCAATCCAGAACCTTACACTGTATCTTCTCGTCGAGATCGTCCTGCACCACGTGCAACGTAACGATCGTGTGCTCGATCTGTTCGCGCAAAAGTCTCTCTTCCGAGAGAGAGTATCTCGCGTCGTGCGTAATCACGTCCACAGGTCCCTTCTCAATCTGATGCTTGATCGCCTTGAAGAGCAGGAACAAGGACGAGCCGGCATAGTCCTTCAGGTAGTTATACATGCAGAGCGCCATCCAATTTGTCAGCATCTTCTCTACTACGGATTCCGTTCGCCTTAACATAAGTTGCGGATGCTTCGTGTTCACCGCTTTGTCGATCAATCTCAATAATAGATTCATCAAGATATCCGTGGCGTACTCCATCTTTCCCATTAGAACCACCATGAGCAAGGAGGCGACGTTCACCTTGTCCCTGATATTAAAGTCCTTTTGCGCCTCCAAGGTCTCTATGAATGTCAGCACAAAGTATTTATTATTGACGAGTTGTTCGAACTGGATCATCGCCGCGTCGTAGTTGGTGCGCGAGACGTTGCTGCGCGAACGCGGATCGTTCAAGATCGGGTGATCTATGACTCCGGGGAAGAACACTTTCATGATGTAGTTTTTATGGTCGAGAGTGGGTATGCCTGACGATTCCAGATCCGCGGTCAAGTCCGTCATGTCCGTCTGCAATTCCGCGAACGCTTGCTTGCATTCCATCCGCACGTTGCTCTCGAGGGTGTCCATCTGTATCTGTATACGTTTATATTCGCGCTCCGCTTGGGTACTCTTACGGCGATAGATCACCAACACCAGGACAAAAAGAAAGATGAGACCGAAGGTGCCAGCGGCGATGCCGGCGATCGCTTCCGGAGGGATCGGATACGACTTGATGACTTCGTAGCGCAGATACCCGATGGGAAAGCGTAAACTACGCCCGACTCTCACCACCACTAACGGCAACCCGCTGTCGGTCTTAATGCCGAGCTCATCCGTGTCGGCGGGCTGTTGATCCGGCGGCGTGCAAACCAGTTGTGTGAGAGCGAGTGACGTCACGTTACACGGCATGATGCCTACGGTGACGTTGACGTCAGATTCGTCGCTGGCGTAGTTGAGATTCTCGCCTTCGATCACCAGCGTATCACCCTTGTACAGCTTGACGTTCCGCGGGAATGGGAAGAACTTTGGGTCCTCGACGTAGAGTAACCGATTACGGAGATTCTGAAAGTGCTTCTCCAAATCCCTCACGCTTTCTACGTTATCCATGATGAAGGCAATTTTCAGAGACAGCTGAGATTCTTTCAGTCTCAATGATTGCGGCGACGAAGTACCTTGAGCATTGGCGACCGCGGAACGTTCGTTACGCCGAATCGAGGTGAATCTTCGAGTGACGCTCGGACTCGGACACTCCATTTGCGTGGGATTCAGGACGGTGCAAACGGTTCTATTTACCGGCAGCGGCTCGTTGTCGAAGTAAACTTCCATCTCGGGTTTCTGAATGGTATCCAAGTTCGTCCCGTGCACGGTGATCATACGGCCGCCCGAGGCAAAGCTTCTCAGAGGTTTAATCTCCATTATAGTAGGATCGTGAGTGTAATTAAAAGGATTGTCCACGAGAGTGCGATTCGCACCATCGATATTCAACGTTAGCCTGTGAATCCGCCTGACGCGGCCCGACTTGCTAGTCACGCAAGTCAGCCTCGTGCTGCTCGCTTGAGTCGCGTTTACGTGGCATGGCAGCTCGTCGAGATACGCCGATATCGCGCTACCAATATTTAGGTACTTACCGGTGATAGCCAACTGCGTGCCGCCACTCTGCGGCCCGACCGACGGATATACCCCTGTCAGACGTATGTCCTTGTAATTGAACAGCACCGCGCTCTCCGTGTAACCGGCGTCATTCCCAACCACGACTGACGCCGCGTCCGTGGCTTCGTGACGACCGGTGCGGCAGACGATGCGCACAGACACCTCGTAGTCCACCAGGGTGCACGGAGTGTTACCGATGTGTATCTTACCCTCCACGTCGCTCTCTTTCAGGCCAAGATTACTGCCCTCGATGGTCACCAGCGTGCCGCCCTCGACCGGACCGCTCAGCGGCTTGATCATATCTATCCTAGGCTTCGGACACTCGGTAAACGGTGACTGTAGACACGAGTGTCGATACACGCAGCTGTTCCCGCACCAAGTGCACTCGAATCGAGCGTCCCGCGTCACGCACAGAGAACAGTCCGCGTGTTCGCGATGCGAGCCGAGCACCTCGCACTTGTACAAAATTATCGTGGTCTTGTCCACGTGATGATTCGTGTTCCAGACAACCGTCACCTCGGCCTCGTATTCACCGGTGACGGCTTCGTACGAATATACCGTCTTGTCGCACACGATGAGACGACTACTGTCCACGCGAGCTTGTACCTTTAGATTGGCGCCTTCAATGCTGACAATGCACTGGAATCCACTGTGGCCTACCTGTGGATGTGGTAGATTTTCCACCTCGAGCACTATTTCTTTGGGCACGCTGTTCGGCAGCATCAATGGTTCTTTGCGTTCGACGAATCTCGGACAGTGCCGTGCGCCTTGCGGAGCAAGGTTGATTTGGTTTTGCTAAAGAAAAAAAAAGGAGAATAATAATAATATCTATTATAATACGAGATAAAGGATCACGTAGCACCAAATACATAGGATTTTGCCTTTCGGCTGTTTTTTTCATATATTGTAGCTTATGTCTTGCTGAACAAAAGATGCAATAGTCGCAAAGCTAAATATTGAATAGTTAGAAAGAAAATTAGCTATTCTTATCAAGATTTAATCTCTTATATGATTAATATGGGATTTTTGAACCTATATAAAATGCTAGATGAAATTGAATCTCGATAAAATCAGCTGATTTTCTCACATGTTGTAACCTATGACTTGCTGAACAAAAAATGTAATAGGCTCAAAGCTAAATAATAAATGGTTACTAATTTACAGCCAGTCAAACACCAAAAATTACAATTTTGCTACAACATATATGAAAAACAAAAAACCACCGAAAATTCTACGTATTTGCTGCGCTGTCCTTTATGAGAAGAGCATAGACGTGTAATAAAACGTAACTTACATTTTCTCCCGATATAATGCCCTGACAGCTAGTATTGTGAGTGCATTTGTTGTCGTAGACGCACCAGCTGCATGCCCATTGTGATTTGACGCACTCGGTGCACACGGTGTGTCTCGAGCAATCGAAAAACGCAAAGTTACGCGAAACAAAATCCTTGTTCGTTTCGCTCGATCGTACGGACAGCGGCACGAACGCATGATCGGCGCCCTCGGGAATATTGGGTCTCTCCACGACGGGTGGCGTAGGACAGGACAATCCGAAACCAGTCATCAGCGCGTCTATTGGCTCGGTGTCACCAAAAACGCACTTGTAATTAGCGCCCGCTGGCAATTCCGGCAAAGTTCTGATTGTTAATTGCACCGTGGTCATCTGATTAATAGGCATACGGTCGGGTAGCACCTGCTCGAAATCGATGCACTGTTGACCTGTACCCAAGGACAACCATCGTGGACTGCTGTGGCTCGCTTTCTGACAATCTCCTCTCACCGTACATCTATAGACGAGATCAATTATTAGTAAATGCATTTTTCTCAACAAGAAAGATTATATATATGTATATAATTTATTTTATAATTTGAGGTATAATTTAACTTACCTCTTTTCCAAAGAGCACCAGCCGCAGTAAGGATCTTTCGCATCGAGGCAACTGCTGCAATTGGTGTAGCCGCTACAATGCTCGACTTTGACTTTTGATATCTTCGAAGAGGACAATACATAGATATGATCGCCATCCGGTGAAATCAATGTATCTGGCAGTATCTTTTGTCCTTTGTCGATCGTAACACTTTCGTAGACGAATGCTTCGGTTCCAGATAGTAAGACTTTCTTCATCATGCCATCATTCGAACCGAAAAATCCTACGGTGTGGCTTTCGGTATTGGCGATAGTTATCGAGGAAATGAAGGTATCGGGAAAATGCAAAATAGCCTGGCCCGTGATCGGCGATACGCCCGAAATTTTCAGTCCAACCTCGCAAAAGTTGAGAATGTTTCCTGTGGTCTGTAAAAAAAAAAAAAAAAAGAGCAAAATGATTATATTAAAAAAGTGACAAATTAAACAACGCTTTTTATTTGATCATTCATCTACTTACACCGGCGGTAGGACACTTTCCGTCTTGTATAGGACCGCTGACGTAACCCATATTCCGATATTTGATGCTGCCGTTGAAACACATGTGGATATTTTCGTTGAACTTTGTCTCGATGTCCTGCAGACTGTATATGCAAACTGCCGAACGCGAAAGGGCCTCGTTCGTGATGCCTCTACTGGGTGAAAACACGGTAACGAATACCGGATCGCCCACCGAGATGCCGAGTTGCATGGCCAGGTCGCTGCCCGCAGCAGCGACTTTCGCGTCCTGTATCAGGTTGTAATAGTGCAGCTTTCCATCTCCTAGGTCGACCGTGCACTGCAGAGTTACCTCTGTGTAACTGTCGTAATTCGGATCGCTGATGCAACTTCGCGCTAGCCTGGAGATGTATCCCAGTTCCTCCTGCTCGGGCAGATACGATTGCTTCTGCACCAGAACGAAATACGCATAGTCGCTCGCGTTGAAACCGTACACATATTTAACGAGAAAGTGATCGCGATACTTGACATCGATATACACGATCGATTGCTTGTTAAATGTGTACTCGGCGAAATCCAGCTTGTCGAGGTTTCTACTAGAGATGGCTGGTACGTCGTGACGATAATCCCCTTTATTGGTGAACGTTGTTCCAACGTAGAGTATGTTCGTCTGCCCCCACGAATTGTACTTCTCGGGCCCGATGAAAGCGTACGTGGACGAGTTCTCGTCGTTGGCGGCCACGCTGAGAGGGACAAACTCCGGCTTAATGGATATGTTAGACATTTTATATTTCTCGCAAGCACCTTGAAGAAGGGAGCCGCAGACGATTAACGTCTGCGACTCGAGATCTGCAATTAGTAGCTTGTTCACATTATCCATTAAAGAAGTAGTTATGTCCCTTGCCATGCAACCTGTTGCATGACACTGAGGATTATCCAGTCTCGGGCCTAAAATGAAAGAAAGATCCGATAATTATTTCGCCCTTGCTTATTACAATGTTGTATTTCAAAAGATGCAAAAGAAGAGAACACACCTGTCGAGACATACTCTTCCAATTTGAGACTTGAATCAAGTTGAAAGAGTCTGTTGACCGAGCCTGCATAGAGCCTTCCTGTAGAAGGATCTATAGTGAGATGATTGAATCTCAAAGCCCCCTCTCTGGTTGTGTTGGCCTCCAATGGGAGATATCCGTATCGCTGTCCATTCTCCGCTGGAAACTGTGCCAGGATATGGGGTGATCTGTTGTCCTGTATCGGTGGGACAGTGCTAGCAGGAGTATCTATCGCTGCGGTCGCCAGGATCACTAGGAACCATGTGGCAATGGACATGGATGAAAAGAATGAACGATAAACGAGCGACAGCGGATGTGTCACTGTGAATGATTTGGGAAATGACTGGGTAAGTCCCAGGAATCTCATGGTGTGTATGCGACAACTGACAAGGCACATGCGCACACGCTACACGTGTGCGTCAGTGCGTATGCAGGTCTAAGGTAGGAAATGTAAAAGGTACGGTATTGGGGATGCGTGCCCTGCTGTGCTGGTAGCGAGCCAGTGTTAACGCAGTACTACCAGCTGTGCTTAAATCTAGGCACCGACATGTCGATCATGAGCTGGTACTCCTGAAACATGACAGATAAATTGCATTATAATACCATGTGTCAGTTAATTATTAATTAACATTGATTCATATATTTTATCTATTTCAGGCAATTATATCACCTCAACACACTTTATCAAGTAAGCTTTTTGTTAATCATTGTCTCGATATCAAATTTTTATCCTGCCAACTTTTGCAGGAAATCAAAAATAATGTGAAGCAAAGTAACCTTTAATGACCCGGGGCATAATATAAAATGGAAAAGCGAAGAAATTTCAATAAGAACGTCAAATTTATCTCGCCACGTGCGCGAAAATTTCCTTCGGAAACGTCTCGTTTGGCTGTCAAAGGAGCGTAAATAGGCAGGCTCGACGAGCTCTCGAGCTAACAATGAAAAAGCACACGCGACGACGAGAGGAAACGGGGGGGGGGAGGGATAAAGTAGAGGGAGGGGAGGAGAAGGGGAGGCAGATGGCTCCGCGAAATTCGCGAGCGATACCGTAACACGCACCGCCCTTCATTAGCGTGACCAGCGTATATGTAGCTTACACTTGACAGCTAAAGGCCACCGTCTTCGCACAAAGAGGCGAGGATTACCATCCCCCATTCCACCACCCTCTCGCTCCGTCTCTCTCTCTTTCTCTCTCTCTCTTTCGCCCCTCCTCGTCTCATTCCCATCACCGCGAACACGTCGCCAAAACACACGAGCTGGTGGCGAGGAGAAATGAACGCGAAGGCGAGTCTCGCTCGGATTCGAGGATGGAAAAAAAAAAAAAAAAACGCCGATAGGATCTCGAAACAAGGAGGAAGAATCTCGGGCGAGACGCCAGGGTCGCCACTCGTCGTGGCAAGCTCGCCGTTTTACCTTGCGTACGACGCGACGTTCGCTACGGCACATCCCGGACATGCGACATGCTCGAGGAGAGATGAGAGCTCCCGCTGGTCGCCACCGCGAACGAACGGCCTGTCCGCGGCCTGTCCAGCAGCACACAACACTCGCGCACTCCGGGTAGGGGAAGGAGGGATCCACCGTCACCCTGGAACGGACTTTTCGGATCCGCGACGACGATCGCGATGAGCGTCCTCTCGATATCATACGTCGACGGCGCCGCGCGGCCGTCACGCTCCGTGGTTGTCACCTTCGCCTCTCACAACACAACACTGGGAACGGCGGAGTCGGGATCGGCCGCCATTAAAATTCGACCGACACGGGGGCTCTGCTCCGCTGGCGCTCTCTCTCTCTCTCTGCTCCGCACGAGTTCCCGAGTGGTTGGGGGCCGTGGCTACGGCATGCGCCGCTGTTCCGTTCTCCGCTTTGCCTTCTCTCTCGCTCCCGCGACCTTATCTCGCGGAATCTCTTCCTCTTTCCCGAGAGAAACGCGTATAAACGTGTCTCTTTCCGCTCTACTGTTTCTCGTCTCTCTTTCGCGTATACGAGATTTGTATAGGACCCGCGTGTATTTGTATATGTGTACAGGAAGTTCCGAAACTTATTCAATTCTTCTCTCTTTCTGTCTCGCAAAGCTCTTTTGTAGCAATTTTTAAGAGTTTAGCTTTATTGGAAATAAATTGTAAATTATGTTATTTGTTTTATTTATAAAACTATTTTTTTCTCTCTGATATATAATTATATAATTACATATATATGTTTAATGAAACGTCAAAATGACACGTTTATTATTTCAAATTTATACAGTAGAAAAAGGCTTTTACAAACGACCAAATATGGATGAATATGTATAATTATATTGTTAAATTGCAATAATATTAGTTAAATTGCAAACACTTACATTTCATATATGTCGGAAAACAAACTAAACGCAAACTGAATACAAGAATTAATGAACACAAAAGAAATATAACAATCAAATTTTCTAGACATATTATTGACATGAATCATCGATATGGATTGGAATGACGTTAAAATTTTAGATTGTGAAAGCAATTATTACAAGAGGTTAATATCAGAAACAATACACATTAAACAACAACAAAAAACAGTTTGAACCTTATAGATGATATTGATTTATTAGACAAGGCTTATTTCCCGATTTTAAACAAAATAAACAAAATATAAATAAATTTCACCTTTTCTAAATAATATATAAAGATTGAGAGAGTGATTTTAGTATATTCAGCCTAATATAGTCGATAAAGAATAACACACTATTATGGAGATCGAAGCGAAAAATAAGAAGTTGTAAGTGTTTGCAATTTAACTAATATTAATTATATCTAATAAAATCCGTATAAAAGTTTAACTGTACGCTACTGTTAACATAGATTAAACATTAATTATTACCGACCACCTAAATTAATACGAAGAACATGGACATATTAGTATATATATTAAGATTTATAGTCTTATTTATTATAATTGTATTGAATTTAGCGATTGAGAAGTCACAAGTAAGTGACGCGAAACGTCTTGCATGAATTTATTGTAAAATTTATATTTTAAATACAGTAATTATATATACATATTTATCCATATTTGCTCGTTTGTAAAAGCCTTTTTCTACTGTATTAATTTTCATTTGATACGAGTTTGATAATCACATTGTTGTAATTTATTATTTCAATTTAAAAAAAAAAAAATTATTCTTAAATTAAATACATCGTGAAATTATACATCGAGTTTTCTAAATTATAATTTAAAATAAAATAAAATGATTACAAATGATATAATTATATATTCAGAAATTCTTTGTATATATATAAAAACAAATTTTCTTAATTTATTAGCATCAGATATTTAAAGATCAGCTTAATGAGATGCAACTTTTGAGACACCCTGTATTTATCTGTATCACCACATTCTCGTCTTTTTGTATTTGTACACACACACACACACATATATATATATATATATCTATCTCACCACGTTCCAGCATAAGATTATTCCATACATGTACATACACTTTTCATCGGTTATATTTGACATTCTACGACTGAATGTAATTATTCGATGAAAATTACATGCGATTTGCATGAAATAAATAAAAAACAAGAAAATTAGGAGTTACATTAGACATCAAACCTACGTGAAGTTAGTGCCGTACGATCAAAATGGCGTTTGTTAAGAGTACAAGCGGCAAATTCAAAAGGTTAAAATATTTTCAAGTTTAGGAAGCATATAGATCTGTTCTTTTCAGCTAAACTGGCTATATACTAGTTAAGAGTTTATCTTTTTCCTTCCAATATGGAATAAAAAAATAAACTCTGAACTAATGTGTAGTCAGTTCATAACAGACCTAATTAGTGTTTTTAGTTAGGTGCAAAAAAAATAATTCCATTATCATTTACTAGCTCCTGGAATTTTTAAGTTATGCATTTATTCTCGAAATCAGATCCTTTTTTTTAATTAATATATATCTATATATACTTACGTTTTCTTCTTTGTATAAATGCAGAGAAAGTATATACATACCTACCTAGAGTAATCTTATTATTCAATTATTAAATTAATTGAATTCATACAAGATGTCCGATCATCGTCACAATTTATTATTGTAAATGTTATTTACACATATCTAAGTTTCAAACATTCCCATAAAGTTTTCCTGTTCTCTTTTGTTTTCTGTCTCTATGATGGACGAGTCTGAATCTTTTGGCTGTGATTACTTCTTTAATTGTATAACAAATATATAGTAAATAACTAATATTAGTTAGTAATTAAGAATTCATATTCTCATGAACGCATAAGTTTAACATAATAAGTGTAAACTCATTCGTTCTGTCTTACCTCCCAGCACACCACGTTTCTCACTTTTTCAGTTTATCGTAGAATACATATATGTATACATATATGTTTGTATATCTAAAACATTGTGTCAATGTATATTCGAGATATTTTACTTAAATAATGTATTTCTTACAGATAGACTTCATTTTCGAAAGGGAAGTCTCTCTTTGTTTCTCTCTCTATGTATACACATACATATATATATATATATATATATATATATATATATATATATATATATATATAAAGTCAAACTTATAGCGTGTGTTCTAAGTAAAGATGATTTTTTTTTGTTATTACGATGCATTTTCTTAAATAGAAATATATCCTTCCTGTTAAAAGTTTTTTTACATCTTATATGTGACAAGTGATAAAACCTGCCGGCTACGAGAGGAAGGATTGTTCTTTTCCGGATATCGTATAAAACTTATAAAACAGAAAGTGCGTTTAAAATTTACGCCTAAAAAAGATATTATACACAGGTTCGGTGTATCGATGCTATAATCCAGCCTCCTTTAGGCCTTTAACGCGACATCGAAATCGAGATCGATACCGCAGCCCGCACTCTTCTATTTCCTGTTTAGAGCAAAATTTTTCTCGTTCTCGGTAACTAGTCTTCGATTCGGATTTAAACGGATTGAAACTGTCACTTGAAAGAGGTATTATTCTTCAAACAAACTTGCTGATCCGCTTAAACTTTTACTCTCTTTTTCCCTCTCATTTTTCTTATACATTCTTTCGTGATCTTCAGTCGAGCTGAAGATTATTAACAAGTTCAAGGAACCCATGTTCCATTCTTCACAGATCGCTCATGGCCATGGTTACATATTGGCATATATTCAACGTCATAGTTACATATTAGCACGTATTCGTACATATGAAAGGATGCATGATGTAAGAAGAAAAATAGATAATCCTGTTTTTGTATTTTTTTTTTGTACTTGTGGAGGGCCATTTGTTGTCTATAATTAGTCCGAGACACTGGCCAGTGCTACAAGTACAAAAAATAAAGGATCGTTATCTATTTGTGTTGTATCTCTTTATATATTATACATCTTTTCGTATGTACAAATGTATGCCAATATGTGCCAACAATGGCGTTCAAGCCACGAAAGGAATTTTTAGATAGTATTACGTATCTCATTTCTGTAACGTGTATTATGCATTAATAATAATGATGATATCACTAACGCAAAATTCTTGATAGTAATATTTTTTTTTTTTTTAATGTAGCAGCTGTATCTGTTGTAGATGTGACTGATGGTGATAGCAATGGTGGGATGTTGTTTAGTCAATAGATGAAGCTGCTTATCCCAGAGAAGGAAAGTCATTCTCGTCGTCTACCTTTGGAGCATTTTGACGACTTCGTGGTGACCTCTGTTCAGTTTGCGGCTACAAATAGGAAGCATACGATTTATACAATCTTTTTTTGTAAAAAATAAATTTATTATATATATGTGCATGTATGTGTGGATAATGCGAATACTCACGCGTGGTTCGTTGTCTCTGGGAGCACCGCGATTTCCAAATCCACGACCGTTGTTCATGCGATCACCACGACCACGACCACCTCGGCCTCGTCCGCCAGAACCACGTCGTGAATCACTGAATTGGATTTCGATACCTAACACACGCTTTTGCCTGCCGACACGCTGAGGATACTCGGCAGCAGCGTCATAATCTTCTTCCTCATCCTCCTCTTCCTCGTTGCCCTCCTTCTTCTTCTCAAGAGCATACATTTTCTTCCAGCGAGAGAGATCCTCACCTTCACCAGCCTTTCGTAAATTGTACTGAGGCTTCGCTCGGTTGCTACGCAGAGCTTTCCATTCGTCTAGAGTAAGCTCGCGCGTCTCTTCTTCGGCCGGTTTCTCTTCAACAGTTGTATCAGCAGTCGTTTCTCCATTTTTAACTTCAGTTGTCGGCTGAGGTTCGGTTTCTGGTTTTTCATTGTTCCATTCTTGAGTTTCCTGGTTAAGGCTTTCCCTAGGAAAAAAATTAACAATCAAAATTTTGTTCTTTAATTTGAGAAACTTGTCATAATTTTAATTATTATAGAAAATTTAAACCGTTTTAAACTCACTCAATCTCGTCATTATGGGTGCCCCAATTGTGGCTCCCAGCGCCATCTTTCTTATCTACTGGTTTGATACCACTGTTGATAAACAAATAATAAAGTAACTTTTAAATATATGTATACACAAACATTAATAAATTAAAACATATTAATCGAACTGTATTAATACTATTAAAAAATTAATTATGCATGTTTTGTTACAAATACTCTCATTAGTATTTTAGTTTATTTGCTATATGTATATAATTATTGATTAATAAAAGGATATAATTAATAATAATGTAAAAAGAATATTTAAGAAGCTATTACATTCACCATTCGCTATTCATTGTACATAAAATTATAATGTTATGATTAAACCACAAACAAAATTAATAAAAATTCAGATATATAAAAAGAGCGAAAAAGAAAATGGGTCTTGTTTGATGTTTTAAAAAGCTTTGATGTTGAATGTAATTACTATCTTGATATAGTGTACATGCTAGCCTCACAGCTAGCATTATCATAAAGAGATATCCGAGTATATCGTGTATGTATGCGTGCGCGCATATTTATTTCGATATACTTACGTTTTATCGGAACCGGACTGACGATCAAATTCGCGTTTGCCGCGATTATCAAAGCCAACGCGTCCACGTGGACCACGTGGTCCGCGTGGTCCTCCCATGTTACGCATGCCACCTCGGGCACCACGGCGCTCTCCATACTCAACGCGTTGAGTATTCTCACTCGTGTTCCGAAATTCGCGTGGCTCGCGACCTTCGCTGAAAAACGAAATAAAATATATAATTATCACATTTGCAAGCACTTTGGATGCACATTAATTATCTGCATGAATACACTTTTGGCTACATTTTATTCCAATTGCATATAATCATACATCGCACTCAACTCTTGGATACAAAAAAATAATATATTGCAAAATATGGTTTTTTAAATAAATATAAAATAAATATATATAATAATAAATATTACTCTAAAAAAATATACAAATTTATTCTATTAATGTTTGATCAAAATGGAATGCCAAATTTTTTTTTTTTTTTTTTAATGAAAGATTTTAACTTTTGTGTTGTGTGTGCGTAATCTAAATATTTCAAGATACCAAACTAATTTAATGATTATGTACTATTTATTGGTTGTTTTATAGAACTAACCTGGGAGGACCTCCTCTCCTGAACTCTCCCTGTCCTCGCGGTTTCTCTCCTTCTTCGCGATTTCTTCTATTATTGCGTTCTTCTCTAGATTCGCTGGAGAACTTTACGTTGCGATCACCACCAGTTGTCCTCGGTTGAGTTGCCTTTTTCTCTACTGAAAATATTAACATAAAACATTTAAATATAATATTTGTTTTCTTTCTAAACAAATACTTTTCTCAAGCTAATATATTTATTTCTAACAAAAATATATTTTAAATATATGCTACATAATTTTGATAGATTATCTTAAGGATGTATTGTCTGTCTCGAAAGATCAAATTCTAATTGATCAAAAGGTTTTTAAAAATCACGAAATCATACTTCAAAGTCTTCTTTAATATAAATAGGTCTTAGTTTCTAATAAAATATAAATTTCTATATATTTCCCAAAGAAAATACTAAAAATTTATGAAATTAAAAAAAGACTAAGCATTCTAATTCATATGATTTGCGTGCTTACCATTAGTCACACAAAGACTTCAATTGGGAAAAATCTCTTTAAATTCCAACGTTCTTTTATAAATATTTTCCAAAAGGTACAATTGAATCGAAAGACTTTCAATAATGTGCCTCACATTTAAAACAATGAATGAGCATACAAAGATGGACCAATGGACATTAGTCCTTTGTCTTCTCAAGGTATATAATAAAAAATCAACCATACACTGTTTCTAAAATATCATACCAATAAAAACTGGTCCAGAATAACAGATTATCCATCGCGAGGGTATAAAATACAAGAAATACCTGCGATTGAATAATTTCATTGAAGACGAGCGTGGCTAAAAATTGAAATAGAAAAAGATGACTAGATAAAGGGCCTCGTGTCTCGAAAAATTCCCTTTCAACTCATAAATTTCCCGGCATTCGGCCGAATTCGGCCCATCCTCCGCGTCCGAGTACATATAAGACCGCGGCGTGGAGTGCCTATTTTTAAATGATTTTCGGAAAATCTCGCAACCGCGTGGAAACGCTACTAAATATCGCAGCACGCCGCTCGGCGTGAAAATCCAGCGAGAGATCGATCGAGAGAAGGCGCTCGCGCGCGCGGGCGGGAAAGGAGGCAAAGGGGGGAGGAGAAAGGGTCGCCGATTCCCGGACGAAATTCGGGAGTCGGCACGAGCACATGGACAGCGAACACGAGGAACACCGCGGTCGATCGCGGCCATAACGCGCGCGCGACCAAGCGAGAGGCCGAAGGCGAGGAAAGAGCGAGAGAGATGGATGGAGGCGCCGCGGCGAACCGACTAACCTTGATCCTTTTTCGGATCCTGCGTCTTGGACGGCGGCTGCTGAGCGTCCTTGATGACGCGACTCTTGGGCGTCTTGTTGTTCGCGGCCTTCTGGCCGTCCTGCGGCTGTTGCTGCTGTTGCTGCTGCTGCTTGCTTTTATTCTCCTTTTCGGAGATTCTCTCCTTCTTCTTCGCCTCTTTCTCCTGCTCTCGTACTTTCAGCACCTCCAGAGGATCCTCGCTCTCGTCGAGCTCGAGCAGGAACTTATTCGTAACTGTGACCGTGTACTCGTTTTCCATCTTGGTTGTGTATCCTCACGTCGTCGAGGATCTTGAGGAGGTTTTCGGCTACTTTCGAGCCCTTCGGTAACGTGAGACACATTCACTATCCAATATGGCCGAGTCGGAGAACTCAATCCACCACGAGGTCTACCCTGCTAGGGCACGGTACGAAAAGAAGAAGGGGGGATCGCGTAATATCGCCAGCAAGCGCGCCATCTCCCCCACCAGGTGTACCGTGAGTCGTTTAGAGGATGTATCGTTTGGATCGACCGATTAAAATCGGTAGAACGAAACGTTAATATTCGAATCGTGAATTTTCAACCGATTTCGAAATTTTTCGCGCCAAAATCTATAACGATTTTCCACGAGAAAGACGCCTTCAGTCGCTCAAATGTCGCCGGGAAGTAGCGCGATCTCGCATGAGAAAAACGTGCTCGCGATTATCGAGAAGGTGCCGGTGTAAATAATCTCACGTTTCTAGGAAATCGTAATTGGCATTTTTTCCGATTATTTGTACGAAAAAGGAAGAAAAATCGCGGTAAATTCATTTATCTTGTTTTGATTCGATGGAAAGCCGGCGACCAATCGGAATTTTGGAAATTTCGATAATTTGTAGCTTTAATTCAAACGATCGATGAATTAAAGAGAAATCTTTATTTTGACGATACACTTGATTTTCCTTCGATGTATTTCAGGGAGATGTTTTGTCGTAAAGCTGCGTGTATTTTTTTTGGAAAAAAGAAAATAAAGTCATGTATAAAGCCGTATTTAAAATCTGCAATTGCTGCGTTATCTTTCTAGGGAAAATAAGATGAAACGATCGACCAATCAGGAGACGCTTCCTAACACGCCGATTGGATGTCAACTATGGAGTTTTTAGGGTCATGAAAGTTTCTAGGATAGCAGCCAATCATCGTTTGCCGAAACTCGTGGTGACAAAAATATGATCGCATCAAGTTTTCTGATTAGTTCGTGATATAATATGGCGTGTTTCGTCATCTTGAAAGTAAAATCCTGCGCATAATAGAATTATTTTAAAAATAATCGAAAAAACTCTAAAATAAAAATACAACAGATAATAATCCTTAAGGTTCGCCAGTAATAATTAATAAAAATCTCTCCTCAAAGTTAAAAGTCGACCAAACTGGCAATCATTTATTATAATAATTAGTTAAAATACAAATTCGAGTATAAGGGCTTTTATACTAGTCTATTATTCTCGAATTTGTATTTTTATACATATCAGTTTTTTTTTTCATTCTTTTTATTATTTTAAAATAATTCTTATTTCTAATATTTTCTCTGTTGTGTGAAAGGTCTTATATTCAAAAATTTGTATTTCTATATCAGTTTTATTATTTTCAAATAATTCAATAATATTTTATAATTATATGATTAATTAATAATATTTATAATTTATTATATATTTATATAAAAATATTAATAATAAAAATAATATAATTAATAATATTTTAAAATAATTCCTATTTCTAATATATTTAATATTGCGCTATATATGTTTAAAATATATATTTTATGCATTTATTTTTTCGTCCCAGGTAGCAAACAGACATCATTAAAGCACAAAATGACATAATTTTGACGTTTGATGACGTTTAATGTCAGCGTCCAACGTGAAGCGTCGATTGCTAAAAAAAGGAATGAAATAAAAAGTAATAAAAGCAATGTAATTTTTCCTTTCTCTCGAACCGATATCTGTTTGCCGCGTCCATGTTCGGCGCGCATGCGCGTCGGCCATTTTCCGCTGGCTCGCGCACGACCGTGCGTCTTTTGGCGGTTTACCAGTTGCACGCGGCACGCGTACCCGCGCGCGGCGGTAAAGAGGTCGCGCCTGTCGGCCAACCGACCGGTCAACAAGAGAAGAGAGTAGGAGAGCGGTAGTAACGAACGACAAGGCACGGAGACGGAGGTGGCGAAGGCGGAAGGTCCCAAAAATCCTACACACACACACGCGCGCGCACACACACTCGACAATCGAGTGAGAAAGAAAGGCGAAAAGAGGAAGAAGAGCCTCCGCAGCGAACCGGGGAAAACAGTGTGGGGTTTCGGCGCGGAATGGAATTGCACACGCCGAAGCGGGAGTCGCGAGCGTCGGCGGAGGCCCTGGATCGTAGCCCGTGCGACACGTACTACCCTTGGAACTGGAGTGAGCTAGTGCGAAACGTGAATCTCAGTCCGGGCAGCTCGTGCTCGTCCCCGGAGTACCGCGAGCACGGATTGAGCGGCACGGACGGGAGCGGCGTCCTTAGCGGAGGCGGCGTCCTCGGTGCGAGAGGCGGCGACCGCGGCGCCGGCTCCGAGAGCCATCGTCGTGGTCGCCCGCGCGCCGACGCGCTCACGAATCTCATGATGCAAGGTAGCACGTCGCCGAGCAACATCAAGTGCAAATTCTGCAACCGGGTGTTCCCGCGCGAGAAGAGTCTGCAAGCGCACTTGCGCACCCACACCGGTGAGAGAAAGAGAGACGTATACTAGAACTACCTGGGCTATTACGTCGTTCTCCCGGCTCGTCGACGACCGGGGCTCGTCGGGAACGTCGCCGTTTGACCGCCCGGTACCCTACCCGCCGAGAATCCGGCCGACTTTATTCAATGATCGCGAGAAAATCGTCCTTGCGATGATTCTGCGCGCGCGCGCGAGCGCGTGTGCTTCGCGTGTCCACGATGTGTGTTGTCTCACTCTATCTCGCGAGCTCGCGTCCCGCCAATCGGCCATCATGCCGCGCTTTAAATACTTAAATGGCTTGCCTCGCGTGCGCGTGTAATCGCAGCGTGCACGCGTTCGATTCCGATGCTCAAAGTTCGCGGATTGCGCGCCAAATTGCGATCTACGAATTTTGACTCGCCGAGGATTTCTAGATTTACGGTTTTGTGAATGAGTGAAAGAGAGAGAAAAAAAATTGTATTTATTACAAGCTCTGGGATGAATCCCCAACAATACAAAAAGTTAACAAAAGATAATGATGATATAGAGTTAAATAAATTATTGAAATTATTGTTAAAAAATGAGAGAGACTTCTTTGTCTACGGACAATAGAAGGATATTGCTTTGTGATTTTTAAATCATCTACGTGTCGTGTCGTGAAAAAAAACGTGCAATTCTCGAAAAAATTTTTCAAGCCAAAGGAAAAATTCGCAGAAAATATTTAAAAATTGATAAATATGTGCACATAGTGCAATATTTTTTCTTGTTTTATTATTACATTGAAAATTATAAGCTACATTAATAATTAGTAAAATTCTAAAACATTTTGATAATTTATATTTGCATAGCGCACATTAATTTGCAGTTTGCTCAAGAGATTGAATATTCCGTTATAATCCAAAAGTGTACAAGTCATTCATATATATAATTCCCATAACATAATATTCATTCTCTTGAACAAACTACAAATGCAACTATGTATCATATGTTAATTTAACGTAAATACTAACTCAAAAATTGTATAATTACAGGAGAACGTCCATATTTATGCGATTATCCTGGCTGTACCAAGGCTTTTACTCAATCGGGCCAGTTAAAAACTCATCAACGACTACATACAGGAGAGAAACCCTTTTTATGCACCGAACCAGGCTGTGAAACGAGATTCACTCATGCCAATAGACATTGTCCCGACCATCCTTATGCCAACTTAACAAGATCGGATGACTTTGTATTAAAACCAGTGTCTGAAAACATGGAGTTGCCGCACGAAGTTACTCGATGGCTGGAGCGTTACAAGATGGCGAGAGAACGGGAGGAGAAAACACCGACCGGAAAGAGCGAACGAAAGAAAAAGTCGTGGAAGAGCACCGAGAACCACAAAAGGATAAAATCTAGAAAAGGTCTGATGATGGATATAGCGGGAGAACAGGAAAATTTAGATCGCAAACCACCGAGTCAGCGACTGTACTGCAGTGAGAGTCAGGATAGTCAGGATAGCCAGGAGGACAGCCAAGATGAGGATCCGACAGGCACGTGCTGCGCGATACTGCAAACATCCGAAGACGAAGAAGCTTCCAATGCCAAGTTGGCGATGACACCGTCGAGAAGACCCTTGGACAGACTACAACCAAAGAAACGATGGCTACGATACGCTTGCCTAGAACAAGCACAGTTGGATCTGAACGGAGAAGTTAAATCCAACAGTGCGAACTCTGCATACAAAATTGACGAGAAGCAGAGTCTGAGCGGATCCACAGAATCGTCCGAGTTACATTGGTACACATCATTCGGCAATTCTGAAGCGGACAACAATATAGCCACATCGAGTATGGATAATGAACTAGCAATTCCAAATGCACAATTAGAAGAGCCTTCTTATCCCATCTCCTTGCAAACATGGGATATGAATCAGAATAACGAATCTCCGAAAGTGGTAGAGGGCTTAAAGATTGGCCAAGAGACTCTAAACAATTGGTGTTGTTACGAGGCATCAAATAACATGCCGAGTAATCAGAGTATTTTTAAAACTAGTATTAACGAATATATTCCGAAACCTGAAGATTCCGAATTGATTCATTTCGATTATTCGGAGCATACTATTCATAAAGAGACAGCGAATCAAGATACATTGTACAACTTTCACATCAGTGAAAACGAAACTAGACCAACAGTTCTAATGTTGGCTAGTAGTACAAGTGGCAGCAAAGTTGAGATCGTTCCAAAGCTACCTATTGTAACGGACATTGATAAAACGCATGCAGAAATAACCGATACTATGACAGAGGACAATACAGTTAGGTCACCAATTCAGGAAGACAATAAGAAATGGCTGGGCGCTCTGGCACTGATGGAATTGGCCAAGACGCAACAAGAGGTGCAGAGTTTAAGTCTTAAGCACGACGTAAGCAACGAATGTTCCACGGCTTTAGAACTATAGCCATTTATATAGACTGTGATTACTCTGGTTAACTTTGTTATTTTTATACGCAAAAAGAAAAAAGAAGAAAAAGCTCCTATGTCCATCCTCATGTAACACGGTCATTTACAAATGAAAAAAAGGCCTCGTATATTGTGAAACACATGTTCTTTTTATCGAATATTATTACTCCAATCTGTATTATTATCATTTTCTCATGCGATAAATTGTGTTTGTTTTAATTAAAATTTTTTTTTCTAAATTTTTTAATTTTATGTGTTAACATATTATTATGTTTACTTCTATAAAGCGGGAAATTATCTTACTATTACAATTTTCTTCCGTGTAATATTCTGAAGATTTTATTTCATGTGCAGCATGTTGCCAGCAGTTTGTTACTATTGATGAAGTTAACTGTACAAATAGCAAAGCAGAACACACAACTAGTTGATTCTATAATTATTATTATATCAATTAAATAATAGATTTTAAAAATACAATAGATGATTAATGAGAATATCCTTGAGATAACAAGAGAACAAAGAAATATGCTCTAATAAATTTTGATCATGTTACTGATTTGCTGCTGTAGCATGCTGCGTATGAAAAGGCATTTTGAGATTTCAAAATGTCTTGAAATCTTATTACTTTTATCATATATAATTGTTTTTCACACACATAGAATTGATTCATCTTATCATCAAATTGATTTATGAGTAATAGTTATTTCTTTAATCCATAATACAAAACGATATTGTTATAGCATGCATGTAAACATATATATCTATAATCTGTTAATTTCCTTTGCAGCGTCACAATTTATTGTATATTATGATAAGGACAATTTATTACTATATTATAATAAGGACTTGTGTGATACTTATGTTAAGTATAATAATAAATACGACGAGAAGAATATGAAATAATGTCAAAATTATTGAATTGAGTTTATAAAGAGTATTTAATTGGAACAAAATTATTTTATTTATAAAACATAATAAAAATATAAAATAAAATCCCAAAGATTAATTTTTATCCTCTATTAGAAATAATTTATAATTACATGTACAATATAGTCTTCTCAATTAAAATACAATAGGATACATTTTGTTTTTTTTAATCTTTCTGTTATATAAAAATAATTATTTTATTGTATTGATTCTACAGTTTTAAAAATATGCAGATTCTATAGCAATGCTTCTTTATTCTTCCTCTCTCTACAGCCCTTTCTCTTTAGTTTTTCTAATGCTAGATCTTGTTGTTCTTGTATTGAGCATTTTATTTAATTTTTCATTTTCTAAATGTTGTTTCAACAACCCAAGTTTAAAAAATTTCTTTTCATGCTGTGGAGTCTTCTGATCTTGTATTTGTTTATCGACTTTTGTTGGCGTAAAAAGATGGATATTCTCATCTGTCTTTTTGTTTATCTCTAAATTTTTTAGTAACTCTATGGCTCTATTTACATTTTTATTATAATCAACAGCTGTTAATTTAGTCTTATCGTTAAAAGTCTTCCTTCTTGATGTTGTGGTTGAGTTAATCTTGAGATTTTCCACTTTCTCTATTAATTTATCAATATTTTCCATTGTAGCAGGTTCATCTGATTTGTCTAACAAAACCATCAACTTCTGCGATATATCTGGAACTAAAGGCGATATTTCACTCATAATATCTTTCATCAATTTTCTCTGTGTACCATCTTCGTTTTCATTTAGATCATGTTTTGATTTTGTTTTTTTCAGTGCAGAATCTTTCGTTGGATTAACGTCATCGGATAAGTCTTTTTCCAAATTTTTTCTCGTTAACTTTGTATCTTGCAACTTGAATTTTCTAGTTGAACGTGTGATCAATGGTGGGGATAAGCTATCGTCATCTTCATCGTCGCTCCAAATCATATTGATTTTAGTTATCTTCAAAGCTCTTGGAGTCTTTTTACGTCGAATCGAAAGTGGTTTCTTGGCGCGATTTTGAACGGATGGTGTAACACAAACGTTCGAGTTGGTCAGAACTTCCGCGTAGCTGCTTACATCAATGTTATATGGCTGTGGGACTATAAACTCTGAAACAAAACAGTTATAAATTCTTTCTTGAAGCTAAATCGTGACAGAAAAAAATGTTACATGTTAGAGAATACATACTTGAACAGCCTGAAGATTCCAATGGCTGAAAATCATTGTCCATCAGTAATTCTCTAGCCGATATGTAGACGGGATGTCCTTCTAATTTATATTTATGACCTAAATCGATGGCTAAATTGGCGATATCCAACGCATCATGTTGTCTCGGGATTACATTTGTTTTTAAAAAATAATTAAAATCGATCAACAGATACACATAATCGATGATGTAGAATCGTGTTTGCCAAGAAAATCGCTTCACGCTCATTTCATCATCAGGCCAGTTTTCAAACAGAGCAGACTTCTCCTCCTTGAACAATTTTTGTCTTATTTCAAAAGCACCATAGAAGTGATCAAGCGCAATCGTGACTTGATTCTGCAAAGTGTACAGTTGCGCTCTGATGTAGGTGGTGACAAACACCAAATATTGATACGATACATTGTGGCACATGTAGCAATCGCAATTTTTGTGCAGCGTGAATGTCGGCAAATCGAAGATTTGTCTGCCGAGTACCGGCGAAGCGCTGAGCTGAGGTATATCTCTGACAGGATCGTCCACGTTCTTCGTGGGAGTCACAGCGAGATGGAAGGCGGACGACGTGTGCTTCTCTGTCTTAACATTCATCGACGATTGAAACGTCTCGATGGCCAGCATGTGCTCAAGACCTTGCAGCTTCACTTCACAATCATTTAATTGAGAACGTGATAGATCGATGTAACACAGTGACTTTAGAAGTTCGGCGACACGCAGCACCGCACCTAAACTTTGTGCTGATTTTAAATGTTGCACCAAGTCCGGGCTAATTCCACGAAAAGATAATAAACTATTCACTCTCATGGATAAATTAACTGCCGTAGTGAAAATCACATCGTAACTGAAAAGGTAATTCGCCTGACTTTTGCCTGTAAATAAGAGATTGTTTCATTAATAATAATGTCGCATGTATACAGTTTGGCTTTTGCTTCATTTAGAATTAAATAAAAATATATAAATAATTTTATCAATTATAATTACATTTTTTCACCAATAGATCTTGATTTAAGTATCTTGATGTAAGCAGACCGTTCACAATGTATGAACCGTACTCCTCGTGTTGCATATTATCATTATATAAACTGCTGTTGCATATAATAACATTTAAGATTAGTAAATACACAGCTGTACTGTCAAAGAATGTAATTCCTGGTAGACTTCTAGCTTCAGTAAGTAATTGTTTAGCATCATCACACTAAAAGACAAATATCACAATTATATAAAATTGTAATAAAATTATTTGTATTCTTTCTTCCTCTGTCTTACCTTTCTACATTCGAAATAGAGATCTGCTAAGCTTATCCAAAACATAGCAATAGCGGCAGTTACATTTTTATCTTCGGAATCTTTGTGCTTTACAGCATACTCCTTAGCAATGGCAATCCAATCATAATTAATATGTCTCAATGAAATACAACGACCTGTAACTATAGTAAGATTTATATTAGTCTAGACAATTCACACAGAAAATATTCTTCTCTTAATGTAATAAGTAATTCAATATACCATAAATAATTGAACAATAATCATCGATTTCTGTCGCTAATTTATACGCTAAGGTCCATGCTTCAGCTTCACAATCTTCGTAACGATATAGTCGAGAATATTCACCCGCTGTTATCAATATACGAAGTACGAGAGTCGGTTCCCAATTCTTGACAATCTCATTCTGTTGACAATACAATATTTTTTATATACAATTACTTTTAAACATTTTAATAATTATCTCAAATATAGTAAATACTTTTTATCATAACTTACAATATCATAGTCAAATAGTTGCTTCCATATCTTTAAACATTTTTGTAAATTTAATACAAGGCTGGAAGCTTTTTTTACATTTATCATAGTATAGGCAGGAACTATATTTGGCGATTTGACTTCGACAAGTTCTGGAATCTTGGGAGCACAAAGAGCAAATTTTGTATTTTCCATTTCCAGTTGAGTCTGCTTATTCATCGCATGCAATTCCTCCACAAATATAAAAAAGTTAAAGTTGGCTTCCAAGCACAAATGAGCTACAGAGTTCAATTTGTTCTGCTTCAAAGCAGATATAACTTGCTCGTGATATTTCAGAATAGAGCTGTCATATTCAAAAATTAATAAATAATGTCCTAGTAATTGTATTACATGGGCATATTGACAAATACTTGGCTTTAAGTTTTTAATTTTATCTACAACTGCTGACACACCATCGGTAAATGATATTCTTCCTTCTAGTAAACTTTTTGCTTCATATAAACATAACTTTACAAGATCATATTTGGAAAGATCAATTGATAAACTTATATCGCTCTTTATCTTGCACCTATCATTTTTCAGACAGTCCAGCATAGTTAATTGTTTATATTTCTCAGAAACACGTTTTTTAATGCTCGTCCATATGAGAAAAGCTTTCATATTTGATTCATAAGTTAACAAGGCATACAATGCAGATGCAGTCATGGCTTCACTGTACATATTATTATTATAATGCATAACGCTTAATTTATGTAATGCAAGAGGAACGATATTTTTGACATCCTCAGAGTTTGGTTCAAGTTTTTGAAATTCAAAGATGGAAGCACATAAGAAGGAGTATAAACTTGTACTCTCTTCATAATCATGTTCGGATAATATGCTTGTATTATAGATTAAAGTACGACAGATAGTCCACAAATGTATCCAGCGTTTACATTTGCATTTTTTCATTTCACAAGTAATCCACTTGACATTTTGCTTTAACGTTTCCCTAGCAATAACACATACTTTTTTTGGCATATCTTTCACACGATATTTACATAATAAACTAATACATTTATATTTCATTATTATAGCATTATACAAGTCCCTCTTAACTATACACATTTTGTTTTGGCACCATTTGCATTCAATTGATGCTTTTTTATTATAAAATTCATCTGCATCTATTTGTAGAATAAAGTTCATCACTTCCAACAAGACGCCAGTATCGAGCAATTGCTTTAGCACATGTTCATCACTTTCTATGCACATTTCCCAATATTTAAACATGGGTTCAATTATTTCTGCAATAATAAATGCATTCCCTTTAAGGCCTCCTGTGTAACCATATTTTCGTGCAATGTCTGATTGACAAGAAATAATATCTTGCATATTTTTGGCACTGTTGCTCATAAGATTCTCTATTGGCACTAAAAGTGTTGTACAGAACTTTTGAAGTTGTTGAAAGCACTCATAACATTCTTCATCTTCTGTTAAAAGAACATTGAAATAATTAAATAATTCATTAGACATTTTCACTGTACATCCGATATTCATCTTGTCAATAGTCCTACATATTACATGACTCATAATACAAAGTATACGATCATATATTACATATTTCTCATCCTTGGCTAAGTATAACTGAGTTTCTTTTAAACATTCTAATATATGTTTACAAAAGTTGTCAAAATACTTATTCTCTTTGTCAACTGTTGTCATTTTATCAAAATATGTGCTTATCCTAGTAATCAACTGCTTTGTATAATTTTTACATATAATTTGAGTCACTTTTATTTCATATTTTATAATACTTTTTAAATCATTGAATTCTTCTGCATTTAAAGATTTGTTGCGAGCAAAATAGACATTATTAGCAAAAATATACCACAAGGATAATACTTTTGTCAGCTGATTCATAGTATCATCTTGAGGACTGTACAAATTGCCAGGCTGCAGGTAATAACAGATTTTCGCTGCATCCTCATACAGATTTAAAGAGATTGTACAATGAATAATTTTAAATAAAATTTTGATAAACTTGTTGCCATCAGGTACATTAGTTAGTAACGAGCACAGCAATTTAGTTAATTCAGCTATATCCTTTCCAGTTTCACTGTTTGGTTTCTCTGCTGTTCGACACTTGTCAGCTGTGCGACATAAGTATAACAGCAATTTACAAATATTCTCATTGAACTTGTTCTTGTTTTGCACACAGCAAGTGCCCATCTAAGAGTATTGAAAATTATATAGAATTATGTAAAAATTATATAAAATCATGTAAAAATTGAATAAAATTATATAAAATTATTATAAAAATAAACTCGTTTATGGATAAGTTAAAGTGCATACCTGAATAAACGTGGATGCTTCTCGCAATTTCCCCGACTCTATTAAGTTTTTCCACATTTCGACCGTTCGATCATTCATTTCGTTCATTTTTATAATATTGTCAAATGTCAAAACTCATAAAATTATATAAGTTTTATGTTTAATTATATATGTTTTATTTCCTTGGTCTTGGACGAAATAAGGCACTGTAATTCACGCAACTTTGTTTATCGTCACCGAAGAAAAACCGTTTTACCAGATTTAAATTCCATGACGTCCTTGATGTGATCACAACCTCTTCGCGGGTCTTCAACGTTGCGTAAGGTAAAAATAAATCTCGCGCATGCGCTTTATTGGCGATTTTGATTGGCCGATGGAGAAATGGGAATCCCTGGGGATTTTTGAAATTTTTCTAGAAGGTATAAAAAATTCCCTAGCAAGTAAGCAAGCAAATAACGTCACGCGTACGTTTCCTGGAGTCTGGAGTCTAATCTTTGCAGTTGGTGTAGGATCAAGCGGGTTTGTGTAATCGAGTCTTTTGATCGGTGAGTTAAAATTCGTCGAAAATGGTTTCGAGGACGACGTCGAGGCGGATTCCCGAAGTGGAGCCGCGTATAGATTACGTGCAATGCGACGGACTCGTGGTGATGAAGATGGTAAAGCATTGCCACGAGGAGTCCTCCGGCAACATGGAGGTCGCCCAGGGCGCTCTACTTGGCCTGGTGGTACAAAACCGCTTGGAGATCACCAACTGCTTCCCGTTTCCCAAAAACGACGAGATCATGGACGAGGAGGAGTATCAGCTCGCGATGATGCGAAGATTGAGATGGTGAGGCTCGAGATTTTCGAAGATACTTTTAATAATAGAATTTTAATTATGATAATATATAATATAATGTATAATATATATATATATAATTTTTTTGTCATGTACGCAGGGTAAATGTCGACCACTTCCACGTCGGTTGGTATCAGAGTGCAGACGTTGGCAACTTTTTGAATCTGTCTCTGCTGGAATCGCAGTATCACTATCAGACTTCCATCGAAGAGTCAGTTGTGCTTATTTATGATACAGCAAAGTCTGCCAGAGGTTTTTTGACCCTCAAGGCGTATCGGCTCACTCCGCAAGCGATACAAATGTATAAGGAGAATGAGTTTACCCCGGAAGCTCTGCGTACTTTGAAGATTGGATATGAGAGTCTCTTTGTCGAGATCCCAGTAGTTATAAAGAACAGTAACTTGACGAACATTATGATGTCAGAGTTGGATGAAATGATTCCCGAGGAGCAAGGCACAAAGTATTTAGATCTTGGTACAGCTACAGTTTTGGAGAATCAGTTGAGATGTCTGATGGATCGAGTCGATGAACTGAATCAAGAAGCTATGAAGTTTAACAGATATCAACAATTGGTAGTTCGGCAACAACAGGATAAGAATAGGCTTCTGGCTAAGAGGGCTCAGGAGAATGCAGCTAGAGCTGCAAAGGACGAACCTCCGCTACCCGATGACGATATTAACAAACTAATGAGGCCTCTACCAGTTCCACCAAGATTAAATCCAATGATTGTTGCTGGACAAATTAATACATATAGTGAACACATCTCGCAATTCTGTTCTCAAAGTTTAGCAAAATTGTACATCACTCAAAGTTTACAAAACGCAAAGGAGGCAAAGTCTTCCCACTAAAAAATTAACATATTGTGAATGTTTATATTTAAAATATTGGAAGAGAGGTGATTGCAGAGAATTAAATGGAAAGAATGTATGATTTTCCAAACAAGTGTTTATTTACTCAATGTACCTTCTTGAATCGAGTATTATTCATTGATTTTAAAAGAAGACTGTACATTATATATTATTTTCTAATATTTAACAATTAAAAATTTAATTTATGTACATTATCTGAAATTTAAAAGCTATTCACATTTGTCATTAACTTACAGAATTATTTGTCACATTCAGTTGCCAGACTTTTGAGAGTATGTCTCCGCATCTTCCCTCCACTCTTAAGTTCACAAATTCATCAGCTCTAGTTTTGCCAATATTTACTATTGCAATGGGCTTCTTGGCATCTACTGCTTGCAGCATAATTCTATATGCAGAAAACGTGGTAAGAGTCGTTCCCAGAATTAGCAAAGCATCTGACTTCTCAACATTATTTTTCACACTTTGTACTGTATTGCTTGGTACATTGTCTCCAAAAAATACAATATCCGGTTTTAAAATACCCCCACAGTTACTGCAGGCAGGAACATTAAAATTTTCAACTTGGGTCTGTTAAACATTTTTCATCATTAATATAAAATATCACAAAAATATATACATATATGTAAATATGAAGACATTGTATTTTACCTGTGATAATTCTACATCTCCATCTGGTCTTATCATTTGAGTAGTTGCAACCATAGATGGATTGAGTTTCTGGAGGATCTCTTGAAGTTCGTATCTATATATTTTATGATCGCAGTTAAGACACATAACTCTGAATGCTGTTCCATGCAATTCTATTACTTTTTTGCTTCCTGCTTTTGAATGTAAATTGTCCACATTCTGTGTAACGATACATTCTACTTTTCCAACATATTCCAAGTCTTTTAGTATCTTGTGTGTAATGTTTGGTTTAAGAGAGGAAAATCTGCAAAAAGATTCTTCATTGATTATTTTCTTACCAATGAATAGAAAGTTAAGATTACAAAAAGATAAACCTTAGCCATCCAACATAGTTTCTAGCCCAGTATCGTCTTCTTATTGCTTCGCTACTACAAAATTCCTTATAAAGAACCGGTTTATGATTGCTACGTGCATAAAGACCCACTTCTTCCGATCTGTAATCGGGGATGCCACTTTCCGTGGATATTCCTGCTCCAGTTAATACACACAAACGACAATGTTTATCGATAAACTCCTTCAATCTCATCACATCTTCTGTTCTCGTTGGTTTGCATTTTGGAACAAATGCAAGACTCGATTTATACAAGCGCGCTGCAAAGTGAAAATGTTAATATAATTCTTACGAGCTTTTAGAATATATAATCATATATTCTATTACAATCTACAAAATATTATTTAAATATTATTTTAATATAAATTATTTTCGATTTTATTTACATCTTAAATATAACCAAATATTACTCACAACACAATTCTACTGACATTGCATTACAATAAATATATTTTGTAATCATGATCTATACAATTTTTATTACATTATTATAAATGCTAAACACATGTATTAAAAATAAACATCCAATATATTTCATCGTTTTTTTATCATGTCGTGATATCATTTTATCATTTCACAATATGTTACAAATGCAACAATTAACCAATCAGCTGACAAGTTGCTTTGCTCTGATTGGTCAATCCGCAACTGTCAACCGGACATTTAAAATTATGTAAATTGTGAATATATATTTAACTTTATGTTTTTTAAATCTGATTAAGAACAATTTATGTTAAAATAATAGTAACAAAAAATGATAATTTTATTTATTTTGGAAATAAAATTAATTTAAAATAATGCAAAAAATAGAAAAAACAGAAAAATTATATAATTATAAAAATACTTAAACAAAAGTAGGATTATGATATGCAACTATGTAAGTGTAAATAACATAAATAAATGATAAATTCATTATTATTACTACTATCTTATATATTACTTTCGATTTTGTGATGTTTTATTTTATTATTATATCAATGTATGTATAATATTAAAAGTATAATTATAAATTATTATTTTCTTTCTTTATTATTATTTTCATTTATTTATTATTTAGCTATATGGTATTTATATTTCATCAATCAGAGCAAAGTTCACTAAACTTGAGATTAGTTTTCTTCATTCTGATTGGTTAACATATTTCCGTCTAAATTTAAAATAAAAAGTAAATTAAATATCTTTATATCAATATAATTAGAATAAATATAATCATTATTTGTACAATTATTATTATTCAAATACAATTGTCATTGTTTATATATCATAATTTATGTTATATAATTTATCATATATATATATATATTAGTTATACTTATTGATAACATAATATAATGTAATAAAAAACAAATTTTATTTTAACAATATTTGGAAACTTAGCATATGTTATAATTCTAAATCATTCTATTCTTCGAATAATTCCACAAAGTTAAATCTTCCCGCGCGCTCGTGGTACACTCGAAGAAGAGATTTGATTGGTCCCGCCATTTTGCTTCAGAGCCAATGGGAATCGTCCTCGATGACGCAGCGCCCTTCTGACAAACGGAACCTCGCGAGTTGTCCCGCATCTCATAATTTCGTGAGTTCCTCGGGCGAAAGAGACGTTCGGCCGCGTCGAGAAATTCGCGGAGAGACACAACAGAGAAACAGCAGCAGCAGTAGCAGCCGCCGAACCGAAGTGGGGATCGAGTGCAGCCATTTTCTATTTTTGCATATAGCACTGCGAGAGTGAGAGCCCAGTGTCGTGCGTGTGTGTATACGGGTTTGTTTTTTTCTCCGATTGCGTGCTAGAGTGGAGGATCGATGGACTGACGAAGACGAGAACGAGGACGACAACGACCGATCCTGGCTGGAAAGCTCTCTCTCTCCCTCTCTCTCTTTCTCTCTCTCTCTCTCGTGCGACATGAGATGATCGTTCGGCGAAACACGACGGAGGAATCGCGCGATCGCAAAACCCATCCGTTTACGCAGCTTGGCGTGTAAACTCTCTCTTCGAGATATATAAACCCGTATAAACACATTCTCTCTTTTCTTCCTTTCTTTCTCTCTCTTCTCTCCAGGTCTCTCTCCTCTCTTTCCACCCTTCTCTCCCCCTCTCCCTTCTCCTATCTCTACACACCATTCGTTCATCTCTCCGAAAACAGCGAGAAGTACACATCGCCGAGCTGCGAAAAGAGACGTCAGATAGAAAGGAAAACCAGTCTGTGATATTAATCAGTACTAAGCAATATATATAACCTATATATATATATATATACAAAACTATAGAGGTGTAAATTCTCGTGTACGTATATAAGGTGTGTTCGTGTGTGTGCGTGTGTGATCGCGCGCGAATCTGTGTAAGTTCATATATACATATATATATATAGATATATATGTGTGTATGTGCATCGCCGCTCGTGTAGTACGAGAGAGGCGTAGATAAGGATCGCGTCGAGGAAGGATTCGTCCCGGAGGAGGGAAAACTCGTCCGACCGAGGAAGGACGGAACGCGCAGGACATCCTCTCCTGGAGATCGAGGCCGACGTCGTGCTCAGCGGCGCGATGTCCGTCGAGTCCGTGACAAGTGACAAGCAACCGCCAACGACGACGACGCCGACGACGACGACCGCGATGACGACGACGACGACGGCGGCGGCAGCGGTGACGTCGTCGTCGTCGGCAACCGCGACCGCCAAGAAGGAAGAAGGTACGATTGATCACGCATCTGTCTTCTATATCTGTCTCTTTCTCTCTCTCTCTCTTGCTCCCCTCTCGAACCACCGAAGCGACGCTTCTCGGGAAATAACCCCTCTGAATCGACAATTTATTCAGTTTCTCTCTTTAATCGGATGATTTGTTTTAGCTTTGGTGGGTTTTGAGGTTGTTTGTTGGATTTTCGGCGAAATATGAAGTGGACGATTAAGGATGTTGCGAGAGGGAAAATTGTGAAAGAAACAGATCTGGTATATCTTTCTTTCTTCGACTCGTTGGGTAGAAATTAAATTTGAATTTGAAAAAAAAGAAAGAGCGATCTCCGATATTTCTGTCGGTTGGATTAAATATTTTTGAGGTACTTATTATTTGGGTTCTCTTTTTTTTAACTGTATGTTCCTTTTGCTAGATATTTAAAGAATGTATCTCGATTTGACTAACTCTACTTTTTGTAAATTTTAACAATTTTATTAATTACATAGATCAGAGCACGATTGATGCTTTGATTCGTATAAAAAGATATGTTTATATAAAAATAAGGTCATGTAAAAGTATCTCTAGAGTCTCTTATCAGTCCTTATCATTATAATTAAACAATTAACAAGATTTTTATGTTTATTTTTTATCTTTCTTATTTTTTTAATCTATTTTTAATGTACATCTATAATAGGATATTTTTTCTTACATTTAGGACTCGTAACATTGATATGCTAAATCTTTCTGATCAATTATACTTTCTTTTTCATCTAGATTGGTCTTTGATTTGTTTCTGATTTTTATTTATATGCGTATACATATTTTTGTGTTGCGTATATATGTTTTTTCACTTAAAAAATATTTAATTAAATCAAATTAAAATCTTGTATATACCAGTACAGTTTTTTCAGAGCAAAGAATACTATTTTGCAAAGATTTCAAAATGTGATATTTGATGCAACTGTATCATAAATTTGTATGCACTTGTATTTTATTTATTATTTTATTATATATTTTTTATTTGTATTTTTTTAAGAGAAATAATGACTTTTAGAGATCCTTCTAAATGTGACAATCGATTTAAATATTTATATTATCTTATTTGGCGAATCAAGTCCCCTCTCGACTAGGATCTTCTTCAAGAAAGGCTTTCATTGGCTTATCAGAGTATTATCTCGTCTGAAAGCAGTTTGAATTAGTCAGTCTGCACTATACTGTGCTTACACAAGTGTTTACATATATTTCTTCAATACAAAGTCGCGTGCGAGTGAGATAAGCGGTGGAATACCTACGTAAAATCGCCTATTTCTACGCATCAAATAGCTATTTTTTTTAGAATAGAAGTAAACAATTTCTGCAACTTGATATATCATTGTTTAACATATTTTTTCCTCGTTACGAGAAAAAAAAGGAACGTGAAGAGGCAAAAGAATTTGTTTTCCAAGTTGTGCTTTGTTTCAAAGGACGAAAGGTCCTGACGAACCTTCCCGGTATTATAGTCACCAGTTGGCTTCAAGGCCAACTGATAAATTCCGAACACTTTTTTATTTCATGCATACATTTTGAAAATTTTTTAAGTAAAATTTTAAAGGGTTGAAAGAGAGGCTTGCTCTCAGGCAAGGTTCCTTCGCAAGAGAGAATAATTTCATTTTCGACGACTCGCGGGATCAACGTGTTCGTGACGGGGCTTGGATTTGGGAATTTGCCCGAATTTGCCCTTCACCTGTTTGTTTACATTCTGTCGAGACGGTTGCGCGAAGAGAGACACAGAGGGAAGACTCACACGTACATATACATACACAGTTAGGTAGAACGGAGCAACCGGGTAAGAGAGGCCTTTCCTCGAGGAGTGAGTTTATATTCAGTTCACTCGGAACGAAGACCAGGACGTAGATATTTGTAGGATGAGGTTCATTGCCGTGAATCGCTTCATCGGTTCGAACTGGTACCGGCGACCGCGGAAACGACCGCTGGTCGGTCCGACTGGCTCCCCCTTCTTAGACATCCTTGTTATGCAGACCAGAGCTTGCCACTGGTTCCGGAAAAACAAATCTGTCAATCCTCTAAAGCGAGTGACCTTCCGTAAGTACGGCCGAGTAATTTCCAAACGGGATTTTTGCTCGGACGATCGAATAGAAAATTCATAGCAGGTCGTTATCTCGAAATTTTAGTCGAGATCGGGACGATTTTTTTTTCTACGTATATTGTGATTTTCATTTTTTTTCTTTGTTATTTTTTCAGGGGATGAAGCCATTATATCGATGTCTGTGGCCGGGGAGGTAACTGACGCTTCGATCATGGAAGTAGGCCGTTCTAGACCTCAGTTTCAATATTCTCGGGTAAATATCACTTTGCAAATGTTATCGGAATTCGTTAAAGTGAATTGAGTCTCGCGATATATATGTATTATTATTTACAATCTTTTTTGTGCTTCCAGGATGAACTGATGGTGATAAAAGACATGCGATTATCCAAACGGAGGCCTGCGGTCCTAGACAATGCTTATAACAAGTATGTTACAAGAGCGTATAAGTTTTTTTTAGAATCTTCGATGTATGTTTATTCTGTTGATCGCTAATTATTTTTTTCCTCGCAGCTCACGAGGTGTTTGGGATCCCGAACGTTGGCATTCGGATAGAAAGCGTAGCGATACACCCCCGAAGGAAGAAAGGACCGGACGTAGTGATCAAATCACTGAGAATCATAGTAAGCGACGTAGTAATGGCGATCCACGGGACCGAATACGTAAGGAGCAAGACGGCATTGTTTTGAGCCCTCAACGAAGAAGTTTTAATTCGGGATGTTACGTTAATGTCAATCAGCCACCAAATCGGCGTCCAGAAAGTCCGATCGGCAAAACGGAGGTATATATAAACTTATATTTACTGTATAATTGCTTTTATATTAAATACAGAGTGTTTCAGGAGCAATAGTCAGTATTCTAAGATTTGATTGTACACAGCATTTTAAGCAAAAAAAGCTCATATAAACATGTGTTCTATTCGGGACGGTTATAAAGATACAGCGTGTTTAATCTTTACAATGAATATATTTATTAACTTAATATAACCAAATTTTTTGAAAAATTGCATTCACTTTCAAGCTTACAATAAACTTGAATAATTAATATTTAATTAATAAACAACTTTCTCTCTTTAATTATTAATAATAATTTTGCATAAGTATATAAGAAATTTCAATTATAGCAGAATAAAAAATTTCAAACTAACACAGGACGAAAATTTGAGGTAATTGTTTCATAATATTTGATTCTATTTTTATAAAAGTATTTGTTCTTAAAATTGAACATGTGTCTTTATAACTGTCCAAAATAAGATACATGTTTATATAAACTTTCTTGCTTAAAATGATATGTACAATCGTATCCTAGAATGCTGACCATTCCTCATGACACACCCTGCATATATATCACTTTTCTGTATTCTGTTTGTAAACACAGATATTGAATAATTTCCAGGTCAGCCATCGTGAACCTGTTCGCCGAATCGGTAGCGGCAGGATTCTGGCGCGAGATATATGGGATTTTAGATCGGAGAATGAAAAGATCGAATCCGAGCGCGCGGATTATGGTTTTAGATCGGGCACGGCAGCTGGCGGTCCTCTGCGTGATCGTGACAACAGAGATAATCGCGATGGGAAGGAGCGTGACAGGGAGCGCGACATGCGAGAGAGGGAGCGCGATCGGGACAGTCTGCGCGAGCGGGACGAGAGATTCGAACGGAGATCCTTCGGTCGGGATTACGGCGATCGCGGCGAGAGAGAGCGCGATCGCGGAGACAGAGGAGGATCGGAGCGAAACAACGAGCGGAATAGCCATCAGACAGATCGCGACAAAGATCGCGGCCGCGAGAAGAGATTCAGCAACGACCGTCGACGGACTTATAGTGACAATCGCGATTCAATGGACGAGCCCGAATGGTTCAGCTCGGGACCCACGTCTCAGCACGACACGATTGAGTTAAGGGGCTTCGAGGATATTCCGGAGGAGAAGGCTGTGAGCAACAGTGGTAGTTCCAAGAACAAGAAACAGACTCCCGCGCAGAAGAAGCGAAACAAGAAGAATGCTGTGGAGAAAGACGACAAGCCGAACGAAAACTCGGCGGGTCCTAAAGGACGTAGCACTCCGACTGTCATGGATCAACCTCTAAATGCTGTGCCGGCGCCGCATTCTCCGATTTCGGAACAGACCGAGCAATCTTCCAGCATTCAGAGTAAAGAAAATGACATCAGCGAGAGTACCGTGACCGATCCGACAACATCCGAGTCGACAGAGAATTCTAGCGCTAATCAGAATCAAGAGGACTCGCATCCCGATTTTAATCTGGATGATTTCCTGAAAGCTGAAACGTTCCCTGGCGTATCTGGACTGTTGACAGTGAGTCATCTTTTTAATTTTTATATATTTTTGCATCTCTGTAATATATTTGAAATAATCTTGCAATTATTTTTGAATCATTTGAACAAATTTTGTCCTTTTTATTTGCAGAACGGAGTTGGTACGAATAGTGGCACTGGTTCTCGATTTAGTCAATGGTTTAAGAGGGAAAGTCCAATTCAGCAGGCGGATAGTCGTAGGGCTTCCATACAAGACGAACTGCTGAACAATTTATTGAACGACATCAACGAGCCAAATATTCAAATACCATCGGTGACGGAATCAAATGCCTACTTTGCTCCCATTTCTCCAGCTAACACGACAAATAATGCTAACTCTGCTACAAATGGCGTAAAGTTACTCGAAATGTTGCATCGCGGTAATAAACCGAGTCAAAATGGTCAGGGTGACGCATCTAATACAGCTATCTCTATGAAAAACTGTTCTATTAAGGATTTGGGTAAGTCATGCAGATTTGTATATCCTTGTATAAATAGATTATATAAAACATAAATGTATATGTATATATATATATATTTTTTTTTTTTAGAAATTGGTGGGAAAGTGCACAGTTTGGAAGAATTGGAAGCACGCATGCGGGGTGGTGCTCCTCCACCTGCGACTTCGACTGATACACCCCATGTAAATAAGACTGAAGAAGATCTCTCCGCTTTTAAAAAATTGGTACGTTGATTACATTGATTATTTTATTTTATATAAACTTATTGACAAAATGATTTAGCTTGCTCAAATGAATGGAGGACAAGCTGTGCCTGCAGCTAACGGACCTATCACACAAAAGCAACCTGTAACATTAATGCAAGTACGTTTAGATTTTATGATTTTTCTTATATTGGATCTTTTTTATATTAATTACATGCATAAGTAATAATTCGTGTTATTTTTCAGCTACTTAATTCGCAATTAAAAACACAGCAGCAGCCGTCAATACCGCATCAGCAGCCATCTACAGAACCGATCCATACTACGACGTTTAATCATGTTGGTCCCCTTGGCCCTGCTCAGCATCCGCATCAGGCTCAAATGCAACACGAGAATCTGATGAAAGTCTTGCAAATACAAGTATGTATCTATAGCACTTTAGTTATTTATATCTTCGCGATGAAAGAATTTTATAAACATTCTATGTATATAATTATATAGCAGCAGCAACAACAGCAGCAGCAACAGCAAAAACAACGACATTCCGATATGTTGTCAATGATGATGGGTAATCAGCGCATGCTAGGTGTCAGTCCGGTACCGGCGGAGATGCAGATGATGATTAATAACATCCCGTCAAGCCAAGAACTCTTACAACGACCAGAAGCTCAAGCGATTATTCAGGGTCTGCAGCAAGGGGAGATCACCAGACAACATCTGATGCAACAGCTGCAGGTAAGTTTATTCATAATCAGTGTTGTGCTTAGATGATTTTAAAATTAACTAGATAAAGATAAGATGAAAATATGCAAATTAATCTTAGATAAGATAAAGATGATTTTGTTTTAAAAATATCTAGATAAAGGATAAAATTATGGCGACTTGTCTAGATAATATCCAGATAATATTATTTTTAAGACTGCTTATGTAAACACAATTATAAAAAATATGTAAATTATAAAAGGGATATAAAAATATATTTATATTTTTATTTATAAGTTTTTTATCACTTACTGCTTAAGTTCTACTACTAAAGTATTTTTGTGGGCTATAACTCTAAATCAAATTATCTGAACATTACTCTAGACTCTAGATAATTTAGTAAAGATAATATACTTTTTTCATCTCTAAGTTGCAGATATAGATAATGCATATTTTTATCATCTATATAAAGATAAAATGACGCCAAAATTTCATCTAGATAATTTTATTTAGATAATAGCAAACACTGTTTATAACACATATTGCACATTGTTACATGACAGTCATAATTTTAATTGTTTCGTCCATAGAATCCCGCTATGCAGCATCGCCATCGAGAAATGCTGGTGAATATTCTGAAAATGTACGGCGGTACCACGCCTCGTACCATAAGTCCACATCCTCATCCGGCTCCTCCTACTCATCAGGATCATATGTTGCAACAGATGTTGTATCAACAGCAACAACAGAGGATTCCGTCTCCGATGAGTAACGGTAAGATTTTATATGTAATTCTTTTTTTTATTTTTCTCTCTTCAACATTCCTTTTTAAGCGAAAACTTGAATCGAACGATTTTATATTATGTTTGGAATGCAGCTTATTGTCCACCTCCGATAATATCGTCAAATTTACCAGCTAGTCCTAGTACTTTAACAGTACAGCATCCAGGTAGTATATAATAAATGAACTTTGTATTTTTCAAAATTTGTTATATTATCTCTTGGATATGAAAATATTTTTAATTTGAAGAAAGACATTCATACATTTAATAAAATCATTTGATAAGTTTGATAACTTGATATTAGATTTGTTATAAATCTTGAGCAATATTAACAAAATTGAGGAAAATTGTGTTGAAAACAAATTTGATACATAAATTATTATTGTTATAACAGTGATACCGCACAGAGTACCGTCACCACGGGAGATTGTTATGCACACACAATCTATAATGCAAAGTGCTTTGATCAAGAAAAAATTGGAGGAGCAGCGTGAGAATTTCCGTAAGCGGCAGGATCAACAGCAACAGCAGCAACAAGTACAGCAGCAACAGCAACTGCGCGCGTCGAGTCCTGTTATTAATTCACCAGCTAAGCAAACAGCGAGTCCACTCGCTTTCACTCCAACCTCCGTTTTACGTAAAATGACTGCTGACAAGGAACCCGACGGTGCGAATCAATTCCACAAATTAGAAACGACTTCTATTATACCCACAATTAATGGAAATGTTAATCACTCTCGCATGTCCGGAGATCAAAACCATCGAGTGCATACCGCCGTTCCTTCCGTTGATTCATCTAACTTTTCCAACTCTGTCAATCAAGTGCATAATGAGACTCTTAAAATGATCTTTCTACAATCTGCTTTAACTAATCGCATGAATAATAATACTTGCAGTACGGAAGAATCGGCATTAAAAACCAAATATTCGTGTTCGTTACAACAGGAGAAAGATATAAAAGATAATCCGGATAATAACACAACGAAGGAAAATGCTTTCCTTGATGTTAATGAAAATGCAAACGACACTGCAAAAGTATCAGAATCTAACGTAATAAATGTTGATAACAGTACCAACAATAATGATACCAACAATAACGATACCAACAATAACTATACCAACAATAACGATTGTGTCTCGGTTGATGAGGCAGTAAAAAAGTCATCCGAACTGGAAACGCTGACGGTAGACGAAAATAAACAAATAATCGCATTGCAAACGGAATAGGAAACATTAATTCTTAAAATACTAGTATAATTGCAAGTCTTGATAAAGATATTTAATTGTGCTTTCTCCTAGCAGATGGAGAGTTTCATAAAGTGCACATTAATCTGTTATAAAATATTTTTGATTGCTATGTTCAGATTTTTTTTATTATTTTTGCGATTATAAAACGAAAAATATTTGCCGTTTAATTTTTTCGCTGGACATTTCAGAAATGCGATGTTGTTTCAAGCCTTGAAAGGTCATGGGAGAGAATCGGCATTAAAAATATTTGTGTGATAAATATCTGTCACATCTTTCTAATATATATCTATATATGTTCTAAAAAATATCTATATATGACAGATATTTAAAAATATATTATTTTTATTTTATATGTGATGCAAAAAAGCACTTTATAAAATAAACTCTTAATAACAAAGATTTATTACAATTCTTAATAGAGAGTGTTGAAATAGGATTTTTTTAATAATAAAAGGCTTTATCTCATCTTTTTTTTTAACTTTTCTTTTACACATGCTCACATTTTTTCCTATTAATAGTGTTGCAATTGTTTATCAATAATATAAGCTTTTCTTTTTTTTCCTCTTTTTTCTCCTTTTTCTTTCTCTTTTTCTTTCGTTTCTATGTTGCTTTGCTTAAATCATGTGTTTGCCAAATTTGCATGCAATCATATTATATAAAATATTAATGTAATATATACAGTTAACCGTATTTGTTACTATTATAACATTATAATATCAATTATTAATAATAGCATAATATAGAGAGTGTAGTTAAATAATCTAATATATCAATAATTTAAATTGATAATTTATATAAATTATATTTTAAGAAAACAATTTGAATGATAATATCCAAATAAATATTTAGAGCATGTTTCGATATACTGCCAGTACTGAATCTATAATTTACGTTATGTAAATTATATTTTTAGTATTGGCAGTGTATAGCAAAACATGCCCATAGTAAGTATATTGTTGATGTTTCCAAGTCTGTAGTGATGTGTATATATGTATATACATATAAAATTGAAGTTGATTAAATTTATATATAAGATTTAATGCAAATTGAAGATTTTAAACATTTATTAAATGTTTATATACATTAAATATTATAGTATAAATTTAAATTATTATATTTTTTTATCAAGTTAAATCTTTCGAGGACGGAAAAAGAGCATTAACATTAACATTAAGAAAGCATTAACATTTGTTTCGTGTTATAAATGTTTAGCTTTAAGCTTTCATCGATTACTATTATAAATTCGTTTTTTTGTTTAAATACAGGTAACGGCAGCGACCCGTCAAAATTATCCACACAAACTCAGGCTTCGCAGATGCAACAAATGCAATCGGCGGTTCAGTTACTTACACAAGGAGCTCTTTCGAGACATACTGCGTTACGACCACAATCCGTTCCATCGACATGGTCGAATTCGTCACAGCTTAAACAGCATCCAGGTTATTCTTTTAACTTTTATAAAATTATATTAGCAGAAAGGACCCTGCACCACATACATAGGATTTTAGTTTTCAGTGGAATTGATTGTCTTTCACATGTAGCTTATGTCCTATTGAACAAAAGATATAATAATCTCAAAGCTAAATATTGGATAATTAATGAGCAGTATTTGCTATTATCTAAATGAAATTATATAGGTGATCATCTAAATGAAATTTTGGCGTTATCTTTATATAGATAATAAAAATATGTATTATCTATATCTGCATTTTAGATGACAAAAAATGTTATCGTTGCTAAATTATCGAGAATAATATTCAGATAATTTAGTTTTGAGTCATAGCATAGAAATACTTAAGTAGTAGAATTTAAGCAGTAAGCAATAAAAACTTAAATATGAATATATTTTTATATCTCTTTTATAATTTACATTTTTTATAACTGTTTATATAAGTGGTCTTACGTAAAAATAATATTATCTGGAAATTATCTAGATGAATTGTTATATAACTTTATCTTTTATCTAGATATATTTAAAACAAAATCATTTTCATCTTATTTAAAATGAATTTGCATATTTTTAAATCATTTTTATCTAGTTAATTTTAAATTATCTAAGCATAACTCTGTTAATGAGTTACACTCAGTTAAATAATTCGTAGAGCCCAAGTTTTTCGTATTTGACTGGCTTTAAATCAGTAACTATTTATTATTTCGCTTTGAGCCTATTACATTTTTTGTTCAGCAAGTCATGAGTTATAACATGTGAGAAAATTAGCTGATTTCATTGAAAATTAATTGTAAGACATCTAATCGAAAAAACTCAAAGTTAAATTTATATCGGCTATCTAAAAGTTGCAACACAATAACTCTAAGATTTAAAAATTAAAATTATTTGCTTTAGCAATCTAAATTCAAAAGGTGTTTGCGCCGCGCGCTTCGGAATTTCGTTTTTCGGACTTTCGACACGTGTCGCCAAATGTTTTTTTTTTCGAGTTTTTTTAGCACCCTTCGCGGACGTTTCTGATTGGCAAGCATTGATGCTACCAATCAGGAGCTCCTTTTCTATGTACCGCGATTTCGGGTAGCGACGAAGACAAGCGTACATTTCAGTCTCAGTGTGAGAGGAGAGCCTACCGTGAGAACATCGAGTGAGTATACGCGCGTCCAGTGACTGATCCGTCGCTACTTATTATAATAAAAGTACTTTGTGTTAATACAGAAATCAAAGGCACACTGACATAATCATATAAAATTAAGTCTTGATAAAATCAGCTGGTTTTCTTATATGTCGTAGCTTATGATCTGCTGTATCTATCTGCGAAAACTAAAATCCTATGTATTTGGTACAGGGTTCTTTTTGTTATATAAATCTTATTGTCATAAAATATTACTTGGAAGGTTTTACTATTATTTTATTATTGATTATTTATGTATTTTAATAAACGTAATATTAAATGCAACGAAATTTTCTCTTTTTAGGTCGACCTATAGTGAAAGGTGGTAACAATGGAAACACGAGCAGCAATCAATTCCAATACAATACGGCGAATGTGGAATTCCAACAGCATCAGCATAGAACGGTCGCGAATGTGTACGGCAATCCAGCCCGATCCAAACATACAATGACTACTTCGTTGCCGCATCACAACGTTCCACAATATAACCCGGTGGTTCAGAACTCGATCATAAATCCAAGATCAAATCCTATAAATACCCAGATGAAGGCTCAGCAAGTTCCTGCGCATCTCGCCAGCATGCAACAGTCACCGCACGGAACTGCTAGCATTCAGCAACAACAACCACCGCAGCAACGAACTGTAAATACACCGATGCAACTTGTCATGAACCAAAACTACAATTCCAACCGTACAGGTAATATATGATTCGATGAAGCGCAAAGTGACAAGAGTGCTTTACTACAAAAAAAATTTTTTAACAAATTAAATCCGACTTTTATAAAACTGATTTTCTATAAAAACTTCTTCCTTATCCTATTTACATTGGTTTTCAGGTGTTCCTTCTCTCCTCAATCAAATTGCATGCAACGGTGTTCAGAAATCGGAATAATAGCAAGCCATTCTTGACCTTCCCTCATTTAATCCTGTCTTGACATCATTTACCTTTGGATTAAGTAAACAATCATTAATTAATTACGAATGCTTTAGGCTAAAATATTAATGGAACATTCACATTATTAGATTATATTTTAAATAATATTGACAAACTATATTTACAATTATTTTGCAATAACAATTACCTTTGCCATTTAAATGATGAAATCCATTACATATTGATGGAATAAATATTGCACACAGATGGACGAGCGATGCGATCGCAACAACTAAATATGACAGTCGGCCGTCAACCTTCACCGGGCCTCGGATTCGTGGGTAGCAATGGAGGTGACCTTTCGCCAACGTCTAATCAACTTGCACGATGGTTCAGCCCGGAACTCCTCGCTCAAGCTCGGGCCGGTAAGCTACCAGAACTCGGCCAGACGAACGTCCTGTCATTGGAAGAGCTTGAGAGACTTCAACACGCATCAACCATAGTGCATAACTAAAGTGATATACTATTATATATTCGTATTCGGATTATGTTTCAATTTTGCAAGCGCATCGATAACAATATTATCTACTGGTCGATCAACCGGTATTCCTCGTGATATAGATCTTTATGTCCGAAATACCTTCGATGCATGGATGCTGAATACAGACGCCATTAAATTACAGGAACGGTATGTTCGCCTACATAGATCTTTTTATCAAATCTTCGTATTTCGACAGATTTTATCTCTTTTTTTCATGTTTAGAAAGTTCACTTTTGCGTTCTTCGAAATGCGACCCGCTTCATTTTCAACATTACACTATCCTGTACATTTGTAATTTCTAAATAACTTTTCGCGAAACTTGGAAAAGTGAGTCTTTCTCTTTTTTAAATCTTCAAAAAGAGAAGTACCGTCCAACCGAGTCTAATTGACTATTTCTAACCGAAATACATGACACTTTACATGACATTAATTCGATAAACTCTGTCATCGATAAATATAGATTTGATAAAAAGATACACCGTTCCTATAATTTAACAGCGTCTGTATTCAGCATCCGTACATCGAAGGTATTTTGGACGTAAAGATTTGTATCGCGAGGAATATAAGAGGACTATAAGAATCCTTTTTTCTTCGTCGAAAAGGATTGCTGACATCATTTGCGGAATCACTTTCCAAGTTTCGCAAAAAGTTATTTAGAAATTACAAATGTACATATAATGTTGAAAATGAAGCGAGTCGCGTTTCGAAGGACGCGAAAGTGAACAGCTTTCTAAAAATGAAAACGATGTATTGCTTATAAGACTGAAAAAAATGTGAAAATTCTTATTGTTGATTATGACAAGCTGTTTAGAGCTTCATACGCGTACTTTTTAAAAATGACAGCATAAAATCACCATAAAATCTATTTGCCTAACAAGGAATGTTCAGCAAATTTAAAAAAATCTGAAACTTGGCATAATTTTAAGGTAATGGGTCATAATGAAACCATTTTTGTGATGCTAAAAAACGAGTTTAGGGGTGCAATCAACCGATTTTCTAGTGGTTGGTTGTAAGAACTTACAGAAAAGGAAAAAATGATAAGTCGTTATGAAACAAAGAAGTGAAGATATAAGTGTAATAGGCAGGTAGTTTGCGTCTTTATTTAGGATTTAGGGGTGCAACCGATTTTCTAGCGGTTGGTCGCGAGAACTTAAAGAAAAGGAAAAAAAGATACCATTATGAAACAGCGAACAAATAAGTGTATAGTACACGTGTGCGTCTTTATTTTATTTCTCAAAAAAACCCGTTTTTAGCACTAACAAAAAATGGTTTCGTTATTAAGACCTATACCCTAAAATTATGCCAAGTTTCAGATTTTTTTTTGAATTTTCTATTTGCCGAAGGTTTCTTGTAAGATAGGACTGCAAGTTTCTTTTACGTGTCGTTGGTCGAGATTCTGACAATTATTTAGCGATTTAAGCAATTTATACATGTCTTCATTCAGAGCATAATTTTCATTACTCTTATTTTCTCATTGATGATTATAACATATAAGGATGTATCATGACAGTATTTTGCAATGATTCATGAGTACTAAAAGCACTGTTGCGCACATTGAGATTATGTTCCTTAAATACGAGACAAAAGAATATTTTTACTACTGTCAGCCAAATATAAAGATATATCTACATACTCTATATATATATATATATAATGCAACAAAAACTCGGCGTTGTCGTCAACAGGAATATATGATTGTATGATTTAAATAGTCGATACGTTTATAATCTAGTGTCGTTTATAGAATACGTCGCTTATTTACAATGGGACTTGCAAAATCCTTTAGGCAAATAATACGCGGACCTCTTGAATTCGTGAGAATTGCAGGCTATCATCCGATTACTTAGACAGAGAGTGATGGTTTGAACATTTAATATTCTATTTGTATTGCTGCAAACCATACAACTTTATCAACACGAAAAGCATACGAGATAACACATGACGAAGACACATGACGTCACATACTTATATTATAAAACTAAATATATATAATATATACTTCTCTCTCGTAGAAGAACGCGTGAGAGTGCGGTATCATTATTCTGATCGAAAGTGGTAGATAGACTGAAATATCTCTGAATAAAAAATCTCGGGAGATATATAGAAGAATTGTTCGCAGAATTAATTAAAAAAAAAAACGAGAATACATTCCACCAGTCAATAGAGAATCTATTCAAACGAGATTTCCTTTTACGAATTTCGATTGATATCAATACTGTTGCTAATATGTGTTTGCTTTTGATTTAATTGCTTACACCTCGTCGTACGCAAGATTATAATTTTTATATGATTACAAAAGAGAGAATTGGGCTTAAAAACTATAACGCTATCAAAAGTTTATTTTTTCTTTTATATTTCGAAAGGATAGCGTCATATTACTATTCTACTACATATGTACCTTAGAGTCTCATCATGCGCGCATAATTGCATTTTTCTCTCCTGATAGTTTATTAAGCATACAATTATACTTTTAAGAATTTATATCTCAAAAGGCAAAATATCTTGCAAAAAAATTAGATATCGAAAAATAGTATTTATCTATATTCTTTTTTATTAATTACATTTATATAAACTAGTTACACACATTTTAATTTATGACTATTCGTTACATTCATATTTTACTTGCATACGATAATTCTTTTTTTAGAATCGCATATAATTGTATATGGAATCATATAAGAAACGCGAAATAAATTTACGTAATATATTTGAAAACACAGAGAGAAAGAAATAATATAAAATTAGACTTTACAATTTATTTTGTGTTGTTGGTACGTAAAACTATAAATTTATTTGTGTATGTGTGTGTGTATGTGTTCGCGTAAATAGAAAATAATATCGATAAAATGCTATAACATCGTAAACTATTAATGATTATCAATGATGAAAACTTTATTAGATTTATTATTTCTGATTGTCCCATATTGATCCATATTCATAATATACTCTTCGCTGGATCTAATGTTTGTTTAAAAACGAGATATGAATATGGATCATAATCTCTTTTATAAAAAATGTTAAAATTGTTACAATTTAATATTTTGTAAACGATGACTTCTCTTTCACACACACGTACACTTAAAAACTATACGTTTTTAATATTTTATGTTTAATAATTTATTAAAATATATATTAATAATTAATATGAGGAAAAAAAGCTAAATGTCAAGGAAGTAATTTGCAGGTAGATGACGATTATGAATATGATATATGTATATGCTTATACACAATATTAACTATTCGCAATGATATTCACGAATTTTATAACGCATCTGCACTGCAACGCAAGATGATACGCGAAATTCGAAAAATGCAAGACAGCTCTTATGGGACTCTAAAATTGCACTAACTGTACTCGTTACGCTCGTTGAGAATTGAGAGAGATATATTTACAAAACGACACTCTGTATATCGGCGACAGAAGGATCTCGTTTCATAGCATTTTCGTTCAGATTTGCGGACGATCGATTAATTGTACGGTGGTTTAAAAATTATATATCTCGGACCGTCACTTAGCAAAGCTTCATCTCAAGCGTCCATAAGTATGTACAAAGTGTATTAGAATGAAGAGGAAAAGAAAGAAGAATATTTAAGTCATTCTAAGCATGAGATATATTCATAATAAGTATCGCTGGCAGAACGTTTTACGTTTCGATGCTACATATATGAATAGAGAATGGAATTTCCACAAATGTTACATTATGCTATTTTTGCTTCGTAAAAGGACAGTCGTGTAAAAGGAAGCGCGAGGTATTGAACATATTCAAAATGAGAAAATAGGTACCAGGAAAAATTTTTATATATAATATATATAAATTGTATAATTATACATATAATCGTAAAATTATATATGAAATATATCCATTTTTACACATAATTATATAAATTTATATATAAATTATTCGTATATAATCATATCAACTTATATATATGAAACATATATATGAAGAAATACTTATTTATTATATATATATAAATTTATATAATTATATATAAAAAGCACTTTTATCTAATTATGTGTGGACATATTTCATATATAATTTTGCGATTATATGTATAATTTTATATATTTCTATATATAATTTTATATTGTTATATATACAAAATTTTGTTCCGGGTAGTTACATAACAATCAGCTTTTTTAGCAGAGAATACAAAGCAATCTCAAGTAGCACACGTTGATTTCGTAAATTTTTTTCTAAACGTGTCTAAAATTACCATTAAATACGTTTGTGCTTTTCAGATATGATTGAAAATAATTATGAGATAGTATTGAAATAGAAACATGTCCAAAATCGGATCATAAAACTTCTTTAAGATGTCTTTTATATCATGTTATGTCTTAAAGACGTTTTAAAAAATGTCTTATGTCCCGATTTTGAATGTGATGTCGAGATTTTAATCACGCAAAGTTAGAAAAAAATATATTTTAAATTAAAAAAATGTATACTCTATATACCCTGCGTTTCCTCACCAGAAACATCTACTCGGCGATAACGGTTCCTTTTTCGAATGCTGAGATGAAAGATATGCCACGTTTCTGAAACGTATTCGCATTTACATTCAGCTTCATTTTTTGAGGATGACGAAGAAGATCATTTACCAATATTTGGTGCGGAAAATAACGAGAAATTGTTATGCAAGATGCGCGAGGGACATTTCAATCTGAATCTTTTTATAAGATGATTACAATCGCAATGATTACATTTCTGCTTTCATTAAATGGAAGATATTTGCGAAAACGAGATACTATGTCCCATGCATTTGCGGACTTAAAGGTTGTTCCATAATTCGAAGACACATTTTTGTAAATAAATCGATTCCCGAGCAAACTAAAATATGTTTTAGTCCATGCACTGGGTCGATAACTCTTGTAAATAAAGTTACTGAATATTATATTATGTGAAGTCGAGAGAGAAATGTCACACAAATAAATACAGGGAACTGTAATTATCATCCTTGTCATTTCATTTTCTCGTTGTGAAATGACTGGTCTTTTACAATCTTCTGTCTAAAGAATTTGTTTACGAAATATCGAAAGACATTTTATATTTATAAATTGATAATATTTATTTTATTTCTGATATATTTATCACAAATTATTTGTTTCTTAAATTCTGAAACAGTAGACTTGTATAATTATAATTGTTGATGCATTATTGATAATTGAATTATTATTATAGTTGAACAATCTTGCTTATTGGTTTTTATAATTGGCGCCAATCAACAGCGAAAATAGATCGGAATCGCCACGTTTAAACATTGCGCAATCACGTATCAAACAATAAGATCAAATTTTTATTTAAAATCGCTAAAGAAATTAATGCGAAATTAATTTGAAACAATTAAACATGCGCATAAAACGCGATAGTCAATAAAATTACATTTCCATAAAAGCGAACAATCGATTGGATAGCTTCCTTTGAAAGGATCTATAATCCAATATACAGCACCCATAAATTATTTCGCAATCGAGACGCGCATGCGCGCCCGCTAGAGGGCGCAGGTGCGGACGAAGATGACCGCTCGTCACGATCTGACAGCTGCCTCGCACAGAGGCATTCCTCGGGCTGGCGGAACTGGCGATGCTAGCATTGGACTTGTCTCGTCTCCTCGAGCCCAGACAAGTCCAAAGCGGAGAAAGGTCTGACCCACGAATATACGCGCGAATTCTATCTGTCCCATTGTGCGTATCTAGTGTTGCGAATCGCGAGACAAGATGACGATTGACGCGAAGTGCGAGTCTTGTGCGAGTCTTGAACGGGGCGAAAATTGATCCCGCGGATTTTATCGCGAGACTACCTCGAATTTCGATGGATAAAATCGCGTTTCGCGAGATTCAGAGAAATAGTTAATAAATTTCGACCTATCAGTTGACGAAATCGAGAGGTATCATTTTTATATTGTAATATATAGGGAAAAAGAAAGAGAGAGAGAGAGAGATTAGATTCTACGTCTTTGTTCCCCTGCTCCCTCTCTTTTCTCCTTCCGCCCTCGTCAAATTCTCGCATTTACATAGTCGAAGTTACTCGATTCTCTTTCTCCTTCCTTTCCGCGCGAGGGCTTTGTCTCTCTGCTTTACTGCGACATCATCCCGGCCTTGTAGGAATCGGCGTCTCTTAACCGAATGTCTCCATGTGTTAGTCACGCTATGAATGGTGAGTAATGTCTTATAGGCGTTTTTCTGCGATTACTCTTAAAAATACATCAAAATTCTTCGCTATACAATTTCGTGCGAACCTCCACCTTCCTCTCACACTTCCTCGTCCCGAGTCAATTTTCCATGATTGGTTGGCAGCGAACTGCTCTAAGCCAAAGAGATGAGAATAATTTCGTACGATTTTGTACGAGTAGATACAAAGAAAATCGCATTGTTCAGGAAGTGCGATGACGAGTTGCGAGGTAAGACAGAGAACGAGAGAGAAAGAGAGTATTAGCAAAATTGAGGTTCGAAATGTCGAAATCGTAGAAATCGCGGCACAGTAGGAGAGAAGCAGAATGATCGACGTCGCTGCTGATGCTTTGTTGCGGCGCCATGTATACATTCATACACGGCGGCCATTGCATTGAAGTATTGCGCGCCCTTCGATCAGCTCCCTCATCGTGCGTCCGTCTCGCAATTGGATCGCGATAATTAGCCCTTTTCGCGAGCCACGAATAAGAGGAAGGAGAAGAGAGGCGTTTTCGCGAGGAACGGATCCCCGGAAAAAAGAATTGATCGCTTCAACTCAGGAAGAATTGCCTGGATCGAGGATCGTGTCGAGAGAAAGAGAGAGAGAGAGAGAGAGAGAGATATGATTTTGTGCGTTACTGGTTTTCGAGTTGCGCGTTTACACATATCTAATAATGATGAATCGTCCTCTCGTACGACAGGTCGCAGTGCTCCGCGAACAATACCGGCGTTAAGGCTCCTTAGTAACGTCGTGACGTCCTTTTTATTCCTTTACGCCGAAAGTGTCTGTCGTGATCCCGAGAGATCTCCGCCTCCGTCCCATCAGATTATTTTGTCGGACAAGCCCTTCGTCGTTCTAGTCGAATCATTCGTGACGTAATCCACGAATGGTCGAGAGAGACGCCATAACTGCGAACAAGACCAAAGCGTATCGCATCTTTTTTTGCCACAAACAACTTCGAAAACTTTGGCGCGAGAAATATGCCCTGAATAAGGTGATTAATCAAATAATAACGACTCAAATTCGACTTATCGGTACTCTTATCCTCTGACTATCTGAGTACTCGTCCGAAAGTTTCGGAAGATCGATGCCCTGAATAAATAATGCCGTAAAACAAGCATACAAAGTAAGAACAATCCGAGTGACTCTAGGCAAGGCGGTATATACATAGTTTGCCCTCACATCGGCGACGAGTAGGATCGAATAATCCGTGTAACCGAAAGAAGAACGTGTTCGAGATGGTTCCTACACGAAACAACCTGCGATTTGCCGAAATAGGAAGAGGTTATCGCAGTGTCTGATCTGGCAAGGTATAGCGATCAGAACAAAGGACCGGGACTACGTCTTTCTACGGCAGCATATATAACGGTATTTAGCACGATATTTGTTATATATGTGTCTAATCGATATTCAGAGCTTATTGTTCGTCGTTCACGATTGAATGTTTCCTGAAATCGATCAGCGATAAACGATAAAAGGGACAGAAGACATTGGATGATTTTTCCAAAAGCAAAATACATAATTGCCCATCTAACAATGATCCGATTGTGCGTATAAGTGTTGCATGTGTCCTTTGCGAATGCGCCTCAAGCGATAATAAGACTTTCCGAGCTCCAACGCCTAGCGACGTTCCAGGTGAAATGTCAATGGAACTTCGTCAGCTGTGCGCGAAAGTCGTTGCGTCAACCTTCGCGATGCGAATCGATAGGAATTTACGTTGCTCATCCGGAATCTGATTCGCGTCTCTCCGCGAGCCTCGCTGTCTTTCCCCTAGGGGTGTAATCACTGGGGATTTTTTATACACGGAATTGATATTAAAAATCATACATTTACTTTGTTGAAAAAAAAGCGAAATAGCTAAGGAAAAATTGCGTGTGTAACAGTGCGTAAGAAAACTGTACAAAGATCATGAAGAAGTAATATGCACAACTTTATTTAATGGAACAGATTTCTAGAAGGTTGATAAAATCGATAAAGAGAACGAAAATGCTCTATATATGCAAGAATGTTATTTTGGCATCACCAAATAAGTCGAATCCCGGCAGTTTGAGTCACCCTAGCTTCGGAATAGCTGTCTATAATGTTGATGAGAGTATAAACCACGATTGAACTTAAATAATAAGCTTGTTAATCGTGAAAAATTGTAGCAACGACCGATAATCTTCGTCGATTCTTCTCATAGAGGTACGTCAAGCACATTTAGATGCTGACACAGAACGAGTTCGTCGTCGTCCCGCGTTATTGTTACTTTGCCGAAGCTCTAGTTTCCCGTACGACGTTGCACACGGTTGTAGAGAGCGCTGCAAGAAGCACGAAAAAAGGAAATCGTCGGAGGCGATTTAGTGCCGCCAAGTAATCGCGACATTGTGTGCGGTGCAACTTTATATGCCGAAACGAGAAGGGAGTCGCGTCGATGAAACGTCGTCGCTGCTCGTTCGCGATTAGCGAAAGGAGAGAGAAAGAGAAGGCTGGTGCACCGCGGACGCAGGATCGTAACGAGAAACAGGAGACGATCGATGCACAACCGGCTGATTCTCTCGAGTGTAATGATTTATCAGGTGCGCAAAAATTTCTTTGTCCTCTCTCTCCCTCGTCTCTCTCTTTGTGCTCTCTTAATTGTGCAATCATTTGCATTTGCATCAAGTTTGCTTGGTATTTGTAAATAGCCTATATAATAATTTAGACAGGCAGTCGTGTTGATTATAATAGTTTTGTAATTTTTAATTAAAATTTATATTATTTTTCCGGGTGATGCAGATGGTAGATTTTTATTTTTAATTTTTGTATTTATAGTGCAGATTAATAGGATTTGAAATTTTTGCGTACGTTATGTGTAGTATGAAATTATTTTTGATCGAGTTTGTATCGCTTTAAGAGAAGTATTGTCGAATGCAGTCGCCATTGTGTGACACGAGTATGGCTCGTAGTCCCGACACGAAAAGTTTAATCTCGATAGGTCTATCCTCTTAAATATTCTTATATAGGAGAGATGGCCTCTTTATCTTGTGCTATATTGTGCATTGCATGAAACTTTACAAAGCACGAGAAGAAAACGGTTTTTTTGTGTATATGTGCAATGTATTCTCTTATTAACGTTTCACTATAGTGACGTGTTTTACGTAACGAATGACGTATTGTCGATCAGAATCGTTTTTATGCGTGCAAGAAGTTGCATTAAATATCTATCTTATATATTTCAGTATTTGAAAATGTAAGAAAATTTGGAGATATTTAAAGAAATCTATTTTTAGCGTTGAAAAAAATTAATTCCTAATTTTAAGTAGGAATAAATTTTTATAATTATAACATTTAACATATCATATAAAAAAATAGGAATTAATTTTTTTAATGCTAAAAAATAGATTTTTTAAACATCTCAAAATTTTCTTTTAATATTCCAAAATTTTTATATTTCTTAAAAATTTATAACTTTTTTAAAAGTTTTTATTGTCTTTAAACAATTTGCAAATGTATGCGATTTAATATAAATCGTTTGTGTTAGCAATATAAAAATTTAGCGACTTAGATTTGTTAAATGCTAAAACAATAAATTTTATATATTTTCAAACTCGTCGAAATTTTCAAATCTATCATATATTTTTCCTTCGTACCATTTCAGTCACAATAGTCTTACCATATTGGCTACAAAAAACACAAAATGTAGCTTTTATCATAATCATATATCATGTTGGATAAATTGCATAGGCATTTTGACAATTCGCGTTATATTTTTTAATTGATTATTGAATGAGAATTTTATTTTTTGATATATATTTCACCACAGCTGAGCTTCACAATTATGCGACGATTGAATTGTCTGTTTCCGTTCTACAGAAAGACAAAAGTTGCTTTTCACTATGGCGGCGCCACGTGGCGCCGCCATAGTGAACATTTGATGCCTTGCGTCATCTACTGGCAGAATTAAAACTGCTTTCGTCCGGTCGTGTATGTTTGGTTTGGTTTCTGTCTTCCTACGTTTTTGGATGATATTTAATGTAGTTACGCTAGACATGCAGAACAGATATCTCGATAGGATATCTTTATAGTATAGTGTGCTGACGGATCGATTAGTGTTGCTGTGAATAGTTTCGATAAATAGAGTTTTGGACGTATTTGGTACGTATGTGAATATATATTCGTCGTGTGGGTTAGTTTCGCCTGTTGGCGATCTCAATAAATTATGAACGTATACGTGGCAATTTTATAAATTTGAGTTTCATCCTTTACGTGCATATTTCTACAACGAACATTTTTGTTCCAATCGGCAGAAAGCATTTTTCGAGATTTCAGAGGTCTGACGTCTTCACAACTTTCTCGATTTTGATTTCGATCCGATCTCATAATTTCTCGTTAACCGATAATCAGAATTTCTGATTGTCTTTAATAAACTCTTCGATTTGTCGTCGTATATTTCGCTCTTCAAACAAAATATCTTTCTAACTTTCGATGATGGAGATTCTTCTTCCACGTGAACTTCGGGTTTCTTCCGGTTCGACTTTGAGAATATTTTGTTTGAGATCAAATATGTCATCTGACAAGGATTGAAAACTGAAGAAATAGTTGCAATTTGTTTTTTATCTGTGTTATTTCCACAATTAATTATTATTTATTTTTAAATATAAAATGTGTGTTGATTCTTGAAGATAACTACTATCAAATTTTTATTAAATTTTTGGAGATATGGCAAAATATAGAAGATATATAACATTAAATTTATTTAAATTTAGTTGTGTAATTTTTGTTACAGATTTATTTCAGATTGTGATATGTGTGTACAATACAAAATCTGCTCATTTTCTGTTAATAAGTTTTGATTTATTTAATTCTAGCGATGTTTTAAACAGTGTTAAACGAAGATCTCTCACACAAATGTGTTTATCATAAAAGAAAGTGCAAACTTGTGAAAAGTGTAAGTTTTTTTAAACAAGATAGTATCAGCTTTTGATATCGTGCAATTCTGTGTTATTGTACATGAGTGTAAAATTGATTGCAAAAGTAGTGGATACACGAATTTTCATAAATACTAAGAATGCAATTGGACGCGAATCTTTCTAATTTTAAGCTGGAATATCTTGTAATATCTCTGTGAGCGCACGAATTTGAAATCAAAATTACGTTGAAGATACATTCAAGAACAAAAGAATAGAAATTTCTTATTTAAAAATATTACAAGAAAAATAACAATCTCTCTAAATATATCGTACGTGGTTGAAGACAAGTGTACGACAATGCAATGTTGTATGACGTAATTTAGCGCTAGTTTAATAGTATTTCCGGAATATATTATACGACTCCACACATACATACATACATTATATGCTATAATTAACTGCAATGTGTATAATATAATATGTCATAATACACATTTAACATAAAAAAGTGTTGTAAAACTGTTTTTTTTTATTTGCAATAAGTATTTTCGAACTCTTAAATATTCTGAACTATATTCTAAATTTACAATTTTAAACATTTATGAGGTTAAATGTAAAATATCTTTATAAGTTTAATTTGTTATACAATTAAATTATTTAGAATTACACACACATATGCACATTCAATAAATCTTCTATACTCTTATCTCAATGTGCTTAGCTTTTTGTTAATTTACAATATGTTCTTTTATTATAACACTTTGATATATTATGCATAAATGTCACACAGCAAATAATTTTTACAATCTTTTCTGCTTGAATGGTCACTTCTTCAATGATATTTGCAAGTATATGTTTGTAGTGACATTAAGGATTTTTCTTTCTCTCTTTGAATTGAGAATTATATAAAATTGAATAAACCAACTATAACTCATAATCTGAAAAGAATCTTTTTACATTGCTCATTCATTATAGATATTCTACTAACAATACATTATAGATATTCTCTCTATTAAGAGTACATTAATAAAAAATATATTCAAGAAAATTATTAATTCAATTTTTAATAAAAAAAGAATATTGTATGTTTTCTATCGTGTACACCGAAATATCATTTTATTTGACAAACACTCCAGCGCATTGCGTGCGAAAGGGGTTGATTGGATCAATATCCGTCTTTTACTCCTGTAACACCATCATGATTAGCTATAGCTTTGGTGGGAAAGTTTACGTTTATTACAGCGAAACTAGGGATATCGAATTACGTTAGTGCGTATACTTAATGCGACTGCGTGTTTTACTATATACTACAGTGTTTTACAAGTTACGAATTATAAGATATGTAAAACTTCGAATGTAACATTTTACATTATCTTAATAGAAATTATGTATTATAATATGTATTTTTTAAGAGTATAATCACACTATAAACGACTATAGTAACTGTGAATAATTGTTGCAATAATTGTTGCAATTGAATATCGATTGTGAAAAAATGTTATATAAAATATATGATTTAAGTTAAAAAATGTCATCTCGATGAAAGAGTTGTTAAGATAATAAGCCGTAAATATATATTAAGAATAAGAATTTTTTTGTAAATCTGTATATAAATTCAATCGAATCTTACAATTGATCTATTTGACAAGAAAAAAGAGATTATATAATTTTTTAAATTCAATGTAGCGCATGACTTATGGTTCACCCTGTACACATTGAACAACCGCGGTGACAAAGAGCGCGGAGAATCGTCGGAAAATAATCGATCGTCAGTGAAATGTATGTGTTGCTCGAAGTGCGGCATCGTCATTCAGTCCCCTTGACGAAGATTGGACGCATGTCCTGTGTGAAGGACGTTCTTGGCCTTTCAACTCTGTGCATATATATCGAAGAAGCTCCAAGAAAATAAACTCAAGTGCAACCGCAACTCGTTTGGACAAGGAGTTTGCGCAATTGTATGGAATCACGTTGAAATTATATCATCCTACTGTAACAGTGGACATACGAAGCGGAACATGAATTGGAAAAAAGGAGAGAAACAGTATTACACAAGTTAAATCACTATGTGAAAGATATATATGTGTATATATTGAAAGAAACAGCTATGTACATATCAATGCCACATGAGGTTTTGATTATCACCGGAAGTGTGATCTATATTAGCAACGAACAGCAATCTCTATGGCAATTGTGTCTCTTTTATTACTTAATGAAGATTTTCATATAAATTGCAGTCTATGGAGAGTAGATAGATAAATATATTCTAGCTGTTCTATGATGGATTAACATAATTGGATTAGTTGATAAAATAAAAGAAACGCAATTTGAAATGTCTATTGACTCTTCAAGAGATTGAAACAGAGAAAACAGCCAAATAAAAGCATACATTAAAGATTGCATTTATTGCATATCACCTTTAAAAGCTGAAGCTATTTGAAATTATTCTCTGCGACAGTAAAAGATTACAAAATATTTTGTAAAAGAATATTTACAATCTTTACGTTAATACCAAAAATCACAATTTATTTCTTCGTATCCGAAAGAATAAAAAAGTCGATTTAAATAATTAATAACGAAATTACTCGACCATGTGTTTTCAACAAATTACGATAATTTTTTGTGCTATTCTTTGCAATGGCAATTATATTGACGTAAGTGTGTTTAAGAGAACTAGTGCATATGTGAAACATTTAAAAATGACGTCAAAGATGACAATAATTCTTAAGAAATCTTTACTAGTATCTTGTTATCTCTTTTGTGGAAAATGTTTCCCTTTCTCTGCACAAACATATTTAAAATACTGTAATTTTTGTTAAACCTATTTTTGGATCCACATTTTTTATGGAAAAAATAAAATTTCTTTTGAAAAGTATAGAAAGGGTGTTTCTTTTGTTATAAGAGAAATTTGTTTCACTCGTTTAAAAAATAGTTATCCCTCTTTTTTTCGAACAAGTGAGATTTTTAAAAGCTTTTATTTATTGTCGAAAGTCGGCATTATACCTGAGGGACTCAAGCTTTATAAAGTCATAAAACATTCTCTATCTCTGGCTTTTCTCATTTTTGATTCATTCTTCTTTAAATGAGATAAGATTTATGGCATACTTTCTAATCTAGAAAATATGCTAAGCTGCACTAAAAAATAAAGTTTGTTAGTTGTAATACAAGAAAATCTATGATTTATGTTAGATACTGTGTTGTTTTTTTTATTTAATTTTTGACAAATATACAGATTAAATAAAAATAAAATTATATAGCTATAAAAAAATGGTATATTTTTTCTGTTTAAATGCAGGTTGAAAAACAAGGTACAAGATGGACGAATACGAAAAGAAATTCGCAGAAATGCAAAAATACGTTCCATTTGTGGAAGCGATGATTCAGAGGCTGCAAAATAGCCCGGTTGAAAAGGACAGGGAGAACCGGGAAATGCAATTGCAGAAAATGCGAAGTCTGCACGAAATTCTGACAAATAACAAACGAAAGTACGTTGAAAATTATGATAAAATAAATAAAAAATTTATACAAAATTGTCTTATTTAATAATTATATAGCTAATGATATTTTGCTTGTGTGTGTATAATTTATGATCGTTTTTATATCAATATATCTTTTCGTAATAGCAATAATAATATTTTTGTAATAGTAAAATATAAAATCTGATTTATGGACATTCTTTAATTAATTAAAATGTTATTGGCGAAACAGGTTGAAGATCGGGACATTGCAACGATGCGGAGATGTTTTGCAGAAACTGTATAATAAAGTTGAAAAGGTAGATACGCTATAATGTTACAAGCACATTGAGTGTTCGAATACATATATATGATAATTTATTGTAGTTGTATGTTTATGTAGAAGCTTATTATATATTATATATAGTATTATAAAACTTAATCAGAGTTGCCTATATTCTTAAATACTGGAAATATAAATTTCAAGACACTTTATACATATATGTTTATATACGTATATTTTGCTTTCATCTTTTGTGTGTATGTATGTGCGTGTATGTTTATGTGTGTAATTAAATGTATTGTTATATTTTATTATACGCATTACATAAAACAACTATAAAAAATCTTTCTTTAAATATTCTGTAGACATAGATTCACATACTTCTGAGAAAGAGAACTGAAAGATTTTGTACTTATTTATCAAGATTTTATACATTAAGAAAATATGTAGAATTTAAAATAAATATCAAATTTTACGCGTATGTACGCTTGAGAAAATAATCTAATTGTTTCATAATATGTTGTTCAAAACCTATTCATACTTTTCCTCTTTTTCTTTATATGAAATTGAACAAAATAATATATAATTTAATGTAATGTTTCCGGCATGTTTTCATTATATAATGATTTATTTTATCTTGAAAATGTTGCAATATTCTCATTACGACATATATAATCTCAATGTGTAATATCTATATCTCTAAATTTGTACAGTTCAAAATGTTACAAAGATTTTTAACACTTCAATTCGCACTTGTTTTTTCTGCACTGTAACATGTTTTAAAATAGTATGATTTGCACTGCATAATGTATTATGAAAACGCAAGAAAATTGTAAATATGTTTCTCTCTTCTCTTAATGTCTAGAATTGTAGTCGCTTGGTACTAAATCCTTTGTTCTTTACACTTGTAGTATCAATTGTTGCATTGTTTTCTTGTACTGTTGAATGTTTTCAGGCTTCCGTAGTGCATGTTTAGTCTTTGTATTTTAATTATTCTAATTCGACACGAGTTTCAGGGAAACACACCCGGTTTGCAATTGTCGGCTAAACAAAATGATGGCACCGCGCCGCAACCTTCGACGTAAGTGTTATATTTGTAGAAAAAAATGTATAAAGAACGAAAAAGTGCAAACAATTTTCACAGTTACAATTTCGCTCAACGGATTCTTAAAATTCACAATAGATGCTAGAATAATTATATAAAGAAAGAATTTCTTTTAGTTCCTCGGAGAATGCGAGATCAAATCAGAAGGCTGGAGAAGAATTGCAAAATACGGAAAAGGATATAGAAATCGAAGAAACTCCGGCGAGTCCGGATACAGTCAGATCCTCCAGTCCTGATTGCCAAATTGTGCCAGTAATAATTCCTATGGAACGTAACACGATCTCTAAGAATAGGCGAAACAGAAATAGACGACAAATTCGTAACATACCGGTTATAACTCTTACGGATCGTACGAAAGAAATAACCATCTCATCGCCGTCAGATTCCCATTCGGAAGAGGTTTCTTTCTCCGAATGGAATCTGCTGGAAGAATCGGAGAGGCATAATGTTTCAAAGAACAGAGGCGATTGGCAGCCTTCGATGGTCGCTTCCGGTCATGATGTCGCGTCCGCGGCGAAATTGATCAGCAACAATCTGCCGCAAAAAGTCAGCGACAGCAGGAACTATACGGCAGATACTTATAATGTACCAACTGTTCCGGTGCCTTCTCTCGGTGGCTCTAGGAGATTAACGTCAGTCTTGGAGAAGAACAAACTGAACTTGGACATGATAGCAAACAGTTCTTCTAGACCGGAATCACCCGTCAACGTTCCGGAAGTGAGACTCAGGTCTCCTGATCCCGAGATACTGTTTGCCAAACCTACGTCACCCAAATCAAAAGATAGCCACACTATGCCACCGAAGCCGCTATCGAAACCGTCGTCGATACCGTCGTCGCTTCTGTTTTCGCCACCTTTCTCGAGTGAGCCTCCATTATCCATGGAAGATATAGCGGAATTATTAAATGACAAAGATGACAACGAGAAAACGAGCGATAAAGCGGGCGAAAACACTGGGAAACACAAAAAGGATAAGCAAGAAGCGACCAAAGACGACAAAACATCGAAAGATCCTCTGACATCGAACAGAGAGAACGAGAAGCGATCAGAGGAGACGGACAAGCATAATACAATTAGAATTAGAAAAAATTTGCAAGCAGGAACTTCGGGCGCGAAGTCGAGCGAGAAAGGACCGCCTCATCAATTGAATGATCATCGATCGGGACCACAAACTTATTCGAATTCCAAGTTCCAAGAGCCACGTTACGCGGATAACTATGAGAGGCATCCACGTCAACGAGATCCTCACGAAAGCGCGAAAGATAAGTTACCTGCTAATTCCAACATTCCTGAGGACACATCGCCTCAGATTCTTTATCATAATATTACAAATAAACCGGACGAGAGAAACGTTCCACTATATCAGAGACGTCCAAGTTTATCAGCAGAAGGACGAAAGGACACGTCTAGGCCAGATAACGAATTTATAATAGAAGGTATCGATTATTATAACATGCATCATAACCAGATGCATTGGCCACCTCCCGCGGCTTCCACTGATCATGCATTCGGTGCGCAGTGGACATCTGTATATGGCGGTATAGCTCAACCACCTTTGCAACCACCGTTGCAACCAACCTTGCAACCACCGTTGCAACCACCCTTGCAACCTCCTCAACATCCTTATCAACATCCGATAGAACCGCAATTTAGGCCGAATCAATTTTCGGTTGGTCCGACTCTACCTCCTGGTCCTAGACCGTTAATAACTCCTGCCGCGCGGCCGCAAGACTTGAATCACGTGACGAGATCAGAAAATATTCGGGAGGATATCCCTCCTTTAATGTCTTCCCCTACATTTCCGGTCGCGTCACAATATAGAGGCTTTCAAATGAATCAAGGACCTTACGATCCAGCTTTCAACGTCGACAGATCAGCGGAGTATCCCCATGTGAGACCAAATTGGGATGGGTCCGCTAACCGGACGCCGGAAAATGTAATCCCGTGTGGAATTCAGATCGCGGAAAATTCCACAGGATCTTCATATCCGCGACCCAGCACACCTTATCCCTGGGGCACGCGGGATAACAGACCGTGTAACAGAGGCCGCGGGAGGGACGGATATTACGACAAGAATAGGACAGAAGTGAGGCCTGGTTTCAATCGTCGACCCGATTGGCCGCGGGACGGTTTCCCGAATCGAGATCCACGTGTTCGTACGGATCACAATACGATGAACCTGACGAATCAGACCAAAGAGACCGGCGGTTCTGTTAGAGATCCACGCCTTGCCAAAGATAAACACGTGAATACCCCAACTAAAGCCAAAGACGTCAACACCCACAACGAGAGGGATCCTAGAAAACGACCAAATATTCTAAAAACAACCAAGGAAAAAACAAAATCGCAAAAGTCAGAACCCGAGAAAGAGAAGGTGGATAAGCAACTGCCGAAAGATAGGATGCAATCGCCATTAGAGAGTCTATATGGCGTAATCGACACGAAGGCCAGTCAAAATTCCGGTTTGCAAAAGTTCAAGATTCCCAAGATTAAGCGACCCGAACCGCCGCAGCCGAATCGCGTTGCTAATAAGACGAAGGAGACCGAGAGCAAGACTTCGTCGCGGACGAAGAGCGATAATAAGAAGAAAAGTAAAAGTTCACGTTCTGAGAACACGAGCAAAGAGGATGCGAGCACCGAAGTAAGCAGTAGTAGCGACAGCAGCCACGTAATGCAGAATCAGTTCAAGCAAAATGACGCTGCGAAAGAGGGAGAAGTTATTTCGTCTTTTGTCGAAGAAATTAACAAGAACGAGGTGAAGATCGGCGAAGCAGACTCGGTAACGAGCGATTCCAAGTTGAATGACACGGAGAAGAGCAAGAAAAATGAGGTGGAAGCGGACGAGCCGAAACAGAAAGAAGAGGTAACTCAGGAGTTGATCGAGGCGCTTATCAGAAAATCGTTTGAATCCGGTGAAGGAAAGAAGTTATTTGAACAGGCCAAACTGATACAGAAGCTCGGGGAGGCGTTGGAAGAGAAGAAGTTGAAGAAGATCAAAAAAATTATCGATTCCGAATCTGAAAGTAGCTCGGATAAGGATGAAAGTAAAGTCGAAACGAAAAAGACCTTAACGAAGAAAAAGAGACGGGTAATTATGTCAGACAGCTCGGACGATGAGTGTCTTGCGGAGAGGCTCGAAGTCTTGGCTGGTCTTGATGCGAATGATGAGACAACAGCTTCCGGAACAACGGATCTTCAAAGTTTAAAAGAGAAAAACGGAATAATGATATCTGATAATGTAGATAAAGAATTAGCTAAAGATACTACCCCGAAGAAAGATAACAGCTCATCGGAAAATCGTGACGAAAAGCGTGATCTTCAAGACAATAATAAAAATAAAAACTCAAGATTGAAGAAAAAAAGTAATAAGGAGAATGATCGGTTAAAAGATAAAAATGAAAACACTGATATTCAGTCAGAAAACAGTAAACAAACAAATAATCGACTGGAAGATGATGATAAAGCGAAGAAGCAAGATAAGGTTAATCAAACATCTGTAGAAAAATCAAAGGACAAAAATAGTCGAGAACGTTCGTTGGATCGAAATAAAGATCACGCGGAGTGTGCGGAATCTGTTCCTAACATCGCAAATGGCCGAGATGAAATTTCCGGCGATAAACCAAAAGTTAAAACGAAGAGAAGAAATTCTCTGGAAATGTTGCAAGAGGATGTCAGAGAAATGTTTATTAGCAAAGGCGTAGTGACAGCGACGGGTCATCGGATGTGTCGATTACTAAGAGAAGAACAATCAGCCACGTTATTGGCGAACTCTAAGAAGGACGAGACATCTAGTACTGAAAAAAAACTTGAGGATACTGAAACGGTAGTGAACAACTTCAAGAAAGCTTTGAGATCTCGTAGTGGAGAGTCGAGTAAGGCGAAAGTCAATAAGAGACGCGTTAAACGAACTCGTAGTCTACGTTCCAGAGAACGTGTTCCTAGCTCCAACAGCGAAGAGGATCAACCGCTGGCTCTGCGAACCGAGAGGATCAGCAGCAGTGGTACTAAAACACCGACTCAGGAAGAGGATCGCAACGAGGATAGTATCGATTCGCTCCGTAGATCCAAACGTGTCTCGCGTAAAGATTTAAATGTAAGGGAACCACGAGTGCTTGTCGAGAAGACTGATGTCGCAAAGATAGACCTATCCAGAATCATGTTTGATAGCTCATCTGATGAAAGCTTTGGCATAGATTTGTCCGAGTTAGCTGCGGCGGTGGATAGTCCCCTTCAGCCAGAAAAGCAATCCGATCAGGACTCGGTGGACACGGTGGTGAGTTCGAAGCCACGCAAAATGAGCAAGAACATGAGTAAACGAAGTTCGAAGTTGAAGAGAAGCTCGTCCCTGCTTACCGACGACAAGAGCGAGGACGAAATATCCTTCACGGACGAGGAGAGCGTTACGTCGGACATCTCTATGTCGAGTAGCACACTTGCCGGAAAGAGAACGAGTGGTGGCTCGGCCAGAACGTCCACTAGAGAGGAATTGTTGAGTAATATTCTGGTGGGGCTGGTGCCGGCGCCGACGGAGAGGAGCAGCGCGATGCTGACCGACAAGGGTAATGAAGCAGACCTCGAAGAAGACACGAGTGAACCGCCAATCGCAGAGACGAACGCGAAAAAGACCTGGACGAGGAAAAAGAAGAAAAAATCCAGCTGGCAGATGGGAATAGTGACTACTAAGAAGAGAAAGAAGAAAACCGCTTTGGCAGCCTCCTCTAAAGCCTTTGCTCAGACGAATCTCGAGGAGACAAATACTGGAATTAACGTTCCGATGGACGCCACAGAAGATAATCAATCGATATTGGAAGATAAGGCTGCGAAAAAGCTTCCCGATGATAATCGTACTGTAGATAACGTAAATGTAGATTTTCCAATAAAACGCGATGTTAAATCACCTCCAAATACAGATAATTTTGATTTAGATTTTAACGATTTGAACTTGACCGATTTGAACTTATCAGAATCTTTGGATGCAATCAAGGCAGCGCTTTCAAGCGATTCGCTTATTTCCATCGAGGAAACTAAGCCGACGATAAAGACGGAAATAGTGGAAGATACAAGTACTGCTATCACATCACCGAGTACTAGTACTTTTGTTAAGATCAAGACGGAAATAGCGGAAGATACAAGTACTGCTGTTATCACATCACCGAGTACAAGTACTACTGTTATCACATCATCGAGTACAAGTACTGCTGTTATCACATCATCGAGTATAAGTACTGCTGTTATCACGTCACCGAATACAAGTACTACTGTTATCACATCAGCCCCTACGAATACATTTTGCAAAGAAACATCAAAGATCCTTTATGACGAGCAGATGGAGGAGCTCCTCGGTAACATCACCGTCAAACAGCTGATGGACTATATGTGGTTTGGCCAGGACAAGTACAAGTGCCTGTTGTGCGTCTTCATGGGCAAGAACATCGTTCACCATTACAAGGTAAATCATGCGGGACGAGAGGTGCTAATCGCGCGTCTCAACTCGACGAATGCCGAGGCTGCAATTCTGGAGAGTAGCGCGACTCCGCATCTAGAATCCACGACGGAAGGCCAGGTGTGCAAGTTCCGCTGCAGGTTCTGTTATTATTACGTGACGGAAGGTGCGGCCGACGTGGCCCTCGAAGCCTTTTACGAGCACTGCACCACGCACACGGGCGAGTATAGGTTTCATTGCAAAAGTTGTTCCTATCAAGCAGTGGCCAAGGCTTCCATGAAGACGCATTACTATAAAATGTGTCGGAAATACAGCGACACGTTCAACGAGGCTGTGACCGGGGACGATGTGCCCCGTGAAGGCGCCGTTTACGGCTACCTGTGTCGCGGTTGCAACTACGTGCAGCTGAAGCGGGATAATGTGGAGGCCCACGTTGCGTTTTGGCATCGAGATACCAAGACTGAGATCTTGAAGATCAACATGTCCGCGACGAGCGTAGAGAATGTCACGAATAACAGCAATGAGATCTCGCAATCACTTCCGGCTTCCAATGCGAAAGAATTTTTCGCTGTAGAAACGAAGCCGAAGATTTCTCAATTCGAAAGCACGGAGAACAAAGAGCTGGAGTTGAATGTCGCGAGGGAAGTATCTCAAGGTAACAATGATGAGATCGATGAAGAGTACATGCTACGTGAACCGAAAACGGAAGATGCGATCGACATCAAGGAAGAAGAACCGGAGGTGAGATTGTCCCAAGAGGTGAGCACAGGTAATCTACGCGCATTCGTTTGCCCGCCCGAGTTGGAGAACAATAAAGAGGCTGAAATACAGCGGGAACGGCAGAAGAAGATGCAGGAAATTGCCAATAACATCGGTATCCTAAAAAATTATTCCAAACCAAACTTGTCCATAATAGACAAGGTGCAGGACAAGATGCGCCCAGACAGGGCCGTTTCTCCCGTTACTGAGGGTGATTCATCAGGAACGACCGATCTGGATACGACATTCGAAGAAGACTCTCCTTCGTTACTTCCCGTGAGTCCTACAATAGAATCCGTAAGCAACAACGTAATCATCAAGGAGGATACGTTGAGTCAGGATTTGAACACTCAAAAAAATCCCCCTTCTTCTACGGAACAATCGGTTGCTGATAAATCGGAGGTGACGAGCGACAAGACGGACGGGTTAAAGATTCGAGATCCTCTGACAAACATGGATCCGTGCAAGAAGGACGATGATGAGAGCGACGGGGAGATGAGCGACGATGAACGTTCTCCGCCAATCTTCGAATCAGATTCCAGTAGCGAATCGGATTCCGAGCCACCGACTGATGTCAACATGATCCTGCAGGAGACGTCGAACATTAACGCGTCATCTTCGCGAGATCCAATGCTGACGACCATTCAGAGACTGGTTGCGCAGCTTCAAAATGTCAAACCGTTGGAACCAGTGTCCGAGTCGGTGCTTGACATCAAGACGGAGATTAAAAGCGAACCTATGTCGTTTATCCCGAATCCACCGAATGTCGTACCGATCGCCACTGCCAAGCGATTGTTGGCGAATGAATTAAACGTCAATGATTTGTCTAAGACACAGGAAATGCCAGAACGTGCTGATTCCAGTACACCTAAGAACTTCATCAGGTTGAGGCGACTCAGCGGTGACAAGCTATCTATTCCGGTGCAATCGGATAATCCAGAGGACACGCAAGCTTCCATCACGGGTGGGTCGAAGCATTTGCAATCATCTGCACACGTTGTGATAATGTTCCTAATAATTGAATATATTAATCTCAAGAGATTTACCTGTTAACAATATTTCAAGTTGATTTTTTCAACTTCTTGGTAAGTTTTATCCGACAGGTAGCATCTCTTCGTCTCTTTTTTTAGAACTAGTATAAGAGATGCAAACTTACCAAACTATTGGAAAAATCAGCTCTAAATAAAGATATATAGGTTTAGAAAAGAAAATAAGATATATAGGATATATAAAATTTATATGTATTATAATTGTTAGATGGAACTCAGTCGAACAACGCAGTAGACGTGGCACAAACTGATACAGAAGGAGAGTGTTCATTCCTGAGGATTGAAAATGTAGTTAGCCTCGCGCAATCCGATAATGCTGGGAACGAAAGTCCTATTGTAAGATTATATAATAATCGCAATATTTTTTTTTAACTATTCAATTTATTATATTATCGTTATTATTGTATTTTTATTATATTATTCCACTAATTTTAGGTAAATGACATCAGAAAAGCAGTGGAGATCTCCCCGAAGAAAGGGATACCTATCCTGAGGAAATCCAATCAGCCTATAATATTGAAGAAGTTCAACATTATAACGTCGAACTCTCAGACTACTCAGCCAACCACGTCGGAACACGTGACATTATTTCCGGTCAAGAGTCCGCTGACGTCCTCGACAAAATTCACCACTACTCAATTGGCCACTTCGAATTTTGTGCCTATCTCCTCGAAGATCCTACCGGTTACTGTCTCGCCGGCAGTGACAAGCTCGTCGAACCTAAAAATCGTGAAAGTAGTACGGACGCCTGTGCCTCTGAAATCGCCCAAGGACACGGCTCATCCGTCCGTCACGAAATCACTCAAGTCTATGGATGCTTACGCGGCGATGATGACGGAGATGAAATTGATTCACTTCTTCAAGTGCATGGGCCGCGACTGTGATTACACGACAGACTGTATCTTGTTGTATTCCAAGCACTATCTCAAGCACTGCGATGAGGTGAACAAACGAAAGGACAACAGTGAGAATCGGCAGGATTTCAAGAAGTGCGTTTATTGTACCGCTTGTCCAGCAGACTGGATCAGCATGAAGACTCATCTATGGGAAAAGCACAGTTCGTGTCGATACCAGTGCATTTATTGCTTCTACCGGGCCCTTACGCCATGCTATGTACAACAACATCAGGTAATTCATCTTAGCTATTGTTTTGAATGAAAGAAATGATATGTATATATCTGTATATATATATATATTTGTATTGGATCAATTTTTTTCAGGCGACTTGTCATCCTGGAAGCAGGTTTTACTTTCTATTGGGCAAAATGATTAAACCGATCCAAAAACAGGAAGACATTAATTATAATGATTATATAAGGCCGTTTGTGTGCAAACATGGTACGTTATTACAGTAATTTTGTATTAATTATGTAGTAATAATGTAATATAATTGTAATACAATATTGTGTTATGTATTACAAATATATTTACATGGATGTCTGTAGTATCTTATTGTGAACAATTATTAATTTGGATAATTTTCAGACGGGAAAATGTTTTATACACTTGAAACATTTGCTACACACTTAAAGGAACATAAATCTTCACATTTCAGGTGTCATTTATGTAATTGTAAATATGAGATAACATTACTTATATCAGTAAGTATCTTCCCATTCATATTGACTAATTGCTAAAAAGTGAAAAATAATTGCATCATTGATTTGTTTTAATGCAGCACTACAAGTTACATGGATATTCCAAGTATCAATGTGTATATTGTTTATATGGTACTGAGACCTTAAACGAGATGCACCAACATTTGAGCGCTTTTCACTGCAATCGACTACCGCAAACTATTGAACGCTCGCTTCCTCAAGTGGTATAATTGCTATCATTAATTAAACAACAAAACGATAAAGTTATTATCATTATGTTAATACTTTAATTTTAAATATATTTATAGAGTCATTATAATATCATTTCTTTATTATTACGATTTCTTTATTAATCGTGTTTATTTAACTTCTAGCTCCTCGCCGATCATGTTGAAATTGTGACGTCAAAGAAATACCATCTCGAAATAAAAGATATTTTGATGAAACAGCACGAAAAATTATTTCAGCTTGTTAATTAATTGTCAAGAGAAACGAATAATTTTCGAGATATTTTAAAAGTGTGCTAAAGCCATCTGAAATAATATTTTTTTAAAAATGACATCTAAGAATTTTTAGCGTATACGTTCTCGCCTCTGATGTCACAATCTAACATGATCGCGACGAGAATCCAGGAGCCTCTTGACATACAGCTTCATACAAGATATGTATTATAGGTACAATCTAATGTAAACACTGCACAGCAGCTCGTTATGCGAACTTTCGAAGAGTCTGCAAAGCTCAACGAGGGAAATGTCGAATCGAGTGCTGACAATTCGAAAAAGGACACTTCTACGAAAGACGCGATAAATAATCAGACTTCTGTAGCTTCACTAGATATAGAAGTCGCTTCGAAAGCGTCAAACAATCCAGCAACGTCCAGCTTCACTGGTAGGACGAGCAACATGGAAACCAATGCAAATGTTTCCAGTACTTCGGAAAAACAATCTATAAATGCGTCTCTTGTTAGTAATATAGATGAAAACACGAATAAAAATGCTAGTGAAAAACAACTCTTGCAAAATAAATCTTCCTCGCAAGGATCAGAACAGGACAAGTCAAATACTACAAATCAGATTATTCAGGAACAGGAATGTGATCTGCTATCGAGTTTAAATGACTGTAACGCCGTGGATCCATTAGAATTATCGAACGAATTCGATAGCAGTGATGAATTTGTTAATACCAATCTTCTGGACAATTCAGAATTTTTGAAGAATCTGGGCCTCAATTCTAGCAACACGTCGTTCTCTAATGACGATGCGACGACGTTTGCGGATAAAGCAGAAGACAGTGACATCGAGATTCTGGAGAATATTGAAAGCGGGAAGAAGACTGAGAAAAAGAATGTTGAAGATAACACGAATCCAGATTCAAAGTCTTTAGTTAAATTGAAGATTGAGAAGGAGCAGTCTGAACTGGGTGATACCGAGGATAAATGCGAGTCGGAGAAGGTGTCTACGTCCGCCGACGCGCAGTCGGAAAGACCTTTAACTTTGGACGACATCAAAGACACTGGTCGTGCCGGACTTGAACTGTACAAATGTGGTTATTTGGAGTGCAGTTTCGCGGCGACGAATTCATCGATATTGAAGGATCATATTAAGATCTGTACTTTGGGAGAACCGGCCAAAAATTTATGTTGTGCGCATTGTAAGAAACGTTTCGTCAAAATCGGTTTCCTTCTGGAGCACATGAAGGCTCATGGATTAAAGCGTTTCGGATGTTCACTGTGCAAGTCCAGGTACGCGGTCTCATATCAAGCTACACAACATATGAAAACGAAACATAAACATCTCAGCACAAAATTAGTACCTGCAGATCCGACAAACCCCTCGGCCGAAGGCCTCTTTATCGTGCAAGCAGTTGTAAGTCTTTCATTTCGTCATAATTATTTATACTAAATTTTAAACAAATACATTATATCCTCTCACTTTTTTGAAAGGTATATAAATTGTGTAAATTTCTTATATGTAAATTTTGTAGCCTTTTGGATCCGTTGAACGAAAAAGCAAGAAGCGCAAAGGTACAAAATCCGGAGCGGAGCAAGAAGCCGAAAAGAGTACGGATTTCGAAAAGTTATCGTTCAGCCCTGATGAGATAGAGCAGTTACCGCGTCAAGCGATTTACAATCGGGAGGTCCAATGTGCCATGTGTTCTTTCAAGACGAAAGTTCGGACAAACATTGTCCGACATCTGCAATTACACGCGAACGACCAAACCGTGCCCGAGAGCGGACCTGTCAATCCCGTTCCCTGTTTAGATAAGAAAGAAAAGATGTTCGATAAGATGGTGAATCTCGCAAGCAGCTCGCACCAAAACGGGCGAATGGGTGGGAAGCCGAAAGAAATTGTGAAAGAAACTGAAGAGGACGATAGTATACCGAAATTTGTACCGGAAAATAAAAGGTATATATATCAGACTTCAAGTAGTGGTCAACAAAATATTAGGTTTGTTCTTTTTAGCTGAACTATTGCAGCTAAAAAGGACAGACCTATTATGAGACATTTTGACAAGTATTAATTTTCTTGCGAATAGATATGTATGCAGCGTGGCCGAGTGTAATTATCTAACGGTGGACGAGGCGATGTTGAGATACCACTTAAAGGCTCTACATTCGGAAGAACCGTATTTCCGTTGTCCTCATTGTCCCCCACCGCCACCGGGACAAGAAAACCAAAATATAGCGATTGATAAGATGGGGGTTCACTTGAAGATGCACGATGCGAGGCTTTACAAATGTTCCCATTGTAATCACCATCATTATCACAGGTTTGCATATATTTATATAATTGTGTGTGTTCAACTCTGCAACGCGCACGGTTACATTATTTTTAATAAATTTTCTTTTATACATGTGATATACAATTTTAAAACATGTGACAAGTGCTACTCTGTAATAAATTATATTATTACATAAATAAAATAATAAGTATTATAAAATGATACTAGTTTGGTTAATAAAAAAAGAAATATATGTGAAAAAGGAGGAAATTAAATATTACACTTGGCAGATGTTTTGAAATCTTCTTCTGCTCGCGCAAGTGCACTTTCTATGCTTTCTGATAGTCTCGAAATATCGTCTAGGCACGTTGTGGAGCGGCATCTCACCGACAAACATCCGGAAAAGAGACCATTCGTGAAAGTAGTGAGAGAAGTCGAGAATACAGAGAACATTCAGCAGTCGATGAACGAGGAGACAGAGGAAGAGGTACCCGATCCGGACGGCAACCACTGGAAGTGCAACCTTTGTGACTTCAAGTGCGTTTACAAAGCAGATATAACTACCCACGCGGACGCCGTTCACGGGGAGAACTGTCAGTACAAGTGTATCTTGTGCTCGTTCAAGACGAGCGGAAAGATCATCCTCGAGCAGCACATCAACAGCAAGCACGCGTGCGACTCCAATGTCGATTACACCGTGATTTATCAGAGGATAAAGGGGGTCAACAAACGTAACGTCGAAGCTACGGAACAAGGTGGGCAAGACGAGCCCTTCGACACGACGCCACTTTGGAGCAGAAGCATGCCGCGGATCCGACATATCCGCGGTATTCTTTTGGAAGAGGAGATCGAAGAACCCGTGACGAGCGAGAGGTCCGCAACTCCGAAAGTATATCAGAATAAACGCAAGAGCGACGCGGAAGGCTCGACAAAGCCGGCCAAGATGAAGTTCACCGGAAGGTCGAGCGACGATAGCAACAAACAGTTTAAGGAAAGATCGAAGAGAATCTCGTGTGATAAATTGTCCGAAGACGCGGAAGGTGAAGACAAATCGCCCAAAGACCCTAAAATGGCTGAACTCAGTGATTCGGATGTGGGGAGATTCGGGCCTTACGGCAAGCCGGAAGGCAATTTGTATGTCTGTACACTATGTAATCAATTTAAGACCAAATATAAGCACGATATGAGAGATCATCTTTACAGAGAGTTGAATTATGCAAGGTAAGTAAAACTTGGGACACTTTTGAGGAATTGCTCATTTTCTTACAAATATCATTCTTAAAGCTTCTGGATCCTCGCCGTGGCTATGTTAGAATGTGACATCAAAGGCAAAAAAGATATTTCAATGATTTTTATTTCAAAATGGCATCTAAGAATTTTTAGCGTGTGTTTTCCCGCCTCTGACGTCACAATTCTAACATGATCGGCGAAAAATCAGGAGCTTTAAGAGAGAGATTATATGGATTTATTTGTTATATAGGTGGCATTGCAAAACTTGCGGATATTTATCGGTAAATCGTAATGCGTTAATACAACATTTTGGAAAACGCCATAATGGAGAATGTCCGGAATCCGTGCCACTTTCTCCGGACAACGCGATTGAGGATTGGGTATGTTTATTTAAGATTTGTTCATTTTTTATTTCATTTTATTAATATTTATTATTACATATATTTGGCTTTACTTTATTTATTCATTATAAATTAACACCCTGTCAAATTTATACAGGTAAAGACTTTACTGAAGAAACAGACAGATATGATCAAAGCGTCTAAAAACATTAATGTTCTTGTCAAAAATGTCACGGTATCTGGCAGTACTTGCCAAGAAGTTGATAACACAGTTTCTTCAAAGAAGATCCAAAGCAATAACAGAAGAACCGTAAATCTCGCGCCTACGATATCTAATCTACAAAACGACATTCTTCAAGATGCCAACAGAAGCAGCATAGATTCTGATGATGGTGATAGTAGGGACAATGATGACCTTGTAATAGATATGAAAGAGGATGAGTCATTCGAGAGTAAAAACAATGAAAATAAGCCTAAAAATGATAAATGTAAGTATATATTAGTAGATCATGCATATTTCACTCCTTCTCATTTAGATAAAATAAAGTATATCAATTGTTATGTTCAGTTGGCGAGAAGAACGAAGAGAGATCGAAAAAACTGTTCGCCTGCAAGCACTGTCAGATGACCTTCCACCGTCCGCGTGGCTTGAAGCTTCATATTCAATACTCTCACTTAAAACGGCTCGGCTTCCTGTGTCCTTACTGCGATCGCAGCACCAACTCGGAGGCGATGATGCGTCAACATATTCGCTCGAAGCACCCGAAGAATCCGGAGAAGATCATCCAAAATCCATCCGCGTGGGAGAACGAGAAGCTGACCAACGAGTTCTGGGAGAAGGAATATGGCATCGTTTGTCCATCAAAAGCCAAGAAGCGGAAATTGAATGTCGTCGACGATGCCGTTACCGGAAATAGCGCGGACACGCGGGCGAAGTGTGAGGCGTGCGGCTTCACGGCTATGAGTTTCATAGGATTGAAGTCGCACATGAGATCGCACATTCCTATCAACAAGCACAATCTCAAGTGCTCGTATTGCACTTACAGTTGCACCTTCAAGGCCGAATTGCTGGAGCATTGCAAGATTAATCATCCCACGATGCATTTAAAGTACCAGGAATTATCGCCGGTAGCTGGATCCTCCTGCAGCGAGACTGCGAGTAAATCATTGTCGAAGAAACGGGACATCGATCCATTAGAAGAAGATTTAGAAGAAGAGGAAGAAGAAGAGGAGGAAGAAGAAGAGGAAGAGGAGGAAGAAGAACCAACGATATCTGTCAGCAAACCGATGCCGACCGTCATCTACACTTGCTTCTATTGCAAATATTGCAGCAACTCGTTGACGTCCGTCAGACGACATTGGAGTCGTGTACACAAGGACACGAAAGCTCCGGAGACCTTGACCACAAAGATCAATCTATCTGTACCGTTTAGATACAAGGAGTCTCTGGCGAGATTGTCATCACCCAAGGATTGCGCGAACAAGAGTGTCATCGAAATATCGCCTCGTGACTTTGTAGAACGATCGGGGAACCAATCACTGATTGTGGCTCAACGGCGCGGATGGATCTGTCAATGGGATGGGTGTCAGGAGTTTTGCGAGACTGACGCCGATAAGATAACACATCAGAACATGTTTCACTCTCATCTGCCGCCGAAATGGCTGGAGCAGCGGCAACAACCAAGTCAGTCGAAAGGGTAAGATCGCGTTTCTATCTCATATCCTTCCTTGTAATTTTTATAAGGACATTTAATTAAATAGTCTCTATATTTTAGCTCGCCGTTACGACTCCCTGTTTTTGTCCCTCGAAATATTCGAGTTTCGCAGCAAAGACCGAGAGTACCAGTTTGAACTCGGTTATGGAGAACTTGATAGCGAACCAGGCCGGACGAAGCCTGGATTTTGATGATCAGAGTCGTATTTCTGATGCTTCGTTACTTCGGGACAGTGGTTCTGACAGTAGTCGAACTGTCGCGAGGAAATCTACAACTAGATCCACTCTCTTTTCCTACACAAGACCACCGGGTCCACGCGTTTTCAAGGCTGTCGCTCGCAAGTCCACGAATCCCTTGCCGAGACATCCATTAGGCGCTTTTATGTCATACTTGCCACGTAGCGTAATGACGGAATTAAAAGCGGAAGAGACAGAGAGTGAGCCATCCTCCCATTACGGAATACCAAGCAAACCAGTTAATCTGGGCGAATTAAACACATACATGGTAGTTGGAGGCCACAAAATGAGATTAACCTGCCTCACTCTGTCCTCGCTGATTAATATCAACGCGAAAGTATTGGTGAAGGACATCAGGAAAGATCCAAAATATGTCGCTATTCTATCAAATTTTGACTAATTTTTTTTTTTTTTTTTTTTTTTTTTTTTTTTTTTTTTACCGGGTGAATAGATGCATAATTTTTCATAATATCGAGAAAATCAGAATTTTTCTTTAATGATGGTTGATTGCTTGCGAAAAATGGTATAGGAGTGAAACTATAAAATGCAAAACCTTGATTACAATTTGTGTACGCCGTGAAACTTACAAAGCAGAAACAGACAGAAGAAAATTTTATATTTTTAATTTCGATATTTTTGTTTCGTAAGTGTTAAAGTGTATATAATAAAAGTGGACGATATAAATAAACAGTTAATAAACACAGCTGTGCGTAAGGGGAAAGATATATCGTATAAAGTATACGATATATCTATAATAGTACGATTAGTACAATTAAAAAAAAGTTGGTAAAATATTTTAGTTTAAAATATTGTCATCTCGAGTATACGAGAGCGGTCCGATAAGTACTTAGCCTCATCGCCCGATGGTGCCAGTATCACAAGAGAGTTTTACTATCGTGTAGTACATTTTCGTAGACGGCTACTGTCAAAATTTCAGCCGAATCGGGCTCGTAGTTTTGTTTTGACCGCGTGTGGAAGCGGGCGTGTCCGCGGATTTTAGAAAAATGGAAAAAGAGCAATATCGGTCGGTGATTCGATTCTTGTTTTTGGAAGGGAAATCGCGCAGCGAAATCAAAGAGCGCTTGGATGCTGTGTACGGTTACTCTTCTCCTTCGATGGCGACCGTCAAAAAATGGTTTAACGAGTTTCAACGTGGTCGCACGTCGGTTTTTGATGAGCCACGCCCAGGTGCCCCGAAAATGGCTACCACGGAGGATAACGTGACAAAAATCCACGATCTCGTATTGGCAGACCGCCGATTGAAGGTGCGCGAGATAGCTGAAACAGTAGGCATCTCAAACTAGCCTACTTTGCAGACCTCGAAAAAACGTATTTTTCAGATGGGTTAAAAAAGTTGGGAGCATCGCTAAGTACTTATCGGACCGCCCTCGTATGTTTGGCGTGATACATTTATATGATATACAAATCATATAGATATATTGTCTGTTGAGATCGAATTATTGTTAAACCTATAATTACACTTTACACTGCAAAAACTAACGTATAAGAATCATCGAAAAAAAGTCGAAGAAAAAACTATTTTTCGTATATTTTCTAAAATTACATGTGAGTCATTTCACATCACTCGTATTTATTTTTATTTTATTTAATATAGAAAGTCACCTTTAATGCGAAACGAGGAAATAAAATGTTATACTATCCATTTCATTTCTTTTGTACTGTAAATATCTTTTATTTAATATTATATTCATAATTTTATAAATATTCTATTGTGCTTTTTATTTTGATAAAAAGATAAAGATGATGGTTTGGAGTTGAGTCCTATATGCTATTTTGGCAATCGCATTTAGTGTATACAAGAATAATATAAAGATGTCAGATTTTAATTAGCATATTATATTGTATTCGGCAGTGACAAAATTTTTCTTTCCTCCTGTAAGTCATTTTGATATGATGGAAAATAGTAAACATGATTTTTTGTAATAAGACAAGACTGACAAGCATATTGTAACAAAAGTATCTTTTAAAAAACTGTAAATATATGTATTATACCTCAAATAAATATTTTTGATTTTTATAAGTTAATAATTAATTTAATGATCAAGCTAACACAGTACGAAATTAATTTTAAATACAAAAGATAAAAGAAACCACATCGAAATTTTTTTTAATGGGTTTAGTAACATTTATCTCCTTCTCGCTTTTGCATTTAATTGGCTCAACTTCTTTATTAAAGTGATTTATACTATCTCCTTTTGTTTTTAAAAAAAATATGACATGTATTTCACATTATTTATATATTTATACTTTCAGAGATGTTTTTTTTTATATTTTCTTTTAAATCCCGCAATGCTATAAATTTGAATTAAATAAATGAAATATTTTATACAAAAGCAATACTTTATTAAGTTCAAGTGTGAAAATTCGTGCTATTAAATATTCATATTAAAAGCAAGATATATTAAGTGATGAATTCAGTTAACAGACGTAATGCAACATTAATAATAATTCAGTAATTTGAGTGGTTTTGTAAAAAAAATTGTTAATAGTTTTTAAACTCTTTATTATATAAGAGTTCTTAACCCTTTAGTGAGGATAATCCTGCTCTCATTATCTCGTCAACCAGAAGAAGATTACTTGCGATTATTGTACTGAAAATGAAAAATTTATCAATGTAAATTATTAACATTCATATATAAATTATTAATAATGTACATTAAATTTTAGTAGTAATATCTTACCAGGAATTTATAATTTGTTTCTTTACATTGTAATTATCATAAATGCCAGCATTCGCAGGTTTTAGAGCTTCTCCTGTGGACAGATCCAATCCTACAGTTTCATCTAGAGTGGTGCTTTCCTCCAATAATTTAACAATTGTATCTTGCGGATCAAATCCACTATTAACAGCTGAAGATAGAAAGAAACAGTTAATAATAATCTTAATAGTATTGATATAATTAAATATTAATGGGAGTATGATGGCTTTACCAAGAATTTTCGGAATGACAAGTAAAGCTTCTGCATAAGCTTGTACTCCCAGACGTTGCTTTCCTTTTACTTGCTCCTTATACCGTTGAAGAGCTTGACTGGCTGCAACCTCAAAGGCTCCAGCTCCAGGAACAACAGCTGCATCATCGATAGCATTCTTTATTGCTCTAAGTCCATCACGCACAGCATCTTTCAATTGTTCCACTGTAAATTTATTAGGTCCCTGCAATATCAATGATATAAGTATTTTTATACATACATTAATGCAAAGTAATCAATAATGTAAGCAAACAATTTTACCTTTAACAAAATTGTTACAGAGTTTGGCTTTTTGCACTCCTCTATGAAGGTGTATTTGTTTTCTCCCTTAAAGAAAAAAATTAAACATTATAAAAGTTACGTTTACTCTGGTTAATATTGCGATAGCTCTTATCTCAATATTAAATGCATTGAGCATGAATATTTACCAGCACATGTTCATATACAAGGCCAGCCCATCCTAAATGTTCTTCTTTCAGATCGTCCACAGAATTCATGGCTAGACCACCGCACGCGAGTGCCAAACGTTCCATGTTTCTGCGCTTGGCTCTACGTAAAGCAACAATATTCTCCTTTGCGAGCATATCGAGGGACTGCGGATCTATTCCTTTTTGATTTATCACGACGAAAGATTTATCTGTTCCATCGCACAGCTTCTTTTTCAAGTCGATTATCTTCTGCACACGATTATCGATGAACACGCGTTCAGCAGCCACCAACTTTTCGCGTTCTTCAGCTGATTTATAAAAGAATCCACTGTTGACCTATCAAAAACACAAAATTATATCTTTAGCATTGCTATATTAATTTTGTACATTTTTTCTAGGATCATATATACTTACCTCACTTTTTTCATATTCTAAGCTCACATTACAGGTCAAAATATATGCATTCTCTACTCTCTTTGGCATATCTGGATGTCTGGCTCCATGATCAGTAACTATGCCACGGATTAGAGTAGTATCAACTGCCGTTCTATGCTGCATCTCCATTAATTCAACCATGTGCAAGTCTATCTCCTTATCTTCTTGTTTAATAGCCAAGACAGCATCCACACAAATCTCAGTTAATTTGTCAGCTATAGTGTGATGAACTTTCGTCCTAAGGGAGGTTCTCGCAATGTCCAACAAGTTCGCTTTGATAGGCTCGATTGGAACTTTCAATGTATCCAATACTTCTAACGACTTGGAACGAGCCAAGTCAAAACCATCCGTAATTACTCTCGGATGTAATCCCTCTGCTATGTAAAGATCAGCTTGCTTCAAAAGTTCACCGATGACTAACACAGTGCTGGTTGTACCATCACCAGTCATATCGTCTTGAGCTGTAGAAGCTCTTGCTATAAGGATGCTGTAGGATGCTGAATCTGCATTTCATGCAAAAGTACATTGCCATCCTTGGTGATCTTTATATCTCCAGCTCCAGAAACCAGCCTAGAAATTTGATTTACTCAATATTAGTGTTTGTATGTTTTTATAGAAAAAAAATATCTCCATAATCAATTGAAAAGTTTATTACATATTCTGCTTAAACTGTTATCAATTATCATGTTACTAATATAAATATTAAAATAAACTATTAATATTGAAAAACGCAAAAAAAACAAATATGCTAATTACTAATTATTAGAAATGTCAAAAAATAATATGCAAAAATAAAACATCAACGCTGGGCCGGCAATTCACAAAACATGTCCTAATAAGGAAAATGATGTGTCATCCAGAAATTAGTTCCTCGACTGAAGACAAAGACTAAACAATATATGTATTTCGGATCGTGAAATCAAATGTCAAACTCAAATGTCAAATGACATTGAAATAGGAGAACTGAAGATGATTTTTAGAAAATTGCAGCACGTGTGAATCTACGGATACATACATCTTCATGGTTCCCTTGGGCCCCAAATTGGTCCTCATCACATCCTGAATGCCCTTCGCGGCGGAGATGTTCACCGCCAGGGCTTGCGCCGCCCGGGCGAATTCGGCCTTCGGATTCAGCAAACTGATCGCCGCCATTATTTCGCTTTTTCCCGAAATTTGCGTTTGAGAGAGTACAGTACACTACACGCTCTTCTCGACGATTTCGAGCTGTCTGGAGAAAGGTTGATTCCCAAGGCGCGACGTGTTTCAGTCTCGTAAATTTATATACATAAGAACTCGCCATTAAACATCGGCGAGTCACGTGACTACTCATCTGAATTAGCGGGAAAAATAAAAAGTGGAAAGGGAATAAATAGGGATAACATTTTGATGAAACACATTTTTATTGTCTATAAATTAAAAACGGACAATTATGAATTAGTATCAAAATAGTATATATAAACACGACCTCAATTTTTTTTATATAAATGAAAGGAAAACGTTAATCGTTTGAGGATCGTTAACTATAATGTATAAAATAAAAATAAAATGTAGCGTTAAATTAATGTGTACTTTGCATGTGTAATGATCGCAATTAAACGCATACATTATACGTATATAGTCCTATTGAATGCAGAACGTTTATAATACTTAAAACACAAAAGAAAAAAAACAGGCGATCTAATATTATATGAAATATGTCTCTCCTAAAAGTTATTATATATAAACATTTTAATTAGTCAACTTATTAAAATGTTTATAACTTTTAGGAGAGTCTGTACATATTTTATATAATATTGAGCGATCACCTATATTTTCTTTTTGTGTTTTATGTACACATTAATTTATTACAAACTCTTATAAATATATTTAACATTTTACTATAAGAGATGTGTATATATTTTTAATATATTTATCATGAAATACTTGCAATATATTAATCAAGCCTTGAAACTTCTGATACATTACAATCATGATTCAATGCAATTGTATTATATAATAATACAATGATATATAAAGAATATATTCAAAAATATATTCAAAAACAAAGTTATTATATAACTGTGCACAGAAATAGATAATGTGAATTTCTTTCTGTATATTTACTTTTTTCTCAAAAAGAATAAATATTCTTCTTAGAATATTTATTAAGGCTTGTTATCACACAGATCTTCAATTTATATTGAAATATAATGACACACACATTTATAACTTTTAAAACTTGATTATTTAGAAACTACAAGTATCACAATAAATACATTAAAATTAGGTTTTTATAAATTATTTCTCTTATGTGTGCCTTTGTAGTCAAATATAAAATATGTAAATTTATCTGTCATCTATTTTACTTTTTCCTTTAATAGTTCTTACTAATCAAAACGCAGAAAAGATGATGACCTTTGTAGCTCGTTGTTTGGAAATTCTATTTTAATCTTTTGAGTATCTTTTACTGTTTCTGTACTTTCGACCTCATTATTTTCTTCCTGAGAATTGTTATCATTATTCAAGGAAATATCCTTTGGAGAAATATTAATCTCATCTAGTGAATCAAATGTTAAATTCATGGTTCTGGTAGTTTCATCTTTTTCAACTATATCCTTTGTTTCTTGTTTCTCATTTATAGATGTAACAACTGTTTGTCTTTTCTTCTCCCTTTTCTTTACTTCAATTTTTTCATTCATCGCTGCAGATGCTTTTCCTGTATTTTTTTTCTTTTGTTTAGATTCCACTATTTGTGGAATTTCTCCTCCTCCATTTTCTTCAACTTCAGGAATTACTGCCTCCTTCTCTTGAACATCACTATTCTCTTTTGTTTCAACATTACGTTTTCCTTTGAAAATAGCTTTCTTTGAATTTTTCATATTTGTTTTCAATTTATCCCCCTCTATTGCATCCTCCTCATTTTGTTCTTTGGTTATTTCTGTTTCTTCCTCTTCTGATAATGCAAGCTCTGCTTTTGCAGATTCTTTGGTGATCTTTCCTTGGCTGTTACCTTAGCTAAAAATAATAAAAAACAAATGAAGTAAAAACTCTTTAACTGAATAGATATAAGCACATCATCAGAATTTTTAGAAATTTCTAAATTTATATCGTTTAACTCAATAGATTAATAAAACCTCGAATAAATATCAATAAGTATACTTTGTAAAAATATTACATTCTTTATTAACATTAAGTTCTTTAATTTGGAATAAATATTTTGTAAATAAGAATTTTCCTTTATCTTGTTTCCTTATTTCTACTGATAAAAAAATCAATTTAATCACAAATAACTAAAAAATCTCATTTCACACCTGTTTTCTTCATCCCTTTGCGAGGTTTCTTGCTGGCCACATCATCAGTCTCCGCAGGCACCTTCGTTTCGACATTTCTACTTTTCTTCGCTGGTGGTTTCTGAACAACTTTGGCACGTTTTGTCGTCGCAGGTGTTACGTTCTTTTCCTCTCCCGTTTTAGCACGAGTTGCACGTTTCGCGACAGGTGGATTCTCCTCGTGGATGACCTCTCCGTTCTGGGCGGGATCCTTGACCTGGTCCTCGGTTTCGCTTTTCCGCTTCCTAGCGACCGGCGCCTTGGCGGTGGTCTTTGATTTCGTATCCTTAATCGCAGTCTTGCCACGTTTCTTTTTTTCGACAACCTCCTCCTCCTCCTCCTCTTCTGCAATATTATTGTTCACTCTCTGTCGTTTGTTGGCAACGGCTTTACCCTTGGATATGCCTGCCGCATCAGTCTTCGGAACAGCAGTTTTCGTCGGTTCCGCGACGTTTTTAACTTTGCTACGTAGCATCTTCGGCGAGAAGACGGCCGTCTCCTGGAGTGCCTTTACCCTGGTCTTCCCAGGCGCCGCCTTAATGTTGGCTTCCTCCGCCGACTTCGCCGTGGTTTTTTTCTTCTTCGGCGATGTCACGTTGCCATTCGCAGCGGCCAGGGTGCTCTTTGCCGCGGCCTGTTTCACCTGCTTACGTGGTGCCATTTTTTGGTCTCGATGTAGATCTCTGGCCAACTATATATATAATATTTTCGTTAAAACTACGGATGGGATAATTGGAAATCGAGTCGCAAAAGACCACGTGCACGCTTCTTTTACCTCGTGATCCCGCACGAGGATCGTATCAGCTGATCAATTGGCTTACCTTTTTTCGCCTATATATGGATGCTTTTTCACCTTCGCCGATCCTCTTTTCAGAATCTCCTCTCTCGAATAATCCGACCGATGATGAGGTACGTCGGCAGCAACTGCGCCCTCGAGGAAGATCTTCTGGAAGAGATTTCGGTCCAGGAAGCTCTGGGAATTTTCGTTAACTGCCAATAACTGCCACCGGATTCGCGCTCACAAGGACACCTTTTTTCCCTCCTTTTTTCAGATATCTGTTGATATTTATTTCTCTCCCGAAAGCGACCGGTAACTTAATTCTCTTCGTCTGTCTCTCTCTCTCTCTTCCTCTTCTTCGATGTTCTAATCTCGCTTTTTTTCGCGGAACTTTTCAACTGGGAAATCCCGTTTATCGCGAAATAATCGTGATAATTCGAACTTTAATCGTCCAATTCCGAGAATCGAGGGATGATCTTGAAAAATGAGCGATAACGTGCTTAACGTCGCGCGAAAATATCGTAGGATTCCCTTGCAAAGGCAGAATTTTAAATTGTCTCGTCGGTGACTTTGCGACTTTCAAACGAATCACGTGGCTTTCGAAAGTTTTGACACGCGTTCCTGCGCAACTTCATGTTCGCTCGGCGAACAAAGTAAATGATCGACCAATCGGAACGAAGGAGCTTTATTCTTTCGATCCTGATTGGTCAGGGTGTATTATACTATACTAATTTCTTCTCTATAGTCAACGCAAACATAACGTAACCTGAAAAGTTGTGCATATATCATTTTTTCTGCCTAAATAATCATAGTTGGATTAAATTGATTGAAGGCACATTGAATATTCAGAAAAAATGTGTCAATTCTAAGGAATCACAACAATCTTATTATAATTAAAATAATATTTTAATTCCATTAATTATGAGGATGTTGCAATGTGTTCTTTTGTGGCTTATAGAATTTGTATAAAACATTTTAAATTGTACGTAAGTATACTATTATATATAATTATTGAAGAAATAATTTCCTGAACATTAATTCAGTATAGCAATATTCTATTTCTTTTAGGAAGAACAGATATCTTTGTATTAGACAAATCTTGGCATAAAAACTTATGCTAGGGCTTTGTTATAAGGAGTACTTATTGACAGTATAAAATTTGTGTAAGACATTTTAAATTGTACGTAAGTATACTATTATATATAATTATTGAAGAAATAATTTTCTGAACATTAATTTAGTATAGCAATATTCTATTTTTTAGAAAGAAGAACACAGATATTTTTGTATTGTGTCAATCTTTACATAAAACTTGTACTAGGGCTCTCTTATAAGGAGTACTTATTGACAGCAATTAAAGAAACAACAGTCCAATCATGAATATGACAAAGAAAATCAATGTCAACTTTTCATCCTTGGTTGGTTTGAAAGCAGAGCTGTTGAGAAAACAAGCTGAAGTAAATGAAGCAAAGTTAAAAGCAGAAGCCTCTGTTAATGCACTACCACAGCTGAACAAGAAGAGGAACAAGAAAGTTGTTGCAGAAGATACGGAGAAAACCCTAAAAAACTCTAAAAAAACAGTAGATGCAGAGGACATTATCGCTCACAAAAAGTCAAAATTAATGCTGGAAGCTAAAGCAAGATTGTACGAGAGGTTGAAGAAATCAAAGAATAATAATGACAAATTTCTTGTCGATTTCAAGAATAAAGTGGACGAAGAACCTAACGAAGAACCCGACGAAGAATTTGTCGATGAAGCTATTAATGAACAACATCCTATAGAGCCAGAAGAAAATTGGATCGAGTATCAAGATTGTTTTGGTCGCACTAGAAAATGTCTGCGAGAAGATTTGCCGCATATGCAAAAGAAGGATGATTTAATAAAACATGAAATAATGAAGAGGAGCACCGGTGAAGACAGAGAGGAAGAAAACATGGAACAATATCCTATTCAAGAAAAAGAACCCGAGATAGAAATTATGAGAAGAAAATGGGAGGAACAAACGCAGAAACTTGCAGATAAAGTCGATATACATTATCAGGATATATTATTTGACGAAGCACGAACACATGGTGTCGGTTACTATGCATTTTCTCAAGACGAAGAAGAGAGAATAAAGCAACAAGAAAATCTAGCAAACCTGAGGAAGGAAACAGAGAGGAGACAGAAAGAAATGAAAGAGATTAAGGAATTGAAAGACAGAATGGAACAAAACCGATTAAAGGCAGCAAGAATTAGACAGCGAATCAGAGCGGGTTTGCCAGCAGAGCCAACAGAGGAGGAACTAGCATTGGAAAACAAATTAATTAATTCTACTGACAATAAAATTGCCAAAAATAATGATAAATCTATCGAAAACGATAACAAAAAATCGAGCGAGGAAACTGATGATAAATCTGCAAATATCGCAGAAATTGACATAACTCATCAGAAAGAAAAGGATAATGATGAAGATAAAATAAGAGCTTTTGGAGAACTATTGGGCAAAAAGAATCATTGGCATGTAATGTCACAAGAGGAATGGGTACATAAATGTAGAAGCCAAAGAATTAATGAATTTGGCCCAGTTTATGATAATTTTCAAAGTGCTGGATTTTACAACAGTTCGAAAAATATTGATGAGCAATCAGCTAATGATAAACAGCTTGATAACACAGAAATTAGCAAATTCCAAGAACCCGTTAAAAAATCTAATATGAATTTGCAGAATTATGAAGATAATAATGAACCCAGCAACGAAACAGTCTCTGTTGTAAAAAATATTGATGACCATAATAATAAAAACAATTCAGTAGAATATAGTAATCTAACAAGTGAGAGTAACACTACATATGAATTGCCTAAAAATGCAACAGAATTAGCATCAAATCCTGCTACAAGTTTATCTAATTCATTATTATCTCAAGGACAAGCAACTGTTTCATATCCATTATCACATCTATCTAATAATTATTCACAAAATATATATGGTTATCTTGGAGCATCCAAGCAGCATAAATTGCCAGATGATATGAATATTCCTCTTCCTGGTGAAAATACTTCATCAATTTCTGATGACAAATCCACTTACACAAGTAGAGAAGAAACAGTATCACATAATATAAATGAGGATCACATAATGGCTGGTCTCAAATATTTAAGAGAAAAGTTTGAGGAAAATAAAAAGTAAGACATAGTAAAAATTTGTATTATATCTATTTAATACATGTACATATCTTTATATAATAAAAAAATACATTTTAATATATTATTTTGTTGTAATATACGTTTTCGCTCTGTAACATTTTATTAAAATATAAAACATTTATTGTAATGAATTAAATAATGTTTTATATATTAATGTCTTCTCTTTGATCTTTTGTGACTAGGCTCTGTCACTTCATCTATTTCACTATCTGACTTATCAATATCCATTGCAGAATTGATATCATTACCTATAAAATAAAGATCTTTTTAAGAATAAATAAAAACAGTATATATTTTGTTTAAACAAAATTATGTACTGAGTACATATTGAGAAAATAGTTCAATATAGAAAATATAATGATTATTAATTGAATAAATACGAAAACTAAAATTAAAAAATATTGGATAAAATCTTACTGGAATGATCATGTTGCGATAGAGAATAATGACAATTAGGACATTCCGAATTGCCGCGAGTCATTGCATAATTCTTCAAACAATAAACATGTGTCATAGTGTGACATTGGTCGCACTTTTTTGCCTATAAAAATGGTAAAATTGATTATTGTTTTAATAATGTGTCTATTTTTGTACTGATAGATATATATTCAGAGTCATCTTACATAAAAAAGTATTTGTTTGCACAAAATACAAGTTTGAAGGTTTTCTTGATACGTGTCTTTGAAATATTGTAGTAATTCAACTATGCTTCTTACTCCCATGTAGTATTTACCATCCTGGAAAATATTTCTTTATTAATAACAAATTTATTCTTAAAAATAAATTATCAACATTGTGCAGCAAAAATTACCTTGCAAAATAACCATTTTCTATTAACCATCTCGTGCAGAAATTCTTGGGCATTAGCTTTGGTTAGTTTTTGATTTAATGACGAACACAAGTTTAGGCACCATGTACTTGATGCGTGACCATTGTTTGAAGTGACAATTTCAGAAAATATATTACGCAGCAGAGCTAATTCAGCTTGTGAGAATTCAGGATGAAAGCTGTAAAGCGCAAGTAAACACAAGATGAGCGTAAAACCTGCAATAACTATAAAATATATATATACTCAAGATATTTAATTAGCTATTACCTGGCAACTTTGTCTTGCATCGTACTTGTCCAAACCCAATACAACTGACCGGTAACTTCGCAATTTATATGCTTTATAATCATGTGCAACGGCACTAATTTCGCATTTATTTCGCCCAATACTTGCACTGTGTTGGTGTGGCCTAAAATTTGTCGACACAATAAAGTTTTATTTTTCGAACGATATTTCGCATAATTGTAAGTAAAATTTGTCTTATTCCTGATCACGTTTACGTACCAAATAATTTGGAAATCAATTCCTTTCCACGATTTTCATCCATTGCACCTTCATGCATAATACTTTGCAAAACCTTCTTATGTTCTTTACCGTAAACCATTTTTCTTCAATCAAAATTCGCTGACGGATCGAGTAAATAAAATCCACAATCAACGAGCAATCGTCAATTGAGACTCAAGATAATTTTGCCCCGTAAAGTGCTTCCTGCCTTCATTGAAATTATTAATAAAATTATTTTTTGGCCACATTTATTTTTTAAGACCAGCGACAAAAATTACAATGCAGAAATTAATACCGAGAGTAAATATCTCACATTTTGCAATTTATTATTTCAACTTACTATTAGAGAAGAAAATAAATATCTTCAATTTCCTGCCGATGTTAAGACCCGCATTCATATATGAATGTCACGGAATCGAACCATTTACCGTGCTTTTTACCGAGCATCACGACTTAGTTCACGTCTACTTTCTCAGGGAGCGCATTAGTACACGCGTCCACTGAATCGCGGTGGCCACTCTCAGGTTTCTCTCTGATGTTAGCCTTACATTTATAGAAATAAGCCTTAAGTCGTAAGCAATAAACCAATCATATTCGATTACTATGATAATTAATGTAATAATTTTTTGTTTTTAAGATTAATAATAAATCAACAAACGCTAAAATTAGACCAACAACCATCAACAAACAAATACGCATCGATTAGACTGGTTTTTAATTAAAAATATAATTTTTCGGCTAACTTAATGCTAATTTTTCTTTTTAATTAAAAAAAATATAAACCAACAAACGTTGCAATTAAGTCAACCCAATTATCAACAAACGACCAACAAACAATAAAAAAATTTAAAAAGTCTAAGTTGACCGACTAAGTTAATGGAGCTCTGGCGGACGATTACCGAACGCACGTCGCGACTCTCGGCGCGCGGCTGTCATCGAGCTGTCATTCTCGCTCGTCCGGTCCGCACGGACGTGCAAGTACACACCGTCATCGTCGCTTACAGTGCGCTACGTCGCTGACATTATGACCTGGGGCTGGCACGGGCGCGAACGCGTATCGCCGAGAGGAGCGACGAGGAGCGACGACGTGGCAACGACAACACGATAAAGAAAAAGAAGAAGCGTCTGGTGGAGCCGAGGAAGACGCGAAGCTGTCCGGCGAGGCCGCGACCCTGAGCCCGATACGCGAAGATACGCGTGCACGACGCGACTTACTCTGCGCGAGTATATAATTGTGGGTAGTGGTGGTAGTGAAACGGCGATGGTGGTGGTGGTGAACGAGGCTACGTGAGGCTACGGACGGTGCGGGCTGAATAGTCGAGCGAGCGAGCGCGCGGACGAAACGCGAGCGAATACGAAGGGAAAGAGAAAGAGAGAGAGCGAGAGAAAGAGAAATAAGCAGCCGAACGGGGAGGACCGGGCTATCGCGGGCGATCCGAAAAGGTCGCGGGTTCACGATCGCTCCTGCGAAGTTGTCGGGAGAACACGATGACGATCTGCCAGCGCGTCTGACGCGCTCGTCCACCGGGTGTCTTCTCAGTGCGCCGGAGGACGGCGACGAGAAAGTCTCGATCCTCTCCGGGGAATCTCGGATATACAAACTACGCTGACTCTTCTAATTCGTCGCCGTTCTCGTTTCGCAAGTCAGGGAGACCGATATACACGTTTTTGTGACGGATAGATACACTGTGACATACACACACACACATATATATATATATATATATACATATATATATAATACATATACATATATATACACAACATATAAACGCGCGCGCGCGCGAATTCGACAAGATGCCGCTCTTCGGCAAGAAGGACGGGAACAAGAAAATCAAGAAGGACGGGAAGGATGACAGGTCGCCCTCCGTTGAGGACAAGTACGTCCTGAAGGATCTCTTGGGCACGTAAGTGTGTTATCCATCTCCTTCTCCAGCCGATGGCACGATTGTCAAAGGGATTATATCGTTGGAGAAACGCTACCTCTCCGTTTGACGTATACGCACACATGTTTCCCTCTCAAACGTCAAAATAGGTTCTTCACGGAAATGCAATTATTGGAGCAATTATCCGGAAGTCTTTCGCGATTACCGAAGGAATTTAACGGATTAGCGGTGCCACGGTGGATGAAAACACGATTAATTTGATATATAGCCCTTTAATGGATATTCAATTTCCGGCTTATTTCATTCATCGCCGCGGATTAGAATTTATTATGACAGATCTCGAAAAGATATCTGCTCCGGAAAGGACGTGATTTTTTTATCTTATTGAACTTTACTTTATTTATATTCAAGGGACATGCTAATAGTGGAAAGTGCGACGTTCTTTTCATTTTAATTACATTTTTACATTTTCAAGAAATATAATAAAATGACGTTATCTCCCTCTGATTCCGTGCACATCTTCACGATAAACTCTTTCCGGGATCAGCTCTGACCTTTAATATAATTTATTACAAACCAACATTATTTTTCACTTTTTTCATCGTTTCTTTATCTCAACGATATTGCATACTAATAAATACTGTAATGATTATACGATGATATCGCACCAAATAATAAGTATGAACATGTACAGAGTGTCCCGAAATTCGCGAATTACCTGTTAATGTCAGATTCCTGGAATTATTTGAAGACGATTTTTTTCAGCGAAAATGTCGAAAAAGAGGTTATTATTTTGTATATATGTTCTCAATTTTTATCATCATGTAATTACGTAACTTAAATTAAAATTATATTAGCTCTACTTGAAATTAAGTGCAAAATATATGATGTTGTTAATATTTTGTTTCACAAAAATTAGTCTGTGAAAAACACTTTATTTTCGATCACTTATGCACTGTAAAAAACATTTAAAATTAAAGAAAAATATGTAAAATTACATAAAAATGTTAAATTATATGCAAAATATATTACACTGTAAAAAATGTATGTAAAATTACATTAAAAATATGTAAAATTACATATAAAATATGTAACACTGTAAAAAATGTGAAATTACATATAAATATATAAAATTACATAAAAATATGTAAAATTACATTTATTAATTATATAATTTTACATATTTTTATATGTAATACATTACATATTTCTTTTTACAGTGTAACTTGAAATCTATCGATGCCTTGACATTTTCGCTGAAGAAAAATCGTCTGCAAATGACGTGAGGAATCTACTGTATATTAAATTTACTGGATATGGGACACCCTGTATAATAATGTGTGTGCGCGACGTTACATTATATTCCGTGCAAGATCGATTAATCGTTTAGCTCTTAACACTTTCGCTGCCACGCGTCACATATGTGTGACATCTCTTCGATTTGCGTATAACAGATTGTCTATGATTATATATTGTGCGTTACGTAATGACGATCGAGAGAAGATCGGAGAGCGTTGAAACATATTCGCAATTTGTAGGGAACAGATGACATAATCAAAAAATAATTTATCTTCTTTTTTTTTTTTATGTAAATGGGAAAGAAAAAAAAGATGAAAGATCTGTTTGGTTGTTTATGAAATATATATAAATTTCGCAAACATATATTCCGCGGATTATTATTTAAAATTCACACGCGCGAGATGAGATAATATATTGCGCTGTCTATCTCTCTTCTATATTTCACAGTTATTCCTTTCAGCTACAGGAAAGCGATATTAATATGCATCTTGCGAGATCCTTCAGGATGATCTTCTATATATTCCCACCAAATCCGACGAAATTCGTATATGAATACAGAAAATATCCTCGAGCCACCGCGTTCCTTTAACCGTAGTTTTCTCAATCAGGAATAGATTTTTTTCGAGAAATGAGAGTCGGATCTCTGTCTCTCTCTTTTTCGCTTCCAATATTGTTCATTAAAAAAAAATTAAAATAAAGCGCGTCCTCACGAATTCAAGCTTCGGAAAGACGAATAATTGAGAGAATCTCATTTTACGATCAATTTTAACTGGTTAAAAAACTTCGTTTTTCACAGAGATAAAAGTTTTATTTACCGCTTAATTGCAGGCAAAATTGTGATGCTAAAAATCGGACACTTATTGGAAAATAATTCGCTTCGATGCAGAGAGGAATCGATCTCGAGAATCGGCACCGGTGATTGAAAGGAAACAATGTCCCGAATGACTTTTGGACTTATTCTACACATATATAGATACATATCTATTCTACACGTGGCCTTCCAGCTTTTTCCCCCCGTTTTTTGCGTATAAACGCAATCCGCGTGTTAAATGGATCGCATATAAATGGAAGTGTTCGCGATTTAATCTTTCTTTTCACGCCGTCGACGTGAAGCAACAACATGTAACTTTCTTTCGTGACGAATCGCTCTTTTTGGAATATTCCGCGAGCGAGAAAGCTATTTTTCCCTCCTTTTTACGCGCAAAAGACGCGTCTTTTGCGAATATTGTCGCTGGATTTATGCACATTATAAAATCGTATTAAGATATAATGTATATGCATTTGCGTAATGACATTTTGCGAGATTGCTCTCTTCAAATTGATGTTTTCAACCGGAATACTATTCTAACGTCACACAGATGCATATATATACATGCGCAATTTACGAGATCTAAAAATATTCCAGATGAAAATTTGTATCTTCTTTTTCTCTCTAGTATTACACATCTCTATTTTTATATTTTTAATTCAAGCTGTATTTTTTAATATATGTTTGGACCTGAAAAATTATATGCCATTCTTTATTCTTTCTTGTCGCTCGATGCTCTTCGAAATTCGAATAACTTGGCGATTGTTGACTAGATCGGTTAAAAAAAATAAAAGAAAATATGTTCAATGTTCGTCATCAGTATGTCTTTTACGTCGTCGCTTCGTACGTGAACGTTATCGGTATTTCTTTTGAAAAAAATATGCCTAGAACGCAAAACATATATATCTATAAATAGATGTATCAGTGCTATTTGTCAATGAATTATTGTGTCGTTTATGTAACAGATCGCCGATGCATTGCAATATAATATTATTTAAATAATTGAAAACACATTTTGAACACACTAAAACGTGTTCGTAACTTTTGTAAATAGAAATGAGTAAATTAATTTGTTTTTTAAAACCGAATGCGCGTTTAATTAGAAATTCTTAAAGGTAAAAAAAATCATATTTTATTTATTTATAATACATATATAAGCGGGTCTTTTTTTCCTAAAAATTCTCATTATATGATGTGTCTTGAACTATATTTTCTTCACATTTTTCGAATTTTCTTTTATCTCTATTTATCAAGAGACATGAAAAATAAAACGTAAATTTTATGTAGAACAAAAGACCTGTTACATGAATAATGGGATGCATACCTTTTGATGCATTCCTATATGTATTTCAAGATGCATCTGTTATATCGCATTTCATGATAATTGAAGCGTTAATTACTTGCAGCTTTACATTATTATATCCAAAGTCTGGTCTATAAACAATTGTAACCGGTGAAAACTTGCGTCAATAGATCTATATAGATTAAAAAGAGAAACGTTATATATCTAGTTTACATAATTAATAACGCACGAATAACGACAGTTTTTTTCTTAAGGCTCCTTGGTCCTCGCCGCGACCATGTTAAATTGTGACGTCAGAGGCGAGAAAATACACGCTGAAAATTTTTGCATGCCATTTTTATATAAAAAGATATTTTAATGAAACACGACTTTAGATGGCTTTAATATATTTTTAAAATATTTCGAAAACTAATATTTTCCCTTTATAATTAATTAACAGATGTAAAAAATGACTGTGACATGAGACCTGACCTATATACATATATATATATATATATATAGCCTTTCACATGAAAAATTCGATGTTTCAATTATTTTACGGTTGTTGATTGACTGTCGAAAGAAAAAAATGGTTTTTGGAATATTTTGAAAGTGTGTTAAAACTATATCTAAAGTTATGTTTCATCAAAATATCTTTTTATCTAAAAATTTTTGCACGCAAAATTTTTCAAAGTGTATTTTCTCGCCTCTGATGTCACAATTTAACATGCCCGCAGATCAAGGAGCCTTAAAGAAAAAAATATCACATTTGGTTCTGCAATTGTATAAATCTACTTTTGATGTGTCTAAATATATTTCTCATTTTCCTTTCTGTTTATAGGGGTGCCTTTTCCGAGGTAAGGCTAGCGGAGAGCAAAGAGAAGCCTGGTCAAATGTTTGCCGTGAAGATAATCGACAAGAAGGCGCTAAAGGGAAAGGAGGATTCATTAGAGAACGAAATCAAAGTCCTGCGAAGGTAGGAAGAGCGATCCCGAGAGCTGGACAGATACAGTAGATCAATTTTTCCTAGTAATGTAACTCTTTGTTTGTTTCTTATAGTTGCTCCTTACAATACTTATTAGGCATTCGGAAAAGAACTGATAATTGGCTGATTTAAATACACCAGTTCTCTCTATTATCCTTGGACTCGACTTGGATATATAGTTTATAAAGCATGTTTCCCTTTATATTATATATTATATATATACATATAACAACTGCTTCATCCCCCTTTCGTCAAAATTTATATAAATTCGAATATCATATCCTCTCCCATAGCTCTTTTAGCTATAGTACTATCAGACAAGTTCATCTGTCCTGACGTTGCAAGTGTAAAGTGTCATTCGGAGTTTTTCGGATTTTTTGCTTCTCGAAGTTGTTGTTTTGAGAACCCTAAACTGTTCTCCATACATACATACACGAACCACGTAGGAATACAAAACATTAATCTATGAGCTACTACCAAATTTTGTTGTGCTTTCTCACTTATAGGAGTATTATTACTACATATACATTGTATATGGTATTTAATATACATATAGTCCAGCTCATACGATAACGTATGTCTTGGAAGATTTTTTTTTTCGAAAAACCGCTGTGATGTGGCATTTGCAGCAAGCTCTGATGGCTGTCGTCTGTCCTCTTGTTATCCTTAATGTTGTATGCAAATAATGTGCCTCTCGTATATATTATATAAGCTATAAGCTATATATTGTTTCGATGCTCTCTCTCTCTCTGTTAAACATATTCTATATAACACATATATACCTAACTCGAAAGTCTTCTGTCCTTTATCACGTGGATATACATACATGTATTTTTTAACAATGTCATCTTTGACATGACTAGTTATGGATATTGTGTTGAGATGGTACACTTTTCGATGTTTTATTTAGCATTGAATTATCTCTCTCTTTTTTATCATTTTATTCTATGTTTTCTATTGTGATTTACATAACAAGACCGAATTAAGATACGCAAGAACGATTAGAAGAAAATTATAAAAAAAGGTCTCGAAAATTCTGTTGCATCACGAAATTATCATTTATCGATCAGCACTGCAGAAGGTGTTACAATAAGCATACACACACATACACGATCAAACATCGACACGAAGAGACTCTGCAAAACATAATACATTATACAACAAAGTTGATGTTTTCACTTGAATAATAGATGTTAAAAAATTCATATCCAGATTCAATTAATATAAAAGTAAATGTGACACTGAATTTTGTGTATTCTAAATTTTACGGGAAAAACACTGCATGCGTACATGAAATTTTAATAACATTGATTACATATGTTCTTTGTGTATGTCGAATATACATATATCTATTTTCATAATCCGCTTACCACGTATTTATCTTTCACGACGAACGAGACTCTCTAACTTTATTGCATCTCTATTTATAATCAATATCAATATCACACGATTATCGATTTTAAATGATAAAAAAATCCATTTTTTTATATCACCGAACTAGGTACAAAACCCTATGGGAGTTTATCAATGAAAAAGGGGGTAAAGAATTATACATAAAGAGCCGGGGGAAAAAATTGAACCACAAACTTGGCACTTCGCGATCAGCTCCGCCCTCGATATTTACATTTATATAATTACGTAATTGTGTATGGTATTTTTTATTATACTTCGTAGGTTCAGTGAAAGTGCGACACCACAGAGTGGTGGCGGATCGCTCAGGTCGGATAGTAGTGGCGAAAAGAGATGGTAAGTGTGGGCCCCAGAGAGCACGGGCCCCAACTACCTGTAAACGCTCTCAGTATTCTTCTGTATCACTCTCAACGGGATATGCCATACATTTTTACAATTTAAATTACACACACATATATATATATATATATATATATATATATATAAAATATATATATATATATATATATATATATATTAAGGCTCCTGGCTTCTCACTGACCATGTTGTGACGTCATAGGCGAGAAAACATGCACAAAAAATTTTTAAATGCCATTTTGAAATAAAAAGATATTTCGATGAAGTAGCACTTTGAATAATTTTAGTACTCTTAAAATATCCCAAAACCTATTCTTTTCCTTTTATAATCAATCGAGCTGTAAGATGAGGCCCAGCTTGTCTTTGCACACATGCGCAGCCATTCCGCATGATAAAGTCTGATATTACCATCATTTTACGATTGTTGATTAATTGTCAAAGGAAAAAAAAATATTTTCGAGGTTTATGAAAGCCCAGATAGCAAAAATAGTCATTTTGACGTCAAATTTGAAGTCATAATAATTATTGTGGTTATTTGGGAGTGTGCTACAGCTATCTGAAGTAGTGTTTCGTCGAAATATTTTTTCATTTAAAAATGTCATCTAAAAATTTTCAGCGTGTGCCTTCTCGCCTCTGACGTCACAATCTAACATGCACGGCGAGGATCCAGAAATATTAAATATATATAAGTCAAATATATAAAAATATATATATATATATATATATATATATATATATATATATATATATAGTTATAAATATACACGAAGATGCACGATCTGTGCACGTTCGTCACAACGTAGCCGTTCAACACAGTTTTGGTATCCTTGATACTTGCCACACCTTGCGCTAAGCGAGAAAGTACGGTGGATATATAGTAAAAAGATCAATATATTTATAATACATACATTTGCACACTCCATCCTTTATGTTTTGATGGATTATTTTATACGAAAAATAAAAATATTGCTGCGAAGAGTTTATCTCTCTTTCTCTATCGAAATGTTTTTATTAGAATAAAAGCATTTAGTGCGACAACACATTCTTCTTCCCGTAAAATTATCCGCAAAAAAATGGGACGTGCAAAAGTATGTTTTTATCTTTTTATCGTACATGCAATCTCCTCGTAAGCTTGTAATTACGTAAAGTGGACAGCTTCTTTTTTAAGAAGAACACATAAATATAAATTTGTGATGATAAATTCGACGACAGCCGTTAGATAATATTAATTTTAATCGCAGAATTGAAAGCGATTTGCGCGATACAATTGATGTAATGTAATTACTTCGTAGTTATCTCTTTCGATAAAATCATTCAGAACAAAACGACAATATTGACATTGACAATGAGATATCGAGGTATTAATATTTCCGCCAATCCATAAAGAACATTTATATCACTTGCATACATAAGACAATCGTATTTAGAATTTATTTTGATTTTCTTCTCTTTAAAAATCTTTTATTTTTATAATTTATATTCTACATTTCACAGTAAATTTGTTACATATAATATAAAAAATATTTAGAAAGAAATTTGATATAAAAATGTATAAATATATGCTGCTGTCTTAAATTTGAATCCAAAACTGTTATTTTTTTTAGACTATATCAAACGTGTTTCTTAAGGAGAAATAACGTAACTAAAATAATAAATAATATATAGTAAAATACTATACTGCAAACAAAAATGTATTAGTTTCCGATTGCAGCAAACAGACAATCATATCATATCACGTTTTGTAAATAAATAAACTATCGATTCGCGCGTTTCATTGTTTATAGAAACAATGTATAATAATTTTTTTTCGTCCGATGATTAATAATATTCAGAACAAATTAGGAAAAAGTGTGACATACTCGTATTTATTTTAGATGTTTTATTTTGTATATTAAACTATACTTTATGTTTTTTATGTTTTTTAATCTATGAGTTTAATCTAAATATTTGTTATTAATTTTTATTTTCGGGAATTTTATTTTTATTATATTTGGAAAAAAATATTGTTAAAATTTTTTGCTGTCTCTTTTATTTTAATGTCTTTTTATTCGTTATATGAATATAGAGATGGATAAAATATTAGAGAAAGTACGTCTACTTTTTAAATCTTATTGGTGAAAAAGAAGACCACAGCTGCGAAATATATTTTTTGTTTAAAAACGCATCATGTTCATCCTTCTATTTTTTAAAAATCAGATTGCGTTTAAAAAAAGTTAATCGCGGAAACTTACCATGATTCATATGTAATTGATTTACGTAAATGATTCGTGCAAATTTCATGCTAGTAGCTATTACAAAAAAATTATCGCTGCTATCTGCTTATCATAGTTCTATTGTATTAGAATCACACGTTATAAATATAAGGATAACGTTAAATTTTTGCACACAGATATAACCGTATTAATAACATCGAGTAAGAAAATCACAAATAATAGATCACTATATATGTAGATTACGATAAATAAAATGCGCGCGTTCTTATGTACGATAGAAAAAGAGAACCTCCTTCGATAATAACACATAAATACTCATATATTCTATTCGTGAAGAAGGAAAAAATAAATTTGCACATATCCACATGTTGAATCTTGAATCATGCGATATCGCACGATGATGTTGCTTTAGCATTTTTTAGTCATTTGAAATGCAACAGATTTGATCGATCACGTTTGTAAATGATGCTGCGCTTTTAACGAGAGCTATAGCTGGTTTAACGAATACATTTTCTCACAAGATAGTGCGTAAGGTGAAATATGTACAAGAGATATACCTATAATGAAGCAAGTGTGTATACTTGAGGAGAAAATCATGTAATGTATAAGCGCTTGAAGAGCTCAAAGGTTACTGTTGCGATATGAGGCTATTATGGGACAATAGAGATTCGTAAAAGAGATATTTTTCATATATTTTACATTTAGTAAAATGTTAATGGACGCGCTTTTTACGTTCAATAATGCTCTTTCATGCATAATGTATTGCAATAGATAACAGGTAATTTTTTCTTATCTTTTGAATCCTCCCTCTCCTTGTACATATTTCGTAGATATATTTCGCTTCATCGCTATAACTATAAGCAATACTTTTGTAAATAATTATTTATTTCTTTCTACGTAGATGTATGATTGTCTGTATCTAATTAATAATCTCTGTGTGCTAAATCTATAACTTAACTTTAGCTGAATATATTTGGAGCATGTTTTTTTTATTAATATATTTTATGTAGCTGCAATTATAACATTCGGCTAATACTTTGCATTGCTGTTTAATGTTATTTATTAGTTTATTGCAATTTCGTTATTTATTTCGCGAGTTTAAGATGGTGAATTATATAAGTAAATATATATTACATTTTTCAATCAAAGTTTTGGATCAAAAAATGTCGATTTAAATGAATTAAGAAATATGCAACACTTTTTTTTTTAATAAAAATATTTTTTCTGTGTTCTGGAAGGAAATTAATTAGCATCTCTTTCCAATAGAGTTTGATATTTAATGATAAATTGTCAGAACATCGGCCTTTGCCTTGTCGATTAATTTATAATTAACTGATTGCAATTCTTATAATACATCTCTTGATCCCTATCATTAGTCTTCGAGTATCGGCTCTCTTAAGATAAGTGTTTGTTCTTTGATTAACTTTGTTGAACTTGTCTTCTTATCTTTACGAGAGAGAAACGTGTGTAAATAATGAGAGAGTAAACAGTAAATACAGCGACGTTTTATATGATCATACAATGAAGATTAATAATTACAATTAATCAAGCATAATACATGACTATATATATATATATATATATATATATATATATATATGTCATGTATTATGCAAGATTAATTGTAATTATTGTCTTTTTTTGTACATATATATATTTTGTACATATATAATTTTTGTATATATATATATATATATATATACAAAAAAAATCATTAAATCAATTTTCATTTTACGTGATGCTGATAAATGGAGAAAAATAAAACATGAGATGTTGTTCGCAGGTTAACTCATCCCAATATCGTTCAATTGCTGGAGACGTTCGAGGACAAGCACAAGGTCTATCTAGTTATGGAGCTGTAAGTAACCTACATTTTATCAATCTCTCTCTTTCTCTTCGACACTAAGATTAAATTCAACAAATTCGAAAATATTGAGACTCCTGGATCCTCGTCGCGATCATGTTTTGGATTATGACGTCAGAGGCGAGCAAGTACGCACTGAAAATGCTTAGATTTTTAAACGAAAAGATATTTCGATGAAACACTATTTTAGATGGCTTTAGCAACACTTTTAAAACCTCGAAAACTTTTTTTTACAGTCAATCAACAACCGTAAAATGATAGTGATATTAAACTTTATCATCCCAAATAGCAAACTGACGTTATTAAACGTCATTTTGACGTCGAATTATGTCATTAGATGTAAAATGACGTCATGAGATGTCAAATGACATGAGACATCAAAATAACGTCATGAGACGTCAAAATAACGTATACTTGCTATCTGGGATGCGGAATGACTGCACATGTGCAAAGATCAGACAAACTGGGCCTTATATTATAGCTGATTGATTATAAAGAGAAAAGAATAATTTTTGAGGTATTTCAGGAAGGTGCTAAAAGCTATATCTGAAGTGCTGTTTCATCGAAATATCTTTTTATTCGAAATGGCGTCTAATTAAGAATTTTAGCGTGTGTTTTCTCGCCTCTGACGTCACAATTCCACCAACAATATGATCAGCGAGGAGCTAGGAGCCTTAAACATTGCAAATACATTGCAGGGTCACCGGTGGCGAGCTGTTCGACAGAATCGTTGAAAAGGGTTCATACACAGAGAAAGACGCGTCCGGCTTAATAAGACAAGTGCTCGAGGCGGTCGACTACATGCACGAGCAGGGTGTCGTACATAGAGACCTCAAACCTGAGAATCTTCTGTATTATAGCGCAGATGAGGACAGCAAGATCATGATCAGCGATTTCGGCCTATCGAAGATGGAGGATTCCGGAATTATGGCGACCGCATGCGGTACCCCGGGTTACGTCGGTGAGTTTTCAGTCAGAGAGAAGGTAAAAAAAAATAAATAAATAAATAAAAACAAGAGAGAGAGAAAAATGGGGATTTCAAGCGTCGATGATCAAACGCTATGATCCGCAGCACCCGAGGTTCTCGCGCAGAAACCCTATGGCAAAGCGGTGGACGTTTGGAGCATAGGTGTCATCTCGTATATCCTCCTGTGCGGTTATCCTCCGTTCTACGACGAGAACGATGCCAATCTATTCGCGCAAATTCTCAAAGGTAATAGAATAAACTTTCTCTCTAGGTATACAAAGAGAGCCGTTTTATTTTTATTGAATATCTGCTAGACATTCGTCTTTTCTGAACCGCGGTATGGTAATAAGGAATAAATTTCGTGATCTGAGATTTCTCTTTTGAGATGCAAAAGTACTATAGCTTGTGATAACGTTTTGAACACTTCGATTTTTGGACATTGAAAACTTTTGCGTATTCGTTTATTAAGACTTCTGGATTCTCGTCGCTGCTATATTAGATTGTAACGTCAGAGGTGAGAAAGCTGAAAATTCTCAGATGCCATTTTTAAATGAAAAGATATTTCGATGTGAACAGCACTGCAAATAGCTTTAGCACACTTCTAAAATACCCCGAAAAGTATTCTTTTCTTTATAATCAATCAACACCTGTAATATGAGACCCAATCCATCTGGTCTTTGCATATGCGCATTATAAAGTCTATTATGATTATTTTATGGTTGTTAACTGTCGCAGGAAAAGAATAATTTAAAAGTTTGCTAAAGCCATCTAAAATAGTGTTTTATAACGAAATATCTTTTTATTTAATAATGGCATCTAAGAATTTAAGAAGAAAGCGTGTGCTTTCTCGCTTCTGATGTCACAATTCAACATGATCGCGGCGAAACTCCAGAAGCCACAAAGAACCCTGCACCAAATATATATAGGATTTTGGCTTTCGATGGAATTGGTTGTTTTTTCATATATTGTAACTTGTGTCCTGCTGAACAAAAGATATAATAGCCTCAAAGCTAAATATTGGATAGTTATTGGATTACAGCCAGTCAAACAACTCGCAGGATCCAATTTTTTTTTGTATTTGACTGGTTGTAAATCAATAACCGTCTATTGTTTAACTTCGAGTCTTTAACATTTTTTATTCAGTAGATCATAAGCTACAGCATATGAAAAAATCAGCTAATTCTGTCAAAAGTCGAAATCTTACGTATTTGGTGTGGGATATCCTTTGTCCTTTCGATCAATAAATATCAGGTGATGCGAGTGTGTCGACATAATCCTAAATAAATAATATATACTCTCTATAGCAAAGAGCTAATCAGATTGTTGTAGGTGAATTTGAATTTGATTCACCGTACTGGGACGACATCAGTGATTCCGCGAAGGATTTCATTCGAAAGCTGATGTGCGTCAACGTCGAGGAGCGTTACACTTGCAAGCAGGCTCTTGCACATCCTTGGTAAGGATTTTTACAGTTTTATTGCGATGAGAATTATTAAAGGCTATATTTACATATTTATATCTATATTCTATTTGAATTTTTTAACAAAATGACCGACTTGTCATTTTAATAATTCAAAATTGCACTAATAAAAGGAAAATGTGATTTGTTTATAAGAAAACCAAGTGAGATGATAATGGTGAACATAATGTAATTGTTGGATTTTGATATTTTCAGGATTTCCGGCAACGCAGCTAGTAATAAGAACATCCACGGTACTGTATCAGAACAACTTAAAAAGAACTTTGCCAAATCGAGGTGGAAGGTTGGTATCGCCGATCAATTTCAGCATGATTAATTGTCTGCTTATCTTAGAGCGCGTCTCCTCCATTTACATATCATTCATATTACAGCAAGCGTATCACGCGGCCACGGTCATACGGCAGATGCAACGGCTGGCGTTAAACAGCGGCCAGCAACAGCAGCAGCAGCAGCAGGTGCAAGAGGGTACAGGTTCGATCGGCCCCTCCGGCGGCAACCCCATGCAATATCGAGAACAGTCGCAAATCAGCTACAACCAGCACACGGGGTCGCTACCCTCGAGCCACCTCAGCAACTGAAGCAGACCGGCATCGTTCCTGGCGTCGCCGAGCGTCTGCTGACGTCTACGATCTCACTTCTCACGCCATTCCAATTTCTCCCGCCGATCGTTTCGTCGCCGACGCTATATTATATATGCGCAACAAACCAACGCTTCAAGCTGTGGGGCAGCACACGACGCACCGCTCTCTCTCTCTCTCCCCCCCCCTCCCCCTCCTCTCTCTCTCTCTCTCTCTCTCTCTCTCTCTCTCTCTGTCCGTTCTATTTCCGGGACAACTTGGGAAGCAACGAAAGCGTAAGAAGAATCCAGGTAAAGTCTTGCGAAAGACCATCCGGTTGCATCACCGCGATGTAGCGTTTGAGCTACAGGAGCGACGGGGATAGATTACACTGTTCAACAAGAAATATCTTTTTTTCAAACACCGGAAAGAGACTAGTCGTTACTTTTAGTTTTTTGGATGCTGAATACCAATATCAAACCAGCATAACAAATTTCTTTTAAGGTTGTAAGTCCTAATAATATACTTTATTTTGATTGCGATAAAACTTCTTTAGCACGTCATATATGTAGCTGTAATATAACAAAATTCATGAAAAAAGCCCTTTTTTGCAACTTTAATTAAAAATTTCTCAAAATTATGACGTGATAAAATAATTTGAAACCATTCGTATTTAGCATCCAAAAAATCATAAGAAACGATTAGTCTCGTTCCGATTAATTTTTTTGTTTTGTTGAACAGTGTTATAGAGCCAATTTGTGCTTCGCGTCGATGATACACACATATATATATATATGCACACATGAATGAAGAGACACAATCGACATCGAAAGGCGTAAACTACAATTCGCTTTGGCGGGTCCATGCTATACGATATGACTCTCGTACCTACTTCTACGGCAGTTATGGCAGTTACTTTCGCTTAGGCTTTATTCTGTATGATTTACGACGTTTCCTGTGTTATATATGCATAAGCAATAGGTCGCATAGCAGTTTGCCAGATATTTTTGCGTCGATCTGATCAAGATGAAAAGGCGGTCGCATCTCTCTAAAGATACAAGACTTGATTGCCGCGATCATATGTCCGCGCGATCACTTTGTTAGATCGAGTCCGCTCTTATTATATAATATGCGACATGTATACATATATACAAATATATACATTTACGCGAACAGACAGTACAACGACAAGTTTTTATATTTTATAAAAGATTCGGTGTAATAAAAAAAGTAGCGCGACTGTTTGATACAAATTCTGTGCAGCATAGAGACCTTGTTACTGTTAGATCACGGATAAATACGAGAGAAATTCCAGCTACTACGGTTCCTACATGTAATTCGATCCTCGCTCGCTCCGTAATATACACTTCAAAGAGAATGATAGAGAATGATTCGGTACCTATTTACATATACAAATCACAATTTATTTCTTTCTGGAATCCTAGATCCGCAAAAATTTATTGTTAAAAAGAAAACGCAGATGATCGAGAGGTCGCTTAGTGCACAGAGACATAGTCTGAGATCTGTTCCCTTCTCTCTTTCTTTTTTCCTTTTTTATTGATGCATTTTATTTCTGTACTTTTTTAAAATATGATTGAAACAAACCTTTGTTTATAAATGCTTGCGTAGCAAAGACTTGTACTATCATATACGTATATATTACATATATATACTTTTCTCTCTCTTCTACTCTTCTATACATAACGATATTATTATATTACACATAGGATTAACACATAGGATCTGCACCTGTGAATAGTATCCTCTGAGCTAGCTTGACACTTAAATATACATATATGTATATTCTGCTAATATTACTAATATATCGCACTTATATATTACACTTCTATTTCTATCCGTAAGGTGTACATAATGCACAAATACACATTGAAACTCACATAGATTATCTTGCATGCCTGATTTTAAAAGATATACACATGAGAAACAGTTCTGTAAAGTTACTGTTACAGCGATTGCATAATTATTTCTTATATGTAAAGACATGTTACAATTATTCTGTTACTTTACTCTGCCTCAATTTCTGCAATATTTTAAAAGAAATGTATATATGTATATTATATTTATATATAAATAACTATATACATATATATTTGACGAAAATTTTTTTTGTAAAGAAAATGCCATGTATATACATATATATATAGTAAAGAAAAAATAGTTATGTTATTTTTAACAATTGGAATGTGTGCCATATATATATGAATCGCTACACAGTAACATAGTAGCTAATAATTTTTACTCCTATACATTATTTTACCGTTGCTTAAAATCAGATTAATTATCGAGAAAGAGAATGTTATTTATATAAATGTAATCTGACTTACGATCTGTTACATCTATTATGTTTTTATACATCTTTATTATTTTATGCGCGACGTTGATAAAAATTTATATAAATCTCTTTTGTGCGAAATGTAAAAATGTATAATTTATGACGATGAGTTTTGTACCGTCACGATTAAGTATAAAATGAACCGAGCATGAAGCTTGTAAATCACGTCTTAATCAAAATACCTTTTGAATGCTTCGTATGTTTACCAAAATTGTTACTTGAATGAATTATTATAAACCAGTTTGTCATAAACTGGAACAGATATCATGTAATATGTAAACCGTTGTTTAATCTTGAAGTTAAAGTATCCTTTGCAAAACATATCCGTATATCAATAAAAAAGACCGACTAGCGATTTTCCGGGTTTTACAGTTATGAAAATAGAAATACTCGGAACACACATATGGCTCTTGTTAAAAAAAGATCTGAGCACCAAACATTATAAAAAAAAGAAAAAACATGCTAATTGCGCTTTATCGAACAGGTATCTCTATTGTTATAGTGTGTATTCACTTTTTCTCTCGAAATTAAACTATGTAATCTCTTGGCATTATCATATTATTAGGCATCCGTCCGTACAGCGGGCACTTCTCGATGTAAGGGAAGAGAATTATATCGTAGAGAATTAAAAGAAAGCTGAAGAATCTCGATGATGATCTTATCTTTGGGGATGCGTTGGAGAACATCGCTCTCTGGCAGTGAATTTCGTCCAATTAGCGAGTGTAGCTTGCCTTTTTTTATTTTTTGTAAAGAAAACAATCTAAAGCGTCGTCCCGAGTAATTGAAGTATTTTTATCTCGCATCTCGAGTCTCGTGTTCTCGATCGCAGCCCTAAATCCCGATAACAACGGAAAACACTCTACGGCCATAGAATAATATTGATCCGGCGGTGCAATGAATAAGCGATATATAACAGTGTATATGAAAATTACCGTTAATTGATTACCGTTGATTATACGCTTGTCCAAGTACTCTAATCCAACTGAACTATTATTGGTGTCTTTCATTGTGTAAATTGACTTCTGAAGTGCCTTGGATGACATGATGATGGTACATTATCATACGTGCCATTAGTAGAGACTTTAGTAGGTGCTTATATATATCACAGAACGTGTTCGAATAAATAAATAAATAAATAATATATATATACATATATATATATATATATATATATATATATATATATATATATATATATATATATATATATATATATATATATATCTGTGTCGCGAAATAATGTTTTTTTAACGAAGCTTGTAGATACTTAAAGCGCTCAAGTATTAATGATGTAAGAAATGTACGTACAGATTGCTTCGTAATTTCTTGTATCGAATAAGAATATATAACAAAGAACCGAAGATTGTTGTGTACATACATACACATACCTGTACGTATATTTTTCTCATTAATACAAATAGATTTGTAGAGAACTGTAGAAGTCTATATTAATATCAGTGTAATCATTATCGCAGTAATTAATATTCCCTTGCGTTTCTCTTTCGATCTCGATGCTAAAGTGCTCCGCGTGTGATCAACATCATGTCATCTAATAAGAGAGATTCGCTAGAAACAATTCATTTTGACGCTATAATAGACGCGCATGTTGTGACGGCTCTGCGATAAAAATTCTAAAAAAAAGGAGAGATCTTTAATCTTGGAGCTTTAGCTTGTATATTATTCAGAATACCGTGCCACACAAAACACACACACATATGAACAAACACATATCGGCAGGAATACTGTAAATGTGATGTAAAGATAAGATGATCCTAAATAGCGACGAGAGAACAAATTGTTAGCGCAGTCTCTTATTTAAAGAAACAAAAAAAATATATTGTAAAGGCCAATCTGACTGTGCATAGAACGAGAAAGGGAAACGATAGAAGTAGCGTGATGTACCACGGTGTCAAAAGTCTTCTCTCAACTCAAAATGAAATAAAAAAAGAAAGACTTTTGACACGACGTATTATATTATACAGAGAAACATTTTTCGAACTTTATCTAGGAAGCGGAGCGTTTTCTTGTCTAGCATTAACGCGGTTGCATACATCGAGTACTAATATCTTCCTATCCTGTATTTTTCTCACTGTACAAGGCTTTTCGCGATCGTTATGCTAGGAAAACGCAAAATGTACCGAGTTCAATAATCGTCGAGACAATTTTGCCCTCTTCCCTGCGTCTCTTCCCCGGTCTTATATTATCGCAAAACATAAGTTATAAAATATAGAAGAAGAAAAAAAGAGAAAAGCTCTCTATACAGTATACTCTCTATACAGAATATAATCGGATAAAGATAAAAAAATATATAGTTTAAAATGTGCCAATATGTTTGCGATGCTCCTTTCGGCGATGTTGGATCACGCAGAGCTTATTACCTCTTTGTTATATATTACTCGCTCGATCTGGCGATGTTAAACGGCATATCAATAATGTCCTATCAGGCTCGGCGAGCTTTTGAAAGCTTAACTATGTAACATAGCATACATTCTTTACATACATATATTGCGGCCTATGTCTGAAAGGAAGCGTGTAAAGTGGGATGTGAGAGAGAGAGAGAGAGAAAGAGGAAAAATCCTATTTTAATGAATATTATTCAAAATGTGTTACTTAAGGGTTCTCGCTGCGGCTATGTTAGATTGTGACGTCAGAGGCGAGAGAGCACATGCTGAAAATTCTTATAGATGCCATTTTTAAATGAAAAGATATGCTGCTGATTGATTATAAAGGGAAAAGGATAATTTTCGAGGTATTTTAAGAGTGTGCTAAAACCATCTGAAATGATATTTCATCGAAATATCTTATTTTTATTTCGAAATGGCATCTAAGAATTTTCAGCGTGCTTTCTCGCTTATGACGTCACAATTTCAACATGTTGAGGAGCCAGGAACCTTAAAATATTTTATTCTTTACTGATTTCTTTTTCGTTGAAAGAATGTGGAGTAGTTTTTTTCCTAAGAATGATTGGCCTTACGAAGGATCGACGAATGCATAATTTGAGATAGACATAAGAGAGTATTACAGCGAACGCGGCGCATTAAAATGTATAGTAATTAACGATTTGTCCTATATTTGTGTGTCTTAATTCAGTTGTCGATTATGTGCGTGATCATGTGGTTGCACAAGAGCGCTATTTTTTGTACGTGAGTTGCTTACGTAATTAGAGGAAAAAGTGTTGTCGCATATACATACAAAAAATATACACGTGAAGTACTTTTTAGAGGAAGACTGTCTCCGCGCGCGCGCTATCTTCTTCACCACCGAATGAACTTGGGACAATAGTTAGTTATTGTTATTTCTCCGTTTGTTTTCTTTTGTATACGATTTGAATCTCTTTCACGCTATCTTGTACTCGGATCATCGGCAAGCACAAATGATTCTACTCCCATGACGATCGAAATCTTTGTGAATTTCCTTTGATCTATATATTTGTATATATACAGATGATAAATACACCGCGATTTAAAAGAAAAAAAATCACAGTAGTAGAAGCGTAATAAGTTCGTGATACACCAGAGATATTTTGTTAATAAAATTGAATTGAATTGAAGAGAAGGCGGCGTGGCAATGATAGGAAATGGTATGAACATTGTTTATATGGTAGTTAATTGAGAATGTGATAAAATAATAAATGATATTTAAAATTCTTGACTCAATAGTCGTTTATTAGAACTTTATCCTTTCCAAAGGAAACGACCGGTTCTTCGGTTCGTTTGATATATTTCAGTTTTATCTCTTGCTTTAGTTTACTATTTCTTATCGAAATATATTCTCCTATAATCATTTAATGATTTTTTTGAAACACATATATCGGTGAATTAATTAATTAATACATGTTTTTCGCCGGTGAATATTAGATAGATTTCCTAGAGTAAATCTGTGATTGGAAATTCGAAATAGTAAACGAATAAAATGAATTGACAAAGGATCGCAATAGTATTCCATTATTATTAAAAATTAACACTTTTCCTGTGTATCAATTTGCGTTAATAAACAAGTAATTTCTGCATATAAACCTAGCTATAGGTATGTCGATTTATATACATATGTGTCTATATGTTTAATATGTATATATACATAAGCTCTTTGTACAACTTATTTAAATGCGATAACAAGAATGTAGCGTATTTTGCAATTTGTTATTTTTTACTATCGCGTTATTACGCATGCTTCTTATATTAAAAGTATAAATTCGTGTCACAATTATACAAATAATAATGCGTTTTATTAAATCTACTCCAGGTAGCAAGCGTATGTCATTTTGTCAAATGACGTCATTAGATACCAAAATTACGTCATTTTGACGTTTAATGTCAGTTTGCTACTCGGGACGCGTACAATGACTGCCTTTTGAGTACTCCACAGAAAAAGACATTACGTACAGATATAATTAATTTTTCTCCTTTTGTGATATAAGTGCCAAATAATTTTATATAATCCTCACTGCGATAGAATAAGTAATTTTCATATTCCGCAGAGGAAAATAAGTTTGGCAAAATACTTCAAAATCTTACAAAGCAAAATTTCAGAATAACAATCTATATTTAGCTGCTCGTTAAATCTAATCTTTTATATATTATAATTAAAGCATTCGATATAGCTTATATATAAATTTTCGATTTTGATTATTTTGTTTTGAAAATAATAACATGTATACTAATATAGAATATTATAAAAAATCTCAATATTCAATTCGCTAATTGTTCCACACAAGATGGACATTATTATCAATTTTTAATATTATCCAACACACACACACACACACACACACACAGATATGAATGCTTCTAATTACAAAATATTATTATACCTGACAATTCACATTAGAATACACATGCTTCCCAATCAAAATTTACATTAATAAAATCAAATATAGATTGTGTAAAATTTGTATATACATGATAATATCACTGTGGATATAACGTTCCATGAGAAAAATTCATAAAAAAATATATGAAATGGATAAATATATTTCGAGACATAGTAAACGGAACGTTAAAATTAATATCAAAGCAAAAAATTATTATAATTTGTTGTAATATATCAATTATTGCATGATTATTGCATAACTATATATCTCAATTCAAATCATTTATAAATCTTAAGATGATCACTTTACAAATATAATACTTAATGATTATTTATAACAGTTTTGATATTAACTATTATCTATGTCAGCTATTCGATTGCCGTGATGTAATTATTGTATATATATATTTAATGTATGTACATATCTCACTGGGAAACTATGTGCATTTGGTATATTTATCGTCGTAATCGTACACGGAATACTCGTCTGTTGGCAATGATGTTGACCGACCTTAGAGCAAACGGATTTATATTACTTAGGCAGACTGTGCGACAATTATACATATAGAGTATTATTCTTCAAACGCACTTAACGCCTCTTGTAGTTTCTCAACTATTTTTTGATAGAAGGCGATTTGTTCCCTGAGATGTGTCTTTACAGCTTTATTTATATGTACCTCGCGCTCTGTTTGAAAATGTGTCTCTCGGCGATCAGCGCACGGGCTATCACGTCAGTTCGATGGGAAAGCTCGCGTAATTGCTGCGGTTCCATCTTGTGCTCGCTGACCAGTCGATCGCAATCCTTTCGCTTTTGGACTGCGCTCTGTAGAAGAATCAGACAGCGATAATTAATTAATCTGTTCAAATTAGACTGCTTAAGGCTCCTGACTCTTCACTGACTATGTTTGGAATTGTGACGTCAGAAGCGAGACAATACACTCTAAACAGATTTGAAAGATATTTTGATGAAATATCATTACAGATGGTTTTAGAGTACATTTTTAAAATAAATACCTCGAAAATTATCCTCTTCCCTTTATAATCAATCAACAGCTGTAATATAAAGCCAAATCTGTCTGGTCTTTGCACATGTAAAGTCGGATATCACGATCATTTTGATTGTTGATTGACTTTCGAGGGAAGAGAATAGTTTTTGAGGCATTTTAAAAGCTCAGGTAGCAAAAATAGTCATTTTCACATCAAAATAGTGTCATAGTAATTATTGTGGCTATCTAGGAGTACGTGCTAAAGCCGTTTAAAGTAATATTTCATCTTTAAATAATTCTTTCATTTAGAAATGGCATCTAAAATATTTCAGCGTGTGCTTTTTTTATCTCTGACGTCACAATCTAACATAGCTGTGACGAGAATCTAGGAGCCTTAATTGTACATGTGATATCGCGAAATACCTTATGAATGCTGATGACGTCCGGAAAATTACTAATGATACCGCGATAGATATGGAACTTATCAGCTAAGGGCTCCCAATCGAACTTGGGCTGGTCTTCAAACAGCTTGCCGATATCGTTGTAAGCGTCACCGGTGGCCTTCAACGCGCGCGTTAAATTTCCGCGACCGTTATCATCCGCCTCCAGAGCGTGGCTGAGCGAAGTGAACGATTGGCCGATCTTCTGGAATTCTCTTTTGTACAGTACTTGGTGTTTCTTCGCCTGATCGACCGCCATGGCCATAAAGTTCTTCACCACCGGATCTAATCCGCTGATAAATCTACCGAAGGCGTCCGTCTGAATCTCCATCTTGATGATATCCAACGACGTGTCCGGACATGGATAGCGTTGAAGTAATTCACATCTAGCAGCTCGTCCTTCTCCGCTTGTCGTTTCCCTGCCTTCCATCGTTTTTCGTCCGTACACGTAATAAAGTGTTCCCAAACACGACTACGCGACAAAATGGGATGTCGACAGACGTAATCGACAAATTCCTGCAGCTGCGTACGTCGATGCTCGATAAATGCATTTTCGTAGCGCCCGGATATCTGTTTGTCGGGTAAAGGTGGAATCGGAATAAAGCAATATTTTCTTCTAAACGCTCGTGTAGCCAATCAAAGTGCTTGTATCTTCTCGAGACTTGTATATTGTTGAACTACAATTTAAACAAATGTTAATACTGAAAAACAAATTTTCTCACTCTTAATGGGATGCAAGAAGGTGCAAAATTTCTTTTACCGTAGAGTTAGCTGGTAAACAATGAAACTCTTGAGACCCTTCAGCTTGGATTCCTTCTTGGGTGATGTGACAACACAATTGTAAGACTCCCCAGTCGGCACCCACGTGCATCGGCCAACTTCGGCCTCCTCTATAAAAATCTTTTCGCTCTCGGGCACGGTTACTATTCGAGTGCCCATCAGAAAATTATCCTCCCCCGACTTGATCAATGTTGAAAACTTGTTATTTTTCTTTGGTACATTAGGTATAGGCCTGTCTGGTATCACAGAATGTATAGTATGCATCGATACTTGATCGCCATAGTCATTGGCATTATTCTGCTGTGGCAGTTGTATAATTTGTGATTGCTGCTGCTGCTGTTGCTGCGTAGGTGGAACATAAGCCTGTGTTTGTCCAACTTCAGAATCATCATCCCAATCATCATCCCAATAATCTCCAGAGCTTTGCTGAGATGATGTCATAGTATCTGTATATATATATAATTCATATAATTTAAATCAAGATCACCCATATAATTTCTCAAAAAGAAATATCTTATCCATTATCTCTTATTCCAGAGATAATTATATCATGATATGTCTTACCATAATATAATTATCTCTGTAATAAGAGATAACTGATAAGGTATTTCGTGTCTCTTAATTAATGAAAATACATAATAGATATATTTAATTTATATAAATAAAAATATCTACTGGACGGGACTGCAGCTTGTTCGACCACTTGAACATACGCAGCTGGAAACAAGCCTGACTGTCCGCTCTGATTAAATCCCTCGCACCAGCCATCTCCCACATTGTCTCGTATGACAGTAAGAACCTCCCCAGCAGTGATAGACAATTCCGCCGTTGCCGACTCGCCCGTGAAGTCGTACAGGGCTCTCACCTGCAAAGAGGAAGTTAAAAAACCGAAAGAGTATGAGAGACTATGAGACTAAACAATGGAAAGAGAGGAATTGCTCCGCTTATTACTAATAGAATGAGTCACAACGATCGGGTTGACCGAACTCGGATTCTCGCGCACGCCAGATGCAAATTTACCGTACCTGTTGGCCTTCCATCGTGCACGATTCACGATTCCTAGCGAGCCTTGGATCTTTCTGCCGAAGAATTTAAATGCCGCCGAATTGCGCCCCGTCACATTCCTACTCTCGCCTCGTCACGACACATCTGACATTTGTGCGCTCGCGACTGACTTTGCTGCACCCTCGAAAGACTGCTTGTTGCTAGTGTAGCGAACAACTGATGCCACGAGTGACGAAACTGGAACGGACTGTACTTACGCTCGGTTCCTTCCGATTGCACCTTCTATATTCCGTCTTTGCGGTTCTATCTCTCTCTCTCTCTTTCGCTAAAAACCTATAGATCCGATTGCATTAGTTGCGTTCCTTTTCCTCACATCTATCGCATCTCGAGGAGATGTTTGCGAGTACAGAGAGTGTAACAACGAGGTGCCCCAGCAAACACAGTAAATAATGTTATATAACTCAAGCATGTTACATGTAACGTATATATGTTAGTTGTAATTTCCCACTCATATAGATGTAACATTTTTATATTACATATATTACATTGTAGTTATATTGTCATTATATCCCAAGATAGCACTGACTTATCAATACATCAATTGCTATTTGGTATATAATTAAATATAACTACAATGTAATATATGTTATATTCAAATGTTACATCTATGAGTGGGAAATTACAACTAACATGGATGTTACATGTAACACACACGTTATATTACCTGTTATATTCCGTTTTATTATAGCAATATAGTAACAATTATATATCGGTGTTTTGCTGAGGCAGCTAAAGAGAGACACGGATCTCGACTCGTTTCGCTCCTTCCACCGCTATCACAAAATCGTCTTCTCTGGCGACGTGACATCCGAGACCGACCGTGAGCGATAAACAGATCGCATACGAGTAAACATGATGACGATTGCAGGTTTGACGTTGACGGAATGCCGCTGAGGGATCGCCCGAAATCGAGAACCGGCAGATCTACAAATCCGCCTCCCGACGCCAACGCGGAGCGCAAAGCTCTTCTCCAAACTTTTGCCCGATGTTGTACTTGACCGATAGGTCGATAGGTCGATAATCGATAGTTCGATAATTGATAGTTCATAATCGATTTGTGGAATGAATGAATGTGGATTACATTAACCTACATATTACGATATTCAAAATAACGAGACATGTGATTTATACCACGTTTAGATTTGTACAACTAATTATTGTACTCGGAAGCTCTCTTAAAAAGATTTAACATGAATTCTCAACAGATGATTCAGTTTTCTCATCGGCTCAGAACAACTTTTAAATCGTTCAGGTGGAGATTCAATGAAATCGGTGATAAAATTAGAAGCTATGAAATGCCTGAAAGAGTTAAGGGCACCTTTCTGGAGCGTTGGGGTAAATAAAAATATAATGAATAAAATATGTCACATGTGTTTGCGTAACGCAACAGTTTTTTTTCTTTTTACAGCGAAATACTGGCACGGTCTGTATATAGATTATAAGGATGTTGCGATTGATGTAGCCAAAGATGCAGAGAACGTCCTGTACGTACTGCAATATATGCTGCAAGTATGTATCAATCTTTCTGTTTGTGTTTCTCAAGATTATAATTGATATAACGTTAAGATGCGATGTAATATACATGATTAAAATTAATTTACTCGTACACCAACTAATTGTACAATATATCTTAGTTTTAGGAAGCTGTTTTTATTCTAGTCGACACAATCCGGATGAAACAATGTTCAGGGAGCAACTGATACAAAATAGTACCAAATTAATACAAGTGGGAGAACCCATACGTAATCCTGTTTCCGTGCAGCATATAAAATTGTTGGAGCAATGTTACAATGAAGGACTCATCAGGAGATTAAACTTGGGTATTTTCTCTCTGATCTGGTTAGATAATTTTGATAAAGATTGTTCATTGTATAAAGCGGTCTGTCCTTACCTAAAACCGCGAATTTTAACCTTTCACAAAAGGATAGCAGATGTAGGTTTTCTAGATAAATGGTGGTTACTAGAGAGAAAAATGAAAGACTATGATGTAAATGAAACCGAATTTAGTATTCTACAAATTATAAACAATAGAGAGACTTTCTCAGCAACATGATAAATTTTAGGGAATTCTTTGTCTCTTGTGTATATAAAAAGAAAATATATAAATTGCAAAGGTTTTGCGAACTAAGTACTTATGTATATATATTATATATGTATATCCATTTGTTAATTAGGATATAAATGTTCTATTTGAAAATCCAGTTGAAAAAGATAGATGTTATAAATATCTATATAAAAATGCAGTTAATTTGTTAGTATTTAATAAATTTATTTTTATTTCATAAAATATATTAATTCTATAAAATTTGTAAGAAAATATTTTGGCATGCAAAATATTCAAAATATGTTAATTCAGGAACTTGAGAGTAAAGAATGTGTGACAAATTTTGAAAAAATAGATTAAATGTATCAGCTTTTATTTTAATTAAACAAAACTGTTTAAAAATGTTTAAAAATTTAAACCCAATTTTTTTTTTTTTTTTCAATATTTATCACATCTCTTTACATGCAATTCCCAATTTGATGTGTAAATAGGTTTTATATAATTATATTCTATAAAAATATGCTCTCACTTTCTTCATTTACGTATATTATACAATTTTCGGATAGACCTCTCTTTTTACAAAACCGTTTACGAATCTGAAAAAAAAGGTAAAAGTATTTTGTTAATATTATTTACTATACATAGAATTAAACGAAATGTATTGATATATGTTACCAGTTTTTGCGTAAACGATAGCCGTACGACATGGAATGTAGACCATCATCCTGTGTTGATATGCAGAAAACGGTTCTGGCTGTGTAAAATGTTGGACGTTTGTATCTACACGACGTTCTCCTCCAAATTCTTCATCATCACTGCATAATACAATTTTATACGTTCCTGGATTTTTTACGCCGATTGCATAATTAGGGAACGATTTACAGGGATGAAAGTTGAAGACAAATATTACATCAGCTCGGTCAAATACAATCACTTTGTCATCTTCATGCTTCCAGCTTACATAGGCCTATAAAATTAATATTTTTTATTCTCTAATATATTGCTCTTCTTTGAATCTATTTCTTTTAATCTTTTTCAGCGCTAAGTTTATACAAATCAGTTTAGATAATAATAGTAATGTACAAAGCTACTTACAGGATGAGCATGCAGCCATCCGTATTTCTCTTCCAGCGTATTGATAGCGCGATCCCAATTGTTCATATATTTATACTTGAGTAAGTCGTCGTCCACCAGATTCCACTGACGTCTAGCATAATGGTAACTGTCTGAATTTCCAATTCTCGGAAAATCAAGCCATTCGGGATGGCCGAACTCGTTGCCTATAAAACACACATTTATAAAGTATCTCTGTGCCGTTGCATTTTTTTCGATGCACGAATTGAATGCGTATTTCGCGAATATTAACTAAATTATTGTTTACCCATAAAGTTTAGATAAGCTTCGCCGCCCAAAGCATGCGTTATCAGGGTGATTAGATTGTGGAGGGCAATGCCACGAGAGATAATGGCACTGCGGTCACTAAGTGTGCTCATGTGCGTGTACATCTCCTTGTCCATGAGCCAAAAGGCGATCGTCTTATCACCTACGAGAGCTTGATCGTGAGACTCAGAATAAGCGATCGCCTTCTCCATCCATCTTCGATTGCTTAAGGTCCAGCAAATCTCACCAACCTTCCAATCTTCATCTTTGGTTTCTTTCAACAGCTTGATCCACTTATCGGGAATAGCCATTGCCAATCGATAGTCGAATCCCATTCCACCTTCGGCGACTGGCCTTGAATATTTATCAGTTGATTATAACATTACTGCATTCACAAATTTCTATTTGCTTCAAGTTATGTAAATTGATATATATGTTTCAAACCTGCAAACCCCCGGCATTCCACTAACATCTTCAGCTATTGTGATGATTTCGGGATATATATCGTGCAACATATGGTTAGCGATCATCAAATAGACTATACCCTCTACATCAACATTTAAGTTATAATATTCCTCATAATTGCCAGTGAAACCTTGTCCTAAGCCTCTCGAATGATACAGCATCGATGTAACTCCGTCAAATCTATCAATTCAAATATTTTACTCAAAAATTATAACTACAAAAATATTACATTTTTTTACAATACTATATAGATCTGTTCTCATGGAAAATAAATACCTGAATCCATCAAAACCATATTCTTCGATGTACCAACGTAAATTGGAGAGTAGAAATCGAAGTACTTCGTATTCCGCATAATTGAATAATCTGCTGTCCCATAACGAATGCTCGCCGCGAGAACCACTATGGAAGAAACATGAGTCTGTACCGTCGAACATGTTCAGTCCGTCCAAGGTGTTCTTGGAAGCATGTGAATGTACCACATCTAGCAGAACATAGAGACCATGTTGGTGCGCCACATCTATCAGCTCTTTCAATTCTTCCGGAGTTCCATAGCGAGAGGAAGCAGCGTAGAAGGAAGTTACCTGTATTAATTTTAACAAGACATATTATAGAGTTGAGACTCGCAGATTTTTTATATAATTTTTATATAATTAATAATATAATTCTATATAATTATAATTAATATAATTTTTATATAATTATTCAGTATGCATATACGCAGATATATATTGACCTGATATCCAAAACTAGCGTAATAAGCATGCTCCATTATTGCCATTAATTGTATCGCATTGTATTTTTGCTTTGCAATCCTTGGTATCACATTTTTGGCAAACTCCAAGTAACTGCCGACACGTCCCTCCTGTGTAGCAATTCCAACATGACATTCATAAATTCTTAAACTTTCTGGCTTCTTTGGTTTAGGATGTTTAAACTTGTATACCTGAAAAAAAAATAAATACAAATAAATTTGTTATATATATTGGATGTAAACACATTTATAATCATAATTATATCTATATACATGTTCTGGATGCCATATACGTTGTTTAAAAGTGGTTCCTTCTGCTTTATTTGGTGGCTGCGTTACATAAACCGCCCAAGGGCTCAGCCTTTCGAACAATTCACCATTAACATTCTTTATAATAATTTTTACTTCAGACATATGTTTCAAAGGACAACTGCCATCTGCATTTGCAGATAAATGCAGTTCCCATTTTCCATATTCTAATCTTTTGTATGGTGTAGCAGTTTTGTTCCAATTATCTATATAAACAAAAATTATATTAATTAAATCACGATCTTTTGATGATGTTAAACATACAATCATACAAATACGTTTTTCTCTTACTGAAATCTCCAGTCAGAAATACTTCGTGTGCACCAGGTGCCCATTCTCTTGCAATGACACTATTGTCATCTTGAATATGAATGCCAAAGTATTTGTACGCAGTTGTAAATTGGTTCAAGTCTACATCTCCTTCCTCTATTCTTGTAACATAATCCTTAAACATGGCATACCTGAAGATACAGGAAAATATTAAAAGAAATACGAAAATTCTCGAGTAGCATACCAAGTCGTAAAAAAATTATATAAACAATGTTTACAAAAAAATTGCGCTAAAAATAGATACCTCCGGCGAATATCTGTCTCGTGTCGCTTTAAATATGGATCTCTCTCCAGAAGTAGGTGTAACTGCGGAACCTCGACTTGCGAGGGATCCATGCTGGACCATTTTCCACCCATGTTTTTAATTCGACGACGTTCAAACACAGATTAATCGACGGCGTAATCAAGTCATAGGAACCGGCTAAAATTTGAATGACACGTCAAGGTGACCCCTTCCAGGTCTGTGATCCCCTCTCCGTCGTGAATGACGCGATGTTCGCATCTCGTTGACGCAGGAGAAGGCGGAATGGGTCCAAACGAAAAGCAGAGACGTGGACAAATGTGTGACAAGTTACCTAACTTGATCTGGCTTGACTTTTGCTCCATATCGTCGTGTTTATTCCCGCGCTTTCAGGGTCGATGCGCAAGAGGATGATAAATAAAGCGAGCTTTCAAACACAAAAGCACGTCACACGATTGGCTATGAAAGAGAACATTTTCGGGACTTTGAAAATTCTTCATTCAACAGCCAATTGTGTAAACTATTATTGTCTTCTCCTTGAAAAGCTCTCAAAATAAATACATAAATATAAATATCGAAGTCGCAATCTCAGAGATTAATTGATGATTATGAGGTAATTACAATTTAGTATATGAAATTTATTCATCATATTAAAAGATAGATTATTTTTAGACTTTAAAAAACTAACAACAAGAGGAAATAATATTGGAATTATTATGATGTTTACCGATTACATAATACACTTATATACATATATTGCACTTATTTTATCTAAAATCTTGGTAGATGAATTTTTCTCTGCCAGTAGTAGATATTCTTAAAACGAATGCAATTTTAACACTCGACGAAATTTTTAGATACTAGGAAACAGTAAAAAAAAGAAAATAGGAGTGGCCGAAAATCGGCAAGGAAATTTTATTAGAGATACACGAGGACGATGTGGCAATTATATTATGCAAGAATAATTAATGCCAATGACTTGTATAAAGGCTCACACTGTAAGTACAACGTACAATTTAATACGTAATATTTATACGTTTTTTGATAAATGCAAAAGTTGCAGCGGTATAAAGCGATATATAAATATCGCGAAAATACATGATAATGTATACTTAAATTATCATATTGATTTTTTTATGAATTATACACTAGCACACAAACCTATTTGATATTTATATTAAGAGAGAAAGATAAATTCTTTTAAAATAGAGTGTGTATGTGTATATGTAAATGAATATGTGTGAGTGTGTGTAATTAGTAAAAATGATAATTTCATTATAATTTATTACTGAATTATATATATTCTTACTTATTGATTATTCTGACTGATACTCAAAAATATATGAAAATAAATAAATACGTTTTTCACAATAGTAACGCAGTATTAGAGACTTGGAGACAATAGGTGGAGTTCAGAAACACTGAACATCTTGCAGCTTTGGTCCATTCTTATCTTAACTAAGCGTTAAAAAATTCGTTCAAAATAATGTGTATATTATAAACATACACTCCTTAATTAATTCTTAACAAAGTAGACAAATAAATTCCCAATATGAATAATGGGGATTGCATTTCTCATTTTCATTTTTTTTCGTTGTCCTCTACAATTTTTTTTTTTTTTTTTTTTTTTAAACAAATATAAGACAATTGACAAAATTATATAAGTAGATTTATAAAGCATTGAAGCTTTCAGAAAAATACTGCCAAAAAAGGAATGAAAAGAAAATATATTTTTAATTTCATATGAGATTAGTTAATGTTAACGTCTTGGATTATGAGATTAAAACTGTATCGAAGAATTTGATTATACTTGTAAGAGAGAAAGAAAGAGAGATTAGCACCTGACTCAAATGTCCGGATGAGTTCTCTGCCTTGGAAATTGTTCATAAAATAATAACTCGTCTAGCATGCTGTTTGTTAGTGGGCTTTTGCTCTTGAATTCGTTTTGTTAATGTAATTTGCAGTGCTGTTTATGGGAGTATTATTGACTGAAGTGTCAGATACTTCGTCGCTGCTATTACTGCGAATATCACCTTCCATCTGTAATTGTTTTTTTCAAACAAAAAGAAAAAAAGATTAGCATATAAATACATTTATTCATCAATATTGAAAAAATGTCTCAACGAACGTGCACGCGACAATTTGTATAAATCAGCCCCACGTACCTGACCAGCATTGAATGAGTTATATGCAATCTTAAGGATTAAATAAGTCCAAATCGCGTGGAGAAGCAGTAGTAAAATTAACAAGAAATTAAAGATATAATATGCAGGGAACATCGGCACTATCTTAGGAGCCTCTATAGATGTGCTGTAACAATAAATTTAAATTAATCCACATTAATATATTTAATAAATGCATATCTGAATTAAATAATTAAAAATGTACTGATATACGTACCTATATATTATCCAAAATGGATACACACCCATACGTGTTACAATCCACAGAATTGTAAACACGGCAAATATACAATCACACACCTTTTGATAATTCGCATACTTGGCCATTTTTGCCGCCTGAGAGAATCGAGACATAAATTATATGAATTAAAATATAGGAAATAACGCTGTACGCAATTTTAATCCCTTAAACTCTTACCTCCAAGAGTATATCTGCACAATCGTGCACTAACAATACCAAAGAACCAATCCTCGATAAGTTTCCAACCCACGAGAAACACATGAGTGAAATTGTAGCTATGTGATGAATGAACATCTGCCAGAAGTCTTTTCTCTTAACATCAAAGAATTGAGAGAAGCTTAATGCCCAATAAAATGCCATCGATATCATATAATACCACCATACGTCACTGGTAACAGGATGATAAGGATAATTATAATAACAATAATTTATATCCCAAAGCCATGGTTTGTCCCATAGAATAACAAGGCCGTAAAAGAATGAGTATGCATAATAGAAACATCTCCAACTAAAAGCAAAGAGAAAAGATTATATTGTTTTTTTTCAGATTATGCAATTTTTTCAAGATGAAAATAGTATAATTAATTAAGATGACTGACCAACTTTCACAAAACTTTGTAAGAGTAGATGGCTTATCTTGAGACCGACGTAATCGAAGCCATCTCTCCACTTGCCTTTCGGACCAATCTAATTGTTTAGCCAATCCCGCAATCTTAAAATATATGCAATTATGTATCACAAAATGTTGACATATAATATGCAGATAATATACAAATAAAGCAGTATATTATTAATGATCTCTTTCTTTTAATGTTCTTTACAAAAAATATATACTGGTAAACAATTTAATCTTTTTATTAAAATAATTGCATGTATAATTAATTCTTTGTGAGACGAATTACTCACCTGTTTATATTTAGTTTTCTTACTAAGATATGCTTTTTCTAATATTTCATTGGGTGCAGCTCGTTTGCTTCTACTATTTTTATACCAAGCGACTTTCCACAGGGAGCAAACCAATACCTGTTAAAAAATATGAATATAATCCTCCTTTAAGATTCCATATACACTTTTTAACGCACACATTCGATTTTTCTTATATATATTATTTTCAACATTATATATTTATTTATTCGCAACACTTTTCAGAAGCAAAACATTAATATATTTAAAGGTAAAAACTACAAAATCAGAAGGAACATGGTATCTTACCTTTCAAGAGTATATCTTATCCCTAGTAGAACTAATGCCATAGGCAGAGGATATATTAAATGCTGATAATTAGCATACTTATTGTCTGCATTCGGACTAATATCATCCCACGTTATATTAGGAGGCAACCAGATGTCTGGCGACCAGAAGGTCGCCGAGATATTTCCTAGGATATTCATTCCTCTGTAGTCTGCAAGACACAAATGTATGTAATGCATTAGCACATGATTAAGATAATATTAGCGAGAAGCATTCCTTCTTATTCATCCGCATTCCAGGTAAAGTAAGATATAAATTAGTATACATCCAGTCCTATCTCAGATCTATATATGCGATAGAATATTTATCAAAATTAACATAAATAAGAGAGAGAGAGGAGAAAGAGAAATTAAGACCGATTAATATATATGTCACAATAATTCTGTTAAATCTCTCTCATCGTACCAGGTGTTTTTAAAAGCGCGGGAGTCTATTCTGCTCCGAACGAGTGATGTCACAGCGAAGGATCGATCCGCGGTATTTTTCGAAAAAAGAATGAAAACCGGACACAGACACTTACCCGGAGCTGCCGCTTCGGCATGTATCGTGCTATCTGAAATGCGCCACTGGACGGAGACCGATTGCGACAAGGGCCAGATAGAGAGAGAGAGAAAGAGAGAGAGACAACCGCGCGTGTCCGTATGAAGCGGGCTGCGCCTGTGTTTCCGCTGCTACTTAACGCGTTTGCTGGTGTCGCGTTATCGAAATGACACTTCGATAATAAGAGAGAGAAGGAAAGGCAAGAAACGAAAAAAATAAGAGCCGCGATAAGAATTCGGAATTATCGAAAGCCGGTGTCTTCGGAGCTTCGTAATCCGGTCAAAGTCTCGCTATCGCTCTTTTATCGCAACCACTAGATTTATTAGTCGTCACTACTACTACTACTACTACTATGCTATGTACTATTATTATTACTACCACCACCACTACTATTAGCAGCAGCGGGAGGAGAGCGGTTGTCATACGATCGAGATAACGAGTCCACTCGGCCGCGTGACCATGTCGCTTTCGATACTATAGCGTCGCACCAATACACCACCGAGTCGAGTCGGCCTCGGCGCGCGAGAGATGATATACCTCGGATTAATTAATAATGATTACCGCACCGCGAGAGATCGAGAGAAGTGCTCTCCGCTCTGCTCTTCTCGCCTCGTCTCGTCTCGTGCGTGCCTGCCTGCGTTCGGTTTCGGTCAGAGGCGCGCCCGGCAAGGACGAGCACGGCCGATCGCATCCGATCTCTGCGCAGCCGCAGAGGAGGGATTGGCGAGAGGCCGAGGAAGTCGCCTACTTCTCTATCTCTCTCTCTCTCTCTTTCGTTCTCGATGTATTCTGCCTTCTTCTGTCCTGTGTCGTTCGCTCTGTTTTTTTTTTTTTGTACTTACGTTTCCATGGAATCGGCAACGGCCCTTCGATATTTCGTACTTCCACCTTATTGGGAGGGAGGCAATAAAAAAAATTAGCATTTTTGTTCTCCTTTTGAATAAACATTATATGGAATTTGTATGCATATATTTTTAATATATAATAATTATATGCATACTTAATATATATTAATTACAAAAATAAAATATAATAATAATAATAATAATAATATTTAATAATATATAATAATATAATAATAATATTTAATAATATATAATAATATAATAATAATATTAAATAATATTAATATTTTTTTATTTATAATTAAATAATTAAATTTTAAAAAATTGAATTAACAAAATTAAGAAAGAATAAAAACCAAAAAATTTAATATATATCCCCTTCTGGAAAAAAATCCTGAGGAGGTCTATTCCTGTCATGTGCGCCGATAAAAATTAGAAAAATCTTTTGCGGTTACCGGTGACTCATCGGGCGACCATGGAAACCTATATATATACATTTACAGAGCGAATGACATGATTTGATTTCATTTTTTTTTATATTTATACTCACCCAACGAGAACCATCCGCGAATATTATGTATCTGATTTCGCGGTAATTTTTGCGCAAAGATTATATTTTTTGCGCTTGAAATATAGAGTGAATATTTTTTCTATGCTCCGAAAATCTAATATGACTGTTTGGAACGTAAATTGTTAAATGTGTTCGTGAAGTGGCTTCTCGCTGATCGACCAATAGCGATGCGCCATTTGATGCGACTATTTCGGTTTGCGGTTAAAATCTACATAAGAACGCGCCTTATATCGCTACATATATTTAAAAAAACATTAGAAATTGAGAAATATATATTGAACAAAATATTCTATGCTTCATGGAAAAGGATTGTGTAATAAACAAAGGGGTGAGTTTTATTTACTTCGAAAGAATAATATATATACCTACAAAACTAGAATATATATATATATATATATATATATATATATATATATATATATATATCTTTGCGTATAAAAATCTTATTTATTTTCGCGGTGAGAAAAATGATTTTGATATATATATATTCGCAGCTTCTAATAATTAATAAGTCTATATAATAATTAAAACTCGTGACGTCACGAAAAATATTTTCCTATCGTGTTCGTATACAGATATAATTATATATGTCAGGCACCGCGTGCTCTTTTTCTTTATTTCTTTCTAATTCTATCTTTTTTTTTCAGGAAGAAAAGGATTATCATCTCATTGTGCGCATCTACGATTAATCGGATATTGTTTGATCAGACGTTTTGTGACGCGCTGATAAATCCTGGCGTTTCGCCTCTCATGTGGCCGGAAGAACTCCTGCGTAGCCGTAATGATCTTGTGCGTTTTCCGCTTGATTCCCGGAGTATGCACTAAAAAGGCACCATCGAGCACAACTAGCCGATAATTCAGAAGACACATCTCGAACATCTGCACAATTAAGGTGAAGAAAATAGAATTATATATATACTCTAATGAGGTTATTTAATTTATATAATTTTTCTTGTATAAAAATTAAATTAAAAATAATTACATACACATATATATGAATAACAATATTATGTATTGTATATTTTAAAAATTTAAGAATAATTATAGATCTCTGGAAAAAATATGTAGATTTTATATATAAAATTTATATATAATAAATTAATAATATAATATTACTATTAATTTATATATATATTGTATATAATTAAATTTATTTGCATATAAATTTTATATATATATATATTATTTGTAGATTTTTAAATATAGGTATATAAATATATTTATATTTATAAATTTTTTAATATTTGCCCTATTTTCGGGAGAGAACCTGTATTTCATCAAGATACCTGAGCCATCTTATCCTGTTTTCCTTCCCAGGACATCTCTTCCGTATAGAGCGGATCCTCGCGGGTACCGATGAAAACCGGCTCCCACCTGTGATGCGGATATTCCCTTTTGGTGATGATCAACGGTCGAATCCTGCCTGGATCGGGTCTGATCAGCCACCTGGTCAGTCCGGGAAATCGCTGGCAGTGCGGACAGAGGAATCTACGAAGGACCCACATATATTGTCATCGTTGTCGGCATTTTATTTAAATACATAGTCTCGACACGGCTATTTTGAGAAATCTTGTTTGACATAGTAAAAGGTATCGGTATTTTTAAATCTAGGATATTCTTCTTGTTTTATATAAATCTGCACATGGACGTCCACAGGGATTAAGGAGAGCAAGAGGAGGCATTTGTCCCCCAAAAATTAAGCATTCGCTCTCCTTTTGAATAAACACTGCAATTTATTTGTATATATTTAAATATAAAGAAATATATAAATAATAAAATTAAATTTTAAAAAATGAAGGAAGAGTAAAAAATAAGAAACAAAAGAAAATCCTGCGGGCGCCCATAAATCTGCATGTAATAATAAACTTAATACCTATGAAAATACACCGCTAGACCGGCTCGGCATGCGGTGAGGAGCTCGCGCTTTGTCGCCGGTGGCGGTTCATTGGACTCTATCTCGAAGACGGGCACGACGAAGACTACGCCGACCTTGGGCGGCCTCTGATGTATCATGTCCATGAAACCGGAAGCCAGCCGCGCGCTCGGCAGCAGCTCGATGTCCGACACCAGCACGCAGGACGTGTTTGCCGTCGTCCTGGCCACGTTCCGGGCGACGTTGATCGGATACGTCATGCTCCTCTTTCGCCTCTCGGTCTCGGCTTGTCTCCACTGAAGATCGGAAGCGGCGCAGTCGCCTCGAGCATCGCCTGGACTGATCGCACTCAAAGCGGGAGGTCGACCGGCCGGAAACACCAGGTGGACGGAGACCTGCGATCATCGAATCCTCAGATTGCGAATTCTGTAATGTAGAATATATGGAAACGGATCGATAGAGCAAGGAGAAAGCATAGCTAGGTAATACTGTCTGTGTCACAAAAAGAACATATGTTTGTAATAGATGAGAGAAGATATTTAATATTCGATGATAAAATCGATTGCAATATTACGTCTTATCACTTTTATCTAAATCAGTTATCAGCTATAGTCTAGTGATGGTAGTTAATATAGTATATGGATTTGTAGATATGAAGTTTTAGATTATTTCTAATATATATAAAGAAGAGAATTTAATATTTTGATAAGTAAATATCTAATATTTTAACAATTTTAAATCTCTTATTTTGTACTACGTTATGTTTAAATATTAGTTTATTGGCCTATATAAGACATGTAGTTTAGCATGCATACAAGACCTATAATACAGGCAATTATTTATGTTCAGTTTTTTTTCTATTAGCTTTTACTTATGAATTGCATACAATCAAATGCTCTTATCCATAGAATCTCAATTAAGACAATTGGCATTCCACATGGATTAAAACGGTTATGCTAATCGTAAGCGCGCGTGTTGATATAACGGAATGAGCGTCTATCATGCTTTCATAGGAGGCAGCATATCGATTTCTCTTCAACTGTATGTCGCGTGAACAATCACATATGTCGTGTGTTTAGAAAGAATTATTTAAAAGAAGACTAGATTATTTAGATAAGCAAACTGAAAAAAATAATTAGCAAAAAATAGATCTATAAAAAAGTCGCTTGTGTGTGCGCGGTATATAAGATAAATTATCTTTTTCAGGGGGGAGCAGGATGGTCCTAGAAGCGCTCATTTCGTATTTACGGACTCCCAAGATGCCTATATCGATGATGGTATGAAAACTTTGAGGGTCGAGGAATATATGTTGGATGACACACGATGAGATTCGTGACGTGGAAGTTGAGGGAGACCTTGTACATGGCAGGCTCGCACCGACAGGCCCGATCAAGCTGAGCGACAGCGAGGCCGGCGTCGAGGCCCGGCGCGAACACCGCCAGGCTGAGAGGTCCCTCCCATCGTCTGGCCAGCTCCACGATCCCGTAAACCTGATCGGCGGTGGCGTGGGTGGACAGCGTGACCTGGGGCAACCCGTCTGTCGCTTCGGTGGCACCGCGCAACACGAACGGTAGGACCCTGCACGGAGAAAAAGGAATCTTGTCATCGTAGCAAAACCGTCATCCGCATCGATCATATTCGAATCGAACACTTCTACTACAAATTATAAAGTTTGTTTTGTTCGCGTAAAAAATATTGTCGAGCGAATTCATTCGTAGAACGACGAGCAAAATATAGTCCATTTCTTTTGTAATAAATTTAATAAAAAACAAGAGATATTATAAATAAGAATATTTTTGTAATTGACGAAATTTGCCAGCATACAATTTGCTGTGCGAGCAAACTTTTTCTTCGTGCTCCGCTTTCGATACCATAATATATCTTAGTAAAATAAAATTATTGTTAAAATATAATAATTATTATTAAAATAATTATTTTAATAGTAATTATTAAAAGTCATTATTAGTAAAATAAAAATATATTGACAATTTTTTTGTGTCTGAAGGCGGCCTTGTACCTGTAAGGGCTCTTTTCACCGATCTCGGGGCTCCAAGTGAGTCTGGACGGTGGATAAGAAAGGACATCCGGCAGGCCGTGATACCACCTGCAAACACTTTCGTTCCGGGGTCGTCGACCCGCCATGTACATGCCTGCCGCATAGGTGGGCGGTTTGGAGTCTTGCTGCGAATTTGCGTGATCACCGCTGGGCATCGAGATACTACCGTCGTCGTGAAAAACGATCGTCGTCGTCGGCAATCGAAAGTCGCGGCCGAACAGCAAACGACAGGCCACCAGGAAGGACAGCACTAACGCCGGCCATACTAGTAGCTTGCGAGCAAGGCTGCGCATCGCTTTCTTGTCTGAGGATACACACATATATTTTACTTAGGATTTTTTTACAAAATCAAGAAACATGATAATATGTATCTCGACAAGGTATGTTCAGGAATCCTGGATTATAATTATGTAATTATATTCTAGTCCATATGGATATCCGCAGGGGGGGGGGAAGAGGGACAAGAGGAGGAGACATTTACCCCCTTGAATCAGTGAAAAAATTAAGTATTTGCTCTCCGCTTTTGAATAAACACAGGAATTTATTTGCATATTTAATATAAAAAAATTAAAATTAAATTTAAAAAATTTAAGAAAGAACAAAAAAATATAATTATGTTCCCTCCTGGAAAAAAATCCTGTGGACCCATGTCCTGATCTAGGATAATTATATATTTTGGACCAGGATAATAATTCCACGAGAAAGATGACAGCGTATCTTTCAGTTTATTACTAGGATTTTTTTCGCGAACATTATTTGAGATTATATAATTATCTTTCTTTTAAATAAAAAAACTATTTTTGCAAAGGATAAAAATGATGGCAAAAAATACTTGAATTTTTGTTTTATATTAATATATGCAAGAATATATTGATAATATTACATTAATATTACATTGCATCTCTATATAATAATATAATATTATTTATTGATATTTGCATCTATTTATTATATATATAGATAATACAGAAAAATATAAAACAGCAACCGAAGATTTAACATTTAACAATACATATATTATATATGTATATATATATGTATATATACGGATTATACATATTTAATAATTCATATGTATATTTTTTTATCAAATTTATATGTCATTTAGCTTCGCCTTTGATGCAATTTATAAGTTTAATATAATTGTGACAATCTTTATTTTTTGCTATAATTTTTCCATCTTGTTAATTTTTTTTTCATGGCATCATTTTTATTTATACAGATAAAATGACGCTCTTATTTTTCTAATATGCTTTTTATGCGATAGAAATATATCTGCAGAAGCATGAATTATTCTGTATTATCTCTCTATATATATATTGTTAAATCTTCGGTTGCTGTTATATTTTTAGCAATGTGAGCGATCATAGGAAGCGATACGTTTGACACATGCAAGTAATAAAAGCTGTAATTGATGAATTGATAACGGAGGGCTATTCGGCTAAACTCGACACGAACCTCAGGAATTCCTCGATCTCGTCGTCGATCGAGAACGGTACAACAATGTTCCATATTATCAAGCGCAAACGGCGAGTCCTCCGAGGAACATCCGCCGTGTCGTACTGGCACAGGGGTGACGTTCGCCGAGGGGTGAGACCACGAAATATCGTGGATCGATGTCGCGCAAACGCCGTTGGCGAACCGCGAGGATGCGCAACCGAGGAAATGCATAGCCGCGATTGCAGGAGAAAGAGAACGAATAGGGGGGGCCGCTATAATGACATGTAGATTTTTTAGATTATGCCTAGAGTCATCTTCATTAGTAATCTCCATTAATTTTGTCTCTATTAGAAATCTGAAATATATATCTTATTAAAGACGAATTTATATATATTTTGATTTTCAAATTTTAATATGGAATATTAATTTTAATTTTCTCACTTATATTTGTTATTATATTGTTAGCTTTAGTTCTATACTTTTATAATGTCCTATATTTTAATTGTGCGTGTATATTGCAGATAATGTCGAACCTTTTGCACCTATACGAGCTATATCATACGAATGGAACCTATATCTATGGACTAATAAAGCATTGCACACGCGAGGACAATGTACGCGAGGATAAGGAAAACAAGGTCACGTGATCGATAATTCAATAATAAGCGTATCATCGGAAAGATACGCTGCTTTGAGCAAAGAAAAACATATTGCATATTCGTAAACGATGCCAGTTGTATACGAGGAGAAACAGTCACGACAAACTATAGTATGATACGATCATTGATGGGTAAGATACATTTAAAATGAATTTCAATATAGAATATGATATGCATATGAAAAAAATGTATCTAAATACAGATACAATACACAAAATATATATAAGATACAGATACTTATTAGATACTTTAATAATATATCTCAGATATATATTAGATACTTTTAAATTAATGTATATTTTATTATAATATGCACAAAAAATATATACTGAATAAAACTTTTATTTATTAATAATTTTTTTATTTATAATTTTATTCGTTAGTCTTAATATCAAAAGTGCGTCAAAAATATCGTCACTCAAACTATATATTTTAATCGAACGAATTGGTCAATAAATTAACTGTTCATATATATATTTTAATCACGAATGCTAAATAATCACTCAACCGGTGCTGATGACGATATATAATCGATATCGTGTTGAACTTTAAAAACAAATGTTTCATATGAGAAAAACGTATTATATAAGTATTAATGCTATATTTTATTTTTGCTTGTCTGACAAATAAGAGAGAATGTCGATAGCACTGTCAGTTTTTACGTCTTGATCTTTTAAAAATTTAAAGAATCGATCAATTTAAAGAAATATGTGAAAATGTATCTAAAAATGTATTTGAGAAAAGTATAATTGCAGATACTATATGTTTTGTATTTAGATCTACAATAGATACAGATACTTCAATTAAAATATATTTCAGATACAGGCTCAGATACTCAAAATATATCTATAGATACAGATACTTCAAATATATTTCAGATACATGCAGACTCAGATACTCAAAATGTGTGTATCTATTAGATGCAGAATATTTCATTTTGAATATATTTCAAATCAGGTACCCAAAATGTATTTAGATACTGTATCTATATAATATATGTATATCAGTATTTAAAGTTATGAATTTTTATAATTATTAATTCTGATAATTACAGAAGTATCAGCCGCAAATGGACGTATTGCGTGACGCATTACAACAATTATTACCACGTGCTGTGGTTACGGCACACTTATTTAGGACTCTATGATACACTACGAAGTCAAATAAATGGGCGCATGATCACGCTGGATTCATTGTACGACCACGTCTAATCGATGGTAAAACACGTGTGCAATTAGTCTTATATAAGACATATAGGACACTGTGGATCATTTAAGGGTCGTCGTCATTGATTCCAAGGGCATGTTCCAATTTTAACGATTAGTATATACCGAAGAGTATATTGTATACATATATTTGCACTCTCTTCCGGAGTTGGCGGTGCAACGCGCCGAATGCGCGAAAACTTCGGGACCAGCACTATCAGTAGTTCCTCGATTCTTCGAGGCGTCAAGTCGGCGTGTTTGTATAATCTTGCTTTCTCTTTCCCTATCTCTGTTTTCTTATTCGATTATGTATGTATATATATTTTTTTGAGTTTCAAAATTTATTATCAAAAAATTACGAGTCATATATTTTATCTAAATATATGCTTGAGAATATTTATTATAGCCATCAAGTTATAGCTGAGATAAAAGATACGACGACACGTGTTGATTAAATTAAATATTGTCGCAATAATTTACGTAATGTGTATTAAACAGCACGGAGACAGTATTATTATTAATAAAACATAGAGCGTCTTTCCGTATAGAGACGATCATCGATCCGGCTTTTATGTACATATCTTGCATGTATAAGCAAATAAACCTCGGCAAGAAATAGGTAATTTAAAATTGCGATCGCGCAACAAATATCGATTTTATTACAATCGAAAAGTCTATGAATGAAATTATGGTTAATATATTTAGATGCGAGTAGTAGAATTCATTATTGAAAATAAATGATGTGAATTGAACATATGTTGCTGTCAACATATGTATATCCGAGATAAAAATAAAATCACGTAGTGTAACGTGGAATATCGATAGAAATTTCGCGTAATATTAAGTCATCGCATAAAATTATATTAAATTATTTATAAATTAATTATACATAAGTTAAATATTAGTTATATATAAATTATAAAATTAATTAAATTATAAAAATTATAATGAAATTAAATTCCCAGTGGAAAATGTCCGGCAGCTCCTTGGTAAACCTGAAGAGGCGCATCTGGGGAACACTTCGCGAGATGAGGCGATTCAACAAGTGCTCAGGGACGTCGCCCAGTTGAAAGGAATCTCCTGGGAAGGTTCCGAGGAACGCTGAGGAGGACACGATGCGTGAAATATATACGATGATTTACATGTGATCGATTGCGGGAAAGCATGATGAACATGATCGGGTTGTAGAGCTCGGTCACACGATCTTGACCTTAACCGATGCAAGTCCCGCTTTTTCCGCGACCGCCGGCCGTCGAGAGCGTCGCGACGCCCGTCAGTGACTCTCTGGACATCGCGACGTTACCACGCACCCCGGCCCCGGCTTCCGTCGTGGCCGTGCCGCGAAGACGACATGCCGTGCCCCCACGGTCCTCCGTCATCTTCGCACCTGGGAAACGTCTGCGGCGTCACTTCTGCAGGAACCTGGTTCATCCGCGAGTCAAGGACTCCCCTTCATCATCTCTATTCAAGGATGCACGCATCACCGAATTTCGCGTGAGGATGACGGGGCATCATGCAAAGGACGATGAGGAGGACGACGATGACGATGTCATCTGCGGCGTCGGTAGGTTTATCATACATGTGTATCATACATACAATTTTATCATACATACAATTAAATTTATACATGTATAACTTTTTCTCAATATTTTTTTTTTAATTCCGTGTTTTATTTTTATTATAAATTTATATAAATATAATATAATATAAAAAAATTAAAATATATATATATATATAAAATATAAAAAATATTGAAAAAAAAATAATATTGAGAGAAAATTTAGAAGAATATACAAGATAAGTTGGAGATATATTGCAAATAAAGAGTGTAAAATGTATTCTAAGCAGGATAATCAATAATTAATATCCTGTAATCGCAAAAAAAAAGTTGTAAAGAAAAGTTTATCACGTAATAGTAGTTTTATATAGTGAGAACGGTATAACATTGAGAGAGGGCAAACGGTATCAAGTTTCAAACAATCGATTACTATTTGCTGATATAACTTTCATCAAGAACTTGAAGAAAAATTGACTTAACATTTCTTCTTTGGTATATATTGTTCTTCGACAACATGTGGAGGATTTTAAATTTAAAAGAAGATACCTGGACACACAGAGTATCATATACAAATATACATGAAAAACCGATTTTATATATTACTACGTATGTTTGTCATAAATTCTTTTTTCTTCTTTTAATCTCGCATATGTAAATTATGGATTAAAAATAGATATTACGGATACACACACACCGACCACGATATCCACGGATATCTCGCCTCGCTTGAAGAATGGAATGATACCAACGAAATGGACGAATTCCGTAGCTATTCAGACCGTAGAAGGATTACCGCTACGTTTGAGAGTATTGCCGTCTCTTAGAGACATTGAAGAGGATAACGAGAGTTCCTCTTCCTCGAGATTCTGGAAATACCTGAGATTTTTGGGACGATTATCGTTCTCGCAATTCGGTACGTCCAGTTGATTCGAATTTTATCATTTTAAGCTTTTGGATCTTCGCCGCGGTCATGTTAGATTGTGACGTCAGAAGCGAGAAAGCACACGCTGAAAATTCTTAGATGCTACTTTTTAATAAAACGACTGTATATAATGCCATTTTACAACTGCTGATTGATTATAAAGGGAAAAGGATAGTTTTCGAGGGATTTTAAGAGTGTGTTAAAGTCGTCTGAAGTGTTGTTTCATTTCGAAATGGCATCTAAAAATTTCTAGCGTGTGTTTCTCGCCTCTGACGTCACAATTTCAATAGGATCGGTGAGGAGCCAGTTTTTAATCTCAAACTAATTAAACATCTAATTAATCGCAGGTCTCTTATGGCTACTCGTCATGTGGATAGTGGCAGGTGCGGCGGCGTTTTGCGCCGCGGAAGGTCCGCGCGAACGGGAACAGGTCGTGTCGTTGAAGGGCATGCAGAAGGACCTGGTGATCGACCTGGCGACGGAGTTGCGGCAATTGCGTACGGAACGAGACGAGGATGTGGAGCCATTGTGGCGCGACAAGATTCGTCAGTACGTGACTAATCACGAGAAACTCCTCCTGGTCGCTGTTAGCTCTGGCTACGGCGAGGGCGGCAACAGCGGACAATTGTGGACATTTCCTGGTTGTGTATTATTCGCCATATCGCTAATCACTACTTTAGGTATATATTAATTAATATCAAAATTAATTCTTAAATAATTCGCTTATGAAGACTTCATGTCAATCTTTTTTTTAATTTATTTTAGAAGACGCTTCGTATCTTCTCTTTGTATTTATTTCTGTATTTTTAAATTTTGCAGGCTTCGGAGCACCCGTTCCGCGAACTACTGCCGGTCGCACGGTAGGAGTAATTTTTGCCTTGATCGGTATTCCCGCACATTTTCTTCTGATATTAAATTTCGGCATGATGGTGGCACTTGGTTTGCAAAGATACGCGCTTGCCAGACAAGGCGCGCAATCAAACAACGCAGAATGCAATCATTCCGTGATGTCGATGCCAAGATGGGTCAAAGTCGTACCGTTTGTCTGTTCAGGTAAATATATACGTACTTTGATCGCGTACACATAAATTACACAATGTAGCTCTTATAGGTCAAAATATTAATAGCTATTTTTAGATATGCATTAGGATAAATGTACTGAATTAAAAAAAAAAAAATAGAAAATTAAAATATACCTCGGTGTCTTTTTTGTAGTTGCTTACTACATTCTGGGAATATTGTGCTTCGGTATAGCGCGCTCAAGACCGATCGAGGCGAGTGTACTGTTTCCGTTGGACTTTACCGCGGCGGGCGGACTCTCCACCATCGTTGGTCACGTACGGATATTGTATGGTCTGTATTTAGAAGGTGCGGTCACTATCGCAGCGATAGTAGTAGCCGTATTACGGGTATCAGCGACGCAGAGTTTCACAAAAATCGGACTGAAATATGGTTTGCTGATGGAAGCTTAAATTCTCATTAAATTTATTCAACATTTTTTAAAGCCACTTGCATATTCATCAAGCAGACATTGCCACGTGCTCTGATGTGTTTCATATTGAACTGTCGAGCTATCGGTAATTAAACTGCGAAAAAAAAGTAATAAAACGATGTATTTTATTTCGCAAGTCGAAATGCTTCGTCATCAAATATATATCGATTTACATCGAAATATAGTACGTTTTGTACAATTTATATGCATGTAGATAACAATTCCTAAATGAGAAAAAAAAAATAAAAGAATACATGCAGTTCCAAGTATATACAGAAGGATATAAGTAGTTGTGTGGAATTCTTATTTTAAAAATATATAAATATTGTTACGATTGAAATGGATAGATTTGTATACTTGTATCTCCATGTACACTTTATTTAAATAAGATGTAACAAATAAAGACAAATTTGTACGCTACGATACAACTGTACAACTAGAATATCAGAGCAACACCAGGCTGGTCTCACTTATTCACGCTTGTAACGAATTCAGGTCCTTATGTTTATTCTATTCAACTTGATTAAAAGTGTACACGATAGTAATACCTATATGCCCTCTACGATTCTCATTTGTAATTGATAATGCTAGCGCGTATGCGATATTTTTGTATTTATTACCAATGAACAGCAGATCTTTTAGACCTTTATAGATTGCTTTAGATATTACGCGATTACATCTGGGGCATTTTCCGTCGTCGCATTTCAGCATTAGTGTCACTTTTGCTGTCGGCGTCTTTGGTATTTACGGATCTCTTTAGTGGTTTGTCTCCCGGATGCTCGGCCTCGGATAATAAAGATTGTTTTTCGTGATTAGGCATATTTCCCAGTGCTATTCGTATAGATTCCACCAAGTGCAGCGGACCTGAGTAACTCTCTTTTGTACCTATGGATAAATAGTAGTTTGTAATAACACATTATATTTTTTGTGTTAGTATGCCTGCTATAGAACATTTAAGATCTATCATAGAAAGTTAATTAATTGCAATAAAGATTTCATAATGATAATTTGAAAATTCTTATCACATGAAATTTTTGCGCCAAACCAATAGGTCCTAAAAAATTTATAATTCAAATATACTTTGATTGGTCTGAGATACTGTATAATTGGATAACTAATAAAAGTACTAATAAACATATTTATAATTCTCCACTTAAAGGAAAAAAGTTTTGATTTTTTAACTAAAAAATATGATATATTATGTGATAAATGAATCGTGTAAATAAATTATGCTCTTTTCAGTAATTTACTTACAATTTGTTCTTATCCAAATATAGCTTTTTTAATTTTTCCAAGCAGACCATCATTTTGATTAGTTTGATCATCTTGACTCGCTTGAGTTTGCACCTTTGGACCTGCTGTGCCTAGAAAAAACATTGAAGCTACTTATGAAGGAAACTCGAGGCAACAACAAACACGTATTTCACAATGAATCAATCATTGTTATACCAACTTTGATTGTTATCGCAAGAATTTTCCTATGAGAGGAAAAATCCTTTTGTTTCATTTTGATAAACGTCAATGAAACGCACTTTGTAAAACATTTTGACGTTTTATTCAATTAGCAGTAGCAGGTACAATTGGAGAAAACTCAAGCGACTGGCAAGTGTGCGTAATGAAGAGATGAATTATTGTTATGTAAAATGTGATAAGGATGTCAAACGGGTATATCACGAATATATTCTATTACAAACGACAATTCACTTTTCTCAGTTTTCTCATTTGTCCTTACCGTCTGTTTTAAATGTTACACCGTATATACTGCCAGGGGTATCGGTCTCAAGCTCGGCGTACGCTTGAAGCAACGCTCGCTGCTTATCTGTCAATTGTTTAGGCACCAAGACTTTAACGTTTACATAATGATCGCCGTAGCCAATTCCGTTGACCTTTTTTAATCCTTTGCCGGTCAAACGAATTCGCGTATGGGACGACGTGCCCGGTGTTACTTGGATAGTCTGATCCTCGTATACGCCCTCTACTCGTATCGTACCACCTAGCACAGCCTGGGCCAACGAGACTCCCGCGTCCGTGTGGACGTCTGGGCCGTCGCGGCGAAAATACCGGGACTTTTCTACACGGAATGTCACGAATATCTCCTTATTGCCGACTGGCATACGAATCGTTTGACCATCCTCCACTCCGGCGGGAACCGGCACTGTCACTCTCTTACGTTGCACCTAAGAAAATGACGTCATTAGAAAAATGGAATGATTCTTCTAGAGATGACAATAATCAAGTATTTGTACCGTTTGTCCTTTTGCTGCACATTCTGTGCAAGGAAACTTGATGTGTATTTTTGTGCCTAGACAGTATCGACAAGTTGAGCTCATTACAAAAGGACCAGTGCTTATTGTCTCTACTCCTGTGCCATTGCAATGCTGACACTTTATGGGTTTCGTTCCAATCTCGCAACGCGAGCCACGGCACTTCGGGCAAAAGTCCACTACATTTATATCGATATCCTTATTCACACCTCTGGCAGCTTGGGAAAACGTTAAATTCATTATCACCTGTGTGAAAAATAAGGATATTAGAGTTGTGTTGGATTAAATGCAGAAAATCATATAATGCAAATATTTGCGTACCTCTTGAGCTGCTCCGTAACCATACGTTGTCTCTGCAAAATCTTCAAAGTCGTTGAAGGCTCCACTTTGATATCCAACATCGCCAAATATTTTTCTAAACAATTCCTCGGCATTGATAGTCGATCTATATTGCCAGTGTTGACTGTAACTCTTGGGCCTTTCACCCTGGCCCATTCCCATCCCCATTTGCTCGGAGGTTGCACCCCAAGTATCAAATTCCTTCCTCTTAATATCATCGCTCAATACTTCATAAGCCTCTGAAACCTCTTGAAACTTTCTACTAGCATCTGGATCTCCTTTATTCGTATCAGGATGATATTTCTTAGCTAACTGATAATACGCCTTTTTTATGTCTTTGGCTGATGCATTCTTGGCGACACCCAGGATCTCATAATAGTTGCGTTTCAACAATCTATTTGTTAAATGTATGGCTCTATGCGGCTGTATTATCCTTCCTAAGTTACCTAGAGTAGATGTTACAAAATAAAATTCAGTATCAAAACAATCTAAAAATAGAATAAATCATAGATTTGCGTTGCGCGAATATTTAGCGATATAGAATTCCATTGCAAATCAGCTGATTATGTAGCGCGGCGTTTCGAAAGTAAATATCTCGGCTGTCAAACTTTTTCGGAACAGTTTATAGTTAATATTTTCTGCGTACTAATACACGTATATATATAATTCTAAATTATAGGTTATGTTGGAAAAAAACGCGGATGCGGCACGTGTCGAACGAGGGCGAAAATAAAACGACACAAACGACGAGCGATGAAGACGACGAGGAAGTCGTCGATGAGCCGGGAACGTAAAATCGCGCGCGATTTCGCATCGGAAAACAAAGAATGATGTAATCCAGCGGTGTGTAATACTTTACTTTTTTCCGCTCTGTCGCGACTCGGACAGCTGACAGTTGACGCGACGGTCGCCACGTGTCGCCGGGACGCGTCGCCCCGTTGCAAGACATTGCACGAGAATTTCAGCTGCTTGTTCCCGATCAGACCGATGGTTCTCGGCAGAAAAATGCCAGCCAGCCCCTTGCCGGTCGCCATGTTGCACGCATGGTCCGTTTGGTTCGCGGACGACAGACGGGGTAAGGTTAGTAGCGCCCTCTGATATACAGGGTGTCCCATTTTAATCTGTCGCCCCTCGGAACTTTGACAAGTGACAGGTTTAGCGGTCGTGGAGAAAAATATTTCATTGTCGGACAAAAGTTGTAGGATTCAGACGGGGTCGTTTGACAGTGACCTTGATCTTGACCTTGGGGTCAAATTTCAAGGTCATTTGAAGGTCAATGAGCCTCGTAACTCGGAAAATGTACAGAATGAAAAAATACTTTATTATATATAGTGTTTAAAGTAAAAACTCTTGAGAGTGTGTAATGAGAAATAGGATATTTTATTAAAATTTTGATATTGACCTTCAAATGACCCTGAAATTTTGTCTGAAACATTTTTCTTTACGACCGCTCCCTGCAAAGAGGGCTGATGGATTAAAATGGGACATCCTGTATTATGGATTACGTACGCGCAGCTTCCTGTCATGCGCGAAACGTTGAGTCAAAACCTAACCTCAATCTAGTGTCAACCTAACCTCAATCTAATGTCAACCTAACCTCAATTTATTCTTGTTGTGTACACGCTGCTGATGCGACCTGACAAAACGGTATGTCGAAGATAGTCGAGTCCCTGAAGGGGTTGAACGTCGAGAACGGCGCGATGTCAACGAAGCAAGACGACGAGGAGATGTGCGAAAAAGGCGAGCTGACGCTGTCGATGGAAGAGAAGGTGTCGCACAATCAGAATTATATCCTCGCCGTTTGCGGAACTCAAAGGCAAAGTCTATGTTTTTTTTATTGTGAGACATTTCATGTCAATCTGCAAAAAATATTACACTTTCTATTGTATTTTCTTTTATATCCATCGAAACGATACGTATTTTATTTTACAATTTGGTTACTAATTCTTGTTCCAATGTAAACTATAGTTGCTTTCCATTTACATCAAAACTCAGATAAATCTCACTTCTGTCTTTCTTCAACATCCGTCTGAGTTTTGATGTAAATGGAAAGCAACTATTGTTATAATCTTACTTGAAAATGTATCAGTGGTTTGGAGTACTTATGTAAAATGGATTAAATTGCCTGTTTTTTTTTTATATGTTGTAACTTGGTCTGCTGAACAAAAGACGTAATAGTCTTAAAGCTAAATAATGCACAATTACTGAGCTGTAACTTAATAATTATTTATTATTTAGTTTGGAAGCTATTGCAACTTTTGTTCAACATGGCATAAGCTACAATATATGAAAAAAACCTGCTAATTTAATCGAAATCCATTTCACATAATAAGATTAGTGTGGGGTACTTTGAACATTTACTTAGATTTGACATAAAGTGATCCGATATTATTATGCATCAATTTGATTTTTTTGATCAAGAACCACTATTTGTCCTATACAGTGAGTCAGAATTTAAAATTGGAGCAGCATTGTCAGATTATTCATGTGTAATATATTCTGTTGGTGAGTCCTTAAGCCGAACGATTACGCTAGAACACAATCAAGCACCTATCGTGGGAGTTAAGTTCAGTCCTACTTCCAAAAATATATTGTATACTGCTACTAATGACGGACAAATCACAGCGTGTGATTTGCGTGCTAAGGGAAAAGTTGTGGCAGAATTTAAAGGTAATCATTAGCTCTTAATAATCATAAACTAATTTTTCATCAGTAAAAGTTTTCATTATTGCAATATTCATCTACTTTAACATATATTTTAGATAACACAGAGGATGGCAAGACAAAACCTTTGGCCAGTTTTGACATTAACTGCGATGACAGGCTTCTAGCTGGTGGAACAGAACATACAGGTGGAGATGCATTTATATTGTTTTGGGATGTGAGATATAACGGTTCTAAAATGGAGAATAGAAATAATCTGCTCGGTGGATATTGGGAATCGCATATGGATGATATTACTTGCCTGAATTTTCATTCTGTCAAGCGAGATATCTTGGCATCTGGTAGTACAGATGGTTTGATGAATATATTTGATCTCACACAGACTTCAGAGGACTTGGCCTTAACATGTTCATTAAATACTGAATCATCAGTGGTAAGATAAATATCTTGCGTGTTTTATTGTAAAATAGAATATATAGAGAATTTTTTACATTAATATTGTTTTTCTTTTTTAGGATAGGCTGGGTTGGTTAACTGATGACTCTCTGTGGTGTACAACACATACATATACATTACAATTATGGAATTGCGAAGATGTCAGTGCATATGCAACATTTAAACGAAGTCACTTCGCTGTATCACAGGTTCACATTTTTTTTCAATAGAATAATTCCTTATTTTATTATTTTTATAATTTTCCTTGAAATGATCTTGAGAAATTTTATTCTGAACAGAATGAAGATAATAATTGTTATTTAGTGAGATTCCATGCCACAAATGTATTTGGACAACCATTTATATTGGCGGGTTCTAGTACAGCTACAGGGTATTAATATATAATATATATATACTTATATATATTTATGAATATAATATACTATTCAAAATTATTAAATTTTTTTAAATATGTGGTTTCTTTCGATATTTATTGTTAGTTAAATCTACAAAATTATTCCAATAAATAATTTTCTGATTGATTTGAATAGTATGTTAACATATATCGAATTTATAATATAATCTATATTAATCTATAAACAAGTTGTATAATATTCGTATTTTTTCTAGGGAGAAATTAAGATGTATGAACGTGATGAACAATCGTCTGGAAACATGTCACAAAATCCTAGAAAATAAGCAAGTAGTACGTGATAGTTGGATTCATGAAAAGGTGAGTAGATTTAGGAGGAATTATATACTCTTTGCAACTTGAATAATTCTCAATATCATTTCTTATCTATGATTCTGCAGAGCGGTTGTTTGGTGACTGTCGGCGAGGGTAGTATTATCAATATATGGCGACAAGCGGAAACGACACAGCAAAATTCGCCCCGCAAGCTATTGACTAAAATTAATGGAAAAGGTCGCGATCGACATCACAGAACTAAACCCTATTAAATAATATGAATTAAGATTAGAGATAGATATTTTTTTCAGTATAAAAATTTTGTAAAAATAAATGTAAATGTAATAAAACTAAAAGAGAAAGTGGAAAGATAAAAGAGTCATATAATCATATATATATATATATATAGATATATATTTTTATATTTCCCTCACATTCTTCTTTATTACAATAACAGTTGTATGTACATTTATAATAAATAGGTATATTTGTTTATGCGATTAATTATTCAACGGCGAGTCACACATATATACTGATCAAAAAATGCAGCCACGGGTACCGTGTAAATGCCAAGGAATGTAAATCACGTGTAACCGCGAATATATGTGGAATTAATTAGACGAAGAAGAAAAGAAGGAGACTTATGACATTGGAACGATTTAGTTCCATGCCATAGCGAGAAAAACGGAGTGTATATATTGACAATTGTCATAAAAATCGTACCGAGCATTACTGAATAGAGAGTACTCTTGACCTGGAGAGTAATCAATCAAACAATTCTCAATAATAATAATAATATTAATAATAATAATATAATAATAATAATAACAGTCTATAGTAAATCTATCAAGTCAATACACTCTGCGTTTGAAAATGGTTAAAATTCTCGAAGACATCTCTCCATCGCTGTGATCCATGAGCGTATTAATAACCAAACACACACGCCCGCATATTACATATTATATGTAAATATTACAGTAACGATTCAAAAGACGATCGCAGTAAAGCGAGTATCACAATGATAACAATAGATATAGTTTTAGAGCGAAACGGTACAGTAGGTACAGAGTAAACGTACAAAAATACTTCCCATGAGCATCGGGGACGTAAAGATTCGCTAAAACGTGGAAAAAACCGCGTTACTATAATTTCATATTTATATATATATATATATTTCTATATCATCAAGGATATATATCCTTTTTCTCAAACTTTGCGTCGCCATTATCCGCGTGACATTATCCTAGGAAAAAAAAGATAGAAAACGCCACGAGACAAGGCGCGCGTAGGCCGTCGCGCTAATCCTTAGCTGTTGCTGATTTGATTCTTCAATGCGTGTGTCATCCCGCCGGGGGATTGCGTGTGTGACTTCATTTATTTTTTTATCTATTTATAATATTTTAAGGATAAATCTCACGCCGAAAGACACAGAATTTAAGGCTCCTTGGTACTCGCCGCGGCTGTCTTAGATTGTGACGTCAGAGGCGAGAAAATACACGCTGAAAATTTTTGCGTGCTATTTTTAGATAAAAAGATATATTGATAAAACACAACTTCAGATGGCTTTAGCATGCTTTTAAAATATTCCGAAAATTATCATTTTCCCTTTATAATCAATCAACTGCTGCGTTTAATTATTTTACGGTTATTGATTGACTATCAAGGGAAAAAATAGTTTTTGAAGTATTTTAATAGTGTGCTAAAACCATTTTAAGTTGTGTTGTTTAAAAATAACACGCAAAAATTTTCAGCATGTATCTTCTCGCTTCTAACATCACAATCTAACATTCTGCGGCGAGTATGAAAGAGCCTTAAGCGCACGTGATATGGATTAATTCATCCTATCGCATCGTAGTTCCACACAATTGTTTTCACAAATACGCGAAATATTTTCTCGAATCGACTACAGACAAGTTACGCATTTCAAATTCAAGTTTTGAAAGTCGCTTTGAAATTCTACGGCTTTTTGTTTTTGCTCTCTGGCGAGCGTCGCGAATGCTACTAATTATACTTTGGATTATATGTATATATTATGTTATTCTCCCGCAAAATATGAAGTCGAACACTCATCCGTGGCGGACACTAACAGCTAATCGCAATAATAGTCTGAGTTTGAGCTTTTATATGCTCGGCATCGCAGTAGATAGTAATTAAGTAATAGTAGGTATAGATTCGTATATAATAAATCATCGCTCTTATGTGTGTGCTTTTTCCCCTTTTTTTCTTTTCTCTCGCGTAAGTTCAGCATACCTTATGGAATACTTTTAAGATCTATTGTCACCACACGATTGATTGAGACGCGAGCAGAGCTGGTAGTATTTCTTACTTAAATTTCCTTAACGAGGTGTCACGATTCATTTTAATCGTTTTTTTCTTATAGTCGATCTACTCTACAATGTGATCAATCTTCTATCTAGCCTTCGTTCAATTCGATCATATTGCATGCCAGTCTTATCTGTTAAGGAATGTATGTATTTATACAGCGTTATATATAACTATATGACCGTTTGTGAAACCGAATGGTTTAGGAATCCATAATTCGGATGCGTATTGACAATCATCACAATAATATGTTTTACGTATTAACGGAATTGTCGCGTACAGAATTGTCCTTTTTCGAATTTGAAAGACGAGAATGATGATTTGATTTGACATAATGAACTTCGCTAAAATAAATGCTAAAAAAATGCGCGGTATTGTGATACCTCTGCACTTTACATACAGGATAGTGAAGCGGCAGTACCGACGTACAGTACTTCGTATAATTCAAAGATTTCTACTTGAGAACTTTCTTCGTTGATAAGTATAATATACGTGTATAAATAAAATAAGTCAGACAATGCGGATTACAAAATCCGCGAAAAGACACAAAGGACCCGATCAGGGATGATTGGGATATTCGTTACGCAATTTTCTTGTACAACGAACTTTCCCAGTTTCTCAGTTATTTCGCGTTCGTACAGACTTGAATCATCCATCTTAAGCAACGTAATAAATAGTATAGAGTTTGTATATAGACAATAATACAAGAAAAAGAACACTCGATAAAGAATAACAATATAATGGCAGTGAATAATCTCGAAATGAAATGCCAGATGTGAATTCCTCCGCTAGTTTTATATATATATACATTCGATATTTCAGTGGAAGAAATACCAGAAGTGTGTGTATCGTGTGCATTTGACGAACGGAATTACTATTTCTGAAGCAAGCAATTTTTGTCGAAAATAAAAAGCGGTATCAATTTCGATTTGCGACAGTGGCTTGGCACACGTAACAATAGTAATGATAATCATTCATTATCGTTAATTGATAAATCTTACTTGTCGCATTAGCATTAAAATATTTTAATAGTTATGATATAAGAATAGCCATCTCTCTTTCTCTTTCTCTCACTCATGACCGCATGCATTCACAGAGATAACCGAGATACATGCGTGAAAAGAAATACATACACACGCGCGTACATTCGCTTTTTCATTCATATACTCAATTGTACATGCACACTTATGAAAAAGTATATATTTTATATTTATATATATATATATATACACATTAATGTATATGTAACCGTAATATATATATGTATTCATCTATATCTTGCATATTTCAGCAAGCAGCAACAGGTTTGCTTAAAAGATTCGTCTAAAATCTTGTTTCTAAAACTGTCAGTCGGCTTAATAACGTAACGAGCAAGACTTTAACAAGATCGGCTGATCTACTTTGCTACGTCGGCCGTTAATATTTTTCTTTCTCTCTCTTTTTCCCGCGAGCATTTCTGATCTCCTCATTACTCTTCATTCTTAATAGAATTGCATTTTATTCTTAACGTATTTCTCTCGTCAAGATAATTTCGTGAAATTTGGCATAAAAATTATATTATTGCCATCAGTTGTAACAGTTGGAACGTAATAATTATTATTTTTTTCCTCCTTCTCCCAACTATATACCAAGGCTAACTATACTCGCACTTATTAACGATAGTATCATCATCGTGTCGTGTAAAGATAAAATGAATTATCGTATTGCACTAAAGTATGACCTCGCCGAATGTGAAATAAAGAGCAATAAAGGTGCATCCTGCCATAAGAAACAATTAAATCCGTAGTGTAAAAAAGTGGGACACGATCCAGGTAGCGAGCGTATGTCATTCTGACGTCGAGTGACGTCACTGAACGTCAAAATGATGTCAGTTTGCTACTTGGGAATACAAGAACGACGCGAAATATAAGATTACGATGAGAGACTTTAAAAGAGTTGCGTCCGCGAAGCGGACAAAGTATAGACTGTATTAAACCGCGAGAACTTTATGTCGAAAGTCAAAAGGACTTGACGCGGCTGCGGGTCTGACTGTTTCGCGATTGGCTGCGCGGCGACGGTGTCGGCGTGGAAGTTGGCGTGGCTGAACCAGTAGCGGCGGCGGCGCGCGACGAACGCGACGAGTGCTTGCGACCGAATCGAAAGAATCGTCAGAAAAAGATCACCTCTTCCTCCAGCGGCTGCTGCTGCTGCTGCGGTTGTTGCTGTTGCTGCGATTGCTGCTCCGCGTTCCGTTGTTGCTGCTGTTGCTGTTGATGAGTGTACGAGACTTCAGGCGGAGAGCGGGTAATTCGAAGCGAACGATTCGACGAGTGCGTGTGACTGCTGCCGATTCCGTGATGATGGCTATTTCCTAGCTCCGGCGAGGAGTACGCAGAGCTGGTGACGATCGCCGGGCTGCTGCCCGTTCTAGAGTGCCGATCTGGACTGTTATTACTCGCGGTACTGCCGCTTCTATCGTATGAGAAATATAAATACATGTTTATTGTGGAATATTAACGTGACATTGACGCAAAACGCAGTAGATCCTACCTTGTATTGTTGTTATTCCCGCTGGCGAGTTTCAGCGGCAGTTGCTGTTTGATTGGCAGGTTGCTTTGCACCTTCTGCTGATTGGTCGCGCTGATTAGATTCAGGGGAATGCGTTTCGCTTCGGATTGCGCCTTGGTGCGCGCGGTTTGTTGCATCGCTTCGGTGCTCTGCGTCAAATGCGACAGATGAATCGTCGTCGAGCCGGTCGTGGAACTTCCGACCAACGTAACGCCTTGTCGTTCTAACGCCTCGAGTCGTCGGTACAGCTGATCCCGTTGCTGCGTCACGTCCCGCTGCTCTGCAGCCAGTTGTTCTCTTTGCCGGGCCAGCTCGGCGCGTTCCTCTTCCATCTGCATCTTCTCCTGCTGAGAAGCGACGCGAAAGTCCGCTTTCTCTCGACAGAGCTGATCCTGCAGATTTCGCAGTTCTTCCAACTGTCGATTCGGATTCGGACGACTGTTGGAGGATTTAGCCGTGCCGCCGTCCTTACACGAGGCCAGTTGCGCTTGCAGACTGTCGATCGTCGTCATCTGACTGCTGATTATACAGAGCAATGTATAAACGTGATGAGACAAACGTATTGCCGCCCACTGCTGATCCTTGTTCGTCTCCAGTTCTTGGCCCTCCTTCTCGTCGGGGTTTTCTTTCGGTAATTCGCCGAGTTTCGGAACGGGAATTACCGTGTGCACGGCGTTCGGATCGCGCAACGGGTGTCTCTCCTAAAATTAAAATTGAAGCATTTGATGATTACATTTTCATGTAATCGTGTTCTTATTCTTTGTTTCCTTATTATGATCCTTATGTACCTTATTATGATCAAAACCAGCGAAAGTTTCGGCTCTTCGAGGCACGCAAAGAGCTGGTGGAACATAAGCTTCGCTATGACGTTCACCAGCGGAGCTTAAACTTCTCGATAAATTAGCGCCGCCCGCGCTGAACGACAACGAGCTAGCGAGACGCGTCGCTTCTTTAACAGCTACAAACACCTACGTTAAACACATAAACATTTTTCTCTGGTCAGTTCATATTCCAACTAAATTGAGGATCCAATAAATGATCGCGAAATATAATTTAAAAATATGATTGAACATTAACCTCCTGCCACAATTGAGTGGTATCGGTCCTCTCGTTGTGCACCAGTCGTGTATAATCAGCGCCTTCCTTCTCGAGTTTCTCGATTATCTCATTATCACTCTCGTTCCCGTTCCAAATATTCGCTGCTTGTAAAAGTCGCAATTGCAAATTGATTTTCTCCTCAAACAGCAGCGCTTGCTCGGTATCTTTTTTCCGTAATTCGCCTGTAATAAAACCAATTTATTTGAAAATATAATCGCACAAAATGACAAATAGCAATTGTACAATGATGACAAAAGGTTCCCTAACAGTCAAATATCTTGGAAAATAATGACTATAAAGGACCATGCCATATTTGACTTATAGAACTTTTTGCCGTGTGTTCACTGTAGAAAAGAGCTAGGAGAAAGCAGAACATACCGACAATTCTAAGTATGTGTGATTCCTTAGCCTTGGCAATACGTTGCTTCTCTTCGACAGAAACCAGCGAAATTGAGGAGGAGCGAATATCTCGTAATTCGTTACTATTTTCCGTCAGCGCGTCGGTCTCGAACTCTTGCGGACAAGCCTCGACCGCCGATCGAATAGCCCGTATCCATAGCTGTTTGTCTTTTGGTTTCTGAATCTTCAGTTCGAACATCTCAGGTTCAGCCGGGTTGCTGCTTATCAGATAAATACTGGACTCTTGACGGGCTTTTTCGCGGACCAACAGTTTCTGCAGCGACACTATACCGGCTTTATTGTCAGGCACGAAGAACGCGTATTTCTGATCCCTCTCAGCCAAGAAAAACAAAATGTCTGAGAGTACGACCACTACGATGGCAATCATTTTGCCGCGACCTTGCATCAAGTATGCAGTGCCCTCGAACTTCAAGATTCTGTTGATTATGTCCGACTTTTTAAATTTGGCACCACGATACGTCGCGAATGACTTCGCGTCGATCCTGCAAAAACATTATCGTTCATAGTTTCAGGAGAGATAAATGATGCTAAAAAATAAGAAAAAAAATCGAAACTCACTTATTGTATATCTCTAACTTTCTATCTTCTCGTTCCTTATCGGCTACGCAGGCGTCTACATCAGCCAAGATCTCCTTAACGAGGACCAGTGCTTTACGTAGATCGTCACTTTCGTCTTGCACAGTACTGGTTTTGATGAGTGGCTCGATCAGCAACGGATACTTCGTCAAACGTTGAGTAACAAAAAGTATACACTCGGGTATACCTTTCTTTTTCAACAAGGGATTCGTCTAAGGACACAAATAACTCATTTTACTGGATTGTACCGTTCACCCTAGATTTCATTCGTCTCGCTTATCATTGAAACGTACCTGACAGTGTCGTACGAAACGGGCGAAGCGAGGATCGTTGCGCAGGTAGTACTTGTACGCCTCGGCGGCGTCTCGGTGACGACTGCAAAACTCCCCGTACGCGCTCTTCATGCGTTGCGCGTTCTCTCCCGAGAACTGCTCGACTAGAATGTCGGCGATGGTGGAGACTACGGGATTCGCGTTTTGCCGTTTTCGCAATTTCTGCAGAAACCGCAGATGGATGTCGATCAGATCCCGCAATCGGGGAAACATACGCTCGAGGTCCGGCTGACCTAGACGAAAGTGCCGTCGCAATCCCTCCGCAAAGATCTTCTCCATCGCAAGCAGCACCAGACAATGATGCTTTTCCGTGAGCACGAATTCATAGATATGTTCCTGCCTCTTTACCTCGCGGTCGCAATGATCGACCAGGCGCAACGCGACGTTGCGTCCGATCGCGGAGCTCCAGGAGTCGGGTTCCTCCTTTCCCAACGTCAGCTCGGGATCTATTTCTTCGAGATCGCCTATGGTAAACTGATGAACGTCGTCTCCGAAATCAAATTCCTCCCATCCGCTGAAATGTGACAAAATTATTCTCTTAGATTTTTTTTATTGGTTTTCAGTCTTATTTTAGATTTTGTGGCCAGCAAGACCAGACCTATCAAGGTCAGCACAGGCCAAATAAAAAAATAGAAGTCTTATTTTAGCGTTATGAGAAATATTAATATCTATAGCAGCAATATTGCTACTTTAAGGTTCCTGGATTCTTGTTGCGGCTATGTCAGATTGTGACGTCAGAGGCGAGAAAGCATACGCTGAAAATTTTTAGATGCCACTTTTAAGAGATATTTCGATGAAACACTATTTCAGATGACTTTAGCACACTTTTCAAATATTCTTTTCCCTTGACAATCAATCAACAACCGTAAAATAATCGTGATATCAGACTTTGTCAGAATGACTGCGTATGTGCAAAGACTAAATAAACTGGGCCTCATTTTACAGTTGTTCATTTTAATTATACAAGAAAAAAGAATAGTTTTCAAGGTATTTTAAGAGAGTGCTAAAACTATCTAAAATGCTGTTTCATCGAAATGTCTTTTTATTTCGAAATAGTATCTAAGAACTTTTAACGTGTGTTTTCCTGCCTTTGACGTCTCAATTCCAACATGGCCGGTAAAGAGCCGGAAACCTTAATTAATTACATGGGCTAAAGTTTATTATATTATAATATCTATATAGGAAAAAGAAAAAAAGAGAAGATATTTACAAACCTGGGAAGATCACGATGTTGCCCGCCCTCGCCATCTTTTTCTTCGTTTATCGTTTGACTGAAAGAAAGATATAGCTTTGTTTCATAAAGCACTATATGTGAAATAGAAAAAATCTTACTCTCCCCGTAAACAATGCATACAACGTTAGGTTGAATTCCAGCTTGAGAGACTCTTGAAATTAATCTATTGAGATGTCGACCTTTTGTTAAGAAGACTGAAGAATATATTACACGTCGCAAAATTGTCTTTTCAGTTTAGTCTGATCCTATCCATACAAACCTTGCGTAAGATGATACTTGACATCTTCGTTTAAGCATGTCTTCATTCAATTCTCATTATGCAATCAATATATATATATATATTAACATATATGTATATTATTGAATTATACTGCATTGTAAATATAATTATTGCTGCTAGTTGCAATGCATAGCCGTGATAAAGCTAGCAGGTTCAAGAAAAATTCAGAGAGAGATTAACATCTTTTCATATTAATTAGCAAAGGGTAACCTGCGAGAGCCCTCAAGACTCTGAGTTCAGGTCGGGTGGGATATGTGTCGTAATTGCAGCCACTTCCTCTTTTCCACCGCTCCTATCATATCCTATGATTTATGCTTAAACTTGGCTAATTCAACACAGATTTACGTATAACGGGGGAAATTCGAAGAACATTATTCATTTTATGCTCATTAGACTATAAATCCCGACCCGACCCAAAACCCCAAAACAAATTACTGCGAAAACTGTCTATATAAATGTTCAAGTATGAAGTTTCGATGACATTGAGAAATGTGGAAACGATGAGATAAAAAAAATATGACAAACTATGTGTGATTAATTGACAGGGCTGAACTGGGTGTAAACTTGTGTAAAATGGAAAGGAGAGATAGAGACTGTGTAATAATGTATGTAATGAACATGTATCTATTATATGATATATGTCTATAAAATGTATTATATATAAATGATGATGTATATATGAAATATATGTAATTATATTATGGAGAAAAAATACCTTATGGACTAACACTCGTGAAGTCTTACGAGCTAGAATTTAAGACGAAGATTACAACGAGAAGAGATGTAACACAAAAATATATGTATATATACGTATATATATCTCATTGTATGGACACAAATTATAGAAGAAGCAAGCACAAGATCAGAAGCACAGGCAGGGCAAAGATATGACGTTTCTTCCGACTATACAATACGGAAAACTCGAATTGCCATTTGGACAGATTCATATGAACAATATATGTGTATACGTGTATATAGGTATATGTGTATGTGTGTGTAGGTATGTTTGTATGTAGATATGTGCGAGAAAAAAATCGAGGAACGAGAGACGCGCGCCTTTTTACCAGACACGTGTAAGAATAACACACGAACAGAAACGAACGGAACGCTTTCGGAACAGAATACAGGAGGAACACATCAGATATCAGAGACTTACTTGACTCCGAGTTTAGTAGCGACTCGCCGCCAAGGGCTGTAGCTTGACATGGTTTTCTTGTGGCTGTTAATTTCCCTTTAATCGTCGTACAATCGATCAGTTTGCACGTGGTTGCACGAGGGGGAATGCACGGGAGAAGGAAAAAGCACATAACTGCATTAGGGCAACTTCATTTCGCCTGTGTTAGGCTGTTTTTTCCTCCATTTTCCATGTTAATTTTTCTTTTCTTTTTGACTTTACGTGTCGATCTACCTATCTTAACGAATCGTTCCCCAATGTTATGCAAGATGATTTTTTTTATTCGTCAATAGATAGCCTTATGTTCTTTTATCAAATGTGACATGACGTTAAAATTAAAAATATGAAAAATAATCCTCAAGATTGCTAAGTAAGTGCTATCATCATTGCTTCTCGTTGTCGTGTTTACGTAATTACGGATAATATCAATTTAACTAGTATTATTTTAGGTATAGCTTGTGTATTAGTAAACCAAAAACTGAAGGTAGTCTGAGCATATGGTATTCTGTATAAGTAATACGTATAATATGTAAACAATATTATCAATCAAGATGTAGGCGGCGCGAGGCTGAACGCGCTAAAGCTTGCCGTACTATTGATGTTGCTAAACTGCAAAATTAATGAAGAAATAATAAGCTTCTGAGCCAGCCAAAGCCTCGGAGTAACAAGCAGACGCACAACTCTCTTTTTTCTGTTTAAAATAGTTCAAAGCTTTTCAAATATCTCACATATTTTATATATACTATCTACTTATTATTTATACATTAAATATGACATATAAAAAAATATTCTTTTTACTCCATCAATAAAATTATTAAATATATCTGTTTCTCGCCTAAGAAAAAAAATATATATATCTGACGAAATATAAAAAAAAGAATCCTAATCTGCCAATTGAGTCAAACACGATCCGAGTTACTTATTACTCATTTCGCACAAGTATAAAAGGAGTTTGTTACAAACTCCGAGCTTAGGCCCAGCGCCATGCCATTTGCGTGCGAATCTTGAACCACAGATACGCAGATCCAATGCAAAAGATGTATGAATTTTCGTCGATGAAACTTATATTACCTTCCGCTTCCGGACGACGCTGGCAGAGGCAACGACGTTGTGGAACCACGTTTGTTAATGCTGCTGTTACTCGAGATTGTAGAGACGCTTGACGAAGACTTTGACGCGGACTTGCCGGACTGATGTTTAGATTTCACGCATTCCAACACCAATTGATCCTTACATCCTTGGTTCTGATGAACTGACGCTCCACAATCTGATTTAATATTTAAAAATTAATTAAATTTTATTTCTACAAAAAGTTAATTTATAAAAGACGAGATAATCACCTTTTTATTCAAGGCTCTTGGCTCCTCGCCGATCATGTTGGTATTGTGACGTCATCGAAATAGCTTTTTCTCACCTATCACGTCACAATCTAACATAGCCGCGACGAGAACCCAGGAGCCTTAACTCGAAATAAATAATTTGCTTACTGTCGCAATGAAGGAGCGGCTTATTTGTCGAATGTTTCATGCAAACGTCACATAGTAAGTTTCCTTGAGATCCCACCGTCATCGTTACCCACAGATGTTGCTGCTGACTGGTCTTTTTCCCACTTTTATCCTGAAATAAGATTTTAGTACGGTTGATTCATTAGAAACGGTTTTTTTTAGATATATCGGATAATTGCAATTTAAGTTATCGCTTTACCTTCTTTTTACGAAAGAAGATAGAGCCACGCTTTCTTCTGGTCTTTTCGGAATGATGGTCATCGTATGCAGTTCTACTGAAAAATCAGCATAAATGTCGACATTGTTCGATTTCAAATGAGATGTTTGAAAAATTGTATCTTGTAGGTGATCAGCAGTGCAACTATAGAAGCATTTCGAATTTACTCACAACTCATTATAAGATATATAAAAGTGTGTATGTATATGTATGTGTGGCCTCTGTGCAATCAAAGCTACGTGTTGAAAAAGAAGTGTGTAGCATGCACGAGCTATGTGTGACAAGGCAATTTTCGTAAATTGGCATTTAAAAGATTCAATAATTCTCGTTTAACGAGTCTCAAGTGACATTAAACTGCCATAAAACATATATCAAAATCTAAATATAATAAAAATGCGTATATATCTCAAAATCAACAATGTCTAGTTTCATCTATGTTTGGTCTTGCAGTTGTAATGTAACTACAGACTCCCTTTCTATTTGCGACTGACAAAATCGATCGACTGGCGGCAAACTGGCGTACAAACCATTTCCATCAGAGATATTAAAAATTTGCAGTATCATAAATAATTCGGTTGAATATATATAAAGATTTTAAGAGGCAAGTTTTTTACTCACTCGGTCAAAAGCTCATCAAGGGATATCTGGACACTCGGAGTGCCTTCCCGGTCTTCATGGAATTCGTGGCTATGTGGTGTATGTAGGTCCTCGGTTTCTGTCTCACTCCCGCTACCCTTTTCGTGTCTTTCATGACGGCTGTTTCATGCAGGATCGTATAGCAAAATGTTCAAGTACAAAACACAAAACTAAGCAACTATCGTGTAAAATAAAGTCTTATAGTTGAGATATTCTGATACTATATTACAGAAGAGCACATCGATATAATATTTGAAATAGCAAACTGCTTGCGTTTACGAGAAGTGATTCCACGATTGGCAAATGTGATCGATAAAAGAAAGAAAGAAAGAGAAATGTGTATTACTACTATTACTACTACTACTTTTAAATCAATAATGAATATATATGTTACTATTTATTATTTGATCTCGTGTAGAATAAAAGTTTCAAGATATTAATTATATCGATAAATAATAGAAGAGAGATTTTTTTTCAGCAAAATGCATAAAATATTTCTTTTATATTAAATTGTTAACTTATAATTCTAATCCGATATGACATTTTCTTGTATTCATGTTTCATGTGGCTTACGATACAACGGCACGCGAGCAAGCAGTCATGCTAAAAGATCTACATAATGCAGAATGTTTTAAGCATTCATGAATGTAGATATCTCCGAAAACGAGAGAGAAACAGAGACATCTCCATTCTATTTGTTTATAAAAGTTCATGCATGAACGTCTGCGTTTATTTTTTGAAATGAATTTCTACTTGTGCGAAAAATTGAAAAATCTTCAAAAAAGACTTGAAACAAGATGTAAATATATGCGCGTGAAAATATATAAATGTACACACATGAGTGTCTACGCACACATGAATGTACACGGCGTAAAATGTGTGCATAGCTTTTTTGTGCGTTAATTTCTAACAAGATCGCAAGCTGAATTACGATGTTGATCGAGAGTTTAAATGAAAAGTTTCTCAATGAATAGAAAACGCATGGTAGTTTCTAAGATCTCTTCATCATCGATTCAGCTGTGCGATCTTGATCCATTCGCATAACAGAACTTACGCTGCGAGTGAAGGCGTCGTTCGTGTTCCGGTTTCGGCTAAATGAACCTGCGGTGTAACGATCGAAGGCGTCGATATAGATTTCTGAAGAGGTAAACGCGAACCAGTCAGCCCTGGCATTAAACTGCTACTTTCTGCTAATCTCTGACTACCCCTCTTTGTGACTATCTTCTGATATTCGCTCTGTCAAAGAAAAATTCTCTATGTAGTATGCTTATGCGCGAGGATGGAGGGAATCGCGTATCCCTTGTAGGGGGATGGGGATCTCTGAAATTTACCTGCACAAGATCAGCTTCGTTCAGCGAGTGAGTGCTCGTTTGCGACCTGCATGCTCGATTGCCTACGCCTACTGGCCCGGCACACGATTTCCCATCTAATTCTAGCTCGTTTTCGCTGTCTAGGCTACTTAAACTAATGCTGCGTTGTCGCTGAAACGAGTAAATGGGGTACGTTGTGATTGTGTGGCGAGCATTAAGAGCGGCGGCCTCGGCGGGAAGCGTATAATGCGCAAGCGACCAGAGCCATGCCACCATCGTAAAGCGGGAAGAGTGTCAAGAGTGACCGGGCATTTGAGACCGACGTAATTTCGACGAGTTCAGATCTCGATGCTACGCAGAGCAAGCGCGCGAAGAAACGGAAAATGTTTATACCTCTCTTAAGACTCCTCGTCGATCATGTTGAAATTGTAACGTCAGAGGCGAGAAAACACACAAATTCTTAGATGCCATTTCCGAATAAAAAGATATTTCGGTGAAACAGCACTTCAAATGGCTTTAGCACACTCTTAAAATATCTCTAAAAGCTATCCTTTTCCCTTATAATCAATCAGCAGCTGTAAAATGACTATAATATGACTGTAATATTTAAATGTTTTCATTTACAAACGGCATCTGAGAATATTCAGCGTGTGCTTTCTCGTTTCTGACATCACAATCTAACAGCTCGGCAAGGATCTAGAAGTCTTAAATCATGGAAAAATGCACATTACATAAAGATAATGAAAAGAAATATTTGCGTAGCATCAAAATCCTGCGGCATCGAAACTTGAACTCACCGAGATCGGACCGTGCCCTGGTTTCAACAAGTAACGGATGATATTAACCATATTTTGGGCCTGCAGATGATTCTGCCCAGAATATCGGCGATTACCACGCCGGCTCTCCTCCAGGTCCTCTAGATCCCCGGTCCAGCTGCGTCGCCTGTCTATACTCTGCGATTGTTGCATGCGCGCGCGACCGCCTGCCGACGTCGGGAAATGCGTCGGAGAACTGTTGGTGGAGCAGTTGACGAAGAAGATGTCCGGATCGGAGCCAGTGTCGTGATGATGATTGTTACCAGAACGAGACGCGAGCTCAGCGGTACAGGCCAGCGGACACAGAGACGGGCAAGAGGAAGTCAATCTCTGAGGAGCGTCAGAACCGTTGGACGCGCGAATGTGATATCCTAGAGTGCCCAGTGTAAGGTCTCGCATGCGCTGAATGCAATCGTGGATCTCGTGCAGCTGCTGCAAGTTCTCCTCTACAAAAACCAAAAAGAAACAACATTTTATTGCTCGCGTTAAATCGTATCTTTTTATTTCTACACTTTTTTAATCAATTATATTCATTTTTTTTATATAAATTCAAATAGTATAACTTGTGAAAGGATCTCGCACTAAATACATAAGACTTAGGCTTTCGGCGAAATTGGCTGTTTTTTTCATATATTGTAGCTTATGTCCTAGAGAGCAGATCATAAAATACAGCATGTAAGGAAACCAACTGATCTTACCAAGATTTAATTTTAATATGGAGTTTTTAAAGCTACATAAAATCCTAAATGAAATTGAATCTCGATAAAATCAGCTGATCTTTTCACATATTGTAACTTATGACTTGGTTAATGATTTATAGCCAGCCAAACACAAAAAATTAAGCTTTTGCGAGTTGTTTGACTGGTTGTAACTCAGCAACTATTGAATGTTTAGCTTTGAGGCTATTACATCTTTTGTTTAGCAAGTCATAAGCTACAACATATATATAAAAAAACGCAATTTGGCACGGGATCCTTTGATTAAAACAAGAACCATAGCGTTCGGTACACTCGAAGTTTCAATCTTGCATTTTCATATCTGTCATCTGGTGAAACGTTACCTAGGACCGGATAGTTCTTGGCCAGACCGGGTGAGTGCGGCGTGACGCTAATGATGGGTACCAGAGGATTAGGCTGGGTTTGTATATTAGTGCCGAGTGCGAGCAACGGGTGTTGCTGCTGCTGCTTCTGTTGCTGCCGCTGGTGCTGCTGTTCCTCGCCGCTCTCGGACATGACGATCGACGCTTTGTCAGTATTGTCTTTGGTGATGTAGCCAATCTCCGCATGCAGACTCAGGCCGCGCAGATCCCCATTAATGATGGGCGGCACGCGATCGCAGTCGGAGTGCGATGAGCCAAGGTAATCGGTTATTACATCCTCCTCGCTGTCCTCGCCGCTGTTCGGACACTCGTCTGCAAGCATGACAGGTTCGATAAGCATGACAAGTCTGACAGGTATATCTTCATCATCATTGCATCCCTAGCTACATTAACTGAACGTTATTAATTTTGAAACGCCGTAGTCTATCGGGAAGGAAAGCCTTTCTCCGTTCTATTTCTAGGACATGTGCGCAATCGGGGGACACAACAAGGTGTTAGGTGTTTTTTCGTCGCTCGATAGCGCAGGATGGGACGGAGGAGATGTAAAAAAAGGGCAAAGTAGTTTATTGGCGCGGTGCATACACGACTCGTCGTGTGTTTAATCGCGCGGAGGGAGAGTTTCCAAAGCGCGATACCGGAAAACCGATATCTAAACGTCGTCCTCCTCGCGCCGTCTCACTATTGACTCGGCTCCGGGGCTCGGGAACAAACGAGGGACTCTGCGACAATCGCGCCGGCCCCCGCGACGGCGTCATCTCCACGGCGTCAGCTCCGCTCTCTTTCTCTCTCCTTCTTCGCTACCGCATAAAGGCATATTTCAATGGAAACCAGGTCAAATCACGTATTCCGTCAGCGACGACGTATTCGCGTGCCGCTTTAAGCGAACGGATAACGTAACGTCGTCTTCTCGAGGTGACCTTCCTACGACGTGTTTCATCCAAACGAGTTCTCAATCTCTCCGAGAGTTCATGATATCTGCTGGTACGCTAAGGTCAAATCGGGCGACCGAATGTTCAATTGTAAAGATCTCACAGCGACGTCGGTTCATCATTGTTCATTCTTAAACACGCGGTTTGAGCAATCTTTCTCTTTCTCGCGTTACCTCATTTCGTGAGAATCTTAACGTAACGCGTCGCACGGGGTAAGGGTAAGGTAAGGTACTCTGCAAGGCTGCTCTCGGTTCGACTCGTGCTCTTAATTCCGACGTAAGCAGGATCTGTGCTATAATTCCCGTGACACGTTAATTATGTCGACGTCCTTTATGCGCGCCGCTGATACCAGTTGTAGGATTTCTCACGGATCCCTCTCTTTCTCTCTCTGCACTGTCTCGCGTGTACAGGCCCCGATCCTTTCCCAGGGGAGGTCCTTTCTCCGCAAACTTCTCTCGCGATGTGTACAATCTCTCATCTCGCGTTGAAATTGATTGTCGTTGTTCTTGACAAAAAAAGAATAAAAAAAACATTGGGATGCTCGCGCGAAGGTATAATAAATAGATCCAGCGTACCGTGGCCGGAGCGACTTTTCCGGGTGGAAAGGAGCTGACAGACTGTTGCTTTTCCCCCTGTGTAGCTCCCGGAGCGCGAATTGATCCGCTGGTTCGCGCGCGCCATCTCTCTCCCTCACCCTTTTCTTCTCCCCCGACCTCCACCCTTCCGTGCACCCTATAAGTCGCCGTCGCCAACCTTCAACTCGCGCCGCCTCCCCCACCATCACCCTCAACCCCTCATCGTCCTTCCCCACCTCCAACCCGCTGTTGGCATCAGCACAGCAGCATGTTTGTTAGATTTGTATCTTTCCATCCCTTGCGAGATAAGTGTGATACAAATCTCTAATTGTCAGCCGCCCCCAGATATCTTCGGAGGAGAATAATAATCTTCTAATGATCTCTTTCCGGATTTTCTTTTTTATTTAATTATCCGAGCGTCGTCTTTTCTTTGGAAACTGAAGAGAGAGGTTTAAATCCTGAACTCCTTTAGGAATAGTTTCTTCGAGATATCGATTAATTTCGATTCAAGTTCAAATCTGTGATCAATTTCACGTCGGTTAACTTTAACCTCCAGTTAAACTATAATCTTTGCCTCTTTTTATAAAAACATATCTGAAAAGAGGCAAAGATATAATTTAATTGAAGTGTAACTCACGTGAAATTGGCCATAGATTTGAACTTGAATAGAAGTCACTCGATATCTCGAAAAAATTGCTCGTAAAGGTATTCAGGATTTTAATTTCTCTCTTTAGTTTCCAAAGGAGAGGCGATGCCCTGATAATGAAATGAAAAAAATTCTGCAAAGATTAGAAGCACGAAAGATTATTATCCTCCTCCGGGGATATCCGGAGGCGGCTGACAATTAGAGATTCGTATCACACTTATCTCGCAAGGGATGGAAGAATATAAACCTAAGAAACATGAGAGAGAGAGAGAGAAACACAGGACCAATTTCATCAACGTTCAGATACGTTCTTAAAAAGAAACAAAGATATAGTTTAATCAGAAGTTTAATCGACGTTGGTGAAATTGGACCTGTGTCTCTCTCTCTCTTTCTCATATTTATTAGATTTCTTTCCATCCTTTGCGAGATAAGTGTGATATGAATCTTTAATTGTCAACCGCCTCTGGATATCCCCGGAGAAAAATAAGTTTCCTTCTAATAATCCTTCTGGAATTTTTTATTTAATTATCAGAGCATCGCCTCTCCTTTGGAAATATTAAAGAGAAATTCTGAATACTTTTATGAATAGTTTCTTCGAGATATCGATTAATTTCGATTCAAATCTGTGGCCAATTTCATGTCAGTTAACTTTAATCTCCAATTAAATTATATCTTTGCCTCTTTTTAAAAACGTATCTAAAAAGAGGCAAAGATATATACAATAGTTGAAGGTTAACCACAGATAAAATTTGCCACAGATTTAAACTTGAATCGAAGTTAGTCGATATTTCGAAAAATTATTCATAAAGGTATTCAGAATTTAAATTTGCCGTCTTTGGATGTCTTCGGAAAAGAATAATAAAATCTTCCGTGCTTCTAATAATCCTTCTGGATTTTTTTTAATTATTAGAGCATCGCCTCTCCTTTGAAAACTGAACCGAGAAAGATTTAAATCTCTTTATGAATAGTTTTCTTCGAAATATCGATTAAAGTTCAAATCTGTCTCTCTCTTCTTCTCACTTTCTACAAATATAATTAGAAAGGGACGAGAGAATTTTATATAGTTAAAAAGGTTACGGTCGATGATTATATAAGCGAATCCGTGAATTGGAGAATTTCACGTTTCGAATTCTATTGAGATAAATTATATCAAAAAACTAATTCATTTCTCTCTTTGTCCGTAGTATTGAAATTTTAATCCGGGAGAGCTCTTCAATCTCCTGTTATTTATAACTTGTGTAAGTTTTGAAGTTTATAACAACTTAGATGCTTCGATATAATGACGCGACTTTATGCTTTCACTTTAAACTATAATATTTCTTTAAAAAAGATATACACGAGATATCACGTGCAGATCCAATTAGGTAAAATAAAACTTTGTATTGAAAATTATTATGTACATTAATTTTAGTAATTAATAATGTTGGTAATTAAAAAGTTATTTATCGATAATTCCAATCGCTTTACATATACATATATGTATATCTAGATAAAACTGATAACTGATATAATTTGAAAATGCGATATATACAAGAATGTTGCTGTGTTCATCGTTGATGTTTGAAAATATTTTTGAAATTAAATATCACGCATGATATGAAGACTGATATTAGAAGAACTATTATCCGTAGGCTCTTACTGCATTAATATTCTACATCTGAATGTGCGAGATGTATAATATAATGAAGAAAGAGAAAGAGGAATACGTGTCTTGCATTTCTAAACGCATTAAATAATTAAATACTTGATTTTACTTCACAAATAAAGTTCTCTCTCTCTCCCTATTTCTTTCTTCACATACACATATCTCTGTTCTAAAACATTTATATCTTCGATACACCATTTCCTCATCTGACAGTTCTCTATCAATTTGCCGCGTAAAAGGTTTCGCCGCAGCAGTAACAAATATCGACGATGTAATAAACAACCTTTCGACAACTGCGTAAATCGATTATTTATCAGTACGGTGACCATATTTTCTAAGAGAAGATAAAGGACAAACTGAAAATGTTAAGGCTTCAACATGTTTCCAAATCAATTTGGGATAAAAAGAAATCAACGAGCAAAAAAAAAAAAAAATAATTCTGTGTCTATCAGAAATTTACATATTTTTATAGTTTGAAACTGATTCGACTATGTTAAAACAAATCCTTGGTTTCTTAAATAAATTCCAGATAAGAAGTTTCTTTGTTTTTGTTTCTCAAATTCTTAAGGCTTCTCACCACGGCCATGTTAAATTGTAACGTCAGAGACGAGAAAATATACATTGAAAATTTTTGCGTGTCATTTTTAGATAAAAAGATATTTTGATGAAACGCACAATTTTTTAGATGGTTTTAATACACTTTTAAAATACTCCGAAACTATTTTTTTTCCTTGATAGTCAATCCACAACCGTAAAATAATTAAAACAGACGGATTGGGCTTCATATTATATTTTACAGCTGTTGATTAATTATAAGAGGATTATAAAAGGAAAAACGTTAGTTGTCGGAATATTTTAAAAATGTATTAAAGCTATTTAAAATTGTGTTTCATAAAAATGTTTTTTTATCTAAAAATGGCACGCAAAAAGTTTCAGTGTGTTTTTCTCACCTCTAACTAATATACTACGATATATCAGACATTAAAGCACTAAATAAAAAATAAAGAACAAACTTAAGTTTTAGAGAAATAAATAAATCTAAGGGACAGCTACTTGAATAGAGGACTGTCCTCTAAAATAAAGGACGAATGGTCACCGTAGTTATCAGAAATGATCCGAGAAGAAAGAGAGAGAAAGACAGATGCAATTGTGTGTTACTCGTTACTCCAGTTGGCATTTGAATGTAGGCCGCGGTGACTTCGATTTGGTATTATCAGCGTTTATTAAATATTCTGGTAGTAATGATTTTCACTGGGGTAGCCCGTAACGATCGGCCCTCCTTCATAATGCGAGAGAAGGAGAGAAAGAGTGAGAGAGACTCCTCTCGACGTCAAATAGTCAGTATTCGATACAACGATACTTATTGGCTTGCACGTGGAGAGAAACCTTATATAGGAGTTCGCGTAGATGACGATACGAAATTTCATAGTTCGCAGAAATAAACTGGGATACTGGCGGAAATTTCCTCATCCCAAGAAGAAAGTTTGGGTGGCTTTTGAGAGTGACGCATTATAAATGACATTACATATAGATTAGTCCTTTCTTCTTCGACCTTTCGTCTTTCCCCTATCAAAAAAAAGATAATCAAATTTGTGCCTAAAAAGAAGAAAAAAAGAAAAAAGGATTACTGAATTATACATTAAGCTGATATTGTTGATTTTTATTCGCGAAATGTAATTCTCGTAATAGAATATCGCAGTAAGCGTTTTGCCGCATCGTTTAGCGTTAATCTCGTCGCTTTAATGAACGAGTTAAACACGAAGGCGTGCAGATTAAGTTTTCCTTAACAGGGATGCCTTTGCCCATGTGCAAAGGCATAACATGAATATAATGTAAATTCAAACAAAAAAGTAATTATGCTTTAAGTGATTTTCTAAAATACATATATAAATTTAAAACTAAAGAGCATGCTGAGATTAGTAAATGTAGATATAATTGAATTTAATAATAAAAAATTGCTTGCAAAAATAATTCTCCTATTTAAATTATATACATTATGTATATGTATATACTGAAATATTTATATATTTATTGTAATGTTAAAAAATATAATATAAAACTAATATACAAATATCTCTTAAATATTTTTTAGAATATGTATATATACAGGGTGTTCTAGAATTATTGGACACCCTGTTAATTTCTAAGATTATTTGGAGATAATTTTATCTCGGCGAAAATGTTGAGGAAGATATCTAGTAAATAAGAAAATTATATTAAATTTCTACTAAAGTAAAATAAACTACCTGGAATTAAATATAAAATGTGGTTTTCTTAATATTTTATTTTCACAGGCTTAGTTTGCGACAAAGTCTTTATTTTTAATCGTTTGTAATTTTAAAATTATTGGTGTCTTGACATTTTCGCCGAGGAAAAGTCGTCTCTAAATAACTTTAGAAATGTCCCATTAACAGAATGTCTGATTTTTTAAACACCTTATATACATATATTCGTGGAATTAAATTTATTATAAAGAGGAAACGAATATATATAAATATATATATATATATATATATATATATATATATATATATATATATATACACTGTTGAAAATTTCAAAGATAATAAAAAACTTTTATAAATAATTTCATAAAAAATTTATATATAGAGAGAGATTGAGAGAGAAAGTGTATGTTGCTCCTCTACTTGATTCACATGGTATTGATTACTTCAAGAATATTCTTTTGTTTCTGTTCTGACATAAATAGACAATGATACATATATATGTCAAGATGCATCAAGGTTGCTGCTCTGTAAAAAATGCATCTTATTCCAATGCATACTGGCACATTCATTTTTTCTAAGATCTATATATATATTAGCATTAATTTATAATTTTCAAAAACAATATGACTAATACTTATTTTCCAACAAAGATCCATTAATCAGTACCAAGTCACTGCAACGAGGAATATTGCACACGTAATGTTGTATTTTAAAACAGTGATGCAATTGCATTGCTAGATTATTCTTATCAGTCTTTAAAATATATATTGTTGGAAACTTCAAAGCTATTGAAATATATACATATATTTTTCTTCTACGTAAATATTCTCTCTTTCGCTCTTCCTCTTTAAAATAAATTTAATTCCACAAAATATTTAATATAAAAATTCACACGTTCTTATTCAGTGAGAATTGCACAAGCACACCTATATGTATATATGTATGTATGTCGCATAATAAATATAAATGTAAAAATAAACTTTGAATGTATGTGTATGTTTGATTTGTGACAGACACTGTACCTACACACACACACACACACATACACATAGACGCCTACACAGAGAACAAACGTCCGCCCGTCCACGCACTTTCCTATGACAGACAGAGAAAGGCGGCAGCGGAGGTCTCGACGAGCATACAAATGCGGCGTAAGACTCACCGGAGGAAAACGGGGCGAGCACCTCCTGTCGCTTCTCCATCGCTCGTTTCCACCGCGTTCCTCTCTGGCGCCGCTCTGTCCTCACTTTCGCGATCTGGATCCTCTCTTCCTCGACGACCGCACGCAGACTGCAAACAGTCGAAATGAGAATCTCGCCTAAAAAAAGCGGAAGGAGACGTTGGCGAAATCGCGCTTTCGGGAAACGCAAGCCGAGCTGTCTGGAGAAATCTCGCTCAAATTAGAAAAATACGAAAAATTCGTAATCGCGCGAGAGAAGGAAAAAGTTATATATATATAAATATATATATATATATATATATACATACGCGGAATGAATCGAGAAAATGAGCAAAATATCGAGTCGCGCTTTGTACGAACTCGCGCACTTGATCGCGTTGTTGGGGAGGGCGCAGTCGTATTGACAGGTGGATCGCGCGGCTTCGCGGAGGATACGTACCTAGGGGGAGAGAGAGACAGAGAGGGAGAGAGGTGGCGAATTCTATCCTGCCATTTGGCTGCGCGTCGCGCGCGTTTTTCACGGCCTCTCTTCTCGTCTTCACGTCTCCGGGTCGACTTCGGTTCAGTAGCGCGAGCTAGAAGTGCAATCGTTGTCTCGCATCCTCTCGCAGGCCCAACGTCAACGACACGATCAAGGCACGTCGACCATTTTGTACTGGTCGCAGTGACGTATCACGGTTTATTGTGCGCGTCTACAAGAGGGGGCTTCTTTATAAAAATTCAAAATTATTTGAAAAATATTTCGCGCGCTTGTGGAAGCTATATTTTGACAAAATGCGCAAATTAAACTTTGTTTTTTTTTAAATCAGGGAATTTTGAGCGCATAAATAAACGGATTGAGAAATTAACTCTGAATCAAGTTTTTAATAAGTATGGAAAAATTCAGAAATATTTTAAAAATATGCTAATGGAAGCTAAATAGCTGTCAAAATTGACAGAATACGTAAATTAAATTTTGTATTTTAAATTGAAGAAATTTGGAACGCGTAAATAAACGGATTGAAAATAACAAGTATTATAGGTGCCCCTTTCAAAAAATTTAGAATAATTTAAAAAATATTCTGCGCGCTAAATGGAAGCTATTTTGACAGAATACGTAAATTAAATTTTCTATTTTAAATTGAAAAAATTTCGAGCGCGTAAATAAGATTGAAAAATAAATGCTAAATCGAGTGTTGGCCACCCTGGAATTTTGCAGAATTGTGTTCGAAAAACTTCCTGTTGCGTTGGATTGACCAATCGAAAGTAGAGAATTGTTTCGTCCTGATTGGTTGGACGAGTGTCATTTCATTTTGACAGATGGATTTTCGAACACGACTTACGAGTTATCGGAGTACCGATAATATAGATGTCAATACGCAGAGAGCTGTCAGAATTTGTCAAACGTTATCACGCTCGTTACGTAGATATGTGTTCGACGATTTGAATCGCGAAACTCGGACGCGATAAGTCAGCCTCTGCGAATGCATTTGTTGAGCGAATACTGAATACAGATTTATTTCTTTATACTTTATCTCGTAATAAATCGGCATAACCTGTTTACGCGCATATACGTGCGATTTTAATTACTCGCGTTAATTAACACTCGGTGTTTTCACTATTGCGAGACTTTTTCGCGACTGTATATCATTTATCGCAGTACTATGAAGTTACACGATGGAGCTCTCCGAATCGCGTAATCTCGTTAAGGATTTAGATTTAACCCTTCAACCGCGAATCGCTCCGCGATACAAGATCTGGCTTCCCCTCGCCACACAACAGGTGAGTTATAAGCAAAAATTGATATCAATAAAGAAATACACCTATTCAGAGCTTGACTCAATTGTGATTGTCTCTCTTACATAATTTGCAATACGATTTTTCAGTTGCAACTCAGAAGTTTAGTACAAGTAATGAGTTTTAAATAAAAGTTGATATCAGTAAAGATACATCTTTTCAGAGTCTTTGACTCAAATGCGATTGTCTCTTTTACATAATGTACAATATGATTTTTCAGTTACGGCTCAGAAGTTTAGTACAAATGAGTTATAAGTAAAAGTTGATATCAGTAAAGATGCAATACACCTTTTCAGAGCTTTTGACTCAAGTACGATTGTTTTTCTTACATAATGTGCAATATGATTTTTTAGTTGCGGCTCAGAAGTTTAGTACAAATAATAGGCCATAATCTGAAAGCCAATGTAAATGGAGAAGTATGTTGGTTCTATTACACGCTGCATAGATCAAGCATGTCGTCTCCGTTGTATACCAGCGAGGCCATCGACAATGCCAATCCAAGGTGGTCGAGTCTTGAGGTGCCCACTTTGCATGCCACAGGTTACTCAACAGCCAGTGGTGAGCGTTATTGTCTGTTAGTACAATGAATGTTATGTTTTCTTGGCATAAGTATGTACATGTTGTTTGTCGTTGTATCTGCAATGTGTCTCACACTAATAAAGCTTGTTTCATTCTGCTAAGAAATAATCCTTGTCTCCATGAACAGAGATTATCCTAAGAATCTGGAAGCGTTCAATGCCGGGTGACAATACAGCTGATGTAACCCTCTTCACCTGGGGAATATCTTTCACCGGATTAATATACATCGGTCCTAAACTTCCAACTAATTTAGAGAACATCCTAAGAGAAAACTCTTTGATATTCCATTTTCAAGGTGGATATTTTGCTCCCGCATACTGCTTTCTAACAAGTCCGGAATTAAAGAGATACCTTTACATGAATATAAATGTGTCCGAAGTTAAGAGTAGCTATACTGTGAATAAGCTTAGCAGTTTAAGAAGCAAAATGCAGGCACTAAAGCAACAAACAGAATCGGTGCAAGCACTCAGAGTACGCATCGCTTCGGGTGATGACTTTCATACTCCCAAATATCCACAGACAACTTTGAATCGACTATTGCAACCACGGAGAGTGAACAGGGAAAAGAAAATGGAAATTATGAAAATACGTAAAGAGCTAGAAATGGCTAAATTTAGGACGAAATTATTAGAACAAGAGAGGGCGCGAAAAATGGCGGAAATTCGCGTATTGAATCAATTACACACTAACATTGTAGAAGAAAATCAAGATCATGGTAGGTATAATTAGAATATCCGATGTATGCATGTCTGAAAAAGCATAAAAGCATAGAAAAGATAATAAAGAGATTCATCATTTTTCAGGTTCTGATTTGATGGAAAGATATAGAGAGCTGAATAAAGATATGGAAAGGCTGAATGAATGGCGACAAAATCACATGGATAGAAGGGAAACGTATTTGCAAATGAGTAGCCAACTTGCGCAAAGACGACGACAGTTAATTTCAGAATTGAGTTTAATATACTCGATTAGACAGGTACAACTCTAGAAAAAAAATAAATATCAAAATATAATCAAATGGTTTTAACACTCTTTTTGATTTCAGGATAGTTTTGGAAAATTCAGAATAAACGATGTTTATTTGCCAGACAGCGAAGAATTAGAGTTATCGAATGACACCCAAGTAGCTGTGGCGTTAGGTTTCGTCGCGCATACAACGCAGATGATTGCAAATTTTCTAAATGTACCGACCAGATATCCTATTATACATTATGGCTCGCGCAGTAAAGTTGTAGATCACATTATAGAAAGTTTACCCGACAACGACAGACAGTAAGGTCATTTCGAAATTATGTTTATTTGTAAGTGTAACAAAGATTTATAATAACAAACCATATATTTTTAGATTTCCACTATTTGCTCGAAGTAAAGACAAATTGCAATTCCATTATGCTGTATATCTGTTGAATAAAAATATCGCGCAACTTCGATGGTATTGCGGCCTCCCTACCGCCGATTTAAGAGCGACGCTACCAAATCTCGCTACGCTAATTAACATAAAACCCAACCAGATGCAGTATGTATTTTATAGTCTGGTATATTATTGAACACATTATCTAATATATGTTCATATTTTTATTATTATTTTTTTGCAGCATTTATCTAATGTTATTTTGTGTGTTTATAGCTTGGACGATTCGAAACGAACATTTTCTACTTCATCTTTGGACACTGAAGGTGGTAATAGTAAACAGAATCCACCTCTTACTCCACCACTTCAAAAAATAATTTTTGAGAAATGTCACCGCTCCTCGCGGTCGATGAGTCAATTGAGGAATATCAAGTCGACGTTGGGATCTTCTTTGGATCAGGGTCTGGATAAACCTGTGCAATCACCTGCCCTGGGTAACCAATCAAAGCGTATTTGTAAATCAGAAGAGAGTGCCATTGACAATAAAACCTTGGTACTGGCTAAAGACAGGTCAAGTAATAGCAGTAACGAGACGTTAAACAGTGCCATTCTGAATAATATCGATAATATAAGTCTTAAAGATAAAGATAATTTTGTCGAAATTAGCAATAAGGTTGTTATTGAGAATAATATCGAAATTATGATACCTACATCGGTTTCTAAAGCGAGGAATGTTGCGGATAGCATGGAAAGTAGTTCGGTGAGTGTTCGAGATAGAAGCTCCAATTCTATAAGTAGCTGCGAAATGGCTCTCAGTAGTAGCCAAAACGATGCGGATGATAATTCTAACGATTATCATGCTAGAAGAGAGGGAAACGATGATAATGTGTTCTCGATGGATAACAGTTTGAGAAATGTCAAAGATGCGATAGATAGTGTTTTAAGGAATGGCGAACACTCTAAAGGATATAATTCCAAAGACGACGTTCCACAAAATTATGACACGAGTAGTAGTACAATTATGAGCGAACAAAGTGTTCAAAGCTCGCTTACGGAAAATGCCATTTATAGCAGAGAAGGTTTTGCCAAATCGTGTTTATCTTTGGATGATGTGTGTACTTACGAGGAATCAAAACAAAAGCAGAGAACAAATTCCATTTGCAGTTATCCAGAAGAATATACAAAAAATGCTGCATTACAACAAAAATGTAGCTTTGAGTCAACGTAAGTAGATGTAATCTACTTGTACGTTGTGTATGTGTTTGTGTATGTGTGTAAATTAACAATTTTTTTACACGTACATAATGGCTTCTTTTAGAGAGGATAGACCGAATTATCCTCAACATGTTGAGAAATGGCCTCAGACTGTTGTAAAAAACGAACCAAAGAAAGTAAGAAATTTTAATAATGTTAATGTTAATGTTAATTTTTAATAATATTATAGAGTATTAACATAGTATCTATTTCATTCTAGGTGGATGCGAGATCAATTTTAAATACATCAAACTCAGACTGCTATTCGTACGACGAAGTGAAAACGCAGTGTGACATTCAAGCGTCGAGTGAGTATATAGATATCATTAGGCGTAGTTCGGAGAACGTGTGCGCGCGCACAGAAGCTTTAGCTAACAAGAAAACTAGTTTCAAAGTTATGAAACCGCGTCTTTAATATCTCTGCCTACATCACAAAACTGTGCCCTAATAATAATATGTATAAGCACCAAAAAGTCACAAGAAGACACGTTCAGTTCATATGTCAGAGTTACATGCGGCATCTCTTTCTTTTTTATGTTCATTGTACATAATTATGCAAAATAATATAAAAATATAAAAATTTTACTTAAAGTTGAGTTTTTAAAATTGTAATTATAAAATGTTACACATAAAAAATATTGTCTTTTAGTTATTTAAAAAAACAAAATAAATCTTTATGATAAATTACTTGTTAATCTTGCAATGCAGAGATGCGGAAAGAATTATGTATTTTGCGTGACAAATATAGACTAAATTATACATATATATAAAGTAAAACTAAAAGTTATGTTGATATATTATTCTACAAATGTTTCTTTTTGTCTTTTCGTGTTAACAACTTCGAGAAATATTATCAATAATGACAATGGAGATATTATTGAATATAACGATACAGTTACATACATAATGGTCAGTAGAAGTGATAGTTCCTCTATGACTATGCATCTTTTTACATGTGATATACAAATATGAAGACGTTATTATTTTATGTATTTATGTTATTCACACTTATGTGAAACTTTAGTTGAACAGTAATTTTAATCAATGTCTATATGTCAAAATTTTCTTGGTTTCGTTAGCGAGATGTATATATGTATTGATACACTTGTATTAAGTTGCTCTATTACTGTAATATATCAGAAACATTCATATTGTTATTATCTCTGTACGAAGGTATTTTTATTAAACTGAGGTGATATATAATACACAAGGTTTGTACATACATTATAGATATTCTTTAGATTTTTTCACTGTACTTATAGCTCATGTAATTAATTAATATATTTAGTTTATGTTTATGATACAAGAGCGATATTGAATGCATCAATATAGATGATTATATTTTTGCCATTGAGAATGTCAACCATAAACTTATGTACGAGGACCAAGCGAAGTACATAAAACCATATAATTGCTTAGCGAAACAATCGTGTAATTAATTTGTAACCTAATTAGATAAATGCAAAAAAAAAAGAACCCGAGAGAATTGTTTGTAAAACGACTTTCTTGCGAAATTTGTTAATAACTGAATACCGCAATGTGATAAATAAAGAGATTGTATATTCCAAGAGATAAAGGAGAAAAGTTTTGTACCTTATTTGCACGTTTCTAAATTTTCTTTATCTTACAATAAGTTGTACTAGCGGATTCTGCTTCGTAAAACTTGTAATATTAATTAGTAATATTTTGTAATAGATATTGTTATATTTACTCAGGCAGGAATACGTAAAGATTACAGCGACTTAAAATTGCGCATTTTTCAATTTGTGATATAAATGTTATATGTAAATATTTTATATAACACACATTTCATTATTTACGATTATCTTAAATTTCATTGCGCTGACATTATTGTATTGATAACATTTTTACATACGTTTTATATTTTGTTGCGTTTCTTTACTTTGGATAAATTGCAATCGCCAAGTTTTTTTGATGGAAGAAGAGGTTCTAAATATCGCTGCTGATTTTTCATATTTCTCAAACCCATTTTACTGATGGTATCTTTGTACTCCGAACAGCCTGCAAATGGCTCTCTCCAGAAGGGGCAAGTTTCTGAAACTGCGATTATAATTAATTCTTTACTGTTCGCGAAGTTTTACGCAGATTTTGCATTGCTTTTTCATTAATTATCTTTTAATTACCTTTTAAGAGCTCTATCGTCTTAGTAGGTTGAATTGTCGGGCTGTCCATAGCCGTATACCTGAATCCGATAGGATCTCTATAAACTTTCAAATCGACGATTGGCGGAGTAATAGATAATAATTCAATCGGTGCATCCACCGCAGCCATTAATGACCTGTATTGCGTAACAGGTAGACCTAGCAAGATATGATTACAATACTCAGATTTTCTGAGAGAATAAAGGACAAACCTGAAAATTTTTAGAGCTTTGTTTCAACATATTTCCAAATCAGTTTGCGACCAATATAGAGATTGCGACGAGCAAAATAAATAATTCTGTGACTATCAGATGTTTATACATATTCTTATAGTTTGAAATTAATTCGACTATATTGAAACAAATCCTTGATTTCATATAAATAAATTCCGGATAAAAGGTTTTGTTGTTTTTGTACAAATTCTCACATGAGACATTAGATATTAAAATATTAAATAAATAATAAAGAACAAAATTGAATTTTGGAAAAATGAATAAAGCTACCCATCATTTTGATGTCATAATAATTACTGTGGCTATCTGGGTATAAATAATAAGTTATACTTGAAACTATCCTTTAAAATAAAGAATGGATGGAAGGATGGTCACCCTAAAGATGATAAAACAATGGAGATTTTTTTTAGACTTATTCCGACAATTTTTCAACAAACATTCAAAATTAACTCACCTCTCTTTTCGTAATCCGTCTTGTAAATGCTCTTCATCGTTTCGTCCATATCGCAAGCGCTATCCAACATCGACGATGTGAGAAGCATCATTTCACGATCGACTCTCATTAGCTCATTGTGAAGCCGACGTTCCTTCTCGGCCAACTGCTTGTATCTTTAAAGAGAATGACTTTAAAACGATTTGATAGAAAGCTATATGTACCTATGTGTGCAAATTATTAATACTCAAACATACTTATTTTTATGTTGAGATCACTTTACTTCAGCGTTTTTTAATAGACACATTTATTTAACAATAAGAATTTACATTTATTTAAGTTTTATTTTTTTAAAGATAAAAGATTGAAGACTTTTTATAATTTTTTTACTTGCGTGCAGAAGTATCTTTTTAGTGATAAAAATAACTCATATTGAATCAGCAAGCAGTCGCACTGCGTGTCCATGATGTTTGTATCATATTATCGTTGATATTGATTGGTTTTATCGTGTTATAATTTTATACAATCTGAATAATGTACACTATAAACAATAATTTATCTTTATTGATAATTGAATTTTAATACAAAATTTTGAGAACGAAAGTGATCTATTTACAGATGTCTGTTCAGATTATTTATTTAGTAAATAACTTAAATATTTTTACTGCTTTAATAATTTATTTGAAGAGATAAACTTTAATTATAACATATGCAGAATACTCAAAATTACATTTTAATAAATAAATTATTTTAATAAACAAATAAATTATATTTTAATAAATTGATCATTTTTTCTTCTCCAAACCTCAAATTTTTTACAATTAAAATTCAATTAAAATTAAAAATAAATTATTGTCTATAGTGTACATTATTCATTCAGGTTTGTATAAAACTAACACAGTAAAATTAATAATCAATATCAGCAATAATATATGATGTAACATAAATCTCATGAACACGCATAGTGTTTACTTGCTGATTTAATATATGAGTTTTTATCACTAAAAAAGATGTTTTCGAATAATCTGCAGATAAAAAAATTATAAAGACATCTTCAATAATCTTTCATAAAAAAATAAAACTTGAATAAATGGGTTTATTAAAAAACGCAAAAAAATATATATAACTGTGAAGTGATATTAAAACATGTACAAATATGAATCTAATAATCTGCACATGTCTGTATATTAAAATTGAGATTCCTAAGTAACAAACTGACGTCATTCGACGTCAACATAATGTACGTTTGCAACCTGGGTTGCCATAAATATGCTCAAAAAATTGGAGTTTACCTGACTTTCTTATTTTTCAAACCGTGAACGTCACATTTACAATCCTCCGGCTCAGGTCTAGGAAGATACAATTGAGTATCGATATCTATCGGTGGTGGTGGCGGTTCTAAAGCTTTTTTTGCACGGGACCAATTCGGGAAATCTTGTTGCATTACGCTAAGAAAAGTTTGCGGCGCGTTCGACATTTTACATCGAATTTTTGCTGCGATCTCGCGAGGATCTTCTTCGAAATTAAATTGCAATTCCTGCGCACCAAATGGAATTTTCAATATCGTGGAGTGGAAAGAAATGTCTAAGCGGGACTAGGCAGGGGTGGATCCATGCGGGATAAAGTGTTGCCGGGATCTCGCAAAATATTAAATTTCAATATTCCTCGGAACAGCCAGACGACGCATTCTTTCACCAACACGATCAATGTAACTGTTGCTTTATAGAGTGCATAATGCAATACTGCACTCGTTAATGCAATTACAAGGCGCCCGAGGATTGGCTCAGCTGTTTTTTCATCGTTCATCTTATGTAAACATATATGTGTGTATTTTAATTATATCTCTTACGTGTTGCACGTGAAATTTAAATCTCTCAAAATTAGCCAAACGGATGATGTCAAACTGTCAACTAATTAATTTTGTGGTTACATATTTCTACGTAAATAATTATATCGAAATACACAATGACAGATCATATGATCTGAAGTAGGCGATATTTTTCTTATAAAATTTTTAAATAAAATTTGAATAGCGAAACGCGAATTCTTTCCTCTTTCTTACGATTTATCTTTTTTTTCATTTATTTCTTTAATAATTATACTTTATGTTTTCTTCAAAATATATTTTTTGCGCATTGAAGAAATAGACGAATTATTAATACTCAAATTTTCAGCCTTCTACATCATTTTATTCAAATTGAATCAATTACAAATCATATGCTTTTAATTGGATGTAGTGCAGTGCTGATATTGAAGTGGGAAACTTTTTCTCTTCGCGTGATGCAGTTTAATTTTCATAATAGCGTGGCCGATTTTGTTGATGCTGTCCTGATATTCAGATTTCCAGGATGGTAACTTCTGATGTATCTCGTATCTTTCCTTATCGCGTCTGAATCCATTCTTCAGCTTGTATTCCTGTAATTTGTGCTTTACTTCATCTCTAGAAGGAGAGGGATGACAAGGTTGCGGGCAATCGGTCTCTATCATTATTTTTATCGGCATACGACATCGCATTTGCTGATCATTTACACGGATGCTCGCGTCCTGTCTTAGGTCATGACGTTGCTTCATACGTGTAGCTGCTGAAAGAAGAAACGTAAATTCGTGAAAAAATAAGACACGCAATATTGATCACGAGCAGGGACATATCGATAAATCCGACATGTGTGCATTTAATAATCTCCGCAATATTTTGCAGATATTTTAATCACGCTCACCGGGATCGCTGTAATGCGCTTGATACGTCGTTTTGAAACGCTCAGCATCCGTTCTCGCTGTTTTTTCGTCCGAACATAATTCATCTAACAGCTTCTTATCTAAATCGGGACGTTCGTCCTCGATCTTTAAAAATTCGGAATTTAATCGCATTATTTTATCTACAATTAAAATCTATATTTTCCGTACTAATTTCTTTAAAATAAACTAAATTAATTATAAACTATTTAATTTATTTATTAGTACAGAAATATTAAATTATATTTAATTATAAATAAAATAAATTATATTAAGTAGAAAATAAATTATATTATATTTAGAAAATAAATTATATTAATTATTTAATATTACAATTATTGAATTTATTTTACAAACATTATTTCCGTACTAATTCTTCTAAAATAAAATAATATTACAGAATTAGGAAATTTAAAAAAAAATCTCGAATTGATATTTATTTAATTTATTTAATTTATTTAATTTCTCGGTATCGTACCAAATTAATGCACAACCAGGAAATTTCAACGAAAAATTCATTCTTCCTTGAAACTGACGCACTACCATCCGCGTCTAGCTCTTATACTAGCCATTAAAATTTCAGTAAAATAAATTATATTACACACAAAATTCTGAGAAAGTAAAATTCTAAATATAAATACTTTTTTCATGAAAACCCTGGCTGGCCATTCGAGTTGCACTGCAGCCACGCGAAGGGGTCCAGAAGGAACCTTAGGAACTTTCGTCGAGATGAGCTCCTTAGGCACTCGTATCGAATCGGTACAGGGGCAAAGTTTAATAGCGATCGGCTTGGTCGATGATTCAGTTTGACATACAACTGGCTCTTCACGACCGTAGTCCTTCTGATAGGTCGAGACATAGTGATTCTTCTGATTCATTATTTTTAATATTCGGACGAAGGAACGCGAGAAGGAGGAAGAGGATATTTTACGAAAATTTCTTTACTCCCATTGCTGTTGCACGCTTTCTTGATCCTTGTTCGGCACCATTAATAATTAAATGTTATCAATATTATGAACGTAAAATTATGTTTATAAAAAATGATCCATTTTCCTTTACCTGCCAATTCGTTGTTCACATCTTGCAGCGATATAGAGTTATCACTTTAAATTTCCATTATATCAATTTTTAAAATGTTTATGCTTGTTACTTTTTAATTGTTGCCATGATAAATTATTTTACAATTGTGCGTTTACATCGTTGTTACTGGAAAATGTTGTGCATCTTTCTGGCCAAAATTTCGGTTGGACAGCTTAACCCTGATTGATCGTCGATTTGTCAAAAAGACGCTCTTCAAATTTTTTTGCGTTACTAATTTACTGTAATTTAATTTATTAATCAAATATATAGATATAGAAGATTAATTTTTTCATTGATTATCACAAAACACATAATCGAGAAAAAATGTTAATATAAAATATTAATGAGAAAAGTCGATGTTTAAATTTCAATTTTTCTGAATTCGCTATAATTCAATGATAAAATGATTTTGATCGTAATAACGGATAGGGTAAATAAGCTTCGTCTACAGTAAATATTCGGATCGAGTATTACATGTTCGCATTTGTCCGTATTATTACAAACAAAGGCGCAAAGTAGCAATAAAAGATGGCATCGCGAACTGGAAATTATTGTGTTTGGCACGATGCCGATTTGCGAGAAAACTAATTCATTTTCGAGTCGAAACGTCAAGTCAAGAGCGATTGTTATAATTAACACGAACCGGAGTTGAGCCTTAATTATTTTCAGATTTCGATCTATTATCTCTTCTGCTCCCGTTTACATGCGTTCAAATCTCTCTGTTTACATGTCATGTTCATAGAAACGAAAAAATCCTTGTAAATTATTCGGCCGATCAAATCAACGATTTGTACATCAAATAAGATAATTACCTCGATAATGATCAGATTTGAAAATCGATTAAGAACGAGAGACCACCTATTTGATCGTCGTTTTACACAACGTTTTCTTTCTCATCCGTGTTTGGCATCGGTCCAGAGGCAACAGATAGTTCAATGTAGAACTGACGAGACGACGAGCTCGATATGCTTCTAGGCCACAGCCGGCAAAGGACACGTTCGTTTTATTTAGAGATTATATACATCGATTAAAAATTCACGGTTCCATTTCCGGAATTGCCCTGGAATTTGCCTCGCTCTATCCTTCCGTTAGAGAGGGATTTATTGAAATCTTCTCCTTAATTAAATCTTTGCCAATAAAATTCACAAGCAATTTCGCGTCCAATTAACAACGAAATCAATTTAATACATTTAGTAAATTTAATAAATTAGCAAATTAGCTTTACAGGTCTCAGCCAATTTCAAATTGCATTTTTCATTATTTTTAGCAAAGAATGTTATATATTTTTTTCCTCGACAACTAATAAGACATATAAATCTATATTATGAAAGACACAAGACTGAGTCATCTGTATATCATTTTTTTATGATTAGACATTATTTAATTTTATTTATTATGTTCATGTAAAGTGACAGTTGTAAAATTGCGGTTCTCCGCTTTGCGAATTTTTTTCTTATTTTTATGATTCTATTTTGCGAAAAAAGTATAGGGTATAAGATGAAAGACTGAGATATTTTAATGATTGTACCGCAGTCGAATCTGCGGCTTCCGTTTTCCTGCGACGCCGATTTTCGATTTTATAAAGTGTCCAAATATTTATCTGTCGTTATCATCGTAAAACTCAAATCATCTCCTCGTAAATTCGCTGCAATTTTTTTTAGTTCCAGAGAATCACCTCTAGACTCGCTAAAATTTTCCGGTCTGAAATCATCTCTCTCCGAATTAGACTTTTAATCGGCCAATCAATGGCTCGACAATGAGAGTCGATATTTCCGTCGGCGCCATGCTTTGATCCTATCCCGCGAGATTGCAAAATCAAACAAACACAAGCAGTTTTTAGAACACGGACTCTAAATCCGAACCGAGTCTTCAGCATAAGGTGTCTATCTGGAGATGGACCAACCGCCAGTGTTTGCAGTTATCTAAATAAAATTATATAGTTGATCATCTAAATGAAATTTTGGCGTCATCTTATCTTTATATAGATAATAAAAATATGTATCATCTATACCTGTGATAACGCTTTTTTTCATCTAACATCTTAAAAAAAGGTGTTACCTTTATTACTAAATTATCTGGAATAATGTTCAAATAATTTGGTTTAAAGTCATAGCACATAAAAAATACTGAAGTAGTAAGTGACAAAATAACTTACAAATTAAAGTATGAATATATTTTATATCCCTTTTATAATTAACAATTTTTTTATAACTGCTTTTATATAAGCGATTTTGAAAATAATATTATCTAGAAGTTATCGCCATATAATTTTACTATTTATCTATATATATATTTAAAACAAAATCATCTTTTTCTTATCTAGAAAAAAAATTTTATATATTTTTATCTCATCTTTATCTAAGCTAATTTAAAAATCATCTAAGCACAACACTGTCAACCGCGTTTCGGATCAACTAATAGTCTCGTATGATAGCAGGAGTATAATCAGGGTTGGGCAGATATGTATCTTAAAGTATACGTATTTAAATATATGTATCTTATTTAAATACAGTATTTAAATACCGAATAATCAAGTATTTCGAATTTTGTAATTAATTATTTAATTTAAATGTATCTTGTATATTTAAATATATATATATATATATATGATATATGCTATTATACATATATAATATAATATAAGCTATTATATGTTTATTTTAATTATTATTATTTTATAAAGTTTAAAGTTCAAATAAACTTATCTTTCAAAGTGTTGAAATTTAACTTACTTTTGATATTATTTTCATATAATTCTACCATCAGACTATATTATACTTAATATTAAAGTAATTACAATAAAATTATCTACTGCTATTATACTATATATTATTTAAAAAATATCATTTTTAAATAATAGTAGATAATCTTTTTGTAATTACTTTAATATTAAGTACATAGTATATACTCAGAAAATTTAAAAAATAATTGCATTTAAAAGTATTTATAAATGTATTTAAATATATTTCAAAATCAAAGTTATTCAATAGTATTTAAATATATGTCAAACAGTATCTTGTATCTTGTATTTAAATATTTTGTTCCGAAGTATCTGCCCAACTCTGAGTATAGTAGTAGTAGTAGTAGTAGTAGCAATGAAATATTAAGAACATCATGTTCGCAGAAAAGAAGAGGAGCAGGAGGGCGCGAAAGGGGTGGTCCGATTTAACCGGTATAAATCATCTCCGTCTCGCGCCTTCTCTCGTCAACTGGCACACGTTTTCGAAGGAAGGAAAGCTCGGAAACGAGCTGTACCCGATGGTCGCTCTAAAGATATCGCTGCGTCCACGTTGCCAGGAATAGAACCGTGACGTCGTCGCTGAACGTCGACGAAAGAAGAACGACGAAGTCGTCGTGCACACGCGGCCGGCGATCCTAATAGGATTTACTAGAGATTCTCTAGGTAGAGATGGATTAATAGATTGTTTTTGATTGGCTGCCGTCATTAATAAAGATCGGAAATGAGAGGGACAGAGAAATAAGAAAGAGAGAGAGAGAGTTAGAGGATCCTTTAGATGTTTAACAAATTTTATTTCCATTTTTATAATAAAGAGGATTTTTTTATTTTAATGATTTTAATTTAATTTAATTTTAATTATTAATTTATTTTAATTATTAATTAAATTAAAAGACGGTATTAATACTTATATATATTTGACCAAATCTTATCTTCATCAATCAAATCCATGCAATATATAACATTATTTTTAATCTAAAATAGTTTTATTATTTTTTAAATCAATTTTTTGTCATTTTAATATTTAAAATGATATATTCCTAACATATTTCAATTTTTCGCGTGAAATCTCCTGTTTCCAGTTTTCATATGATTCATATTAATAATGGCGGATCGGTTCATATCTCTTCCTAAATCTAGGATTTACTTACTTTTGTATCTCATCAGCTAATTACTAACATGTTAATTTCTCCTTTCACGTAGAATCACAGGAAGTTCTACTTTCCGATAATACGAGGTAAAATATAGTGGAACCTGCAAAAACAGGCCGAAAAAATATTAATATAAATATTTTCTTTGATCAAACATATATATATTTTAAATGTAACGCTTGTGTTTGCGAGATAAAATTATTATTTATTCCACGAAAAAATCTGTCTCGAATCTTTTGAATTATTGTTTTCATTACGTATTTTTTTGCCACGTCTGCTTTCGAGACAGCCTGTCTGAATTTAGCGTTAATGTTAGACGGATGATCGATGGACGAAACACACACAAGGAAGGTAAACATGAATTTCCTACATTCATCTCGTTCTAATCTAGATCTGCCAGGATAGAACAGAGAAATATCGAGACTTTCGACTATTGATAGTCATCGCATCAATTTAAAAAAAATATAGGAATATATCATTTTAAATATTAAAATGACAAAAAATTGATTTAAAAAATAATAAAACTATTTTAGATTGAAAATAATGTTATGGATTTAGTTAATTATAAATATTACCGCCTTCTTATTTCAAATAAAATTAAATTAAAAACATTAAAATTGATGACTATCTCTAAAAAAATCGGACGATGAAGTCTTCTAGATACAGATCGCGAGATAAAGAAACAACTAATTCAAGGGGGGTGAATTGCATGAAAAAAGCGCATCAGGAAGATTTACGATGTTTTTCGTCCGCCCTTTTCCCGCTTTGGTCCAAAATATTTTCGAGAGAATAAGAGTCGGTGAGAAAATGACGTGTGTTAAAAATTCCCGACGCACGTGGTTTCGCGTCGTAAATCTCAGCGCAAAGCAAATTATCGTTTTCGAGCGAGTTAGCGCGAGATGGTGATCAG